CGACACGCCGAGAGCCCTGGCTCTCCCGCCGCGTTCGAAACTACCAGGACGCCCCGTAATTCGAAATAAACCGACCGACATAAACTTCCGCGAGGAATGAAACGTTAACGGGACGAGGGAGATAAAGGTGCCCGAACGGCTGGCACGTGAAATAAAATCGCCCCCAGGGCCGAAGCACCCCTAGGAGCCGCCCCAGGGCGTGCCCCGCGTAGGACCAGGGTCACGTTTCCTGATAAAATTATACATTTTTCGCGGGCCCGTTGATATTCCTATTTCGAAAATAGAGTTTCACAACAGAGAATAGGAAAAATGTAAGCGAGAGAAACGTCCGAAGAGACCCTGGGACCCCCTAGGAATATGCACGTGGTCGGTTTTAGGTTAGGTTTGCTCAATCTCTGGTATCTTAAATTCTCTCCTGGATTCGGGAAGATGTTAAGAAACTCGGGAGAGTTTCCTGACAAATATATTATACACATATGTATAGAAAGGGGTAGAAGGTAGGGATCGACTTCGACTTGGTACGACGAAATCCTTGCTCGGGGCTCCTAAGGGAGGACCTCGTTATCGGTGAAATTCTAGTATAATACCCCGCGCAGGGTTTATGCCATAAGGTAAAGGTCGCCCTAGAAGGTTTACAAGATTTTAGCCGTAGGGCAAGAGTCGGTTCTCGCAAGATTCTCCGACTTAAGCGCGTTAAGGGTGCGAGGGCTCGCAGGGGCGTAAAGGGCGGGACCCTTCGGTGCGGCAGCAGCCCTTCTCGCTTTTGCTCACTTTTACGAGAGTTCGAGTTAGCGTGACCATATATTACGGGACATTTTATATTGGGCTTATAAAAGACGCCGTTGGGGTCGCTCCGATATCGCGCGCGGCAACGTCCCCATAAAGAAGGCCGTCGGGGTCGAAGCGCCGCGGAAAGCCTGAAGTCGGATCCAGACTCCGTTGTTTCCCTCTTATCCGTTAAAAAGGCCTGAAATGTCTCTACTCCAAGTTCCCAGGTCGCGAAAAACGAGGAATCGGCGCGTTCCAATATGGCCGACCTCGAGGGAGTTCAACGAGAGCCGAGGACCCGTCTACTTGACCTCGCCGAAGGGCCTCGATTTGACATTTTCACGGTAAATGAACTAACGAGTTGACGGGATTAATAAATCAGCAATGAGGACGGATCAACTTGAAATTTTCCGGGAAAATACGGCGCGCGATTAGGATTTCCTTTTTTTTTCTTTTCTGAGAAGAGAGAGGAGTCGATGAACTTTTCAACTCCACCGGGCCGAGACGTTAATGAGACCCGAAGAGGACCGAAGAGTGGGTCACGTAATGGTCCAGGACGCGGCGAGAGGCCGCGTGATTGACGATGTAATCGTGACTCCGACGTCAACGGGGAAAATCATCTCTTAATGGGATTTGGCACCGCGGACGTCCGATGACAATGTCTCGACTCGCCTCGAGAGGTCCCCAAAAAAAAGCTCCAATACCTCCCGGAGGCGTTAGCGAAGTGGTCCAGCGGCTCGAAAAAAAAAAAAAGAGCGTCATTCCAGATCTCGCAATTTCATTTAACAGAAACCGAGAGACAGAAACGTCCATTACGGCGGCTCCTCCGCGTCTCTCGCGTCTCACTTTCCCCGCGACGACGCGCGGCTATAAAATTTCTCCCAGCGGATCGCTATAAAATTATATTGCGAAACGGCCCCGTGTATATTAATGACACCGATACACAAAGAACGGGGATAAATCATTACGTCCGATTACGATCGGCGGGTCTTTAATCTTCCCCGGGTCGGCGATACCGTATATCTCTTCCGCGGTTGTATAATTCCACCGACCGCGGTAACGTATCCCTGTCTATTGACTGTTTTTTTCTTCCCCATCCACAACATGAAGCGGACGATCTAAAATCAATTGGACCTCTTAACACCCGAGATGAATTTATCTCCCCGGGCTTCTGCAATGTAAGTCCGTTCCATATCCGAGGGACGCTTATTACTCGCCGTCGTTAATTCAAGTGCCGGCGATAGTCGCATCTCGAGAATTACAGACGATTGCGTCGCGACGACAATACTTCCTACCACTTAGCGACTCCCTTGCACCGGACTTTTCTCTGTATCTTTGAAAGATATGCTGCCTCCTCGCAAATCCCACGGTGTAATTTTTACGATTTCCCTCCAAAAGATAAAAAAAAAAAAAGAAATCTCAATATTTCATATATCTCAATATCTCATATATTTCGTACACAACACTTCCTACCACTTAGCGACTCCCTTGCACCGGACTTTTCTCTGTATCTTTGAAAGATATGCTGCCTCCTCGCAAAACCCACGGTGTAATTTTTACGATTTACCTCCAAAGGATGAAAGAAAAAGAAAAGAAAAAAAGAAAAAGGAAATCTCAAGACACCTCGAATTTCTTCCCCCGCGAGAAATAACACACCGATAAAGTCGGCCAAAATCTCTAACAGGTGAGACTCTCAGAAAAAGAGCGGCCATCGCCATCCCCGCAAGAACCACGGTTTCCTTATTACCCGCCCACCTCTCGATAAGTTTATTTATTTATTTATCGTCCTCTCCTTAACATCGCCCTCGAATTCCCGCGACGTCGTTTCGCTCCGAGCGAGTGTCTCCGGGTATCCGCGAGTTTACGATTCCCCGAAACGTTTAAATCCCCGAAACCGCCACCTTTTCGGGCAACACCTGGCGAGGTGACGTCACACGAGGGATAAAAAGCGATCCCCAGTGGAAGCAATTGACCGCGATTGCGGTAAGTGCCCCGGCAATCGGCTCTAAATCCTTCGAAGGTCCTAGGACAGAGGAGACAGGGGGTGTACCGTCCCGTCCCGCAAGGAGGCGACAAGTGCACAGTCGAATTACAGTAAAAGTGACCGCACGAAATGGCTGCGGTCACGGCACTACTGTACACGAGCCTGAGGTCTCGGGTGACGGTGGCGAGAACCGCCGTGGTAATTTTCACCCGTGACTTTACGGTGTCATTTTTGCCCTCCCCAGGGCGCAGAAGCATTCCGAGAGGTTCCATCTCGCCAGAAGAACTCGCAAACGGGTCTTTGGTTAAGACTCAAAACAAATCCGTAAAGAACAATAAAAATCATCATTAAAATTAATATGAGCCGAAGAAAACGACGGTATATACGACTGAGTCGAGCTAATAAATAAACGACCGCGATAAGTTACACGAAATATGGGTACACTACGAAAAAGAAATTAAAAAAAAAAAAGAAAAAAGAAAAAAAAATGCATGAAACTGAAATCGTCACAATTCCGAGGAAACGTTGCATTGCATTTATTACAGTTTTCGTTCGAGTCTTTGAATTATCGGAATGTTTCCTCGGTACCGCTCGAATTATCCCAGGTTAGATGAGAATTTCTCCTCTCGGTGGAGTGAACGTAGGTGTCGGAGAGTAGTTTTCCGAGACCTTCCTGGAGGATGTTCGCGTGTCAGGGGTGACCAGGGGGGCGGACACGCGTAGGGGGCGCGCTGGTACTCGGGGCCCCTGGGCCCTATCTTCCGGTCCGAGGCGGGGGCGGAGGAGGTCCCCGGGATGAATGGCTCGCGGAGGCGTTAATGCAATTTTTAATCGCCCTCCCGTAAAGCCGACGAGCCTCGGGAAGTGGCCATCCGCGAGAGAGCCAAGGCGCGGTCCCGCGCCTCAATAAAGGATCGCCTTTATTAAACCCATATAGGGCCCCGGGCAATATACTTTTACAGCCCAGGGGCGGACATGTGAACCCGACAAGGGGGGAGCTCCGTCCGGTGGACAGTCGGAGATGGGTCCAGGTGGTCGCGGTGAGCCCGAAAGACGGACCCTAGCTCCCTATCCCAGCCTCGAGGAGGGCCCTTCCAGGGGTCCGGTAATGGCCGAGCGGCGTATTATCGGCGATCGACTCCGAAAATCGGACACCCGATGGATAGGAGGCATTCGCTCGCAATTAGCTCGCCTCCTCGCGATCCCCGGGGCCAAAACGAAGCCGACGAGGCCCAGGGCCGTAGGGCCCCGGCCCGGGCCCCTCTCCCGCGGCGTATAGTGGGAGCGATTAATCGGCCCCGGGAACCAGTTTGTCGGAAATAAAATCTCGGATGATGGCCCGACCGGGGCCCGTCAGGCCCCGAGCCGATGACCAACTGCCGAGAGATCTCGCGCGCCGACCGACGCCGATATATCGGCGCCTCTGCTCGCCACTAATGGATGACGTCGACGTCTCCCCTCTATTCTTCCCCCGATTCCAGGTTCAACGCCGGTAAAAGTCCCCGGTGTGTCGCGGCGAGGCTTGTTCCCACGCGCGACGCGGAATTCGGCGCGCAATAACCCCCCAAGGAAAAGAAAAATTCGGGAAAAAAAATCATCCCGGACTCTTTCCAACCCTACGATATTACTCATCTATACCATAGACCCGCCGACCACGTGGTACCAGGATTCACGCGTCTCAATTCGCGCGCACCTGTCCTAGGGTACCCGTGCTCTCTAGACGAGTGCGCCCGTAGAAAGCTCCCTATCTCGGATTACTTGTCTCTTGCGCGACAAACGCGACTCCGAGTGTCAAGTCCGGGAATGCCAGGACATCGATACCTGCCGGAACATAATCGAGTCGGGATATCGGGTATCGATCAGGCCAAACAAGAAATGGCATCCCTTAGATTCGCGTCCCGTACCTTACGCCACCCAGGGTCTGGAATTCCCCCCGAGGACCCTCTCTCGTGCCCAAACCAAGGTATTACGAGGATCCCGAGGGGATTACTCGCGAGCCCCTGCCAAGAATACCGACCTCGGGCAAGAATAGCGCAATTAAATCGTCCAGCCACCCGCGAGGGGGGCAACTAATCGCGCCGTTAAGGGGCCCCCCCCCCCAATTAAGAGGCGCGATTGATAAGAGATAAAACGAATGGCCCAGCCACCAGCTGGCCGGGCAACGATCCTCGGGCTTGAAAAAGGAAGGATCGGAGCCGGCAGTTGGCGCGATGGCCGATCTTATAAATCATCTGGGAGGCACTCTTACCACCAGTTGGCGCGGGCTCCTCCGGGTCTGGTGATCAGCATCAGCATCAGCAGGTACATCGGCAGCATCGCCGGCCGGCTCTCGACGACTGCTCCCAACATCTTCCCCGGCATCTCTCCTGTCTCCCTCTTCCTCTTCCTCTCTCTCTTCCTCGGTAGGCTCTCGAACGGGTTCGCCGCTAAGAAGGCTCGTCCTCTAGCTCTGCATTCTCGAGGAGGGCCCCGCGTGCGACTCGCGGCCTGTTCGTCGGTAGTCCTCGCTCGTGTCTCCGCTTCCCATCGGGGATGCGACCGCCTTGGGATTTCCACCCTCGAGTCCTCGACGGATGACCCTCTTCTAAGGAACATTACGACACCTATTGCGATACCTCTCGACCCCGCGACCCGGACCTACCCCAAGAGACGCACCTAGGGTAGGTCCAGCCTTATTTCATGTGAGATTTCCTAGACTCGGGAAATCGGGGGGTGGGGAATATATATAAAAAGGGTGGAAATAAATCTAAGAGATAGTTAATGGCGGATGAACAGGGGTAAACGAGTCGAGTCGGAGTCCCTCGAATCCACGTAACACGTGTTCCCACCTGTGCGAAGGTAATTACCATGACGCGTTGTCTCCTGTTTTTCTTTCGCCCGGGACTCGAGTTAACAAAGTTACTATTTAATTTCAGGGTCCCGTCCGGTCGCTGGGAAAAATTATGCCGGCGATATAAAGGCGGTAAAACCGCAAACGGTACGGCCGAGAGTGCGAACCAAGGAGCGGATCGTAAAGCTCGTTTCTCCTTTTTTTTTCCCCCCCCTCTCCTCCTGCTCTTATTCTTTTCCCTGACATTTCTCTCGGTACGTCGGGAGGAAAAATCGGAGGAAAGCCCGGCCGGGAAATCTATTCCACCTACAGGTACGCGAGGATCACTTTCCCATGTAAATGGCGAACTTCGCGGGAGCCCGTGGACATTTTTCCCCATTTACTTCCCCGGTACGCCCAAACGCGTCGCCTAGGTACTAAGGGTCCCAATAACGTCTCCTAGTTTATGTCCTTAGTCAACCGCGAATGGTCGCGTGGGTATCTTGGAAAGCCCCGATATCTAAGACAACCGCGTATCGCGAGGACGCCTCTTAGATTATTACCCGAGGTATAATATAATCGAGATAACGACCGCTCAGTAAATTTCGCAGGTGTCGTGGGACAGGTAAGAGCGAAAAGTCGGGTCGGATGCAACGTTACCGAGAGAGGCGGTCTTGCGGCGCACGTGTACTCGGGTTTACAGTGCGGCGTATGTAAATGAGATACACACGCGAGACCCCGACGAAAACTGGCCCGCCCCTACGTATTAAATTCACGCCAACCCTATGCACGCCGAAACGTGATTCTTTTCTTTTTTTCTACTCTTTTTAAATCATTCTTCACAATCCCAGGGGAAATTCATCCCCGCCGAAGATACACGCGATACTGGTGCGCTTACAGTGCACCGTATGTAAATGATACACCCCGACCGAATTTACACCGAGCGTGATATCTTCTTTCTTTCTTTTCCTTTTTATTCATTTCTCATTACCGAAGGGAACATTTATCCTCGCTATCGGGATAGGACCCAGATGAATCGCGGTAGCGCAGCCTATCGGCAATTTCAATCCCACCGACCCGGTGATTGTTATCTTTTCCGTTGTGCGGCTGTAACGCGAGAAGTCTTGCCTCCCGACGAGCGACTTCAACAACCTCGGGGCAAGTCGAGCCGAAAACAGCGTCGCAAGCGGCGAGCTGCGAGCTCCTTTGTCGAGGGACAAAAGCCGAACGACTGGACGAAATCGAGGAAATCTCGCATTACGATGCGCTCTCTCATTCCCTGAAACACGTTCGCCAGGTGGAATTAACGCGTCATTAGCAGACCGCCTCTAGCGACGAAACATAGAATCTTTCAGGGGGGCGCGGGGTAAAAAGGAGGAGAAAAAAACGCGACGGGGGATAAAATTCAGCCCGATCGGAGAAACATCCCGAAAGGGGAGAGAAAGGATGGACTGATCGTCCGAGGCCTCCGATTTCCCGGGGCCGACAAAGCGAGCAGCGGGAGGGGAATTCGGGCTCGGCCGGTAATTCTCGGAAATCGAGGGCCGTCCCGTTGGCGGACAAAAAAAAAAGAAAACAAAGCTCGCGAAACCGCGTAGGGCTTCCCCGACTCGACGAAACCATTCATCCGCGTACGGCGAGCCGGGCCGAAGGTCTTATCAGGGAAAAACGTCGTTAAACCGAGGAAACCTCGACCGGGGGGAATTTGACCCGGGGATCTTCCTCGGTAGGGAAAACTCAAGCGAGAGGGGGAGGGCCTCGTGGCCGCGTCCGCGTACCTACGACTAGATCCACTGGCCCCTGGGCGCGATCCGCGCCTCTAGCGGCCGTCTCCTCGCATAAAGAGACTCTCGGGATAATATATCCTGGCACGAGGTTCCGGCTTTCACATGTTTCGGTACCTCCTGGCTGGGTCACGGCTGGCCGACTGTCAAAGCGCGGAAAGCCGCGCGCCAGCGGGGCCGGAGCGACGAGGACGGACCGCGGCCGCGGGCCGCGCGAGCGAGAGAGACGCGGCTCGGTCGGTAACGCCGGCCGCGGGCTTACCGGCGGGAGCGCGTCTCCACCTTCGAGGCCGAGCGGAGGAGAGCCGGAGAGAGCGCGCAACGCGACGCCACGGCGTTCACCTAACAACTGGCCACGAGAGCCGTGGGTGGTCGGCGCCGACGGCCGCCACGAGGAAAAGGGCAAACGGGGCTTCCGGGGGCGGGGCCTCCCCGCCGAGGGCCGCGCCCCATTGGTCCGCCGGGGGTAGGGACGAGGCCGGGTTTTCGGCACCCCCGAGCACCCCTCCGCGAGACCGAGGGGCGCGCTGCCAGCGGGTTGACACCGACACTTGTCGATCCTCGATTTCGACGGTTTCGACCCACTTTTTTTTTTACTCCCTTTCTCGGCAATTCATTCCCAATGCGCTCTCTCATAAATCCGATGAATTTTCCGCCTATACTGCCGTGCCTTCATTTTTTCCCCACAGGGTTGTTTACCTTGTTTATTCAATCGGCCGCCTGTTTTTTTTTTTTTTTTTAGAATGAATTCAGATTTCTGGGAATTCTTTTGGGATTACTTGAGATCCGGTATTAATGTCGACTTCTGGGGAACTTGGGTTAGAGGTTTTTAGATTTGTTCGGTGATGTCCTTTCTTGGACGCGCAATTCATTTCTTTTGGAATGGATATTATAGGACGATGACACTCTCTGATGACATTTAGAACTGGGCTTGACAGGGCGGTAATGTGTCATTTTCAGATGGGGGGGATATTTTCTTTGTCAGATAAAACGTGTTACAACAAAGACCGGTCGAATGGCCGCAAGGTGTGCGGACGCCCGCGAGGCCGCCATTTTTACGGCCTCTCGGGTGCCGGAAATTCCCAATGTTTTTTTCTTAATTAAATTGCTCGTTGCTTCGAGGCGGTAAACTCTCGGGTGGAATGTTTTCCCTTGTTGCTATACACAATTAATGAGGGTTAGTGGAATTCTAATATCCGCGAAAGTGTCCACGTGGCGTCGGCCGAATTAATGTGGGGATCTCATCTGAGATGGTTTTTATTAACCGCGAGATTATTTAATACGCAGGGCTAGAGGCAGATCTGTTTTGTTTATTTTGACTCAACCGATGATCTCTCCTCGGCTGGAATGAAAAAGCCCGAGGACATCTGGAAGCTTTTTAAAGGTCTCTTTATACGTGTAATTATGATGAGTTACACGGTGCAACCTTTGCCTTTACAATCCTGTTACGACCGTTCCCTCGGTGAAGTAGAAAATCCAGGGCAGCTGGACATTATGGGGTGTATACTGTATATTTATAGAAACTTCAAAGAGCACCGAGTTCAGATATAGCCGCCAAGCGCTGCCAGTCTAAAACGTCCTGTTGTCAATCAGCCACACCGATCAAGGATGTCATTTTTCACTGTGATATTCTTTATCGCGAATTACACATTTTTGTTTCCACTTAAAAAATTTGCCCACTTTGTGGAGTGCAAAGGAATTTAAATAATTGTCATCGTCCGGTCTTCTGCCCTTATAATGAAATTAAAAAAATTATCGATCATTTGATTTGAGAATCTCAGCTTTAAAATTGACTGAACAATGTAGGGTAGAAAAGCAGAAATTCACAAACCGAAATTATGTACCTAGAGAGGATTGCGCAGAAATCCTACGTGTTGGTTCGTGGTAACAATGGCATGTATTCGACAGCCTGCTGAAAAGGTATATTTATATTCCTTCGGTGGAATATTAACATTACAAAATCAAGAATTATTAACAGGTTCGTATAACAGTTAGTTTTATTTAGCGCAGCTAGATGTAATTCATCGACGTATTTACACTTGGAACAAACTCGTAGATCCTCCTGGATTCAATGTTGCCAAGAATAACTCCCAATTCAAGTACCAAATTAAATAAAACCATGTTGAAGTCATTCAAGGCAGTCTCGTAGCTTCACCTCGAGGTGAAGTTTATGTTGTTTGAGAAAATCAAAGTATCTGCGATCACTGATCACTAGCGATGAATCTTGGATTCACTTTGGGCACGCTATTCACGATAGACCGTTACGGAGAGGTCTGAATTTTAAGTCCAAGCATAGGCTTGTCGAAGACCAACTGTTAAGATGGATCGTGATACAAACCAGCCATGGCTTCTTGTAACGCTCTTAAGCAAGCAATGTTAGACTTGAACCCTCCTGCTCGCTCTGCTGAATTCTCTGCCCTGATGTGCGAAACGTATCCCTTTGTCTGAAGGTCCCTCCAGCTCGGGGCATCGGGTCCTTCGATTTCTTGTCGAATTGGAGTATACGAATACGTAGGTCCTTCCTCTACCTTTGGTAGCGGAAGGAAGCTTTGGGTACCCTGCTTGCCAAATTTAATTCCGGTGCTGAACTGTGTAGCTTTAACGACTGGCACAGACTTGACTTCTTCTTTTGCAGCTTGCACAGCAGATGCGAAGGTCTGTACGATATCTTTAGCATTTTCTTCAGAGAACATTAATTCGTCAATGAGGGCTTCTTTCTCTCGAATTTTCTTTTTCTTTGTTTCCACTTCGTGCTTAGCTAATTCTAACCGTTTCTCCTCTTCCTGTAACCGTTCTAGTTCCAGAAGCTGCTCCAGCTCGCATTCTTTCCTCCCAATCCTAGATTTATTTTTCATGATTTGTTCTTTATTATCCCTCTTGTACTGCTCTATCCTTTTGTTAGTCTCGATAATATCTATATTATTTGCTAAATTAAATATGATATTCTCAATTTCCTCCAAGTAATCGTTGTACTCTCGCAAAGTAGCAAAATCCTCCTCTTTTTTATTGAAATCTCGTAGTATTCTTTTTCGTATGTCTATTTCCTTCTCTACCATCGAATCTTCGAACATCTGCACCCGGAAGTTTGTCCTGCGCAGTGGTATCTGGCATTCTGGACATGCTCCGCTCCCTGGACACAAACGATTATTTTTACACTTCCTAATTTAATAAATAACCTTGTCATATTCACAGGAGTATCAAATAAGCACAAATACCTTTCAAGAACAACAAGTCGACACAGCTCTCGCACAATGTATGTCCACAAACGTTGACCATCAATTTTAAAGACGGATTCCGATACTTGGTTGTCTTGCACCGAGGACATGCTTGCTCGTCCATGGCGTATCAGGTTCAAATCGACTAAACCTGAAAGCACATTCCTTCAATAACGAAACATTTAATGTAATTATATTCACTCTATAAGTACAAAAAGATTCAGGTATGGAATGACAACTTTTATAGGTTATTCCTTCCTTGTAATACAAAAACGTGTTTCAATGACTGTCCCGAACCGGCGCTGATAATCGAATACTTACTTAAATAATGCCGAAGCGATGACTAGTTGGTGTCGTAAAAGGCGTTGCAAGTTTTACTCGACTTTAAAACTTATTAAGCGTCAATGCACCGGTACACACTAGTTTGACATTTTTCTAAGTGAACTGAACGCGAGATTACAGTTGGCACCACTGATGCGTGACGTTAGCTACGTTAATCGGCCATTTTGAAAAAGCTCAGTTGTGTTCTTGAATTCGCTGTGTACAATCGATCCCCCTTACGGCCAGTTTAGATTTGCCTATCGGCATTCAATCACATCGCGAGTGCGCGAGCTCCTATCAGAAATACGTTGCGCCGCCCTTGGGGGCAAAAAACGGTGAAAGCTAACGTAAGAAACCAGAGGGCAGCACAGGATGCGATCACACGATCCTGCCCGTGAGCAATTTCCCAACTCATGTCTGTGTAGGCTTATATACTTTTACATAAAAATTGGAATGGGATACTCCTTTTTATTAATTGTTCAAGGCAGATGTTCGTTATGTTTTGATATTATTTTTATGTTACTTCGATGAAAGTAAATTGGTTTTTCATTTCAGAATGCCGAATGGAACAAAGGAAGTGGATGAGCCGCAAGAGAGGGAGACAAGATGGCGCGTAAATGTGCGCGGTCGGATAAACTGATTCGAACTTATCTTCGGAGTTCGAATCGAACAGCTGTGTTGCTAAATGAGTAAATAAAGGATAGCAAAGCTGAGTAGTCTGGAGGGAAGCCTGTGAAAGGTTAATCCACGGAAGCTTGGATTTATGAATTCGACTGGGCTCGGTGAGAACGAATGAGCCGTCGACCAACCGAGTAGCATTAGGAAAAATCGGAGCAGTGTAGATAAACGTACCTGTAAGTTTTTCATTCAAGGTTACTCTATCGTAATTACGATTATGAAGGGTGGTTTGCCTTGGTGATATCATGCAATTGAGTAGTCTCGTTAACGCAGTCTCGTTTCGAAGGAGTCAGTAGTTCGGTCTGATCAAGATGGACAGGTCACCGACGTCGGACATAGTTATCATCTCTGGTAACTCTCACATGGAATTGGCGAGGTTAATAGCAGAGTAAGTTTCTGGTAATGCATTGTATTATTGGATTTGTTTGTTAGTAAGTGCCAGTCGTACACGTTTATTTTCACAGTCGCCTCGGAGTGAAGACCGGAGGATGCGCGGTCTACCACAAATCGAATAGGGAAACCATGGTCGAGATTAGCGATTCGGTGCGTGGAAAGGACATCTACATTATACAAACCGGCGCGAAGGATGTTAACAATAATATTATGGAGCTGCTCATCATGGCTTATGCCTGTAAAACTTCTTCGGCTAAGAATATCGTCGGTGTTATACCTTACTTGCCTTACTCGAAGCAGTGCAAGATGCGTAAGCGAGGCTGCATCGTATCGAAGTTGCTTGCAAAGATGATGTGCAAAAGTGGCCTGACGCACATCATTACCATGGATTTGCACCAAAAAGAAATTCAAGGGTTTTTCGATTGTCCTGTGGACAATTTACGAGCTAGCCCATTTTTATTACAGTATATCCAAGAAAGTGTAAGTAAATGTATGTAATCTTAAAAGCAGTGATCTGAACTTACAATCAAGTAACTAGTGCGAGCACTTGGTTCCGACGGCATTTCAATAGGATGGAATGGATGTTCCTCGATAGATTCCAGACTACCGTAACTCAGTGATAGTGGCCCGAAATCCTGGCAGTGCGAAGAAAGCAACCAGCTATGCCGAAAGGTTACGACTTGGAATTGCTGTGATTCACGGAGAACAACGAGAAGCAGAATCTGACATGAACGATGGTCGTTATTCACCACCAGCGTTAGCACCTTCGCGGACTATGGAAGTTGGAGTCGGGGTACCGGTACATCCTGCCAAAGAGAAACCACCTATAAATGTCGTCGGAGATGTTGGCGGTCGTATTGCCATAATGGTGGTTAGTAATTAAAATATGCACTCGATACTTATCGCTAATCTTAAATCTGAATTTATATTAATTTTGTACGTTTTTCTAGGATGACATGGTGGACGACGTTGAAACCTACGTAGCTGCAGCGGAGGTACTAAAAGAAAGAGGCGCTTGTAAAGTATACATACTGGCGACACACGGTTTGCTCAGCTCCGATGCACCTAGATTCATAGAAGAATCACAGATCGACGAGGTAATTTAAAATAATTGATAAACACGTCCCTTTCTTATATTATAGTATTGCAAACAATACAATGTCTTCCAGGTAGTGGTTACCAACACGATTCCTCACGAATTGCAAAAGATGCAGTGTCCAAAAATCAAGACGGTGGACATCAGCATTTTGCTGGCAGAAGCTATTAGACGCATTCACAATAAAGAGTCGATGTCCTACTTGTTTAAAAACGTCACTCTTGAGGACTGAAGAGTCTTTGGGCTGCACTTCAAGGAATCATCCCAAAGCTTCGAAAGGTCAACAGCTTTATGGTGTACAAAAGTACTGTGTGGGGGGAAATTGGAATAAGGAAAGGAATTCTTACTTGTACCGTTCCATGCTGGGGACCACTCCAAGGACACATATCTATTCCTTGATTTTCTACATGATATTTTTATATTTTTCAGAGGACAAATCAACGTGAAACCGCCGTAGCCTTAAGTTTCAACCCTTGACCGGTGATTGAACACCTTGGCCGGTGTGTTACCTATCTCGAAAATACATTTTACTCGCGGATCAGAGTGATTACTCGTTTCGTTACGTCAATTTACACATGACATCACAGCTGGTCATTGTTAGTTCCTCAGATAAATGGTTCAAATAAACACTTCTTTTAAAAAAAAAAAAAAAGAGTGAAAAATATCAATTTTTACTAAGTACATTAATGCAAGGCGGTACGAGTAGTCAGGTGCTGACATTCGAGCCTTGTCAATTTTCCATGACTATTCAATCACAGATCAAGCTCTCCTTTAACTCGTAACGTCGCAAAATATTGCCCAACCAAGGTAACGAAAGGAGTAACCGTTTCAGACTCTGTTTTTGCCGACCCATCCAAAGGTGGTCCATTTGCGTTATTCCAAAGCAATTGTGCACCTCGCACCGAAAATTCCCAGCGTAATTATCATAGAGGTAAATCCATGTTATCGCTGTTTCTAGACGCTACCATGTAAAAGAGAGTAGATTGTTATCGCGAGCAGAGTCGCGGAGTATTGGTCCCGGAATAATCTCGGCGATACGATAGATTTCAGGTATTATATTTAACTGTTTACCTGTATTTTAGCTCGCGAGTCTCAATAAATGCATTTCGAGAAACCCACCAACCAAGAGATCGCCATTCCACTCACCGGTCGTCTAGTTTCGTTTAATCCAAAAATTGGTCTGTTAGCGTTTTAGGACTGTCTACATGGTACGTCAGTCTTAATTTATTATTCCAGCGTTACAAGCTGCGTTATTTTAGGAACTCTGCGAATACAGCCTCTAGAAATTGCAGGTACACATACGCCCCCCATTAGTTCCATCTATCCCGGGAAGAAAGTAATCGAATTGTTCTTATTCAGAGAATCCTAATTACCCGGGGACGAAAAAGTAAAAGAAAAGAAGATCACCAGCCAAAGTCAGACAATTAAGGCAATACCTCGCCCGGTCGTTGACCACAATCAGACCAAGAAAATCGAGAAATCCACAACCGCCGGATTTTCTCCCAACGACCAAGAACGTTACGCTTTCACAACTCCAACTGCGAATGCACGATTCTTGACAACATTTATTTTCCTAATTTATTCTCAGGTAATAATACTATGTACAAACTAATAATAATTCATTGTATCCTGATAAAAATTCTCTCTACACTGCCGTGTCAGGCCGGCTCGCAGGAATTGCAAAGATTATCCTACCGAGGAGGAGAGATAAACGCGTGGAGAGAAAGCGAGTCTTCCTCCGATTGAAGAAAGTATTGCCGCACGATCGGGCCCCTAACGTCTAAGCTTCGTATAAGCTAATTTCATTCCCTGCTTCATTATTTTTTTTTCCCCCTCTTCTTTTCTCGTTATCCTCTGCCGTTATTCCGTTCCGATCAACGACCGATTACCTTGAATCATAAACGCGTGGTTTCGTAATATATATGTATATAAAAAAAAAGAAAAAAAAAGAAAGAAAGAAAACCAAAAACGGCAGAACAATGAGATCAAACGGTTATGTAAAGTAAAATTTGGAACCGCTCAAGCTTAGGTCTTGATGAAAAATGGTCAAACTTGAGACGTCCCTCTCCGCGTAGGGCACAATCGATTACAGACGACGACGTTAGCTCCAAACGAAATCTCAGGCGTTTAGAGTTATCCGAACCTTTAAGGCGAGCTCGAAATCGGAAAACCGAAATTCGAGGATGCTTTAAAAACGCTTTCGCGAAAACCCATCGAGCCCACACCTATGATCATCCTCCAGCGAGCCCGAAATCGATCCGATCGCTCGACGTGACGACTTACGTCCTACGAAAAAAAAAAAAATCTATATATATAATATATATATCTATGTATATAATATTAATGTAAATTAACAAATATATCACCCGAATCGCAACCGCCTTTCTTCTCGACGTCTAGAGCCACCTTATGCGAGATTTCTCCGATTTTTGGGCGTTAACGATCGATATTGACTATCGCGAATCAATGATTCCTCTCCAATTGGCAACGCGGTACGACGCATTTGTGATTCCCCGGATTTTTTTAACCTATTGACACCGATAAAAAGTATGAAATCTCATTTCCAGTACGCCCCACAATTGTCTCGCACAAAATGACCTCGACGTAATTGCTCGCAAGAGATCTAGACCTGCTAGGAAGGACACCGACCGATGGAAGATCGATGTCCACGCGTCCTTATGACTCTTTACGATTAAAAGGAAAAAAAAAAATAGAAATTAAAAAAAATAAAAGAAAGAAAAATCAAAAGGACTCTCTTGGATATATTGTTAGCGGCGAGAGCTCGCCGAGGAGACTCGCACCTGACGTGCCAACTCTGGAGCGGCAGTTGGTCGCAAGTTATGCTACCGGCATCGTTCACGTGAAATTCATAAAAATTAACGAGAATTAATCCAAACAATGTACCTCCTCGTGATACGATTAGCACACGCAGCCTGCTCGGTTGTAAAATTGATTTGAAATAGTCGGTAGTACAGCCTAATCCTAAATACAAAATTTGATTTTCCGTGGATTAAAACTGACCGGAGAAAAAAAAACCAGATCGACCTGCGTCGCGTACCGCCTTCTCGGCTCCCATTCGTTCTTCAACGTTCCCCTCGCTACAAAGCAGTCTTTTTGGTGCACCTTGGAGCAGTCCAAGCATAAGGGAAGCATCTTTAGGGTTCGAAGTTGTAAAGAGAAGAGAAAAAAAAAAAAGGTTCCAGTGGTATAGAAACGGCGAGTTGTCCCAGAGCTGTGCATCAGAAAAATATTTCGATTACCCGATTGCTTTCAAGTCATTCACACTCGGACGTTCCTACAAAAATGGCTGATGACAAACTTCCCGACGTCCTTCGACTCGAAGGAACTCCTATCCTCGAGGGAGAAGAAGAAATCAGTCGTAGAAACTTCCCTCGAGTGGTTGACGCGTTAAAAAGTCATGCCTAATTTTAGAGAATGATCGATGTTACCGACTGTACCCTGCCGACGATTCGTCCTTGAGATACCTCATAAATGCCAGTTACTATCAGTCACTGGACTCGTCGTCGGTACCGAGCTATCTGGCCGTTGGTACTCGTCCTCGATGGACGACGCGCTGAACGAATGAAGGGCCAAATTCCGACCCTTATTCACAATCGGTCGCGAGAGACGAAAGACTTCAGGATCTGACGAACCCTGGAAAGAAGCTACTGATTCTGAGTACGACGTTCCCCCATAATGTTCTCCAGCTTCCTGGCGACGAAGGTCGTGACCGTCTTCTTAGCGGGGGACTGCTCCTCGGATGACATCTCCACGTCGGTGTCGTCCGACAGTAAACGCTTGCCAACGGATTTCCGGGCGTCTACGGAGATCATCATCTTGTTGATGGCTTCTAGGTCCTGAAACGAGAGAAATATCGTCTCAATGGGTTTTCATTAACCCAAACGTTAATTGGGGTATTTACCTTGGCAGGACTGCGACTGAAACAATAACTAAGCTGAGGTGCCGGCGAGGCAGTGAACGCCTTCGGGTCCAAGGCCCGGGTCATCACGCTGCTGGTCACTCGCCTGACCGGCGAATTGGTTGCAGGCTTGCTTCTTGGCAACGGACTAAGCGTCAAATTGGCTACCCCTCCGCGAGACCAGCCGAGTCTGTTTGCCACCTCTTTGACCTGAGGTACGTATACCGTGTTGTAGAACTTTATGAGATCCCCTCGCGTCATGGTGCCGAAATTCTGCGAGGTCCCCGCCATGTTGGTAGGTGTCAGCGGAGCTACGTTTTTCCCACGACCTTCGAAGGACTCGGCATAATTTCCAGCCTCGACGTCCTCGTAGTTGCCGTTGGCTTCGTTTCGCTGACCTCTCGTGATTAACACAGACCTGTGGAGACGCAATCGATATCGATATCGTTGTTGAGTTTAGAAGAGCAAGGTGCGGAAGGGAACCAAACCTGTAGATATGAGATTCAGCCTGAGGCTGAAGCCGATAGCAGCGCATGATCTCCGTGAAGGAGTGCTTCTCCATTTTGGCCAGCTTGCAGATCACGTAAACGGCGCACATCAGGATCTGGTCGAGATGGCGATCCTTCATGAGGTCGGTGCGCTCCTTGATCGAGTACTCGAAAATCGTCCAGATTTTCTTCTTCAGGTCGACGTCGGTGATCTCGAGAGAAGTGCAAAGAGCTTGCATACGAATGCCACCGAGGGCGTAGAACTTCCTGAAGAAGAGGGCTACCGAGCCGGTCCTGCGAGGTTTGGCTGGTTCCCGGCTTACTAAAGAAGATTGCACCGGAGTGCTAGTAACTGCCGACGCTGTCGTCTTTGGAATTATTTGTTCTGGCATGGCAACGAGTATCTTCGAAGAAGGATCTAAAGTTAGAACTTTTGGAGATAGGACGCTCTGCCCAACCCGAAGGACACTTTGGCCTCCCGTTAGTCGGTTCTCGGGGAAGAGTCGCTTTTTTGCTATACCCGATGCTACGACTGGAGATTGGAATCTAAAAAGAGATTTGGATTTGTAAATAATGAAGGAAAAGCGAATCAGACCAAGGATGGACAATGAATGTAATGACGAACCTTTCTGAAGCAGAAGAAATAGGACTTTGCATCACGTCATGATGATTGCCTCGGTCCAAAGCTATTCTTCGCAAGACTGGTTGACCAGGAGTATTTGGATCTACCGTGTCCAAAGTACCTGGTAGAGAGGCCTCTTCGCAGCTGGGTACTCCACCTTCGGTGTTTTCAATTGCAGTCCAAAGAACGCTATCCCCTTGCCAAGCTAGAGACTCCAGGATTTTCTCTTCGCTGTGATTCAAATGTTTTACTATATCTCGTGGCAACTGGTCTTCTACTCGGACAATTACTTCTATCACTTTGTAGAAATAATAGGCCTCTAAGTTCAACGTTTTCAAGATCCAGGGGAACGTGCGATCTTTGTTCTTGTAGGAGTAGATCACTATTTCCAGACAACATGCCATCAGACACTGCAGGAATACTTCGTTCGATAGCAAATTCTGTAAAGAAATAAAATCGTAACGATGTAAAAATGAATGCTATTGTTGAACCGTTAATCTGTTCCTCCAGCACTGGCTATTTTACACTTACCACGATGTCATAATTAGGTTTTATTCGTTTCTCATCAATTAATATCATTTCTAGTAGCTTGTAGAAAAGTGTTTGAGCTAAGAAGAGACGTTTCTTGCCAAAGTCCAAAGTAGAAGAATCATTGTCTTCCACGTTCTGCGTATAATTGGCATAAAATCTTTCTCCGATCTCTTTTACTTTCGCTTCAACGAGTGACTTAACATCCTGGGTACATCCATTAAACATCTCCAGTAAACTTTCACTCGGTGCTGGTTGACGTCCAGCAAGCAGTGCTTGAAGTCTAATCACACTTTGCGTAGCTGTCGATACCACCGTAACATTGGACAAATCTTTCGTTCTGAGGTACTTGCGGCCCGTTAATGGAGTTGGCGGAGCCAAATGCTGCATTTGCTGCAACGGCAAAGTGTACAAAGTTAAAAATATAAGAAACAGAAAATCGATTAAAAAGAATGGACAATATAAACATACTCCTCCGTACTGTTCCCTCTTTAATTGAAATTGCTCGTGCAAGTCACCGACATTGACCATTTTCGTTGGTGAACCAATATTGTCACTGGCATCAGCACCTGAAATCAAATTTCAAATTTTATACACATTACTACTGCTATACCCTTGTATCGACATTACTAGATCACAAAACATTTCCAACTTTAAGATTATTATTGATCACCACACATTAATCTCCACTCATTCTTTCCTTTTACATTAAAAACATTTTACTGACTAGGTTGCGGAACTAAATAATTTCTATGATACAATGCACTACCATGCAGTGCGTTAAAAACATGTATATACTAGATGTGTTATATTACAAAGGAAATAGACACATAATGTATTGGAAAACAATTTGATATCAATTGCCAAATTTTAATTCCTGTTTTTCAAAGTCTTTCCAAGTTCGGAACGGAGACTTTATTTTCAGATTTTGCTGGATTACTGTAGACCCACCTTTTTGAAAATTGTTCCTTGGAAGCACAGAAGCATAATATGTGAAATCTCCTCCAACTATTTCCAAGCATGTTAAGGCATTCAGTCTGACGCGCCTCCACTCAGCTGCAAAGCACAGCCACGAAGAAGCAGACACAAATCGGTTATCAGGCAGAAATGAACACGATTAAAAAGGAAACAAAAAGTGGGCGCAGCTAAAGCATGTAGCACAGGCAGTAAAAAAGGTAACAAATGCTAATACTAAAAGCTGGAAATACATGATCATATGAGCACAAAATAAATAGGCAGAGTAAAATTGCTTTGATACTGATTGTGCAAACCTGAAATCCTGGCGTGTTTATTAAAAATAAAGGACGATCTTTCTCGTGAGGAAAAAAAACAATGAAGAAAATACGTTTGTCTTTTGTTTTTATGGCACATGCACGCTGTGGTGTGGGCAACTACAGATTTGCACATAGGAAATAATATTCTTTAAACTATTTTACATTCAAATCTTATGCATTCAGTCAGAAATTTTAAATATACATACTCGCCGTTAAACATTCATTCTCATTCTCTGAGCATTCCAAGATTGATCTTCAGAAAATTAGTTCAGCGGCATGTACTTCATTTTAACATGGTATTTCTTCAGAAATTTAAGTAATAGCCGAGCAAAGGAATAATTTTCGGCACAAGGAGAAAGTGAAGCTGCTTACCTAGGAATATTCTTTCATCGAAGTCACCGACATTCAAGACGTGCTGTTCGTAGGTTTTATTGATAGCTTTGTTATTGCCATCAAAATTTAAAGCTTCAAGAATCCCTGAAAAATTTGATGGGTCCCCACGCAGAATCTTCTCATTGAATAATTTATTTATGTGATTCTTCAGAGAATACTCTTTGATAACTTTAGCTTCCACAGCAATAGCTTCATGGCGATCGCAGAGTAAACCGACAATACAGTTTGCAGTCTTTGGTGGGATGTAGTCCTCGTCGCTAAAGTTAGGTGGTAATCCTAAATTTATAAAGAAAAATGTAGATTACAATTTCTATTAGAGAACCTACGGTCATAAGTCATTAGTTACATGGATAACGCACCAGAGAAATTTGCATTAAGAAGATCTTTCCTATTAGCCAATACGGCATTGCTGTATATGAGATCGCAGCATGCCAATAATAAATGGTAGGAGTTGACAAGATCATCAGAGATGTCTGGAAAGGCACCCTTTACACAGACAAAAAGGGTCCAGCAAAACTCAAAGACTCTAGCTGGAGTGCAAGGCATCGCCTTGTGCCTTCTGGATCTTGGTGGTCGTGAGACATCTTCTCCTGGATTTTTAAAAATGTCTGTAAAAATAGGCTGGTATTTCTTGAAGATCACCATAGAAACAGCAAAGTTCCGCTCCAACTTCTCAATTTTAGAGCGAAAGTCTTGCGGCATATTTGCCATATCTGCCCAAGATTTGCTTTTTGAAAAAAACTGGATCAAGGAAAGATTGCACAGTCGGAGTAATCGAGTCAAAGAAACACAGTTGCCCTCTACGTTTGCCCCTGTCTTTCCAACGGTTGGCGTCGATGACTTCCGACATGCGACATAAAGCGCACATCCTATCCAATGTAATTGATCTCCCTGAAAATCATTATTTTCGTTATATTCAATACCAAGATATTTATTGATTTAATTAAGTATAAGCAAACACAGTGAGCACAGGAAAAAGCAAGACTTCCGAAGGATAAAAAAAGAAATCATATAATAATCACTATTTTCACTAGTAAAAATCTGTAAAAACCCTTGCTTTTCAATGCTTTTAACATTAGGCTAAACAGTAATAATCGAGAAATATATTTAGGGTCCCAAATGCAGCAGAAAAGTGTTTTCTATAAACACGTAATTTCAGACACAAAATTTTACGGTTCAATAAATAGTTTTTAGAAATAAATATCAAGAGTCTCGTTAAACATGCAAATATCTTTCTGCAGATGCAAAGACTAGCATAACTAATTTTATCAAAGCTAAATAATAAATTGCCAGAGTAGGATCCCATTCAAAGCACCCTCGCGGCCGTGCGAAGCGAGGAATTAGGCTTTCGAGCAATCTCGGTGAAGAATGTGGAGATAAAAAAAAAAGTGTAGTATCGCGAGGCGAAATTATTGGTGCACTGAGGCGACAATTGAGATAAGGCGCGAGAATGCCGAGCAAAACAGTGGACACGAATCGAACGTCGTGGGAGGAACGGAAAGAGGGTTTTATCGAGAAAAGCGAGGGACTTATCGGGGCTCGTTGGAAAGCGTACACATCGGGGAAGACGAAGGGTTCGTTAAGGGCAAAGCAGACCGCAGAATGCGAGATCGAACGGTGAAATACCTCAAGGGTGTAGTTCTGTCGGATAGTTTCGTAAGACTTCCAGGCCTCGGAGGCCGCTGTCGCGTCCATATTAAGCTTTTGGCACAAATCCTGATGCCTGCTGTAGGTCGAGTCTTCTATATCGTCCGACTGGCCCATCTTGGACGTGCGATTCGCGATTTGTATCACTTAGAATCACAGAAACGTTCTCACCGCTCCTCGATCGGGGTGCGCCATACGAGGACCCCGTAACGCTTTGGCGGGAAACGACCGAACGCCGCCATCTTGGACTACTTAGCGGGAACTTTAAAGAATCTAATTTCGCGGGAAAAAAGCACCCCCTAAAGATCCCCGTGAGAGTCGTGGTCGTAACTTGTCCACCCCTCGTTTCCGCGATACTTGACGCCTTTTTAAAGTAATTTCGGGATTCACCGAAGAAAATATAGGAGTTTTTAGAAAAGTTAACAGTGGTACTATTTCCTTCCACCACCATCGACGAAGCGGGAGGGGCGAAGTTCAGGGAACACGTTCGGGGAAAGCTAAGGGCTAACGAAATGGTTACGTTACACCGTAATGCCACTGGAAGGGAGTGATTATTCCTAAATAATTATTCGGAATAATTTATTGGTCTATCAAAAGTTTATAAAAGGAGAGCGTTGAAACTAAATAAAGACTTGCGCATGATTTCCCGCTTCGTGGATCGGATGTTGCCACGATTCTGCCATATTGGATAAAGGACCAATCAGCAATCGACAAGGACTCACGTGCTCCCGCGCGCGGCACATTCAAGACTTCGATGCATGGAAAAAATAAATTCAGAGAAGGTTGAACTTGTTTAAACTAAGGGTAACACCGTTCCGCAAGCTAGCTGCGGAGTAAAATTGAATTAAAATTAAGTTTCTCTTTCGACCTCTGTGCCATTTCGTTGTAACTATTATGATATCTTGCACGTTGAAAATCTTAGGTTATGGACACTCGGTACTCGCTACACTCTCCAACATTATGTTTTTAGGTTTATGGTTGTTTAAGGTCGGTTTGTTCATTGCTTCCACGTGGTATTTAATGACGACACCAGTGTCAACAATTACAATGACAATAGTACATTGATTTTGGCGAGAGAATTAAAGTCTGTATTGTTTGCTCTGGTGCAGTCGACATGGCAATTTTATTTGTCTCTGTGTAATTTTCAAATAAGTTTCCTAACCCTACTTTCTTTTAGGTGGCAGAAAAGTAAAAAAACGAATGATTGCTAAAGTACCGTTCCTATTAGGAAAATCCTTTAATGCTGGAGGTTATTGCGTGACCAGATTCTACGGCAAGTGGCCAGGGGAGTTGCGAGAAGCATTAAGATCACCACGGTATAACCCCATGTCAAAGGACACTCGTATAATAAATATGCAAAGAATCAGAGAAAAACTAAAGAGAAAGATTTCAAAACTATCTCCTGATGTATTTTCGCTGCAGGTAATACAATTATTCACGTATGATTGAAATTTTATATGTAAAGTTTATATCAGTGGTCTTTTAGGTTTTGGGATGTGGAGCTCCAGGAGCAGCAAGAGCATTATACGTAACGACATCTCATACTAAATACCTTTTTAACTGTAGCGAAGGCACTCAAAGACTAGCTTATGAGCATCGGTGTAGGCTGACAAAATTGGAACACGTTTTTGTAACGACACCAACATGGAGTAATTTTGGTGGACTCCCAGGTGTAGCTCTAACCATTCAAGCCAATGGCGTTCCTGAATTAACGATACATGGGCCAAAAGGAACTGCGGACATACTGAAAGCCATTAAAAAATTTGTTTCATTAGGCGATTTGTCTGTGATTGCAGCTACTTGCGATGAACTTGAGCCTTATGTAGATAATGCAATGACAGTGCGTTATGTGTTATTAAAGAAATCTGGAAATGAATTAAATGAACCAGCTCCAATAAGGGTATTGTCAGTAGACGATACAGATTACTATGCTCATGAGGTGAACGTTTACAAGAAAGCTCGTTTAGAAAAGAAAGGTAACAGGAAGTGTGAACAAGTAGTTCCTGTTTCAATTCTTGGAGGACGTATTGTTGACTCCATGGCATACATTTGCAAATTGCATCCCAGGTCTGGAAAGCTCTCCTTAGAAAAATGCGTAGAAAAAGGTGTGACACCGGGACCATTATTCGGAATGCTAAAAGCTGGCAAAGACATTACACTTCCTGATGGTACTTTAGTGAAGAGCGAAGATGTATGCTCACCCTCCTTGCCAGGATCAGTATTTATTGGTAAGACAAGGTCATTAATTCAAAGTTTATGAAGAAGATTTAAATACTTATCAATAAAATAATTTTATTCCAGAGCCTTGAAACATGTAATTTTTTGTTTTAGTGGTTGAATGTCCATCGGAGGAATATCTTCCTTCTTTATTGAATAATTCAGAGTTCAAAGGATACCAAGTAGGTGCCAACGAAGAAGATGTGGCCTGTTGTGTTGTACATTTTACACCATCTGCAGTGATCAACACACCTGAATACAAAAGTTGGATGGAAAAATTCCCACCAATCACAAAGCATTTATTAATTAACGAAGACAACGATGGCATAGGTAGTGAAGCAGTTCACAGGCAACAGCATAAATTGCATTTAATCCATCCAGAACTGTTTCCTTTAATCGATGACACTGGGTTTAAGATCGAGGAACCTGAGGACTCAACTGAAAATGCTGAAAATGACGGAAAAAGTGTCACTGTCAAGAAGGACGAGAAAGCCGAAACCCTTCCGAGTACTGAAAAAGAAAACCAACTCGTAAGAATTTTTATGAAGCAACCATCGAAACGCATGATAGATATAATCTTGGGCAAGCTCTTTAAAAACAAAGCGAATAATCACCAAAAATTATTAAATACAGGTAAAAATTGGAGAAGCATCATCAATTCATTGTGCAAAAACATTGCACACTTTTCACTTGCTTCCACCGGACGGTTTAAATACAGAGCTTGAACCAGTTCTCCAACCGAAGGCTTACATTCAGGAGGCTCTCGAGAGCAACGAGTTCTGCGACGCTCTAGCGGAGTTACAAACCAACATCGGAGCTATGACTAAGTCACTGGGAACAATGGAGCCCTTTCCTATGGTCGTTGTACTAGGTACTGGGTCTTGTATACCTAATAAGACCAGAAATACTAGTGCTATTTTACTCAGGATTGATGAGGATAGAAGTATATTATTGGATTGTGGAGAAGGTACGATAGGACAGCTCTTCAGGTTTTATGGAAGATCCAAAGTGAATCACATTCTCTTAACTATCAAGGTTCGATCCCCAATTTTATGAGCTCAAATATTACATGATTTAAATTTCATGTCCGAACCATGACTATTAAGATATTATTCGCAGGCCGTGTATGTGTCCCATTTACACGCGGATCATCACATTGGATTAATTGGATTCTTGAAGGAAAGAGAGAAGCTAACCAAAGAACCTGTTTTTCTGCTGGCCCCGCAACAAATCTCTGCATGGTTGCCATACTATCACGCGAGGTTTGAATTAATCCTGAACAACTTTCAACTGATTCACAATGCAGATCTTACGCTGAATTACCACAACGTTAGTGCAAAAACCAAGATGAGTCTCTACGAAAGCCTCGGTGTACAGAACATAAATACAGTTCCAGTAAAGCACTGTCCATTTTCCTTCGGCATTAGCTTGACTCTGGGAAATGGTCAAAAAATCGTGTACAGGTATAATTATACATTATTCACAATTTGACATATTATTAATTCAAAGCTGTAGAATAGATATTTGGTGGTAACGTGAATTCATTTTTTTTCAGTGGCGACACGATGCCCTGTGAGGATCTGGTCCATTTAGGTCAGGATTGCAGTTTGCTCATCCACGAGGCGACCATGGAAGACGATTTAGAGAAAGAGGCCTTATTGAAATTGCATTCCACCACTTCTCAGGCAATTAATATGGGGCACCGAATGAATGCGAAATTCACCCTCTTGACGCACTTCAGTCAACGATACTCAAAGATGCCTCGTTTAACAGGACCAGAGGGCGATCTTGACCTATCCAATGTTGGAATTGCCTTCGATTACATGCAAATTAGCCTCTCGCAGTTGCCTCTCCTTCCACTGTTCTATCCCAGCTTGAAATCGCTCTTCTCGGAGTATACCGAATTACTGGAGGAACGCGCCAAGAAACGGCAATACAGGAATAATCACGAGAATTTTTTGGGTCAGCGATTAGAGGAAACGCACTGACCGGTGTAAACAATGGATATGTAAAAATCAGATCACGTGTAAAAACGAAGCAAGACTAAGTCGGACGTGAATTGACAAAATAGAGTACGATGAGAATCCACGCTTCAACGACTACAAACCCGTGTTAATTGCAATACGATCATCGATTGTAAATAGACTGGGATGTACTGTAACATAGTAACTTGCCCTTCCAAGGACGCGAATCGCAGGACGACCTCGAAGGGATGTGGACAAGGCTTGGCAGGGCGAGAAACACACCGAGGGTCGCCAAGCAGTTTGATCGATTAGAAACTCTGTTTTATTACTTCTTGTCGATTTTCAAACCGATTACGAATTTTCTTTGCCACTCGAAAGTGACCAAGGTTTTGCCCGAGGGTCCTGCAAGCAGGTTTATTCTGCCTCTCTACTTACCGAGGCATTCGCGATAGGTAAAACTTGCCGAAGCATCGTATGGGAACTTGGTACTTGTCCGACGTGGTGCGTAGAGTTTACAGAGTCCTTACGAGAATTCCACGGGTTTGCGCTTCACTCTCCCTGTGGTTCTCTCCTAGGATTACACCGTCGCGTACCTACCACGTGTAATTATTAACGACGCTAGAAAATAAAAATATTCTATGTACTACTTCCTCCTATTACTCGTTACTAATACGTGGCGAGCTGTCAGCGCGTTCCAGTGTCGTTCAGGTGATACGAAAGGGTCATTCTATACATATGAAACGTCAAAATGTACCAAATTTTCCCCAAACTGGATGCACCGAGTCATTTGAATCTTCGTCATATGATCATGGAGGTCCAAAGGAAGAACGCGGTGCTCATGAAATTTCATTAAAAAAAAAAAAAAAAAGTATTCTTTGTTCTAGTCTAGGCTAAATAAAAGATATTTTTTTTTTTATAAATAAAATATCACGGGCATCGCGTTCTTCCTTAGGGCCTCCATCATCACGTGTTGAAGTTACCAACGATTTGGTGCATCCAGTTTGGAGAAAAGTTTTATAAATTTTATTGCATTTCATAAATATAAATATATATAGAATGACCCTTTCATATCACCTTAAAGGTGCGATACGAGGCCGCACGACCCATTGGCAGGACTGTTGGACCAAAAATCGGGATGTTATATATATTTACACAAAAGTGCGAGACCAGGTCTCATATAAAAGACGAGGCGCGTGGCCTCTCGTAGAAGACGCCGCCAAAGTATAAAAGGTACAAAAATTCCTTAACGCTCAACAAACGCGTCAGAAGTCCCGGGTAACTCCAAAGACATGATATACGAGTGCGTTGGCCTTTGAATCCTCGGCGACGTTTTTTTCTCTCGGGGTTTGCGAGACACGACACAACGAAACGCTAAAGCTTCTCCTCGGTTATTCAAATCTTTCTCTCCTTCGATAGGTAGACTCCTGCTCGAGCCCTAACGAGACCATCACCGACAGACTTGCGCGAAGCGACGATTATGCGAACGTTCACCCTGAAGTGCGTATAAAAGAGTACATACATACATATATATATAATATATATATATCTATATATATATAAATATATCAAAAAGAGAAGTTGCATCGAAACTGGAATGGATCAGGTCGAATTCCGAGGCTCTCGACGAGAAGGTGCCTAGGGGTTCTCGAGGAGTCTGACCCAGGGACGAGCCAACTTCTACGAATTAATAATAATACTTCGACAATCCAGACAATTCCTCCCCCAGGGATAATTCATGAATATCAACCCAGCAAACTCCTCGCCATCGCGCCAGACAATTCAAGGAGGTCCAACCGCAGAACTGACCACTGAATATCGCAAACAGAGTTCTCTGAGTTTACCACCCTTTAGGACGTACTTAATATATTTAAGAGACGTGAAAACAATATATAAAATTAAGCTTTCGATATTTTACTCTGTTTTTTTTTCTCTCTTCAGACGAGAACCTATTAGCAACATTCAATGGGTCAGCACTCGTCGTCGGACACCTCCGCCAGGAATTGATCAACCAATCGACGATTCGTTGCAATTGAAAGTCCCTACTGCTGCGATATTAATGAGGGGGAAAAAAAAATGAAAACAAGCAGGCTTAGCCCCTGGGCCCGGGGATGCAGGGAAGGTGCTAAAAGAAGCCTTTAGAAAAATCCTGGATCCGACCCCGAGGACGTCTTTGTATGCTGTCCCGGGAGAATCCGCGACTTAAGGGCGACTCAATGGCTTAAGTACGAATCGATACGGAGATAGGCGATTCTCCCGAAGGTCGCCAGGTGACTCCGCCGCGGTAGGAGGCAGGGGAGCTTAAACGGGCCGTCGTCAAAATGGAAATGGCCCTGTTAGAACTCCCACTTTGTGGCGGTGTCATAGTCGGTCTCCCCGAGGCGAAGGGCGCCGTTCTTCCCGGCCGTCAAGTAGCGTCCATCGGTCGACTTGATGCAGATCCTGGAGGGCTCCCGGAGCTCCAGATAGAACCCTTCGGAAGGTACGTCCGAGTCCACGGTGACGCCTTCGCCATCGGCATGCCAGTACTTCCCGTTTTGTCCTAATGGTGACGGTCGATAATAAGTATATCTCCAGTTGGTGATATCTCCAGCATTACCATCAAGAGGGAAGATACGAACCTTTGAATCTGACGATCCCGCGTTCGCAACGCTCGACGCGAATGGTCTCGTATCGAGCCTTGTTGCACTCGAGTTTAGGACTCGAGGCACTCTTGGGCCCCACGAAGCCTTGCTCGCAACGAAGGACCAGCACGGGTCTGTTCATCAAGTAGAAATAATACTTGGAAGCGTCGGAGTCGCCGCCAGAAGGTGAGTCCGCGTTGGCGTAGAGGTGTCCGGAGCGTTTGGTGGCGAGGAACTTGCCATTATTGGCCCGAAGGGCGACGGTTCCGTCCGGTTGCCATACCAGGTCGAAGAGGGCATTCGAGGAGCGCTTGTGCTCCGATGCTTGGATACCTCCACCTGCTTCCAGGCTCCAATAACGATCCTGCATGGTGCGCACGTACCATCTCTTCGTCGCCCGATCGAACTCCAGCTGGAAGGTCTCGTGGCCTGATATCTCATCCTGATTCGCGGTGACATCGACGCCTGCAAAGAACGCACCGCAGATTTCTGCCGTTTAGTCGTTATCAATAGATTGCGGTAGCTAGGCCTATCTCTTTCCGCGCAATGTAACGAACGGCCATCGCTGCGACTAAATTGTAGCAAGTATAAGAACAAATACCGAACCCAGCAATTTCAGTCCAGCCGGCGATCCGGCTCGGATTTCTCCCGACGTTTGACACGAGCGAAACGACTTTTGTCGCCGCCGCAAAGGTCCGTTCTATTCGCGGCAAGTCAAAATGGAAGCGAAGAAAAAGGGAAGGGTAGAAAACGAGGGTCGGGGTGGGAAGGAGAGGGAAAGAAAGAGGGAGGCCAAGAGCCTTCCCTTCCCACGTGGCGGGACGTAAACACAGCCCTAAAGGAGGAATGCCGATTAATATGCCAAACGGACCGACAGAGACAGAAAGGCGAGGCCCTGGGAATTTATAATGCGCCGCGTTTCCGGTGGTGACACGCCGCCGGATTTGTCCGATTTTTCCTGCACGTCCGAGAGAGCCATACAAAGGGAACGAGAGGAAGAAACTAAGAGGGAGAGGAACGGCGAGCTTAAACCAGAGAGAATTTAAGACCTTGCTTGACAGAGACGTAACGCTGGTTCAGAGCGGCCACGAAGGAAGCCTGCGGCAGGGATTCCTCTAAGGAGAACAGCTCGTCTCTCGTCACCGTGGTCGATCTCGACTTCAGCACAGCCTTGCTCCCGATCGGCGCCAAATAAGCTCCGTGGATGTCCCTGAAAAAGTCGACGTCAATTAAAAAGAATCCTTGCAAGCCTAGTTAAAGAAGTCCGAGCGGACTGGGGGATGCACCCGAAGAGGCAACAAATATTTCTCGAAGAAGGAGCCGAAGAAATTTCAGCTCCTCCTTTTTAAACGGAAATCCTCCCCCCGCCGGTTGGCCCGCAAACTATCGCGCCGACTCCACGAATCGGCGCCCGAAATAGCTGGCCTTCTCTCGGTCGGTCCCTCTTCGGCATCCGTGTCACGAGAGAATAGAACCAGTGATAATGCACGGGGCAATGTCGAACCGTTCCAGGGCCTAGGCAGCGAGGGTTCCCGCCATCTTGTCGAGTCGTAAACCCGTCACTCGGAACGATCTATAAATCCTGAGGAATCCCACGGGCCTCGGCAACGGAGCGTGCTCTCTTTTTCGAGGCCCCATCCCAGATTTCGTGTAAAATATACCGTCCAAACCCTTCACGGAAGACGTAACGGAGGTACCCTCCTACATGCGTATCAAAAAGAGAGAATATCCAGAGGAAGAACCTGATTTTTTCTTCCTTTCCTCGGTAAATCAGAAATCGGTAGAAATTACCGAAGAGCAAGGAGACCGGCGTGGAACTCGGCAGCGTAGAGGCAGTCGCGAGTACAAGTATCCAGGAGCTTTCCATCTCGTGCCAGATACTTATTGTTGCAGGTGTGAAGAGCATAGTGTCCGCCTTCGGTCCTGGCTTGATCCCCGTGGCCATCGTCGTCAGAGGAAGACCCCGGTCGGAATTCCAGGGTAAAAAGCGTGTCCTCGCCCCAAGGAACGGGAGCATCCACGTGGATCTCGTCTTGCGTCGCGCTCAGATGAGCGAATCGCTTGCGACCAGCTGATCGCAGATTCACCTGGAAATCAATTCCGGAACGTCTCTAACGACTCCTGGAGAAGGCCCGTTTTAACGTCCGGTTCTCATGGCTCGGCCACCTCATGCATTATTTACAAGCTCTCTCTCTCTCTCTCCGTCTCTCCCGGTTCTCTAGGAGTGTCGTCTACTCGTAGACATTAGGGATAATTACCTGGGGCCTCGCAGCCAGGTGAACGAGCCAGTACTCGGCCTCCCCAGGAACCTTTGCGGTGCACTTCAGCTCGTCCTGACTGGACCCTAGGAAGTAGCCCCTCTCGATGTTCCTCAAGGCCCATCTCCCACTCCCTGGGGTAGTTCCAAAGAGCAGGAAAAAAGTAAAGATATCCGTCCTCCAGGAATAATTGCATTACCATAGGTTAACCGATTCTTTTCCCAGGAACCTACCGTCTGAGGCGAGCTGTATCTGGAAAGAGCATCCATGAGGTAGCTGGTCCTCGGTCTCGCAGGTGACGTTCCCAAACTGGTCGACGGCCAGATATCGGTCCAGGTGAGACCGCAGGTAGACCTGTTGCTCGGAGCCCTCCAAGGTCCAGAGCTGCTTCTTCTTCAGGCTCGCCCCGTTGGCGTTGATTTTGAAGCCGAAGGTCTCGGCGGTGAGGTACTTGAATTTACCGTTTATGAGACCGACCTACGAGCAAGGATACTTAGAAAATCAGGACACCGAGGTCTAAGAGACTATGTCAGGTCGCATACCGTCCACCCTGGCCTGCACATATCGGCCTCGGCGGGGACAGGTTCGGAGCCGTTGCTCTGCATCCTGACAACTCGTAGATGAGCCTTCGGGTCTGGACCTCCGTCCACGGTGGAAGGACTCCGCGAAGCCGGGGATTTCGGCGTTTGATCCTGGGCTTCTCGTCGCTCACGGGAAATATCTGTGGGCAAAATTTCACATTAGTCTCCTCTACGTGTACCTCGACTTAGACATGGTGGAGCGCCGCCCGACCGGGAGAACAGGGAGGCAATATATTCCCGGTGTGGCAGGGAGTCGCCGGGAAAGGGAGGTGTCCAGGTCTTGCCTCTCTTTCGCCGTACGCACGTACAGATTGGTAGGAATTATCGATCCCCTCGGGTTCCGAGGGAAGCCCGAAAATTCACCGAGGGAGGGCTCGTCCCGAATTTCTGGTGACCCTCCACCGGCTTCGTCGTTCCGCCCGAGAAATCCTGCCAATATACAGGCTGATACAAACCGTGCCCGACAAAGCGACTTAAAAAAGACATTCGTTTAAAAATAAAGGGACAGAGGTAAAGGTCGCCCGGAAATTCTTTACAAGCTCCGGAATTAAATCCGGACCGCACCCGATTGTCCTCCCCAGGGGCAGAAATCCTGCAGCGAGGTCCACCGATCGAGGGATAACCTCTCGGAGGGATCTCCGGAGGAGGAAAACCGGAGTAACGAAACGATAAATCTAAAATAAAAGGCGGAAGAGGCGGATCGTCGGTGTCCCTAGGAAATGGTCGGAGAGCCTCTCGGCAGGAAGTGGTCGAGACTCGTCGGACTGCAAGGCTCGGAGAGCTAACGGTTCCGACATCCTCTCCTTCCCTCCCGCAGGAGGGAACGAGAGGGAACGCATGTCCCGCGGTTTAATTCGCAACGATCGGAGCCGAGGACCGAATCGGCCGACCGCTTCTTCCTCCTGGCGGATCCAGTCGGGACGTTCCGCTTCATGAGTCTTGGATCTCATTCCAAAAGGCGATCCGACGTCGACCTCCAGCCAGGATTTCCTCGCGTCGATCTACCATCGACATCCCAGGAGGAGTCGACCCTCCAGGACCTTCGGAACTGACCTACGAGGCTCGGGAAAATCCATGACGTCTTCCGGACTTCGTCAGCTCCTGGGACACCTCGACGACCTCCGTCTTCTCTTCGGCTTCTGCTCGACGTCTCCTAACTATGTATTCCTCTCGCGGGCGCACATCCTCGCGGCTCCTCGCAGGGCCCCGCAGTTGCACGTTGCACTTCCCGAATGCGCCTCCTCTCCAAGGAGGGAAAGAGAGAGGGAGAAAAAAGGAGCGGAAAGTCGAGAGCCGGATTTCTGAGCCGCGTCGAGGAGGCTTCGACGACTCGACCAGTCTAGACGCTCGCCGACGTCTCTCGAGCGGTCCACCTTTCTCTCCCTTTCTCTCTCCCATCGCCTTTTCTCGGTTTCTCTCCACCTAGCGATCTTCCCTTACGAATCTCCTGGTGGCAGGACCTCTCTAAAATAAAGATTCCCACATTGAGGGAAAAATTTCACCCCCTTCGCCGGCAAGTCTGCCGACGAAACGTTCCCTCTCTGGAGCGAGGCCCGCGTTATCAAGCTTTTCTCTCCCACCTGTCGCGCTTTCATGATACGCACTCTTTCCTCGTGTTCATGTCCTCGGGAAATTCCACCGCCCCACTGTCTGCGGCATTCCATTTAATTCCATTTAATTCCATTAAACCTCCCTTTGAGCTCGATAAAAACCGGCGGGACTCGGTGATATCAGATAGAACTCCTCTCTGGAGGCAGTTCCACTCGTTCTTCAGGGTATTACGTAGAAATCGCGGACTAAAGGCGTAAAAGGTAAAAGGTACGCCCTGGAAAAAGGAGACAAGGCGAGAGAAATGATAAAAAAGTCATCAATTAACCTCCCGGTTTCCGGGATCTCGGCTTTCCGCTCGCTAGAACTGTCGGTCTTTCTTCGGCAAACCCGTTAAGGGGATGTGAAAGTGGCATCCGAAAGCTCAGTCGTTCATAAAACTTTTCAACGAACTGGTTGTCTCAAATCGTTTCATGCCTTAAACCGTGAATATGGAGACCCTAATATAGGTCCTGAAACTCGTGAAATTTCATTTTTTATAAACAATTTTTAAAATACCTATAAATAAATTTGAAAAGACTTGAAATCTCATGAGTTACAGGACCTTCCTTATAGTCTCCCTATTCACGTAGTGAAGTTTCAAGCTATTCGGTAAACCGCGTTGGCAGATAATTTTTATAAACGAAACCTCTTCGGTGCCACTTTCACATCACCTTAAGCGTCTCTCCCTCTCTCTCTCTTTTTCGGGCTCACGAGAGCCACTTCGATGAGCGCTCATTATTCACCCTCGAGTTCCACGAGTTTCTCGGCATTCCAGAAGCCCCAGAGCGTAGATGCGCATCTCCCTCTCTTCCTCACTTTTAAGATTAATGGCAGCGACGTGGCTCTCTTCCTCCTCGAAATTGTACGAAAGGGAGGAAATCTCTCCCGCGTACATCATTAACGTATCTTAATCGCAAACGCGATTTCCTCTCTGCGAAAGGTCCTGCGCCATATCAGCGCAGCTTCCTTCCTGTTTCCACGTTCACGTGGATCTCGAGAACCGCGCTCCCCGTTCTCCGAATCCTCGGCGTGACGTCAAGGACTCATTTCGAAGTCTCGAACGGTATAACCAGGCCCGAGCGAACGGTCGATTAACCTGGCGGTAGTTTTCGAGAAATCCCAAAGTAGAGTCGGAATCGCCATTCCGCGGTTTACGGCCCGATTGGAAGTCCCCCCAATCAGGAGAGGTCGTTTCCAGGATCGAGGCTAGAGACCGGGGCAAATTTCCTGCCGCATATCGGCGAGGCACACTCGCTAATTCCCCGACCGTTAAGGCGATGTGAAAGTGGCGTCGAGGAGATTTTGTTTATAGAACTTTTCCCCCAGCTCAATTTACCGAACGGTCTGAAATTCTACAACATTAAGGCGATGCGAAAGTGGCGTCGAGGAGATTTTGTTTATAGAACTTTTCCCCCAGCTCAATTTACCGAAAACATTAAGGCGATGTGAAAGTGGCGTCGAGGAGATTTTGTTTGTAAAACTTTTCCCCCAGCTCAATTTACCGAACAGTCTGAAACTTTACAACGTGAATAGGGAGACTATTAGGAAGATCCTGAAACACATGAAATTTCAATTCTTTTCAAATTTCTTTATAGGTACTTTAAAAATTATTTATAATAAATTAAATTTCACCAGTTTCAGGACCTACCTTGGGTCTCCATATTCACGTTTTAAACTATGAAACGATTTGAGACACCCAGTTCGTAGGAAAGCTTTATTAACGATTGAACTTTCGGATGCCACTTTAACATCCCCTTAAAGGCCGCCGACCCATATCCACTTTCGGCCAAAACGGTCGAGCTTCTTGCTCCAGACACCGTCCGTCCCTTTCCCCCGTTGACTTACACAACCTGGGATAAAAAAAGGTAAACCAGAGGTAACGCCGGCTAAATGCCTGCTCTTGCTTCTAACCGAGCGTCCGCGGTAATAACTACAATTATCAGGAAACTCGGTAGAGTTTCGCACGCCAAGTACATTTAAAAAGCATGCGCGAAGCGGCATCGGATACTTAACGCCAAAGTTCGGCCCGTCGATTCGATAATTATTTCTTCCCTCCTGAACAAGAGAACTCATTATGGAGACTCATGTTTGGCACAATGAAAGTACGTTCCGTTTTGTAGAGCCTGTAATTTTTCTTTTTTTCTTTTTTTTTTTTTCCTTCAGATCTTTTAGAGCCATCCGCTATATGCTACGTATTATGCTACCCGAATTGTATCCGGACTCAACCGAATACATTTCCGCTCGCCATTCTGCCGTTCCCCCTATTCTCTCCTGAAAGAGGGAACGAATCCTTTTTTAAGCCCCTCGCCTTCGATTTCGTACCCCGGAACCTGTGACCGCTTCGAACGTCGCCGTTTAGGGTAGTTTCCGGTCGTTTTCCGCGGCCTTCCCCCTCGATAAAATCGTCCCGCCAAGTCTTCACGCCCTCCCCCGGCCACCCCCAGCAGTGCGTCGATAGGGCCGGGCAGAGGCGCGTCTAGGTGTGCGTCGAAGTCCGTGGCCGGCGAGTGGCGTCGGTGCGCGTCCCTCGGCCCCACCCAAGGGCTGCGCCGTGAGTCAGCTCGCGTGCGCGAAAAAACCCACCCCCGGCTCGTGCCACGGGGGAAGAGGGAGGGAGGGAGGGAGGGGGGGGGGCTGGGCTCGCGTACCGGCCGATCTCCCGGCGCGTCGATCCGTGGCCGGCCGTGACCCTAGGCCGGCGTAGCTCCGAGACGCGCCGGTGCTCGAGAAATAACTCATTCCTCGCGACGGCCGATCCGGAAAGAGAAAAATAGAGAAAGACAAAATCCCCAGGGGACGGGAATTACGAAAATAAGCGAGCCGAGAGAAAAGGAGAGCCTTGAATTTACGCGATATAATAGAGGTGCGACGTGGGAACGTCTTTTCCGGGGAACGGTTGGACATCGAATTACAAGGTTTATCGGTATACCGACATTTGTGGTGTCGGGGGTTAATTCGGTGATTATTTACGATTATTACTCCATTTATAGACGGTACAGAGAAGTCGCGCGGTTTTGGACCAGTTCACTCTCTGCAGGGAACGGTTTGTAATCGATGCCAATGTCAAGCCGAGCTCCCGTGCGGACTCGGAGGTTCTCGAAAGTGACTAACCTATCCCGAGGGACCCCTGCCGTCGACTCGCTCGAGCCGTCCCAGGGTCTCGGCTTGACGTACGCACGTAAATACACGCCCAGCTGAACAGCTTCCCTTCCCATTCACAAGTGCGCCCCTTGGCGAGTCTTCGTGCTCCCTCTCTCTCTCTCCTCGCTCTTACGCTCGCGTATGCGTCTAGCACCGCGCATGGAGCGACGTCCGGATAAGGGTGAAAATGGAATCCCGGGTGCTATCTCTCCCTCGCCACCGAAACGCCCTCGACTTCCTCCCGGGCGGATAAGGCAGGTCGTCGCCGTGCCAGCCGAGCAAGGGATGGGTCGGTTTCGATCGGTCTCCGACCCGCGCCGGTCGTGAACGCGGGGCAACCGCGTCCTGGAGCCTAGGGAAAAAATCTGGACTAAGATTTTAGGATTAAAAAAAATATTATATCCGACGATCTCACGTCTCGGTTCCTCCTCCAAGGTAACGCAGGTCGCTGCAGGGTCGATTGGACTAGGGATGGGTCAGGGTAGGTAGATCTCCGATCGGAACCGACCCTGACCCCTGCTGCGAAACGGACTCCTAGGTCTCTATACAGCATCCTCTATACAAGTCCTGGATTCCTGGAGGAGAGGAATTTCAGGGACCCTTCCAGGAGCGGATTTTTAGTACAGATAGGAATACAATGATAATCGACTGAACTTCGAGCGACGCGTCACCAGGAGTCGGACCTACGATGCCGTCCCTCGCCCTTGTCGCTGACGAGGCTCTCGTCCGGCCTGGCATCGCCGAGGACACCACCCCGTCCCTCTCCTCCGCCTCTCTCTATTGTTCTCCCGAGGGCGACGACCGCGACGGCGCAGCAGCTTGGACCAGGATTGGCACTCACCTGTGCACCGCAAGGACGATCGTCCTCGGGACGACGAGGCGCGTCAGGAAGTCGTCGTCCTCCGACCCGACCTCGAGCAGCCACACAAAGAGGGTATACGTCGGTGGAGAGATTGAGGGATCCTCAACGTACTCCGCTTGACGTCTCTCGCACTACTGCGCCCCGCAGCGGCGCGCCGGGGTCGCAACGCGCCCGGCCCTGCGCGCGCATCCCGCCTTGTGGTGGGGGTAGATGCGCATCGATTGGAGGAGAGGGGAAGCCGGCCGGCGCGCCGTCGACGCCGACGACGCCCGGCGTCGCCGGGCCGGCTGCTCCTCACATCAGAGAATCGAACGTTTCATCGATATTCCGATATAAAAAAATATTCGAGCGAAGGAGAAAGGCAAAGTTTGGGAAACTAGGAGGGAATACATGGAACTTCGTCGCAACCTTTACGTTAATTTCTTTAAAAGAGAAGAAGAAAAAAAATTCACTCGCCTTTTTATACCCACATCGATCGGTCAACGATCGATCAAACGTCTCCCTCTTGATAAGGCGAATTAGCCCGCCTCGGATCGGATATCGAGTCCCGGTCTTTGGAAAACATTTGAAGGAATGCCGGCCGGTTCAGGTGCTTTCCGGTTGCCGATTATGAATTAATCGCAGGTGGAAGGACGAATCGGAATGGGACGCAGAGGACACGTGGACGTTATCATTGAAGAAGGATACCTGGTAACGGTACGGCGGACTCGTTGCTAGATGACAAGGCGATTGTACCGTTTCGTCTGCCTAGGCGAGGATTTTCAATTTCACAGTATCGCCGGTAAGAGCGGGGAAAAAGCCAGCGGTCGATTCCGGAAAGCGACCGGTATTTGTTCGCCCCTTGTGCAAGTAGCAGTTCCCCGAGTCACGGTTTTCGTTACAGCGGTACCGGAGGTTGTACTTCGGCGTACGGATTCGTTTCCTCTGCACGAACCTCCGTGCCGTTAGGAGGGCTCAAAACCGATCTTCTTCCCGAGGTAATCCGCGACCGTTCCTCGAGGTCGGCGCAAAAAGACCGGCTTGAACTTCGACGGATCCAGCCTCGCTCCGGGATGGCTCCGAGGATTTCCATAACGAAGTCTCGGGTTGCCCCACAAAGGTGTGAAGCACTTTCCGGCACGCCAAAAACACGTGTCCCAAGGTGGAAACATTATTCCCGCGAATAGAAGCAACAATGGAGGGCCTCGAGCGTGGCCGAGGGAGAGGAAGAGGGACCCCGTCGCCATTCCGCGTAATGGGATATTTTACGTGTCGGAACTCTACCATTTTACATGTCCAAGAGGACACCGGATCGAACGGTCCCGTAATTCTTGAAATACTAATTAAACCTGCCAAGTATATGGCTAATTGGGTGGACGTCCAGAATTTAATGTTATCCCATCAGACACGAGTCGACTCGAAGCGTGTCTAATTGGGACTTCCTGTTCCAGAGGCATCTAAGCGTGCCTCTCTTCCGCCGTCTTCCGAAGCGAGAAGGAAACGTAAAATGCGAACTCGAAACCATCCAAACCGTCTATTGCGCAAATTTTCTCTAACCGTTAAAATAGAATAAGCAAGGGAACGCATTGACCTCTCCTCCCGGCGCATTTCGGTGAAAATGTACAATAGAGCTAGGAGCAAAAATGCTTTTTATGTCGCGTGCCGATGTCCAAGCGAGTTTCGAAATGAAGCATCGCAAGGTGTCGCAACCAGCTCGTTAGAGAGCTGTGCAAGGTGCGATTGTTACAACCTGTCCGGCAGCGAAATCCGAGTCGATTCGGCCAATGGGAAGAGGGCCACTCCACGAGAACCGCCGAGCATTCCGCGAACCGGAAGAAGAAGGAGAAATGTCGCAACAGCCAAATGTCGGCCAATTTATCCGGCAAGTCCTTAAGAACGTCCTCTCCATTGGTCTATTTACCGCCGTACTCCTTCCCAATAGGTCGTTTCTTCCTCCAGGAGGTCCTCGGCGGAGCGTCGCAGCCTTTTCGAAACAAAGCCAGCGCCTTTGCGTAACTCGGCACCTGTTGGAAAGAAATCGACGGATATGGAGACGTGAGATGCAATGACTCGTTACGAAATACCTTGAGAAGAGGAAGTCGAGGATATGTACCAAGGTCTCCGGTTCACGCTCCGCCTGGACCGCCCCGACGCGTGGCGTATCGTCTTCCTCAAGGGTCCTTCCTTGCGTTTCTGCGGCGGGAAGAACGGTTCTTGTTCAGCTGAAAGATCAACGGAAGCACGAAAGCATCGGAGCCCATCTTGCGGAAGCATAACCTGTTTGATTTCCGGGCTCCTCCAGGTTCTCCTTCGACCGCGCGCAGGAGGAATTCCTGGTTTCCTTTGGAAGAGTGACCCTGGCCCTGGGAAACGTCTCCTCGGCTGGCTGACTCCAGTCCTGGGAACTCACGGACACCTTGGACTGCTCTTTGGCGATGTCGCAGGGTCTCCTCTCGTCGCATCCGTCCTTTCTTTCGAGAGATGCTCCCAAGATGTCTTGGTGCTTGTCCACGATTTCTCGGCAGAACGTCACCCTGCCGCTCTTGGTGCACTGATCAGGACGCTCGGTGTTTCTATAGGCGTGTCTCAAGGGTGTTCCAGAGCTCTCCTCCTTGAAACGAGTCCTTTGACACGAGGGTCGAGTCACAGGATGAGGGACGTCCTCCTCGAGCGCCCTCTTTCCTTCCGGAAGGACGCCTTCCTTCTTCTTGTCGCGTTCCCAGGACTCTCCTACGGCTAAATTCATGCACGGATTGCTATTTAATCACCAAGTCGCGTTCTTCCTTTTTGTACTCTTTAACCTATCCAGACCTCGTTCTTGAGGAGGGTGACTCGAACGACAACAGGAATTCCTTGCTCCACTGGGCTGGACGTTGCGATGATAAAAATTCGCTCTTGCAGGGCTCGGTGTCGATTTATTTTTGCAGCAACGGCACACACTTCTACATTCATTTCTGGAAAGAACTTCGTGGTTCTGGAAGGTCTGCCGAGGTTGACGTTCTCCAAAATGGCCGCGGTTCCGTGGGTCCTCTCGATGGCCACCGCCAGCAAGTCTTTGACCGTGACCGGCTATATTCTGCGGTATCTGAGTAAAGTAATTTCTTCAGAAAGAAGAAAGATCATCTGAAGAATCGAGGAAAAAAATTTACCATGCTTTGATTTCCAGGAATCTTCGGATCCTGAGGACAACAGGAGGGTCGCCGTCGTTCCTGGAGGTTTTGGGCACCGTGGCATCCTTGAAGACGATAAATCCCGCAAGGACTTTGATGGCCTTGGGAATCCTGAAGAGCTTGATCTCCGTGAAGAACCTCCGGGCCTTGAAGAGTCACTTGAGGAGCCTGGAATCCCTGAGGGCCTTGAAAACTTTGAGATACATCCAGCATACATTTTCCAAAACCTCCTGCCTGGATGGCCACGGTTCTTACGGACGGTCTTTTGCAAGTTTTTGACGTGGGAAAACGGTCCCTTAGCTTCCAAGGGGGCTGCAGGACTTTGGCCACGTCTTCCTGGGCTCTAATAAATGCAGATTTTCCGAGGAACCTGTCCTGGTGCACGAAAATCGTTGCAAGCTCTTCGGTGCATCCGGTGCTTTGTACCGCAATGTTGCACGTTCTAGACTCCTCGTGATTTTTTAACCTGAAATAAACAACTATCAGACTGAGATTACTATTTTTTTTTTTCTTTTTTAAGGAAGGAAGAGTCAACCCTATTTGAAGGATCTTCTTTGAATCCTGCAGGATGGGTACTTCCTTGTCATTGAATCCGGGTAAAATGTTGGTGTCTTCTTCTTCCTCGACCCTGGGGAGAGTAGTAAGAATCCTTTGAAGAAGATACGTTTCTTCTAGGACCCCGATCCTCATCTCCCCTTCTGGAGGCTCTGGAAGATCGTTCGAATTCGCAGGAACTGAATCGGCAACTCTAGAACGTACTGAAAGTTAATTAAAACGCTCAGATAATTATCTCGGAGAACCTTTCATGTTCACCTATCCTTCTCTGTGACGTTCTCCAGGATTTCTCGAGATACCTCGGGACCAGGGTGTTGAATTACACTAGGTTCGTCTTCAAGTTTAAAAGAGCTGCTTTGACAATTGGAAGATCTGCACTGTTTTTCCAAAATGGTCTCCCATTTAAAGGACCGAGTCTTCAAGGTCTTCTTCGGTGCTTCTATATCCGACTTCGAATTATCATCACCCTGATTTAATTCCTTCCTTTCCGAAGCACGATCGTCGTCATCCTCCTGAGAAAAACCAGCAGAATTTTCCGAAGTTCTTTGGACCTCTTCAGCATCCTCATCTAAAACTGGAGTTTCATTTTCCGTCGAAATTTTGGATTCCATATTTTTTAGGACCGCCCTGGTCCCATTATCAAGTTCCTGGTCATATTGTTTGGACGTCACAACGTCTTCCGTATCTTCAGAATTTTCTAAAAGGATTTTCGTAGTCCGCAAGGGTTCCTCGTCTCGTGTTAATGTTGGCTCTTCCGGATTCTTGAAACCGTCCCAGGACTCGTCAAGGTCTCGACTGTTATGTAATTTCAGGGACTCCGATACGCGCGACAATCTTGGACTCGACAACATCCTCAAGGTGACCAAGTTCTGGGCCTGCCTTGGAGTCTTCAAGACTACCAAGGTTTGTCTTGATCTTGGACTCTTCAAGATCTCCTCTTCTTTAACCGGTAGCTAGCAGAGGTAGGTCCATACAAGTTAAAAAATCACGGCAAGGAGAATGAAAAATAAATACCGTCTACAAAAGCATACAAGGAGCGGTTTCTTTTATTCGTATAATAATTAATTCCCACCCCTAAACACTTAACATAGCATATATCATGATAAATATAAATAAGAAAATATAAACATATGAAAATCTGCCGTACTCGCAAACCCGTGTAAATTTCGTCGCCGTGTTCTTCGAGGCTTAATGGACATTCCCCGAAGAGGATACCTTTTCCAAAGCCCTGTCTTCTACCGGGACGTCGCCGCAAGATTGAGCCTTGAAGAACGGCGAGCAAGGAGCACTTCGAGGCCTCTGAGAGTCGCCGGAACTAAGAGGACCAAGTTCGTTCTCCAGCTTGGAAGTCGCCTCTTCCGGGTGCTTCTTCATCGTTGGATTTGAATCCAAGCCCACCTCGGAGGTCTGCTCCAGAAGATCCACCTGTTGCTTACTGGTCCCCGGTCTGGGAGAGTCCCCTGCGAGGCTAGACCCTGCAGAGCTGGACTCTTCAAGGCTGGAGCTCTCCTTCGAAGAAGGATCTTCCTTCTGCATAGCCGCCGATCCTTGTCGTCGAGATTCCAGGCGCTTTCGAAGTTTCGCCTCGATTTTCGTGCAGGGCCAGCTCGAATAGTCCCCAGGTTTGTGGCGGCCTGACATCAATTCGTTGAACCAGGTGTTCTTCATGATTGCGGCGTTTATTTCAGAACCGCAGGATTTCACGGAGCCGCTATCTCAGGATGGTGATCAGGTCGAGAGTGATTAGGTCGGTTGACAGGATGACACGTCCGAATGTGGTGTGATGGAACATGAAGGACTCCTTTTCTTTCCCCCAACATAGACGGTCGACTATTTCTTGTCGATAACGCGAACAGCGGTATCGATCGACTCGGTACTTTGAATTTCAGCCAATGATATCTCAGTGAGAGAATTTGGGAGACATTCGTTGATTTCGAAATCCCTTCAAGCTTGAGGTGAAACCTCCGATTGATTAGAATTGCAGATTGCACGGTATTACCGGTAATCGACAATTTCCAACGAGGGGCTAGAAATTGCTCCGTGTACACCTAACGATCGTCCGGATAGATTTTCACGGTCTCGACGCCCGAGAGGTGTTACATGCGTAAGAGTAAATAGCCTTCGCACACACGCACCGAGTAAAACCACGGTAAAACCGGTGAGCATCGAGACGTGAGTTCGCTGACCGGTGAGATACATTAAGCAGAGTGGTACCGGGGGGAAGGAGCATGACCGTGACCGAGTTGCACCTTAAGAAGAAAACGCAATTCGCTCCGACCCGAAAACCTATTTATCGAGTATATAGGGTCTTAATCCCCACTGACCGCCAAATCCGTATTACTTTAGCTCATTAGGTAGTTAACTAATAAAACGGACGTTGCTCGCCAAGAAAGTCCTCGCGGTTGATTACCCAGTCGCTGGGTTATCCTATCTTATAAAAATTATAATCAATCGCGTGATTCTTTTTTACCTAGCGGAAATTTATTTCACAAACTCTCTTATTTTATTCGGGTCGGTTGAATGTAACTTATGCGTGTACCACGAGAACGTGAAGCGTCGTTGCCAGACATTAGATTTGCCCCAATAAATCCTTAATGTGCTCCTCGATGCAGTCTAAGATCCAGTCCCGTTCAGGATAGCGGCGAGATTAACGGTCCATCCGTGTATCTTCCAATCGGCCAGCATTCCTAGAAACCGCATCCAAAGAATCTTTCCTCCAGTCTGGACGTCGTGCGTATCTTTGCTCCTCAGCTAGACGGTCGGTGAAATTACCCCCCTTCGTAACAATGACTTCACGAGACTTACAGCTGTGCATTAATTTGTTTTCTAGCGTTTCGAAAGGGCTGAATTTTGCTGGCCAGAATTAGAATCTTAGGATTATTTTCTAGGACTAGGAAAAATTGTAGGAAAGAAGATACTTGACCTGGGATATGACATGAGAAAATACGAGGTTTAAATTAATTTTCTAATTGGTATACAATTAAAAAATCCAATGTGTTTAAGATCTCATCGGTACTGTTGGCAATGTTGTTTCACTATCGATCTTGAAATGTCCGCATGGCCTGGAAAACAATGCTTACAATGCAATACAAGCTTAGAATGCAATAAAATATTTATAAAGCTCCCAATACTTACCCAGTTGTAGTTCTATGTACAAAGCCAACATTATCACATGTATCGGTACATCACAGTCTGGACCCTTCGACATCCAGACCTGAAGAAGAGAATCAGTGTTAAGAGTTACAGGAATATTGTATAAAAATAATTTATGACGTTTGTTTAAAAATTCTCATCTACCTGTTTCAATGTCTCGCTCGATTTATCGAGTTCTCCACGTACTGCATAGGCAACTGCTAAATTATATCGAAGGATCGCTTTGCCAGTATGAAGGCTGGTCGGATACCAACCTGTCAAAATAAATGGAGATAAAGAACGTTCAATGGCATTGTCTTAATGAAATAAAAATATTGAGATATACTCTATGTACTTCTAACTGGTTTCGCTGTGTTGTCTTCGGTTCTGTCTTTATCCTTATCCAGCGTCTCAGGGATTGGAATAAATGTATAGAGATCTTGTATATTATCAGGTTTAAGATATTCGATAGCTTCACTGATCTTATTCAAGAAAATTAAACTCTCTGCAGCATATAAATGTCCTAACAATTTATATGCTCCAGGCAATTTGTTAAGACTAAGCAAAGACTTAGCATGTTCAAGAGCGATCACGTAGTCTCCAAGACATAATGATATGTAAGCACTTGTTGCCAAGACACTGATTTTTAAGTTCAATGCTTCCACGGTTGTTGCTTGGGACACTTGAGTTGCGTGTTGACCACCTAAGGGAACTTATAATTAAAATAGACTGTTATAGTATTTGTGCAGCGATGGAAAGATTCCTATTTGAATAGTTACATTGCACTATAGTAGCCTAACTCTCTAGTAATCGCTAAATAACCGCTTACCTAAAGAATGTCCTGGTGTAAGAGACATCGATACTGTCTGAGGACCTGCCACTGGCGTCATCGGCAAATTTAATTCATTGTTACTTGGTAGTAAGAGAAGAGCGTTTTTTAAACAAAGCATTCCGAATTCCAGGGTAGGCTGTGGAATTGCGTAGGATAACCCTTCGGGATGATACTTTGTTTCTTTAGAAAGGGACGACGCTAGGATGATTTTTCTGTATAACCCTGTACCAATTACTTTTTGAACCAGATCCTTACGACGCTTAGGTATATTGAAATCTACCTCATTCGTCTAAAAAAATTTAGCAAACTTAGAATTCTGCATTTTACCTTATCGAAAAAATATGAAACTTACAGGTTTGTAACAGCTAACACAGCATTCGGCCATTCTTAGCCAGAGTTTAGCACTATTATGCATGCTTTGAGCTGCTTCCGTGAAGCAATCAAAAGCTTTGGTTGGCTGACCAGCATGAAGAAGAGAAACTCCTAAACTGTACATTAATTCGTGATATCTATTTCCACCCAAGGTATACAATAGCTGAGAAGACAACGGATCTAGAAGGTTTGATAAATGTAATCAGTTGGACCTGTGTAGAAAACGCAATTTCAGAAAATAAAATATTGAATATGAAAGTACCAGTATCCTTAACTTGTACACTTTCAACGGCATTCTTATTTTCTTGTAGTGCTTTTCGCAGATAAAAACAAGCCAGATTAAGTTTACCCATTGCATGATGAAGACATGCCATATTATTATAATATAAAACAGCTGCAGACTCTCCTTGAATTCTATAAAAATCACAGCATTAAAAGAAACAATAAAATTGATTCCTTATATTATAAAAAATAATTATACTCAAATTGAGAAAGTCACAGAAAATTATTATACCTGTACTCTAGGTTTTCATTTGTGATGGAATTTAAAATTTTAACAGCTTTCCGGTAATTCCCTCTTAAATACTCAAGGTTTGCTTTCAGGAAGACAGTCGAAATATCCTAGACAAATAATAGTAGGTTAAAACTAAATTCAAGGAGCTACCCAAAAGGACTTCGGATATGCAATAATACTCACAACAGGAGTACCCAAGGAAACCAATGTTTTCCATTCCCTTTTGCACAGCTTTAACCGATGCGTTATAAGATATATTCTAGCTTTGTACTTTAGAAGTTTTATTCTAAACGCATCAGTAGCTGCATCAATGCTATCTTTCTTTTGTTCCTTTTGTTCTTTTATAGGTTTTATAGCACCTTCTTTTTCCGATGTAATTTTAGACATATCAGTAGATATAAATTGACTCTCGATATAGTTTAATAAGGCCAAAGCGGCATCTGGCTGTTCAGTCATCAAATGTAATTCAATTAGTAGCAAACAAACCTTGTGAGCCAAACATTCCTCTAAAAAAACATAACGGTATAATTGAAAATTCAGCACAGCTCAATTGTGTAAATAAAAATTATAAAAATCATATTTTAAACTCTAATTTGGAATAATTTTCTACATCGTTAGCAGACATACCCATTGGTTCGATGAAGTTGAAAAGTCTATTAACAATTTGCAGAGCAGCATCATATTGTTTGGTATGATACAGTAAGACTGCTTGATTATATCTCATGTAGCATTTCTCTACGTAATCGACGGCATCTGCAGCATCTGTACTGGATACTTGACCGCATATTGCATTCAAACTCTTCCGGGTCAACTCTGTTTTCTTTAAATCACTTTTATAGTATTCTACTATAACTTTATTATGCATTACCTTAAGATCTTTCGGTCTCAAAGCCTCTAACTTATTCAAGTAGGATAAGCACATTGTGTAGGATCCCTTTTGAAATTCTGCAAAGGCATTCTGAGATAACTCTCGTTCCTGCTCTGTAATAACCATCGCTCCTGAATCTTTATTTAATGTTTCCGGCGAGTCACCCATTCTTTACAGTTATGAGTTAGAGGTTAGAAAAACAAATTTTTAAGGTTAAAAGTTACATTTTTTCAAACCCTCTCTAGATTTTCATGCGTGCTGTACGCATTTAGCATTCATCACATTTTTCATAGACGCCTTATGAAAATCATTTGGATACGTATTTGCTTTCTTTCTGAATAATATATTCACACTCATTTGACAGTTGATGACTGACCAGAGAAAATCAGTAAATTACCAGAGATGAGTTGGGAGATTGCTCACGGGCAGGATCGTGTGATCGCATCCTGTGCTGCCCTCTGGTTTCGTACGTTAGCTTTCACCGTTTTTTGCCCCCAAGGGCGGCGCAACGAATTTCTGATAGGAGCTCGCGCACTCGCGATGGCGGTACCATCTATCAGTCGGCGTTGGCGGCTCACGTACTCGTGATGGTAATACCATGCGGCAGTTGACGGTGGTGGCTTACCTACGCTTAACGATACTGCTCGCTTTTGATAGTAAGAGAAGAACACTCGTGACGCTCCATTTGATTTTATCTACTTATCTACTACTATTAAGTACACTGTTGCCTCGAAATCGACGTGATGCGGAGCTTTGGGGCACGCGTACGAAACCAGAGGGCAGCACAGGATGCGATCACACGATCCTGCCCGTGAGCAATATCCCAACTCATCTCTGGTTCGACTCCCTAGCGTCATCTTCCTCAGCCGGGGTGGCCCCTGATTGGTCGCGCCCCTTGCAGCTTGCGCGAACCGACCAATAACGGCCAAATCGGGGGACAAAACTCAGGTTCCCCTGCAATATGGCTGTCAGTATAAATTTGATGCTTGTACCATGCGTTTCTCTCCGAAAAATTTCAGAAAATGCCTCTGTTCTCGTCGACTATTCCGCAAGCTCCGGCGTGATGTGATTTTTGGAGAATCGATACGGTGGGAAACGGCAATGCGGGCTGGCTGAACGATCCAGGACCAGCAAAATTGCATTTATTTGATCAGGGGTAAGCTGCGGGCGTTACTTCCGAAAGGTTTGTTGTTATTATGTCCATATTGTGTCGTTCCCTCCCGAATTTCACCCTCTTACGAACCCCCAAAAACCAGCAGTTCCTTAGACCCCTTCGCGGCTTTTTTCTTATGGCTCCTCGCTTTTTGACCTACATTCTCGTTTTGGAAGTAACACCTCTAAATAAGATACTTATTGGTATTTTTTATTGGGTTTGTCGATTTTTCCTGGAGAAATTCGTGCTATTTAATAGTCAGACTTCTTGCGTCTATGTTAGGGGTTCGGCGATGCCTGAAATAGTTCCCGAAATGTAGTAAATGATAACGTGAAATACGTCTTTATGCCTATGCCAGATGCTCGCTTCTTAGTATCTCTTTTACCAGGAAAACGCAGACGTACTTTATTACGTCAGGGTTTGATATTCTCTCTGTTCAATCTTTAATACGCGGATAATTTTTTTATGTTTAATGCTTAATTTCAGGTAGTAGAAGCCAGGAGAATAAAATCGATTCATCATGACGTCACGGTAATTCCTTAATGTTATTTACCTAGTGGTATCTGATACAAGGAGATATAATCAATTATGGCGTTTACAGATTGGACAGACTCTTCATATTACTTGAGACGGGAACTAATGCCGTGACCAAGCGTGCCGCGGCGCAGCAACTGGGGGAGGCACAACGATTACATCCTCACGAGTTGCACCATTTATTAGCAAGGGTGTCGACTCTTTTAAAATCGCCACAATGGGACACGAGAGTATCGGCTGCTCATGCTGTCCAGGCTATTCTTACTCAAGTACCGCCTTGGGATCCGCAACCTATTAAAAGTAACTTTTCTAAAAGTAAGATTATTTTGCTGTAATGACCGAGCCTCTGTTTTGACTCTGTAATTTAAAATTAATTCATTGTAGATGAGAAATCGATGACGCAAAGGAGATCAAGTATTGCAAATAATAAGTTGAGCTTGGAGGATTTTGACATGGGGAGAATATTAGCACGGAGTTCACATCTTACCGGGTCGGAGGGTAGTGAATACGATCTGGTGGTTGTCGAAGGAGACCAGAATGTGCAACCTCCTCAGGAGGACAAAATTCTTACTGCTAATTTTGGCATCGATCCGCGATTAATGGGCGTGGATACTTCAGAATTATTTACTGCAGAAGATCTGTTACCCACGCCACCGACACCTACCTCCAACGTACCCACAAAAATGAGCATTGATGAAGCTCTTCGTCAGAATAGTGGTCTGAGCAGACGAGAAATGAACAGAGCGAGGCGTAAGGTAAATGTTCGTTTGAAATTTTAAATTAGTGAGAACATTTTCCAAATCGTAAGTAATATTAAACAACCCATAGGCTCGTCAGTCGGTATCAAAACAGCGCTCTCGCGATCCAGATGAACCTCAAGAACATTCTGTCCCAACGAAAACTCACTCGTTAGTAACTGGTGAACCATTGAGCAAAAAGATCAAACTGGAAGAAGTTGTGTCATCGGAACTGGGAACAAACAATGTAGTCACCTCAGAACCGGGAAACGGAGTGCCAGATGTAACTGGATGTTGGTCAGAGTCTACGATAGACTGGCCACTGGAGTCATTTGCCGAGGGTCTTTCTCAAGACTTATTCAGTCAGAAATGGGAGGTGCGCCATGGAGCTGCAACTGCACTGCGTGAGCTCATTCGACTTCATGGAAAAGGTTTGTATAAATTAGTAATTCCTTGATGATTAATGTCACGGTCATTAAATTACCAGAAATGTATCAATGGAGAATTTTCCTGTTATTTCCAGGTGCAGGGAAATCAAAAGATCAAACAGCCGAAGAAATGGAGGAGAGTAACCGTAGATGGGTGATCGACGTAGTGCTTCGATTGCTTTGTGTGTTAGGATTAGACCGGTTTGGAGACTTTGTGTCGGACCAGGTGGTTGCCCCAGTTCGTGAGACCTGTGCACAGGCTTTGGGTTCTTTAGTTTTACTGATTCCAAACACTGAGGAAAACAAAGTAAAAAACCAGGGCGTCATGGCAGTGCTCTCCATTATGTTGAAACTTCTGGAATACGATGAATGGGAGGCTAGACACGGTGCATTATTAGCATTGAAGTACCTGCTGGCTGTGAGAGATGACTTGTTGGATGATCTCCTGCCAAAGGCATTTCCCGCAGTGATGAAAGGCCTAGCAGACCCTGTAGATGACGTAGGAGCTGCAGCAGCTAGTGCTCTTATACCCGTTGCCTCTGCGCTACCTCGTCTCCTGGAGCCTTCGCAACTCGAAGCAATAGTAGTGAGATTGTGGGAACTACTACGAGAACAAGATGATTTGGCAGCAGCGTGTAACAGTTTCATGGGGCTTCTAGCTGCAATACTGTCACTGCCTGCTGCAAGAGCTTGCCTTGCTCCGCAACCACTATCACAGGTAGTTATTAAATTTTTAACATTATCTTAATCAATTTTATCTGACTCGATTAATCAATCAATTTCTATCATGCCCAGGTGTTACCGAGGCTATGGCCCTTTCTCAGTCACTCGAGTTCAAGCGTCAGGAAGGCTACGCTGCAGACTCTACAGACTCTCACTGGTGACGACGGAGACTGCAACGAAGACAGAAAGAAGAGATGGGGCGAAGGTGGAGGGCTAGTGCTTCAGGAAGCTCTTCGTCATGTTTTCCAACGCGTTTTGATAGAGCACGTGCCCACTATTCAAGAAGTAGCCGAGCGAGTATGGGAGAATCTCGTGACTCGCAGTGACCTGGAGATGCTTCTCCACGCAGCCTGTCCCTTGGTCAGCACGTGGCTCTGCCTCGCCATGCAACCGGAGCATGTGCCCTTTAACCCTGCACTGTTGACCACCGTAGTAGTCCAACCAAGAGGACCAAAAGGCATTCAGATAATTGGGCATGGCGAGACTCAGTCCGATTCCAGCAATAGTGGAGCCAACAGCAATCTCAGCGGTACTGGCAAACCCACATCGGAGCTAAAAGTCTACATCGGTGGCATAGAGACCGTAGCCCAAAGTACTCGCCGTTCCAACGTGGTGCCGGCTCGATGCATGGCAGCCAGGATGCTAGGACTTTTATCTCGCTACGTGGTGCAGTTCGCACCTGGTGTCGTCTATACTCCAGATATTCCCAGTCCTGCGCTCTGCTATGCTAAGGTCTTGCTGGCTCACTTGACTTCCCGATCCGCGCTCCAGAGGACCGTAGCTGGACTCACCATGGCGCACTGGGCTTTCCTGGAGCATCCAAACCCACCAGAGATACCTTCGATACTCCGGTAAAGATAATATTTTAAAATGTATTTCCATATACGATCATTTATAGGTCCAATTAAAAAAGTTCACTCGAGTGATTAGCAATGAGCAAGTGTGACGAGCAATATCTAATGCCATTTAATTTTTTCCAGGGATAAGTTGATCAGTTGTTTGAACGAATGCGTCTACTACGATGAGATTGCTGCTGGGTTTACGAGACTGCTGCATGAGAGTCGTGATTACATAGCTACGCTGAAACATTACAAGCTTCCTCTTCCTGTAGAAGTCGACTCCACTGCGGCAGGGATTATGACCCTGGAACAAATTGCCACTCTTGCCAGTAAACCCTTGGGAGCGATGTCAGTTTATAGCAGTGGCTCTGCTGCGGTCACTGGAGCACCTGGATCCTGTGGAGGTGGTGTCAGCGGAGGTGTCAGTCCAGTGATTGTCAAGTTGAAGCCGAAGCTGTTGGAAAGCTTGGAGGAACGGAGACGAGCTTTGGAAGTGGGTGCAGCTGCCACTGCAGCGCAGCAACAATCCTTGAACATCATGTCAATGGCTGCACTAGCTGGAGCTGCTACGATGCTCCACTGTCTGCCAGAAGCTCCGCAACCTTTGAACCCCCTGGTGAAACCTTTAATGGAAGCTGTCAAGCGCGAGGAGGACGAGGAGCTGCAAAAATTGGCTGCGAGACATCTGGCTCATCTTGTTGACCTCTGCGTTACCAGAAAACCATCACCCAATTCTAAGGTAATTGGCTTGATGGCCATTAATCCTTCGCAGTCCTTGACACATTAATGCAGATCTTAATTAAGTGTTTCGTCTACAGATAGCTACAAATTTGTGCACCTTCCTCTGCTCCGATATGGAATTTACTCCACGAGTGACTGGCACCCCGGATGCCCAGTGGTTCGATGGGATTCTTACTCTGAGTAACAGACAGAGGCATGCCGAGAGAGTTGCCTACACCAGAGGAACCGGCAGCGGAATGGGAGGTGGCAGAGGACCAGGTAGACCTCCAACTACGGAAATCCCTCTGGAAGAGCTCTTAGCTTGCGAAGAACCTGAAGCCAAAGCTGCCAGGACGAGACGTCGAGGAGCAACGTTTGCCCTCACCTCCATAGGTAATGCAATTGTTCGTGAACAGTACGTAGTGGAAATATTTTTTTAGTAACGAATTGCTTTAGAATAAAAAAAAATGTAATTACAACTCTGCGATACAGCTTCTCTCCTTGGATCGGGACTGCCAAATCGTCTACCTCATCTCTGGGAGCTGATGCTACCGGCGATTTTACAGAAGTCGGATTCACTGCTTCCGGAGACTCATCCACAGGAATGGCAGGAAGAAGCCAATCAGCTGGTCTTCGGACTTCAGGTGTTAGAAATTATGGCACCTAGTTTGGACCGATCTCTGCTGCCTCCGGTGCTGGAATGTCTGCCGAGGCTCTGTTCGCTTCTGGCCCATCCTTACAAAGTTGTCAGGCACATGTCTGCTCGCTGCATAGCGGCGCTGGCTACTTTAGACACCGAAAAGGTAGAATTCTATAATTTAGTATCCTCCCTCTTTCATCGCGTCAAATGCAATTATTTTAAACGAACGATTCCCTTCCAGACAATGGATCACGTAGTGCACACAGTGATCCCTCTACTCGAGACCAACAACGTGGAGACCGGAGACCCGAACACGATAGCGGCACCAAACGAGTTGGATTCTAGACGTCAGGGTGCCGCAGAAGCGTTCACCTGCCTCGTGGAAAGTCTCAGTGTCGGGGTCGTACCTTATGCAGTACTCTTCATGGTTCCCCTACTCGGGAGGATGAGTGACCAGAATCAAGCGGTACGCCTTGCGTGTAGCGCAACCTTCGCCACGCTCGTGCAGCTCTTGCCCCTTGATCCTGGAGCGATCGCCGATCCGCCCCACCTTGTGTAAAGATTCTCTGAATATTTTTTAATCGCTAGGTATACGACTAGCCAATGCTTCGTCGCTGAGTCGAGGATGCATATCATTTCAGAGAGGCCAAAGCGCAGGAACGACGCTTCCTGGAGCAACTTCTAAACCCGCGCAGCATCCCCGACACCCAGCTTCCCATCCACGTGGCAGCGGAGTTGCGAGCTTATCAGCAACAGGGTCTCAACTGGCTGAACTTCCTGAACAGATATCGCCTTCACGGAGTCCTCTGCGACGACATGGGTCTAGGCAAGACCCTGCAGACCCTCTGCATCCTGGCCCTCGACCACCACCGTAACCAGAATGCTCCTCCGAGCCTCGTGGTTTGTCCTCCGACCTTGACCGGTCACTGGGTCTACGAAGCCGAGAAGTTCCTGAGAAACGACGACCTGTCGGTCCTCCAATACGCGGGAACTCCTCCGGAGAGGGAGAGACTGAGGCCCAGGGTACCTCGGTATCGACTCGTCGTCGCCAGCTACGACATCGTCCGCAAGGACATCGAGTTCTTCGAGGCGGTACAGTGGAACTACTGCGTTCTTGACGAGGGTCACGTCATCAAGAACGGGAAAACCAAAAGCGCGAAGGCCGCGAAGAGGCTGCACGCTCATCACCGGTTGATTCTCTCCGGCACTCCCGTGCAGAACGACGTCCTGGAGCTTTGGTCTCTCTTCGACTTCCTCATGCCTGGGTTCCTGGGGAGCGAGAAACAATTCGCCGCCAGGTACTCGAGACCGATTCTGGCTTGTAGAGAGCCGAAAGCTGGACCTAAGGAGCAGGAGGCCGGGGCGCTCGCCATGGAGGCACTTCATCGTCAGGTACTAAGATATCCATGGGGTCGTTCACTGGGAGTCCTAGGCAGTTGTTCTCAATGGCGGGGATTTTCCTAGGTGCTCCCCTTCCTGCTGCGCAGGAACAAGGAGGACGTTCTTCAGGATCTACCGCCTAAGATCACGCAGGACTATTACTGCGACCTCTCGCCGCTCCAGCGAACGCTTTACGAGGATTTCCGGACTCGTCACTCGGCTACTCTGTCATCGGCGGCTTGCTCTTCCTCGGCCAGCAAGCCTCACGGTGGACACGTCTTCGAGGCCCTGCGGTACCTGAGGAATGTCTGCAACCACCCGAAACTAGTGCTCAATCCTCGACACCCTCAATATCAAGCGGTTCGTGGAAGCTATATTGCCGTCACGGTTATTAGAAGAACATTAGAATTTATTTTATATTCGTCGCCTAGGTTTCCGGGATGCTGAAGCAGCAGCAGAGCACCTTGGCGGACATCGAGCACGGCGCCAAACTCCCGGCTTTGAAGCAGCTCCTGCTGGACTGTGGCATCGGTCAGCCTCAGCAACAGCGAAACCCCACCCTGGTGGTGAACCCGGCGGAGGGCCAGCAGCATCAGCAGCAGCTGGTTAGCCAGCACCGAGCCCTGATCTTCTGCCAGCTGAAGGCCATGCTGGACATCGTCGAGAAGGATCTGCTGCGCACCCATTTGCCCACGGTGACGTATCTCCGACTAGATGGAAGCGTCCCGGCCACCCAGCGTCACTCGGTAGTCGCCAGGTTCAACGCGGACCCGTCCATCGACGTGCTCCTCCTGACCACCCAGGTCGGCGGCCTAGGTCTTAACCTGACCGGAGCAGACACCGTCATCTTCGTCGAGCACGACTGGAACCCCATGAAGGACCTGCAAGCCATGGACCGAGCCCATCGGATAGGTCAGAAGAAGGTGGTCAACGTCTACCGACTCATCACCAGGTCCACCGTCGAGGAGAAGATCATGGGCCTGCAGAAGTTCAAGCTGATGACGGCGAACACCGTCATCTCTACCGAGAACGCCTCGCTGGAAACCATGGGCACCGATCAGGTAACATGCTGAAGATCTTCATAACTTAGGGAGAATTTCGTTTTTTTTTTTTATTTCCTTCCTGGTAATTAATTGGACGTCCCCTCGCGCAGTTGTTGGACCTCTTCTCCCTGGACAACGGAAAGGAAAAAAAGGGGGAGCCTCCCGGGGATGGAACCACGTCGACCGTGGGAGGTATGCCTGGATTTGGGCGTTCCGTCCTGGAGATCCTACCGGAACTCTGGGAGCAACAGCAGTACGACGACGAGTACGACTTGGACTCTTTCCTGTCGACCCTGAAACCCGAGGCCCAGTGATGGCACACCGTGCGAACGATCAGCTGATCGGTCTTCTAGCTTTAGACTTCCTTTTGTAGCACCTCGACGAAAGGGAGGCCCTACGTTTGACAAGCAATTACATCGATGCAGCCTTTTTCGTAGCGTGTCTCGAGCGCCGGCTGTGTCGGTTGGGGAGTAGAAAAGCGAATCACTTCCTCCACCTTTTCTTTTTTTTTTTCCCTCCTTTTTCTTTTCATTTCTACGCTCGGTTACGACGTGTAGGATAATTTTAAGACGCTCCGGGATCGCGGCAAGGTGTCGGTGGTGTTGAGGAAAAAAAAAAAGAAAAAAAATAAGATATGGCGAGTGGGATCAGGAGCCCGGCAAACCTCGACGTCCGACGAGAGTGAAAGGCAGTGCCTTTGCTTTTTTGCGGGGAGGACGAATGCTCTCGTCGAGTTTAAAACCGCACGGGTTCTTAGCGACTCTTCCGTACGCCGCAAATGTTTGCTCGCGAATGTCCTCGTGTGTTTAACGCGTGCCAGGAGTACGCGGTAATCGTTGGGAAATGTTTTATTGACACCGGTGGGTCGTTCGGCGCGCCAGGCGAATGGAGGAATAATAACCGAATGAGATGCAAACTTCACGGCGCATGGTCATACTTTTGTAGGTCAAGTCTCGTCGGTAATTGTTCCGCATCGCGATTGGCATCCGTATGCAAGCGAGGAATCTCGGGGCTTTAACAGTTTACACGGTACGCGATGAAATCCTGGATTTAGCAATAATAAGGCAATAACGAAGCTGGCCATTTTACGAGCCAAGTAATTGTCGGTCGTTTTGCGCGACGACTCGTTGATTTTAACGTCTCATTTTATTAATCCCTGATTTTTCTTCCCACCGATTAGGTCAATTTATTCGGAGGGTCCTGCGAGACATCCTTCGAGCAAACATTTTCGCCGATGCACCTTGACATTCCCAGGGCGTATTATTAATTCTAGGATCGAACAAAACTCCGTCAGAGTGACACACAACGAAGGCGGCGATGCATCCGGGAAAACGAGGCCGGGCGAGGTAGAATTAAATGGCCATCGATTGTGTACGTACAATTGCGAATGAAAGATGCGGAAAGTGCGTAGTCCCTTTTGCATCGTCTACTTCCTCATTGATTGTCGAGCAAAAAGACATGTACACAATGTTATGTAATAGCCGATCGTCGATCTAGCCGAAGACTCGAACAAAATGCGATTAAGCTTAAGGATACCTAGGAGGTAAATCACCCGCGTAAATCGAGTCCTCTTCTCTTTATTTATAATAACTTATAAAATGAACCGTCGATACAATTACAAGTACACGTATTTGTACCAAGAGAGAAAGAGCCTTTCCCCTCGTTATTTCCTTAACGCTAGCCATACTTAGCTCCAGGGTCCGCCTTGAGAAATTTCCTATGATTTCCTTCTTCCTTTACCTTCATTGAGTATCGCCATCTTCGCTGGGAGAACCCTCTTCATGGGTTGCTCTTCGGGTTCAGAGCTTGGCCGTGCACCTGGGGTCAAGGTTCCCGGCTGCGAAGATATTCCTGGGGTCGAGGTATTTTTTAGTCGCTCGGTACAGGTCAACCCCGACTGGTCCCACGGCGAGGGGATAGAAACGTGCCCTGATCTTGCCGATTCCGTGGTGATGGGACAGGGAGCCCCCACTGGCGAGGATCTCCTCCCTAGCCGCCTCCTCTATGGCCTCGTAGGTTCCCACGGGGTCTGCGAGACCCTGATGATTAAACGCCATGTAGAAGTAGATGCAACACCCCGCGTCATAGGTCTGGGTGACTCTGCAGGATATCAGCTGTTTCCCGATGCCGCGACTCGCGCATTCCCTGGCCACCTTCGACTTGACGTTCCTGCACAAGGACAGAGCCCGGTTCCAGGACACGGAGGTCTCGAAGGACTCCGCCAGGATGCCGAATTCCAGGGCGAGGTCTCGGATGTAGGCGATTACGAAGGTCAAGGTGTAGCCTCGCTGGCCGTTCGTTTCACCGGCTGGGAGGCCGCTGAACTCCTTCGCTATCGAGTACACTCGACGCTCCTGGGACGCCACCTCGGTCGCGGACTCGCTCTCGAAGAGGAGAGTAGCCACGCATATGCTGTTCCAATCGTAGCCCTTGATCTTCGCCACGTACGCGTGCTTCAGACCCTGAAGAAGCATCCCTACCCAGCCGGTCTCCGGGCGCAAGGCTTGCCCGAACTTGAATTGCTCGTTGTCCATCAACCGGATACTCGCCGGCTGGCATCGATGCCTCGCTATCTGCGAATGAGTTCATTCAGCTCTTATCTAATTATGAATGAAGACTTGGAATATCTTGGTATAGTAATCGGAAATTCCTTTAGGATTCCAGCAGGAACCTTGGCTCGCTCACCTCTCGCAGGGCTCGCACGCCGCTCTGGAAATCCGGGAAGACGATGCTCCCGTATTTCACGATCTTCGGCATCGGCCGGACCTTGATGACCACCTCGGTGACCACGCCGAGGGTGCCCTCGCTGCCGAGGATCAGCTGATCGAAGTCCGGACCGCAGGAGCAACGGGGTACCTGGGCTCCTCGTTCCAACGTCAGCACTGGTTCTTCCGTCCTTCCCGTGACCATCCTCACTCGGACCACCAGGTCCTCTATGTTCCCGTAAGTGTTCTTCTTCATGCCGCTCGCCCTCGTCGCCACCCAGCCTCCCAGGCTGCTCTTTTATCAAAGAATCGGTTAATAAAAGGGAACCTGTGTTCCGGGGTTTTCTTATTTAATCGATAATTCTCTACCGCGGTTACTTTAAGATGAACTTATTTTTAGGTGATCCGGAGAACCGAAGAGGATTACCTGGAGAACTCGTGGGAGTCCGGCTCGTGGCCGGAAGTGAGGCCGCGAGCTTGCAGCTCCCGCTCCAGGTCTTGTCCCACGATCCCGGCCTCGCAGCAGGCGAGGAGGTTTTCCTTATCTATCCACAATATTCGATTCATCTGGGACGTGTCCAAGGAGACTATCGTCCTCCTCTCCTGCGGGGGGCAGGTCGCTGCACCGCTCACGCTGGTGCCTCCTCCGAAAGGAATACAAGCCACGTCGTGCTCGGAGCACGCCTTTACTATTCTCTCGACGTCCTGGTGGCATTCTGAAAGATTTCCACGGTAAGAATTAGGTAAACGATCGCCCGACTACTTGCGCAAAAAAAGAAAAAAAAAAAAGAAAAGAATTAAGAATCGCAAAAATCGACCTGCAACCGACGCGGAATATCCTGATATATTTTAAAGCGATGGAAGGTATTTCAGGACATATTCCCTGGAATATAATAATGTAATAATTTAATAAGGCAGCATTAGTCCGGTGCGTAATTAACGTTACACCCTAGGGCAGAATCGTGCACCGTAAATAAATAAATGCCTTCTCCGGGGAAGATCATTATTTTTCCCGCGACCGAGAGAGACGTACTCGGCCAGAGGACGATGTCCGGTATCCTCTGGAAGGTCCCGTGCTGCAGGACGAAAATTTCCCTCAGGGTGTGTCCGTGAGACCTGATGAGTCGATCGATTCCTTCGGTCGAATGGTCGACTCCCAGGTTCTTTACGGCCTCCAGGAACTCTGGGGAGATGATCGGCTCGGGATACGTCGAAGGAGCCACCTGGGCCTGGTGCCTCTTCTCGAAGTCGACGGCGAAGGTGTCGTTCACCCATTCGACGAAGTAGGGTAACTCCTTCCCACCGATCGGGTACCTGCAACATCGTAAACGATCACGCCCTGTTCTCATCTCTCCTCGACTTGGCCTTATCGAACTATCTTATCTACGCACTTTATGGTAGCGCGTGCCGCACTAATCCTCGGCCGGAAATAACGAGTGACAAGGTAGTCGATAGATTACGATTTCAAAGAATTACCCTAAATAACATGTCACGCCTCAAGTGAATAATTACTCATCATTCACATACTTATTATACTCTAACGCCATCTCAGCCGCATTTCCATAAGTCGGTATTAATTTTCATAAACCAACCAGGAACTGTTTCACTTATTCCGCGCATTGCGCCAGGTACCGAGTGGCCTTGGAATTGAGCAATAACTTTTTCTAGTTTTCAGGAGAGTCCAGGAGGCAGGATTTGTCCAGCTGAGGCAACAGCTTGCGGAACCAGGGGACAAACGATCGAGAACCAGGGCCCTGGAAACTCTTAAAATCGTAATGGCTCTTTATTATGCTAACCAGCTAACCGCCAGCCGATGGAAATAACGTTAAGCTAAATTGCGACCGAGCCATAACGAGGACGTGCTCCATGCGTGGATTACTCAGCCTCTCCGAGGCTTCTTTAATTTTCTCTTAGATCATTTCCCCAGGAATTCCGTAGAAAGGATCTTGTCGCCGATGTACACGTGTACTGGGTTTTAAAAAAATAAGAATATGTGCTCTCGAATGTGCCCTCCACTAGTCGAAGGTATTGATTCGTCGGGTGATATCCGTGGACGTCGGATAATCGCGTACATACTTCAATGCCGCAAATCCCTCGCGCGTGGCATACTTTATTCCTGGCAATGACCAGCGTGATCGGCGCTTTCAACGTAAATCGCGTCCTCATAACCGGCAGATTTCCTAATCGCCTTTTTCCCGTCTCCGCCATGAATCGTTCTCACGGGTTTCTCTTAGTGACATCGACCGGCAAGTTCTTTCTCTGGCGGTTCTCGTAATGCTGACATTGTCAGTTGGCGCCGATACGGGCGCATAAAGTGCGTAACATCAGCTCATTGACGGTGCGAATGGGAAATATTTCTCGATGCGTAATCCCGCCTGTGGTCGTTCTCTTGTCCTTCCTCTTCCCTCGTGTTGCAAAACGAGGAGGACGCGTTAAAAGACGAGGGGGACGCGTTAAATGGGCCGCTCCAAAAGAGATCCCGGGACGTTTTCCCGTTCACAATCGGCCGCGAAACAAAAGTCTTGGTCTTCTAAGCCTGCTAGTGGCCGGTTGGGAAAGCATCTCCGAGGAGGCGGTCTTATTGACCGAACGATTCTCGGTATGTCTTTGAAAAATGCTAATTCTCCTTCAGTCGTGTAAACAGGGGTGGGAGCTCGTGTTTGCTCGAGGCTTACGGTCCGCCCTCGTCCTCGTCTCCATCTCCGGCTCTGCAAGTAAATTCAAATCGACGCCTCCATTGAATCTCGCTACTTCGCCTTCTACGAGACGCTTTTTAATATTTACCACCGACGGAGTCGAAAGTCAAAGTCTGCTCGCATACGTACCCCTATTTGCGTAGTACTAATGGCAAGAACAAATCCGGCAAAACTACGTTTCGTTACCTGGAGCCCAGAAACTCGATGATGCCCTTCTCGTTCATCAGGAACCGCGAATCCTTGTATCCCCAGCCGTTCCATTTCAGCAGCTCTTGCCTAAAGTGTACAAGCGATCGTTAGTGAGATACATGGACGAGAGTGTTTGCGTCCTCCATGATTTTCTTAATATTACATTAAAAGAAAATATCGGAGCGAGACAAACGTCGCAATAAAATGCTTTCTTATTCCACGGGAGGAGGAAAATCCAGGAGTTTTTTTAAACGTCGTGGTAGATCGTCGGAGAATTTATCCGCTCTATATCGCGCCTAGTTGAGGGTTGAGCCAGGCGAGTCGATAGTCGCACGAGGCGCGACGGCGTGGAGGTGTTAATTTGATAAAATAAATTGCGAGTTATTTAATAGTAATTCAGTGGCAGACTCGGTCGCTTCGGCGTCGCTCGGTCGATAAGTCTCGCGTTTAATAATAAAAGGCGTACTCCCCCACGCTCCCCTTCCGAGTGAACAGGCGCGGCGAATACGCCGGCTGCGCGAGGGAGTGCGAGTGAGAGGAGACGATGCGCGCCGCCGCGAGAGCGAGAGAGACGCTGATAGGCGAGAGGGCGACTGACCTGGATCGAGGCACGGCGCTTTTCACGAGGGTGACGCCGTCGAGGGAGGGCTCTTTCCGGGAGGTCTTCATACTTCTCGGTAGGGTAGACTGCAACTCTGCAGTTATGTACACGAGGAGATGAACAGACTGGGCCGATCAACGTCAATCGCGCCCCGCGAGTTCGCGGTCTCGACTGCCGGCACGCGACCCGGCAAACCAAATTTAAATCGATAGGACCCCCGCCCAACCACGCTTCGCCTGGCGCCGATCGAACGGAAAGTGCAGGGGGCCGCCCGCCAATGGCGGGCTCGCTCTCTCGTGCATGCATCCTCCGTGACGTAATCGACAGGCGGAGCCGCGTGAGCGAGAAATCTCACGGATCTTAGATCGCAGTCCCACCGAGCGCGTCGAGGGTCGCACGGAGTGCGGCGCGCCGCCGCGTCAGGGATCGACCAATCAGGATTGCGCGTCAGCTCGAACGCCCTTCTGATTGGCTCTTCGTTTGACGCGGCCTAGGACGTCCCACTCCGCAGGACACTCGACGCGACTTCGGCCTTGCGACCGATGTGGGCCAATGGGGGCTCGCTTTTTGTTGGAACCATGTCGGGGTCGACTCAGCAGGATGTAATTGACGTCCGGGGCGTGAACTTCAGATGTATATTTATGCTCATGTATGTTTTAACTAGTTTTAATTAAATAGGTAGTGGGATGGATATTAATTGCCCCGAGATGTCTTCATGACACGTGGATAAACATGGATTTACTTTAGAGCGAGCTGAAGACGTAACACTTGTACAATAAATAATATGATTATTCTCCTTACTTCTGCTCGAGACGTTTACTCCGGAAATCGGTGAAGGCACCACATGTCGGATAGCCTAACCTGTATTGTAACAGAATTAATGGTAAATGAACATTTGCTATCTCATTTAGCAAGCATTGCATGTTTCGGGTCGTAACAATGTGCGGTATCTAGGTGACAAGGGAGGCAATGGTTTGACTGCATTTTGGAGACACGTTACTGTAATAAACTCGGAATTTCTAACACCATAACAACATTTCAAACTTGCATGGCACTTACTCGACCTATTTTACATGTTCAGTCTAGATTTATTCCCAGTCGGCGGATATTCCTAACCTTACCACTTAATGGTACATTATGGTTTTCAACAATCATGCAAAATTCACAACTTTTCAGAGTTTTGTGGAATTCTCGGATGTAGTATTAATAAATGAAGGGTTATGCTTTGGTCAATTCAGGAGGAATTAATGGTTTATGGTAGTAGTCAGTTCATATTTTTATGACTTAAAAGTATCGTCAATAGGAGATTTAAATATGTTTGGTTACAGGGCGTTAACGACTGTAGTAGGTTATAAATGTTGTTGAACTCGAAGAGCGAAGGAATATTGCTGCACCATGAAGACCCCAACAGACAAGCAGTTGCAGAGGATAGAGAAGAAACGTAGGAAAATGGAAGCTCTTCTGGAAATAACTAAGCTGAACGACAAGGACCGAGAGGCAAGAGCCCTTGCTGAAAAACAAGCGGTAAATAACTGCATTTTTTTTATGAGATATTGTACAGCAGTCTCATTACGTTTCTATAAATTATGCGTATCAAGCAAAAATTTCTGTTATCACAGAACATGGAAGTTGAGCAGCCTGAGGAGCTGGCTAATGTTAGCAGCAGCAATGGTGTATCCAGTAGTGATAATCCGAATCGAAAACGACCATGCAGCACGACAGAAGATGTGAATGCAGAAAATGTCAATCATGAAAAAAACCTCCAGGACAGTCAGCAATCCGATCCACTTAGCAATAAGAAACCTAGGTACACGTTTGTATGTTTATCAATTAAAATGTTCAAGAAATATAAATACATTTATATTTTCCAGATTGAGTGGTGAAGAATTTCTAAAATTGAAACAGGAGTTAAAGCTACGGAAAGCCAAACTACAGGCAATACCACGTTTTCATTTAAGAACCGTTGGTGAGAATGCTAGTTTGAATGCTAATGTCAAAACTGATGACAGGATACCAATTTTCCTAAGTGATGTGCAGCATCTATTACTGTATTCCCTGCTTGGCCATCATTCTCCATACTTGCCAGCAAGGTGGTGTGTGTTAGAAAAATTTAACAAGGTAAGAATATTTATTAAAACGTTATTACAGTGATTTATTAAATTGCCGAATTCTTTTATAGGTCACGCACACAGTGGTCCTAGTCATAGAAGGTCTGTCATTGTATCACTTTCTGGCTTACGAGTCAATGTTTTCTAATATTACTGCTAAATTGGACTTTCGATTAGAATTGGTAACGCCAGCAGCTTATGGTGGCTCGATAGTAGAAGAGCTTTCTGCGGTCCCGCTCACAGGAACGCAGAGTCGCAGGCTAATTGCCCGTAATCACTGTTTCTTATATTGACAATAATGTACATTTGTATTCTTATTATAATTTTGATTAATTATAGTTTCTTAATTTTAGAATTTGGCTCTCTTGAATCTGCGTTGCAGAGTACTGGAGATTTGGTTAAACTCCTGAAAGTCGTCTTTCCAATGCATTCTACAGCTATGAATGATAAGGAAAAAGCAAGGGAAAAAATGCAATTACCACCAAACGACAAGTTTCCTAGAACACAGCTACTATTATCTCCATGGCAGCTCGTTGAAGAGAATTATCCTTTACCACTGAAAGGTGAACTGGCCAAAAGGTACAGCAAGTACATTTTAACAAAGGACATGTACGATGAAGCTACACCAAAGTCTCCGATGTTTGGTCTGGATTGTGAGATGTGTCGAACAACTACGGGTCTATTAGAGCTGACGAGAATATCAATAGTTGACGAGAGCTTGAATGTAAGAAAATATAATGTCATGATAAAAATTACTCTGGAGGTTGTAAAAATTTTGAATTTTGAAACGCGTCATATTTTTTCTGACTATAGGTAATTTTTGATCGTCTCGTAAAACCGGATAACGATATCACCGACTATTTGACGCGTTACAGCGGCATCACCAAAGAGATGCTTGATGGTGTTACGACGACTTTGTCGGATATCCAACAATCCTTACGAGATTTACTTCCAGCAGATGCTATTTTGGTCGGTCAGAGTCTCAACTCCGATCTCCACACTCTGAAGATGATGCATCCATACATAATTGATACATCGGTCATATTTAATATGACTGGAGACAGGTCTGCTAATATTTCCATTATATTTTTTTCCTCTGATTTTGAGCTGAATAGAAATTTTCAAATAATTATTTCTTCTGCAATAGATACAGGAAAACTAAGCTGCAAATCCTGGCGAGAGAGTTTCTGAGCGAGCAGATTCAACATAGCAAAAATGGTCACTGCTCTATGGAGGACTCGAGAGCTTCGTTAAGACTGGCTCAGCTAAAACTCTCGCAGAGCATACATTTTGGGGACGCAGTATTACTTGGCCAACAAGAACTGGAGTCACGCCAGAAACAAAAAAAGGACCAGGTGAAAGCCGAAGCTCAGAAATATGGAACTTCGATATTCTCCCACGTAGCAAAGAACAAGAGAACCGCAGCCATTATTGGCAGGGAGGATGTCCTGAACGAGTACTCCAAGTACCTGCAAAACTCTTCGCTTAGCATCATGGATGACAAACACTTCAACCAAGACGATCAAGTATTTATAATAGTCCTATATTATTCTTCAACTCAAATTTAATATTTCATTGGAAGTATTAAGTTGTTAATTATTAATTAATTTTTAAGGTACGTCTTGTGATGGCGGATAGCAACAAGCACGCGGTATCCAGAGCCTCGCAAATCGCCCTGGAACATGCATTCACTCTTTCTCACGTGCGAGTAGAAGAGGAAAAGCTGAAGGAGGAGCATTTGGAAAAGACCTTCCGGTCTGTCAACAAATGGGTGTCAAAAGTCTGGCAGCACTCCGCCGTCAATGGCTTGGTCTGCGTAATTTTCGGCGGACAGGATAACGCCGCTAATGGCGCCTGCTTTTTGAACATTAAAAAAGAAGCGGTCCCATTGCGCACCATGCTGAAGACAGAAGCGCAGTCGTAGCTAAATGATGCTGGAACGTCACGAAAGATATCAACTGTATTTTGAAAAGTGATTACAGGCAAGGTACAAAGACCTTCGGAGAGCATTGCTTGAAGCAGAGACAGAGGCCCGCCTCTGAGACTATCTTTGTTAGCAGTGTACAAACCATTGTGTCGTTAATAAACTTTTAATATTTCATTTATCTTGAAATTCGCGCTCTACTTTCTAGATTTAGAACGGAGTATGATCTCCCGCATGTACGAATATAGCACGAAGAACTGAGAATACAAAATGTGTAAAAAGACTTCTCACATTTTGTTGTCTGACATCATAAAAAAATTCAGAGTTCTTTAGAAATGCTTAAAAATAGAGAAAAAGTATTTCTAAAAATAATTTTTGGAAACAGGACGTTAAGTACGAATTTTGAGAAGCCCATATCAAGTAGCCCGGCTAGCTCAGTCGGTAGAGCATGAGACTCTTAATCTCAGGGTCGTGGGTTCGAGCCCCACGTTGGGCGAAACTTATTTTTTCTACAATTTACGACATTACCGTATTTAATATTCATCAATGAGTTTATAAAATGTTTTAATTATTTACAGACGAGGAGAGTACAATAATAAGCGAAAAAGATTTTTAGACGTCGAATCGTTCGTTCAACCACGGAATACATACCAACGGTTATTCTGTCAGGAGCAGCTGGCGTCTGTAAGTAGTCCGCACCAATCAGAGAGCCGGATGAGGCTGAGCAGCGAACGGAGCGCTCCCATTGGTGTGCTGCTCATCCCCGCAAAGGTATAAATACGGATGCAGCCGAATGCATCGAGTCAATTTCAAGTCCAAGAGTCAAGAGTCAAGAGTCAAGAGCATCGAGTCAATCTGCCACAGAGGATTGGAACGTGAACGTCTCGCTTGCTCTTCGAATACCAAAAAATGTCAGGACGCGGAAAGGGTGGAAAAGTTAAGGGGAAGGCAAAGTCCCGCTCCAACAGAGCAGGTCTCCAGTTCCCCGTTGGAAGGATTCACAGACTGCTCAGAAAAGGAAACTACGCGGAACGCGTTGGCGCAGGTGCTCCGGTTTACCTGGCGGCTGTAATGGAGTATCTGGCCGCAGAAGTTCTCGAGTTGGCCGGCAACGCTGCCCGTGACAACAAGAAGACGAGGATCATCCCGCGTCACCTCCAACTCGCCATCCGCAATGACGAGGAACTGAACAAATTATTATCCGGAGTAACCATTGCTCAAGGCGGAGTACTGCCGAACATCCAAGCCGTCCTGCTGCCGAAGAAGACCGAGAAGAAAGCTTAAAACCTTGACTTTCAATCCTGCATTCAACTGGCCCTTTTCAGGGCCCCAATCGAATTTTTCGAAGGTCCACTCCATCCTTCGTCATTCATTTTTTTTTAACAATCCTCTATTCCTACAAGAAACACTTAATAATCAAATCGGCGGATATTTAAACGGTTTTTTTTTCTCTGCCTATACTAAGGCGTCTCGATTGCCTCTGAGGAAAGAATTTCGATTAAAAAAGACCATCGATCGCGATCGCGCGTAAGTTACGAGAGCGAAAGGCCGACCCTGGTCACGCATTGCTTGCGCCAGTCTCGACGGTTTTTGTCGGGCGTTTAGCGCGATTTTTCAATTTTTCTGTCCCCGGTTTTTTTCCTCCCTTTTCATTTTTTTTTACCCTCCTTTTATTTCCCTTCCTGCCTAGGTATCTACGCACAAGAGGGGCGCCTTTTTACGGGACAGAGGTCAATCCTTGGCTCGAAGGACCACGCCGGGAGAATGTGATTCCATGGGCGAAAACGCGTTCCCTGGAACTGGAATTATGGATCGCCGGTATTCAAATGTCGCTCGGATACCTGAAAAAGAAAGTATCGTTAACTGGAAGACGACTACTAAACTTTTATTGATTAATGTTACAGCGAGGCCAGTGAGGCGAGGCTTACATAACCTCCAATTCACGGATAGGCTGGACCTGGCGAGACCTACCGACATAACCTCTAAACTGATCGTTACCTTTTTCTTTTCGGTTCATCCGTACAATTCTATCTACGATGCATTCTTGTGAAGAAAAGTCGCAGAAGGCCCTCGATACGTGATTCGAGTACCAATATTCAAGCTTATTCCGGAGGAAATGTGACGCTGCTTTCTATATGGGAGCCCGTGAATCACGGTTCCTAGTAAACGATCGCTTTATCGTTTTCGGCTAACAACTAAAATCTACCGTCGCAGGAGGTTATAAGAGCGAATAATCTCCTTGTTCTTTTCGGATATCAGGTCGAAAATCGGTCACCAGTCCTTACCACTTAAAATCTTGATAGGAAATTATTACAGAAAATTTAATGTATTCCCAAAATGCTCGCAGAAGCGACGAGATCAAATCATAGAATTCAAGGAAATGAAAAAAATTGGAGGAAAACGCGACGCGCCCAGTTGAGGGCAAAATGTTGGAATTAATAGAGACCCCTCGGGGCACCGATGACGAGATAAATCGGCGTTAACACTAATTGACTGTCTGTCGGTAATCGAGCTGTACTTCGATTAACGAGCCGGCTACTGTTCGTCTCAATTAAAGATCGTCAAAGATGCCCCGTTGGGAGTAATTCCGCGATCTCGTCCCGTAACGCGCAATTACAAGGGTCTACGACGTGTCTGCCTCTCCGATTTTTAATCGCTAATTAAATCCGCACTTAACATTACCTCCGAATAAAGAAAGTACGGCTGAACATAAGGGAGGTTTTCGGTGTTAATAAAAAGGAAAAAAAAAAGAAACGGTGCCTTATACATATCTAACGCCGTTATCGGTCCCCTTTTCGCCCGATCGAGTTATTAATACGGGAAAAAAACGGAACGAGATTCCGAGACCTTCGTTCTATTATTAGTCCGTTTATGGAATGCATCGCAAATCGTGACGTTTCCTCGTGCCCTTTCTGCGTCGCGTTCCGTCCTCGATTTTTCGTTTTATTCTGGAGAAATGTAAGGGCAGGCGTTTCGGTTGGGTCGGATTCGAAGTTCGAAGGTCGAAGTCTCCCCTCGGGTCAGGATGGGTTCTTCGAGTGCCCAAACGAGGTGAGACGAAAATACGCCGGCGACTCTTGACACGGTCATCGATGACTGACGCTCTTGTAAACAGAGAAGCTCGGATGTACACAAAGAGCTCATCAGTTGCCTTTTATCTATCGACAACGTTCCCTCGTGTTCGCCTCGTTTACGTGTAGATTATCAACGGTCGGGTCACGTTAGAATTTGAAGACATCTCTCGTTGCAGCCGATGATTAACGCAGACGGGAAGGAGGGTGTGTGCAGTTTCCACATCGGCATTTAACTGGAAACCGATGCTTGTGGCTGGACGTTGTTTCACAAACAAAGAAGTCAACCCCGAGCCTCCGGATCGCCGAGGGGAACGTCATGGCTGGTACATCTAAAATGATTTAATTTTCAATTTAAAGTATACTCCAATAAATTCGTCTTCCCTGGGAGGGTTCAAGAGCCGTAATTAAACCTGCCGTGGCGATGGACCTCGTTTCGTTAGGCAATGAGAAATAAAATTGAAAGTGGAATTAAGAAGTAAAATTAGAAGTATAACGAAAACGTTCATTTTGTCCCTTGGTCTTATGCCAAGTACCTCTTCGCCACGGCTTTGGATGCCTCCCCGGGAACTCGGTCACTGGGTCCGGATACTGACCTACGAGAGATCGCGTTTCACGGGACGTCCCCGAGAACGCCGAGATATTTTCGAGCCGAGATTTCGGTGGGTTCGCTTTTCGCTTTTCCGAGCAGAGCTCCCCATGACCCAGTTAGCCTCGATATCCAGGAGAAGCGTTATCGACCATCGCCGGGTGCGGACCAACCCCAAAGAGCTCCTATCCAGCACCATGACCCAATTTCACCCCCGAGCTGCGTTACGCCTGCGTGATCCGAAATCGAGGAATTGGGTCACTCGTGGAGGAAATGGAACGACCTGTCGTAAGAACGTCCAATCAATAAGTGTCGCTTTGATAAATGGAGAGCATGGGAAGGCGGTGTTCCACAAGGTCGCCTCCACCTGAGAACGCTTCCCAGGTGCGAGGAGTTAAGGATAGGGGAAAACGAGAAATGAGGATTTACACTTCCCTTGTCACTTGTAAAGCGATCCTCTTCGGCAGGTGTTTCCATGGGGTGGGGTGTCGGCGATGGAATTCGTAAGCATCGGCGACTCCGCGACTCCGCGATCCTGTCGCCTTCCCTCCGTAACCGGATCGAAGGTGATCGATCGCATCGCCTCGTTGCATATTCACGGTGTCACGGGCAGTCGTGAGAATCACTGAAATCGAGATTACGCGTTATCTAGGCCACCTTCATATAGGCGGTGCAACGCCTTTCTCAAGACTCGCTACAGCCACCCTTAATCTAATGTACGTCTACGGTCGTTGTTGATCCTTTACCGTGGAGAATAAAAGAAAAAAAAAATAATTAATGTTTTGAACGCATTTCTCATGACTCGGTGTAGGCACCCTTAATCTAATTTACGGTACGGTCGATGTTGATGCTCTCCCGTGGAGAATAAAAACATATCAATGTTTCCTGACGACGAGTCGATGAATCACGGATTTACAGGACTCCGCCTTATCGGTGAGTTCCCGAGAAGGTATGCGTCCTTTGACCCAGTCGACCTCGCCCCTGGGTTATCGCGTTACATTCGAGCGAACCTCCCGCACAAATGCCTCCGTGTGAACGTACTCCGGCCTCTGAAATAATGATTTCGTAATTAGAATAATCGCGCTTAATTATACATGGGAAAACTATTTACAATGGGAAGTAACCGGCTGACGAACCGGTCCATCGGACCGAACTTACGCGCTCCTCTCTACCCGGACCTAACCTAACTTCGCGGAGCATCGACATGACCCAAGGCCATAAGTCTATCGAGAAATTGTTTCGATGCAAATCGACGCCCCTTACGCGTCCGACAATGCCACTAGGCGTCGTCGATGGGTGCCGTTTCCATGCCAGCAGGTGCCTACGGGAATTTGAGGTTAGGATTTTCCCCGTGCATATTCTCCTCTCGCATTTTCACCCTTCCGTTGTACCGGCCGAGCTTCGTGCCGTACAACGGAAATTCGGTTGTCGGGTTGTTCTTTACCGGAAATGCCTTTCTTTGCGGTTAAAATTCGGAATTTCGTGCCGAACTACCCGGCTACTTTCGCGCTAGAGGGGGGTTATTTTCCTGGGGACATTTCCCGGGCGACTCGCGGCTTCCCGCGGGGTATCCGCGAGGGTCGCCGGCGCCGCGACGCCGGCGTCTGCGCCGGCGTCGCCACGCGAGCTATGTATAGCCGGTGCTCCTGGGTCGTTTTAGTGCGAATTATGTTCACTGCAGGCCCGGTCATCGGCCAGTGCGGACCGGCCGTAACGCCGCGGCGACCCTGCCGGGGAAAACAACGATCGAGCGGGACAAAAATCGCGTAATCGCCGCTTCTCTAATCACCCCCTCGACCGTTACTAGAGAACATTCCCGGGGGAGAAATGAAATTCATCGTTACCGGGTCGTGGAGCAGCCCTGGCTCTCGGGTGGCGATTTAAATCGGCAGGTCGCGAGTGGTCGCGAGTTTTTTCACCCGTTTTTCTCGTTTAATCGTTACGGAGCCGCGAAAGGGTTCGCCGGGGGATGCGCGATGACGTAAGTGGACTTCCAAGATGGCGGCGCTCTAACTGACGAGTGACACCCCGCGAGAGGCAAGAGTGCCACCTCCGACTGCTATCTCGCTCCCAGGTAATTGATTAAGCCCGAAATATCAAGAAACTGGGAGGGAACGTCGAATAATAAGGAATTCTTGCCTCGAACTACCCGAGAATCCCCGCTAATCCGTGGTTATTCGGCGTTTCGTCCCCAGAGTGCATTGCGGTAGGTCTCTCGGTAGCAGGTAATTATTTAATTTCGACGGTTAACTTCGACGATTAATCTCGAAGATTAAGGTCGAAAGGTGGGAGAAAATCATTTAATTCCCGAGAATCCCCGCTAATCCGTGTTTATTCGGCGTTTCCTCCCCAGAATTCGTTGCGGTAGGTCTCTCGGTAGCAGGTTACTAATGAATTACCACGGTTAACTTCGACGATTAAATTCGACGAAGAGTGGAGGCAAATCATTTGTTTCACTCCAAGGTGATGACGCCAGACAATTACTCGTCGTCTTAACCCTAGGGTATTGCGGTAGGTCCCTCGGTCAATTTTTTTATCTAATTACTCCGATATGCATATATTTTTCTATTTTGGATGTGGCACATTGAAATTATGTTAATCCAATTTTGATCGTGGAGGACCCGACCTTCCAAACAGGCGTTCCGGGGCGGAGCCGCTGCGAAAATACCTCGCGGTCAGAAATATTTTTAGAATATCGAGAAATCGTCCGACCATCTTGACAAGGCACGCAGAAATTCTCGATCGAGTGCACTCGGCTGCAAAGGAAGGAAAAGGAAAGGACGAATTCAGAGATGCGAAGGACTCTCATTGGACCGTAAATTTCGGCGTGCGTTAAAGAACTTCCCGGCCGTTAATCTGCCGCGATATGTGAATATTATCCTAATATCGAGATTATCTCGGATATCAGCTCCCGTTTGTCTGTTTGATAGTTAATAAATTCTCAAGTGCGGCTGTCGCGGTTCGCGAGGTAATTCTATTTAAATGCGGAGTCTTACAAACTCCACGCTTTTTTACACTCCTCTCAATTATCTACAGCTATTGTCTTCACCTTCGGAAGTATTAATAAGAGCGGTTGAAATGTCTCTAAGAAAAGAAAAAAAAATTAAAATGATAACTTGACGACCTCTGTTTACTTTCGCCGTTTCTTTTTTTCGACGCGCGCGGAGGTCGAAACCGAAGTCTTACATTTCCGTTCCCCGGAACTCCTTGTTCGCGAAGAGGATCCTCCGCAAGTCCCGGGAACAATTGTCGTAACCCTATCATGGAGAATGGCAACGATTAACTTTCCAGTTCTCGGCAATAACGTCCGATCGGTCTCGAGTTTCCATGTCGGCGCAACGCGGATGGAGAAACGCCGTCAGGCGGGTGAAAAGGCGTGGTCTAAATTCTAATTTCCACGAGATTAAGTCAAACTATGTCTAGAAAAGATTATTATTATTTATTATACCAGGTACGATTATACTAGGAGTCATGTATCGCTCGAACGGCCTCGTTTACTTCGCCGCGACCGTCGACGTCTCTCCGATGCGGGGAAAAGGGAAAGAAAGAGAGAAAGGGGATTTTTGGACCTCGCAAGATCTCAAAAGGACTTCCGATCGAAGGAAGAAAAGTGAGGAAAGCGAACTCGAGGCGGGCTTTCGACAGAAACTGTAGATTCCTCCGGTATTGATCACTCCTCGCTTCGGGTGGAAGAGATTCAAATGGCGGCCATCTTGGATTATAGAGCCCCAATTTATCGCCGGCCAATTCGCGAGGATCTTCGCTTTAGACGTCCCTTCGAACCTAGTTTGTTCTAACAAAACGAGACATGGATTCTCTATTTTCACGTTCGAAGAAACAAGCTGGAGGGAATTTACGGAAAAATTATGCGCCGGTAATTATTTGCGACCTAGCCCGGAGGAGATAATTCCGGTTGGTCGTAGCCTTATCAACGGCTCGTGATAACGATGCACGAGGCGTAATTGCAGCGACCCGAAAAAACGCTTCGAAGGTGCACGCGAGGAATAACGGAGAGTCCACCCGAAATCACCCTTTCCTTTTTTTTTTTTAATTGTTTTCAAGGATTTTCGAAGGAATCTCGCGATAACTTTAGAGAAAATGCCGTCGCGAATCCCGGTGGCCATTTTCCACCTCTCTTTTCCTCCAGCTCCACGTGTCGGAATTTGAGTTCGAAGTTTCGCTTAACGAGCTCGGAGATGAGACTACAAAGGCCAGCGAGGACTCGCCTCTTAACTTAGCCAAGAAACAATTATCGTCGCCATGATTCAATCGGGACACTCGTCCTTACGGCCGGTCGCGTAATTTTCTCCCGGCTAGTCGGAAATCCATTAATTCGGAGCGGCGTTACGAGATCCCTCGTTTTACCCAAATCGATGCTCCTTTTTTTCCCTCCCGTTTTATCTCACCATAAAAAGAAAAAAGGGAGAACCTCAGAATGAGCGAAAATGAAAAAGACTCATGAGTTAATTGGAGGGGATTAAAAGCAGAACGAGAAGGATCGAAGATATCCACCCAGGGTGCCAAGGTCCCGCGGGCATTCCGCAAGGTTTTTCCGCGGTGCCATTCCGCCGGTGACTAATTTTCGCACGTTTTCTCGTTGTCAGGCGCATCTTGGCGCTCGATTTACACTTAGTCCATTGACGAGGCACATGTGCGGCTCCTCTGGTGCGACAATTAGACCATTGTCGAACAGCCGCGTGGAGGATCGCTCGAGAATGGTAATTAAGTGTGGCGGGAGATCGGCTCGTTATCGGCGGTCGGTTGTTCTAATCGCCGGAAACGATGCCCCCGTCCAATCCTCAATAATTTTTGTCTTCGGTCTCCGAATTACTGGAGCTTGACGGGGGGTAAAAAACTGATCAATCGGCGGCCGCGATCGGAGTAAAAGAGAAAGAGAGGCCGTTGGCGTTAACCGATCGAACCTATCGATCCTTTTTGCCGACTTTCGACACTATTAGGGGCGACCTTGCGATCGGAAGTGGCCTCCGGAAGCTCAAAAAACCTCGAGAAACCTCCAAAAACCGCAGAATGTGCTCCGATTGTAATTAACTCTCGATTAATGGCCCACCTGTATGCTCGAGATACAATGATCGAGTTTCGATTCGATCGCTCCGCCCTTAATTTCATTAACTCGGGAGCCTTGACACTGCTCGGGTTCTTTGGATCCCTTTTTTACGCCGGCTTTTTTCCCCAAGTCACAAGAAGTCGAGTTGGAGCTCGCGTGGACTCAACCCAGACCCAGTGACACTGAAATGTCTATGGTCACTCATTAGAGACACTCTCGATCTCGTGCGAAGTGACCTTTAACGATCGTCGAGGCTTTCTCACCTGCGCGCGGGCCTTAAAGTCGTCTCTCTTAATTTCCGGTGTCGTAAGAGTGTAAATGAAAAATTGCACGACCACGCGTCGCCAAGTTGGATGACCGAATCGTCATGTTTTCGATTTTTTCAATGTATTAATTTTTTCTACATATATATATTTTTTTTTAAGCCACAGGAAAATCGATCCCTTTATCGATTGAGGCATGCGCCGTTCCGATACGGCTGGTTTACCTCGAAGGCAAGAAAACGCGTAAGAAAATTGTCCCGAGCATTGTCGTCAGGGTTCGTGCACTTTCCGAGCACATTGACCTACCCCAAGCCCTGCCTTCCATTGACAAATAATTGGAAACACGGGAAAAATTCAACTCGCGCCTTTCGTTCATTAGCTGACACGTCACCGGCTGTGCATTTCGTACTCGGAAAAAAGTAAAAAAAAAAAGAAAGAGAAAAAATTAAATTTCCGTGCCGTTCGATATTAGCTGAGCTCACGTTTTGTTTAATACCGAGGACTCGCTTGTTTAATACCAGAGGGACAATTTCACACGCGACCCAATTGCACTCGAGTGCAATTGGCGCGGCCGAATTGCTCCCTTAATCCAATTGAATTTAATTTCGCGAATTCGCAGCCCGCATTTCGGAATTGCACGTCCGCTCGCAATTACGGCTCTTTTCTGAAAGGGGAGCGCATTTAATTCGCGGCGAGGTGTTAGGCATTCTTCTTTTTTAATTAAAAATAAAATAGATTTCGACGGTTAGTTTCCCATCGAGACCCGATAGATGCAGACGAAGTGTACGTTAATTGCAACGCTACTTGCGTATGACTCGTCTGAGTCATGAGATACCGTGGTACTTTAAGTACGTACACCTATGCACCTGTGCACACGATGCAACAATGAGCTCGCGACTGCACTTGTTGATAGCTGGCATTAATCGAGGGGGGGAATTAATTATCGTGACCGAGGTCGGTGAAACCTGAGCGAGTTTTCGTTTAGTGGGCCCGTTTCCTCTGTGTACTCTTTTTCTCACTTTTTTCTCTCCCCCTCTCTTTCTCGACGTGATCAAAGCCGAGTAAAAACAGGATTTTGCAATGCCTACGAGGCCTGCACTATCCTGCACCTGGAATCGAGATAATTGACAATAGGTGATCGCTATGCGAGGGAAAGAAGTTCTCTTCCAGGACCGCGGGAGTGCAAGACCACGAGGGAAGGAAATTCAGGGTGGAAAGTGAAATCGAAGATCTCGATTCACGGTCACACTCTAGGAAAAGTCGATACGCGAGCTCATTGCCGATCCTCGATATCCGGTCGATCGTTCGCTCCGTTTACGATAAATTCGATCGCTCGGAAATTCGATCGGCGCCTCTTTGGACGATCCGCGACTTCCGGTTGCTCCGCGACCCTCGAGAAATAAAAAAAAAAAAAGCAACCTAATCGCGTAATTTCGATTTTAATTGATACATGCATTTTCTTGTATTTCAATTTTTTTTCTCTCTCCTTTTTAAGGGACTACCGTATGTACACTTTACATCCGAAATCGAAACTTAACGAACGCAAATCAACGCTGAAACGCGTCCGCATGCGGCGTTCTTTGGCGTGGATTTACGGGCCGGCGTTTCTTCGCTCGTTTCCGGTAAGTGGTCATAAAATGGGAACAATCATTCACGTGCCGATGTCACCGCTCACTGATGTCATCGCGAATATCGTGCCAGGCGACGAAAAGGGACGGGCCGTCTGTACAAGTCCTATCGAGCCTACTTATTCCTGCTCGAATTTCTCTTCCTCGGTTTTCTACATCCTTGCGTCTCTTCTTGCACCTCTTTGCGTACCTCTTCATCTCTGCATCAAGATGCGCAGCGGTTCGCCCTGCATCGTGGAGTCGTACGCCGCGCCTCTTCCGGCGCGGTGTTCCCGCAATTGTTTATAAACATCGTCGATAAGAGATAGGGACATGACATTCTCCCGATCCCCCGATTCTTCTCGGCATCCTCGCGGTTTCTGACTCACCGATATCTGCCGGAGTATCTCTGCAGCCACGATCTCGGGTCCTGGTAAGAGAGCCGCCTCGTGGAGGCGTTCAGTCAGCCGCGAGCGCTCGACCGAGCAGGACCTCCTCTCCTCTCGGCGTCCGGTGGCTCAACGTTCCTGGACCGTCCACGTCGCGTTAAAAATCAGGGTCAAACTCTAAACCGGCCCTAAAACTCCGTTTATCAATATACGGGACCGTGTACCGCTTCCTACCCGAAAATTTCACTGAAGATGTGACCGCTCCTTGGCGGTAGGATTTTCGGCCACCCCGTCACCGGATCCCGCGCGCTCTTGGAGGTTAATTTCCTCGAACATGTCGCTTGGCATCGACGAGGAGAGATCCCCGAGTTTCCGTGATTTTCATTCATGAATTTCCTGTCAAAGTCGGGGGTCGAGCGCACCGCGCCCACGTGGAGGGGTGCAGTCAAAGGGCAGGATTTCGCCCCGGTTTGACATAGACTGACGGGACGACCGATCCTGCAACATGATTCTGGCAGTTGGCGTCGGTAGGTTACGAGATGGCTGCAACTTACGAGACTCGATAGTCTATAGACATTTGGCTGGTCATCGGTTATCTCACGAGAAGCGATCCGAGACGGTCTCCCTCGTGCGCGCGCGGGTCACGTGGGTCGGTCATTCCCCATGGACTGTATAAATAGTCCATCTGTATAGTTTCACTGATAATGTGGTAGCAATTACGAGGGCTGAATTACTCGACCTGCCGAGAGTTCTGGTCACCTATTGTTAGATTATGACTGACGAGAGGTTAATCGCGCGGGACCTTCTTTGAACTCTTCCTCGGGTCCTTTTCAAAGTTTCCACGGTAACGATATCTCCCGGGAAAGCTATGTAAATTTCTCAGCAATTTCCAGACCAATCGGGTCGATCTTAGGACCCACGAGGCGCTATCGCGCGTGGCGATTGAAAATCAATACAGTTAACGCGCTATCTGCGGCCAAACATTGCCAAACCCTTGTATGATTTAGATACTTCGGTGTTGACTCGGCGACCGATGCAGTGGCCGGGTCGTCGCGACGCCGAAAAATTAACGTCAGTCCTCCCCTGGAGGGAAGTAGCTCTTCCGCTCGTAAGACCACCCCGAACGGTGTTAAAAAAGTATACACCCTCGGTTACACGTCGCATGTATTCATTTAGTATAATAAACTGTATAATATAACTTCCGGGGTCGATAACAATTAATTCGTTAATTCTTGCCAGGTGACAAAAAGCACAGCTTCTTGACGAGTGAACAACCCTCGGGCAGAGATAGAGTGCCGGACGAGAGAGAGGTCCTCGAGATATTCGAAGAGGTGTCGCACAATCTACGATTGGCCCGGATTTACCTCGAGTATCTCAGATATGTCCGAAATGTCCGACCATCCGCTGCTGCCAGCCAATCAGAGGATACCGAGCAACGACCCAGCGAACATGGTGATAATTGAGGTAGGTCGCGGTTAATTATTGTAAATGTACGGTTACGGGGGTAATAATATATCATTTTATATCGATATCGATGCAATGAGCCTCATAGACGTATATCGAAAATTCTCTTATTTTATTTATTTCTTTTCGTTTTAGGTCGGTCTCCCTGGCGATACCTGGAGGTACTGCATCGAGCGACACAGACTGGCAGAAAAGTCGGAGTGGTTTCGCGCGATGTTGCTGGGACAACTCGCCCCGGAGGCCAGCAACCCCCCGCCGACGTTGCAGCTGCAGTACGTCGAGAAACGGGCCTTCGACCACTTGCTGAGGTGAACACTGTGTACACCGAGTTCAGGGTGCCTGTACCTAGGTATCATGGCCGTGGTCTCGCGAAGAGCACCCTGAAGTCGGGCCTCGGTGCGCCTCCGTATGTATCACTTCTCATTTCGCGGTCATGTGTCAAAATCTCGACCAGACCTCTCGATTCGCCGTCGTCGGCGTCCTGGGGGTCGTCGCGTACCTCTGGATCGTTCTCTTGGTCACGGTCTTGTCGATCGTCGTCAACAGTAAATCTTGCTCTCGGTGCACCTGCACATCATCTGCGTCGCTCGGCCCCCCTGAAGGCGAGCGACGTCACACCGGTGATATATATCATTTTTTTTTTCTTAGGTCGATGAGACTTTCGAAGAGCCACGTAATGATTTCTCCGTCTCTCCAGGTATCTCCACGACGAGCCGGTCAACTTCCAGTCGGTGAGCACTGCCAGGGCAACCCTGGACGCGGCGCACCAGTACCTCTGGCCCGAGCTCGCCCGCCTTTCCGTCGAGTTCCTCGAAAGGAACCTGAACCCTGGCACGGTGCTGAAGGTATTTCGAGGCCTGAATTACTACGCCGAGGAGGGGGGCTCCAGGGTCCTCGACGAGCCCTCCGCTCCGCCGTCTCCTGGAGACGATGCCGGGGAAATAGGTAAATTCGAGGTCCACTCGAGACACCCGGGTTATGTCCCGAGTTTCGATAAACCGACGGCTGCCCTTTCGTTTTTAAGCGCGCCTGTGCACGAGGTTGCTGTTGTCCTGCCTGGCGGTCATCGACCAGGACCCGGAAGCCATCCTCGGCCAGGAGCGGTTCGAGGAGCTGACCGCTCTAGAAGTCGAAGAGATCGCCAGGCGAGACAGTCTGCGACTGCCGCGGGAAAACCTCCTCTTCGCCGCCCTGGAGAGATGGGCTGCCGCGGAGTGTCGCAGGCAAGGGCGGGACCCCACGGCGGCTAACAAGCGGGCCGCTCTTCAGGATGAGGTCTGCTTCGTTACCTGGAGAGACGAGGAGATTACGTCGAGATCTGTCCCGTCGGTTTTGCCTTGGAAAGACTGAAGAGAGAGATGGTACTTTCCGTAGGTCTGGTTCAGCGTGAGGTACCCTCTCATGACCGACAAGGAGTTCGTCGAGGGTCCCATGGCGAGCGGGATCCTGACAATCGAGGAGTCGACCTACATCGTCGCCAAGATCCTCGGCCACCGTCGCGACGGCGGTGCCGACTTGGTGAGTGCCTCTTGTCATTAAAATAATTAGATAATTTAATAATCGAATAATCGTACAAGTGATAAATGCCGCCTACGCATCTCGCGTTCCGGGTACTCGGTGTCGGTAATGAGACGCGGAATAATTGCAGTAACCGCGGTAGTCGGGGTGTTCGGGAATATTTTCAGTGCCGGTGCACCTGGCACTTGGAACCAGCCGAGGAGGTTGGTGCAATCGGTCCACCTCCGCTGATAAGGTTTTCGAGCCTTCCAAGAGGCACATCTGGTGATTTCGAAACGGGGTCAAAAAGGAAATAATTCCTATGGAGTCGACGGAGCGGTAACATCCCTCGATCAATCATTAACGCCTTATCGATCTTCCGGTCTGACCCAGCCCGATATCGGCCGCTTATCGGCGAGCCCCGGCGTATCTTCTCGCTGTCAGAGTAGTCGAAGACCTCTTCGAGGCTGGCGGTGGTTCCGTTTCTCGCTTATTGGGCACGTAGAGCTGCATTTACAGGCTGCTTATTTGCTTTCCAGCTGCGGAGTCCCGATGCGAGGGCACTGTCCAGGCTGTCCAGCGTCGCCAGGGCAGGTGTCGCGAACGCCGTCGACCTCCAGGACCCCAGGATGTCCAAGCCGGGGAAACGGGAGCGGGAGGACAACAAGAGGAACCGCAGGAAGGAGTGCGCCAATCAGGGACACAGAGCCTGCGCCAGGATCGGGGATTGCCTGATAAGAGTCCTCGCTTGCGTCTTCGACTGAAGAGCTTCGGCCTCGAAGAATCGACCAAGACACTTGGAAGTGACCTCTCCAGCTGGATGTCGAAGGAAGAACCCTCGAGAATTACGGTTTATTCCTGGCCTCGAAGAAGTCCTTGAGAAACGGCATGACGTTCCGTAGACGGAGCCCGTCAGCTGGTCCTGGTGAAACTCACGGAAGCCCAAGAACCGAGGAACCGGCGCAGGACTCGCACTCTTCGGGGAACTCTTCTAGGCTCCTGTCGAAGGTCCTAGATCCAAAGATCCGTGGCATCCAAAGATTATCCTCGCGGTGAACACCGCAAGAAGTGAACGTCGATCTTGTTACATCGAATATACGGATATTGTCCAGACTCTCGGGAACGAGGGCCCTCGAAGAGACGTTTTACAGCTTTCGTATTGTTGTTTTAGTATTATCTAGGGCGTAAGATCTCCGTAATGATTTATCCGGGAATTTCCCCAGCGGTCGCACGACCGGATCTCATTTATCTACGAAATTGGCGTAATCGGCACGTGGCATACCGGGGTGTATCGCACTCCGTCCGAAATTGCCATTTCGTGACTGCGAGCTAATGGAGGGAACGCGTTTCTTTTTTTCTTTTCCTTTCCCCATTTTTATCAACCCCTGACATATTGTTAATCGATGGTGCTTCGATAGGTCCCTTCTATTTCCGAGGTTTCCCCCGTACGGTTATAAAAGATGGCATTTTGTTGGTCCTTTTCTTTTTTTCTTTTCTTTCGGTTCGACCGGAATGTCTTATTTTATTCCGATTAACTGGCAGAATTTCTTGACAAAGTGCGATCGCGCGAAGTGCAATGTCTTCGGGGATCGAGTCAACCTTGCGAACGATAGGTCTCGCCGAGGACACTTTTTTGGGCCGAAACGCTTTTGTGTGTTTTTTTTTTTTCATCTTTTTCGCTCCGGATCGATAAAGTCGATTGGCCAATATTTTGCCACTAGTCGAAGGATACTTCGCCTAAGTGTGATTTAACGCCTCACGGTGAAGTGGGATGGAAACCTCGGAATTTTAGAATATCGTTATTCATCTCGTTTAGGATCGTACTCTCGACTTTTTGGAACGGTAGCGCGATAGACTAGGCGGTTATTTACGATTGATCATTAACGTTTAGTTTTTACATATTGCGCATACGTGTGTACAGTGCTCGGAACGTTCCGTTGCGTTCACCATTATTCAGAGTATATGGCGTTTGAATTAATTTATAGTAGAATTTTATGTGCCACCATGGCTGGTCCGTGTGAATGGGAGTCACGGGAGCGTTCTCGAGGCCGCGGACGGGGGCCGGTGATATTTTCAAATGCTTAAATTCGATCCTAAGAGAAATCCTTCCGCGGCCTCGAGAGCCCTTGACGCGTCGTCCGCCATCTTGGAGGACGATCGAACGTGCTCGTTGCTGTGATCGATAGGCGAAAATGAGGGTACAACTCGATGTGCTCCGGCTCTTCCGATGCGAGGATCGGGAAAACCTGATCGCCCTCCTTTTTCCTCGGATTAGATGCCACCGAGAGGAATGCACACAATTCGGGAAATGTGCAATCGAAGCGCGTCGATACCGGCGCACGAGGAGGCTGCAAGGAAATCAGAAGAAAAGGAATATAAAATTACGGGAGGGATATTATTTACACAAAACGTTTAACGTGGATATTTTCTTACGCGGTATAGGGTCAGGTGGAAATTTATATACGATGCGTTTTCTCGGCCGATCGATGCCTAGGCTTCGGAAGAGTTTGTACGTTCGGTTGCGTCGAGTCCTCGGGTGTTCCTGAAACTTTCGTACACGTGCATCTCTCGCTCTGGTTTAATGTCCTGGTATGTTTAACTATGTTATCTCTTTACTTTTCATTTTTTACCCACTGTACGTCCACGCGATCTGCAGGTACTGATCTCGGCGAGGCTCGGGAGCATTTTTACAGAATAAAAACAACGAGTTGCACTCCAGTCGAGGGAGGATCGCCGGTTCATTTATCCTACGTCAGAGCCGGGATTTAATTTCACAGGTCCTCGAGGGCGACGCAAGAGGGCACCCGTCGGAGAAACAAAATCAAATGTCGAGGCGTCCAGGTTAGGGGCCCGCCCTCGTCGAAATCGCGAAATCCGCGTCCTACGTGCCCGCGATGCTGTAGATCCCGCGGAAGATGCATCACCGGGTACTCGAAATTGCAAGTGCGCCTCGTTACACCTACGTCCATAGGATCTCTTTTGAAGACTCGAGCTAGCCGGCGGAAAACGTCCAGTGAAAGATGTCAAAGGGGAGAGGAGGCCCCCGGTGCCCAGGGAACAAGGAGGAACCTGCGTAAATTACGGAATTTTAGAATATTACATCTAGACCTAGGAATAGATCCATGCATTATTTGTTAAGCTTACTAAGGCCCCTTGTTGATACATTTCCTCGACGCAGCGTCTCGCCGGGACGATCGCGAGCCACCGTCACGTAAAGATGACCAAACGATGCAGAGACCCACAGTGTCCGGCAAATAAAAATCGGTGCACGTGAGTGAAGAGACCCTTCATTTATGTATATTCCCCGGATGATCCTGAAAGTCTTGGAAATATATAGCGGATTAAATATGGAGGCGATTTAGAGGGCTGCGCTTTTTGCAGGAGAGACAAGAGCCCCGCGAAGGAGCCGAAGAGACGGCAGGATTGCCCCTGTTCCTCGCAGGGGGAACATTGCACGAACGAGCCGATCGGCAATCCCAAGACTACGCGTCCTAAGAGATCAAGGAAAGCCCTTTGCCAAATTCCGGAAGCTAGACCCGCGAGCCTGACCTCCTGTCCCTGCGCGAAGACCTCCTCGAAGGCCCGGAAAAGGTGCGTCCTCTTCCCACGGGATAAGATCAAAATTCAACGACACGCGAAACCGAGTCCTGTCCTCTTCTTTCGAGTTTCAGGAAAGTCAAGCAAGCCGACCTCGAGAGGACGATAACGATTTGCACGAGCCATAAGCAGAAGCGATCGAAGAAGAGGGAAGAGCGGTAGGCTCGATATGTCGACTTTGTGAATACCGCTCGAATTAATTATTCAGCCTCGAAGAGACGAGCTTAATCTTATGAGTCTTAGCCTTTACGGGTCTCTTCGTCTTCCTCTCCCGTGATATTAATCATTCCCTGATAAGACGGTCGGTTGAAAGATCTCGTCCGATTCGCAGCTGCATCGTCGAGGAGAAGCCGAAGAAGGCGAAGGTCGGGCAGGGTCGATGTTGCTGCCAGGGGAATTCCCCGGTCTCCCCGTGTCCTTGCAGACCGACCATGTCGACTTGCGAGACCCCGAAAACGAAGTCGAGGTCGAGGAGGTACAGAGGAGACGAGGCCTTGAAGAAGAAGCGGAAGGGTGAACGGCCGGCCAAGTCGAAGGGCATCCTGTGGAAGCTGAGCTGCTGCAGGAAGGCTCCCAGGTCGAAGGATAGCGAGGCTCCTTGTGGCCGGTACCTGTGCAGGTACAACCCCTGCCGGAAGGTCTGCGACGAGCCCGTACCTTGCGAAGACTGCTCCTACAACTGTCGTGACTTGGCCTCAGGGTGTGAATGCACCTGCGGCGATCGGCAGGTACTTCGTTCCTGCGAAGTCTATCATTTCTGAAGGAACCGATGAACGGCATACCTTAAACTCGAAGGAGGTAATAATTACGCTTCCTGAAGGGCTCTTCGGTTCCGTAGGTGAGGACCAAGCTGCCAAAGGAGTGCGCCAAACCGAAGGAAAAAAAGAAGCCGAAGGGCCCGAAGGAGGTGGCTTGTCCAGGAAAATCGGAGAAGAAGGAGAGGGCCTCGAAGAAGCCGGACTCACCCCAGTGCACCTGCAGTCAACCTAAGGACATCGAGCAAGTTTTAATTTTCAGTCTGACCAGTTGTCCCAACTCAATGGCTATGACTATTTAATATTGACTATTTAATATTCAACGTCGTTACCTTTTAGCGTTTGCGGCGGGACCGAAGAGAGGACCGAGGGAGTAACGGGCGAGAACGTGAAGGGCGCCATCTTGAAGGGACTGGTGAACGCGAAGAAGGAGCTGGAGAAACTCTTCACCACCGTTGCGACTCAACTTTTCCCTGGAAAGTGAGACTTTTAATAAAGTACCCATAGTCCAGGATTAATTCTTCGCGGGATTTTAATAAGCAAATGTCATTCCTTTGAGAAGGTCCACGGTGAAGGAAGAACATCCATGTTATCCCTCGACGTGTCCTAACAGTGCTATCATTTCGGAACCCCCGCCGCAACAGCGATGTCGCCCGAAAAGGGTGAGCTTCGTCTCCGTATAAATTATTCATTCTACCCAAGTGAGACCCAATAGAGATCTTTCCGTACCTTCCAGACGAGGCAGAAGGTAAAGAGACGCAAATCAAGGTAACGACGTATTACCGTATAAACCGGCGTACAGAATAAAGGAGCCTCGGTGCCAAAATGGCCATTCCACCGAAGAGAGGCATCGCAATGTCGACATTTGCGTACGTAATTTCTTGAATTCTCATAAAAAAAAAGAAAGAAAAAAAAAACCGATGAACTCGACCCACAAAGGTACGTCCCCTTCCTGTCCTCGATTTTCCCGGAAAGGAATCTCAAGGAAGAGAGTCGCGTGATTCCCTCATCGCCTGCGCATTATCTCGAGTCCTTCAATTTCTGGCAAAGCCACTTTTTGGGGAGCTTTTGACTAAAATTTCCAGACCATCTGGACCGAGGCTAGATTTCCCACTCTATTTAATGCTTCCAGAGCGAGAACCTGAAGCCGTGTCTGAAGTGCTCCAAAACGAGTCCTGCTAGCGATCCGTGCTCAAGGAGCATGGATTTCTGTACGAATAAAAGGCCAGAAAGCTCCTGCAAAAAGCTGAGCTTTGTCTGCGGGGAGGTAACGGAGGAGACATCGAGCATGTCCGACAAGGAAGTCGACAAGAGAAAGGCTCTGGGTCTCGTCTTCGACGTCGTTTTCTGGCCCTACGCCTTCTGGCCGCGCCGCGATCGCTCCTAATAGTCCTCTGACAATAAACAACGGGGCCTCCGGTATCGCTTGTTTTCCAAAACGTATCATTCAATCGTCGCAATAATGGAACAGCTTTCATTATGATTTTCGACACTTTTATTAGCGCAATATTCTAGACCGTTCACAGAGGTAAACGACACTTCGTTGAATTAGGATACACTAGCTAATCGTCACCTGAGCCGCGTTAAGTTACATGTTAAGTTGCACACCGAGTATATCGTAGGTAAAGTATTTTGCGTTAAAATGTACAGACAGCGATGGCAGGATTGAAAAGTTAAGAAAAATGTGCTCTCACACTGACCGCGTTGGAAACACCTTGGAAATCTTAATTTCTTTTTTTTTTCTTATTTCTTCAATCCTTAGATAGACCTTAATGTCGATTCGGCGTAAGCCTTACAGTCTGAGGAAACTATTAATATATCTAGTTGTCCTCCTTTACGCTCTCGTTCCTGGCGATATATTCTTAACTACGATCAGGATCCTTCTTGCGACGAACGGAAAAGTTATATAAAAGAGAAACGCGTCAACGGCGATGAATAAATATGTCGTATACTGTTACATCCATCGCGTTTCCTCTGAGGCAGTGATTTCTAGTATCGCTCCGGCAGCGAAACCAATGGACGATTTAATTAATTAGAAAATTCCCTACGTTCTGCTAAAAGAAGTATGTTTGCACAACTCAATCGGTGCAACGTATTCCTAATCGTCGTTTGTTACAAAACCAGAATTCAAGCTATCTCATGTAGTCCACTATGCACTTTGATAAGCTATTCGGAACTGCGAGTAGTTAACGTAGCCAGTATCTAAAACATGACAGGTCTGCCGTATCGTCTTGAAACTCTGCAGATAATCGCGATACCTCGCCTAGGTACTAACGTTACGTACAGGAATACTCTTGACACACTAGAATAATAAATGAGGACTCTAGATGTTTGCTCACGTCGCGTGACGATGATCATGCGGACATTCGTTGCAGATCCCTAAGAACGTCATCTTGTTTTTGACTCGCGCAGGCACAGTTCACTAAAGAACCTCGTACCTTCACTCCACGATTTTTAGTTGCATTCTGAAAGAGGACTCGTAAGAGAGGGTTGTTCGTCATTCATCGAGCACTGCGTCTGTTAGTGTTCCTTAGTTGCTTCTCGATCTCAAACTGTCGCAGATCGGCTCTCTGGAGGAAGTCCTGACGTTCTAGGTATCCATCCTTCCCCTTGTTGTGAGTACTAATCTCTTCTTCTAGGTTCTCTGCCTTTTTGAAATTATCCCAATCCAGCTTGGACTTCTCCAGAGTACTGATCTTTGCTTTTTTCCCCAGCTGTCCGAGGACCGAGGATATTCCACTCAGACTACCTCGCTTAGCTCCACGACCTCGGGAAGAACCGTTCGAGGATGTAGAAAGGGGGTTTGACTTTCTTGCTGGATTCTCCGTTGTAGGCAGTGAAAGTCGCGCCTCTGCGGAGTCCAATGGAATTTCCTTTTCTACTCGAACTTCTTCTCCGGCAAACTCGAAAACTTTCGTGATCTTCACCTTATCTTCCTTCTTTGGCCTCACTGTTGGGAAAGACTCCTCTTTTGATCCATTGGATGTATTCTGGGGTTTTGGTTTTGGTACCACTGCTACAATATTAATTTTAAAAAATTTGTTATATACTTGTGTACTGCTCTAGATTTTAAATTATGATGAAGTTCAATTTATGATTACCTGTATCTTTCATAAAATCAGCCCAGAGGGAATCTGCTCTCTTTTTTTCTTCTTCCTCGGTAAGTGCCTTTTTGTCGTCACTTTTTACTTCTTCTTCGTCCTCCTCTACAGTCTTTTTGACCTCATCTTTCCTTCTTCGGTTTTTGCCTGCTACAGCACCCTTGCGCCTCTTCCTTCCTTTCTTATTTGAAACCTTTTCGTTCTCGTTATTTTCATCTTCTGGACCGCTTTCTGCTTCTCCTTCTGACTCAGCTTCGGACACTGGTTCATCCTCTGCATTTTCAGGAACGTAGTCTTCGTCGTCTTCATCAGAATCCGAAGGCAAATCATGTTCCTTGGACATATTTAACTCTGTGATTCATGGAGAATTTCATTAGTGAAATTAATATCTTTAATTTACAAAATTCTACAATGCACTTGTATACCCCCGGTAACTATAATTTCCAGAAATGATGATGATATTAATCAATACTAAATCACCATGGATCGTTATCTTTCTAAGGAATGATTTACTCTTACTATTGCCATACTTTTCCCACGGAATCATTATTTATTTTTCACTTATAACATGAAAATTTAAAATATTCAAAATGAAACACTCCAAAATGTACCTATACACAGAGCAAGAAATAAATTACTTCCGACGCATAGAAAAGGTTTTGGGAAAAATCCTACAACTTTTTAAAATATTCCTAACCTAAAGTGTAATTTTCAATTGAATGGACTCATGTCCTTTTTGATGCAAAAAAATAAAACTTCGCCAGCGTCCAGCCCAACGACCTCACAACGGGAGCCCAAATTTTCCGACGCTCTTTGTACTCTTACAGATCTAACCTCTTTTGCGAATAAGTTGTAAGGCTGACATTTTAATGCTCATATATACTAACCACTTATTGGCCGTTAAAAAATTGGGACCTCGTTGCGAATTTTCAGAGGAACTTGAAAGAACGCAGACGCACACGAGAAATGTGCAAGGATCGAATTGACACGAACTCCGCGCATATTGGGCAACGACGCCTGGCCCGCTCCCGACAGTGTTGCCATTCCGCACGATCTTGTGAGTAGATAAATACATCAGAGAGTACACTCGACGCTGCGCAATGGCCCCAGCAACTGGTGAGAAAAATCCGTACTAAGTTCATAATGTCTCCAGTTTTTCTCCGCATTTAATTTTAGACCATAGTTTATTAAAGTCTTTCTTAATTATATTAAACACTAGTCGATTAAAAATCATCTTTAGAGAAAACTCGATGGAAAACCACGGGAATGTTATTTGCTCGTTCCTTTCCAGTGAAATATTTAAAGGGCGTTTATATCCCACGCATTGATTACATATTTTCGCATATCAAAATTAAATTATGGAATATTTAAAGGGCGTTTATATACCTCGCCTCGAGTACATATTTTCGCATGACAAAATGAAATCCCGTGCAGGATTAGTAACAACATTCGGACGTTGTCAAACACGTTGCGACAATTGTAAAACGTGGAATGGCGTGTCAGGAACATCTGGAGATACTTGTGGGCAATTGTTGGAGACTAGGAAGGTTCGTTCGAGAAGTCTTTCGGCAGTCATTAAGACATCCGAGCATTGGTTCGGTGGTTCCTTTCATTCCGCGTTGGGTTGGGCGAGGAGAATTTCTCTTTGGAAGGCCTGGGGTATTTTTTTTCTTTTTTTCTTCTTTTCGAACCCAAGTATACACCCACGAGCGTAGGGTCTGCACGTATTGTCGGTACTCGGAGGTCTCATTGAAAAATGGGCACACAACAGTCGCGACCGTGAAAACCCGAGGGACAAGGCCGATATTAAGGGGTGGTCCTTCCTGGAAAAAGCAACTAATGCCTCGAATGCTCTGCAGGGCACGTAATGCCCTCCTTCTTACGGCCTTTATTTATCGCTTTATTGCCAACCGAAGAGTGTTTCCCTTCGGGATGCGTGGAAACTGGCTAAAAGAGAGAAAATACGCATACGCCTTCTGTTAGGAAAGAAAGGTATTAAAATATTCTGGAGAATTATCCTGGTTTCATTTTTATCCAGTCTAGTCGTTTAGCGGGTACCAGTTTAAAAATTCTGACGAAGATACAAAGAATGGGGGCGAAGAGATGTTTTTGTTAGTACTGGCAATCGATGTTTATGGGCGATTCTTTTTTCATATTTTAAATGTCCAGCAAAAGTACAGGTCGCAGGGAATCCCTTGGAAGACTCAAGGGACCTGGACATTGCAGGAAGACCCGGAACGCCTGTTATGTCGTAAATCAGCGGACAATTCCTTTGGAGGAAAGTGACCGTTCCCGGGGCTGGGCAGAGGCGACTCGAATTACGGTTTCCTTCGCGAAGGACGCGTATCCGCCTGGCGAGGTCCAAGGAGCCCTTTTGGGAACGACTTTACGAGTTTTCACTTTTACCAGTTTTCAAACGAAAGAAGGGACTCACCCTGGGAGGTAGCATCGCAGAAATTCACCGGTCTACCCTGGGGATATTTTAGCCATGCCATGTCGTGAGCTAACAATTCAGGATAGGACACTCAGGACACCGACCGTTGAATATACAGGCCGAACGATGTTAATCCCGCGTATGAACCATAACATATGGCCGATGAGGCTGGAAAATATTCTCTTTAAGGGTGGCCAAGCTCAAAGGGACTACGGTAATTTTTGGAGCCCGAATTTATCAGGCATCGGAAATGTAAATACCTACAGCTGCGAGGGAGGGGCCCGAAATCCTTTCGAGAGCCCCGGCATCTTGACTCGTGCATTTTGTTCTGTCCTGCGGGCCACTCATCCACCCCTAACGTCAAACCTCAGCATATCGATTTTGCGAAACCTTTTACCACCCCTAAAAGGGTCTCGTCCGATGGCCGGGCCTCCTGAAACTTCGCACCTGGAAGCGAGAAGAAACTTCTTCGCCGCCGTGTCCGCCATCTTGCGATTCCCTCCTCTCCTCCGAGATCGCGATAAGCACGAGGCCGCTGCAAACGATTTCCACCCATTTCCCTGCGATTACAAGAACGGAAGGTTAACATTAAGGGTAGATTATCGGTTAAACTACGAGACACACCTGAGAACATTCCTCGTCAACAATGATCGGTGTCAATACCTCCGAAGAAGGTGCAGCGCCGTTAGGAGGGTCTTGTCATTTTCTCACTTGTCTTGAAACCTTGCAGGCCGACTTTTATCGACCTACCTGGTTTGCCCATACCTGCAAGGCGTCAATTGTAAAGCCGAGAAGCGTTCACGGATATTTCCAAAAAATGACTCACGTCTCTGGACTCGGTTAGGAGTTTTCCTATTGTCTTTCGCCCCGGTTTCCTCGCGCATTCAGGATCGCCGATTCGCAGCGCCCAAAACGGGGCTCCAAGTCCTTCGAGATTATGCCGGATGGTGCGGGTTTATCGGACCCATTTCGAAGACTCGCAAGGCCTGAAAAGGATCAATGGTGCGTATCGATCTTACGGACAGATGGATCCAGGGTGGACGGGTTCTCGAAACTCGACCATCCCATTGTGAGCGGATCGGGAAACATTCGAAAGTATCGTAGGTCTTGGTACAGCTCTTTACGAATTCGACGGGTAGGCAGGTCCTGCAGGTCGGTCGGGCAGGTAGGCCGGCTTACCTCGGCCAGGCAGGTAAGCCCCTGGCCTGCGTTTCCGCCGGGATTTCCCCTGGTAAATCCCTCCAAGCTTTTCTTTCGATATTTTCGCCTGAACAACCGCCCCGGGTCCCCTTTTATTCCGGTCTCCAATGCACAGTACGCCTACCTGCAAAGATACACGAAGTACATGAACTTAGCGCCGTTCAAAAATAGATTAACCACATTTTAACGACCTGGTTGATAAGACGAGTTTCACAGAGCGCGGCGAGGATGAAAATTAAATAACCTCGCGCGTTACTTCCGGTACCGCTTGGCTTTTCATCCTGGACGCGTTGCCGCGCCCTGTATGACATCCGGCGCGCTGAGTCTGAACATGTATGCGAAATTAACGTAGCTGGGTTTATGAATGGACTCGCAGCGTGGGCGTGAGGTGCGTTTCAATGCGTTTTAACGCGTTTCAACGCTTTTTTAACGACGCGATAAGAGGTTCTGGATTAATCGCGGGGTATTTCCGTATCTGCGGTGGAGGTCGGCGTTCGGTGAAGATCGGCGAAGATCGGTGGAGATCGGCGGAGCTCGATGGAACTGGCGTAGACAGTAGGTGGCGCTCGGCGGAATTCGGTAGAACTCGGTGGAACTCGGCGGAAGCTGGTCACCCCCGTGGCGTCCGGGCCGACGACGCGCGTGCTCGCCGGGGCCGACGTCCGGCTGGAGGGGAAGGCAAACCGGGGTGCGGGGGGGTCGGGCGTCGATGAACGAACCCCCCGCCCCACCCTCGCGCCGCCGGGCGACGCCGCGTGGGTGGTTTCAAGGTCACCCCAAGAGCGAACGACGTAGTACGACGCCTCCGTCGCGACGCCCTCGCATAAACCGCCGCGCGATATAGCCGAGCCTACGGAGCGTTTCACCCGCCCGTTCTGTTCGCGATGCCGGGAAGAGACTTAAAACCCTTACACCTCAACCCTAACCCCAAATCCTTCCTCCTTCCGACATAACCTAAAAGCCTTTCCTCGTTTCACCCCTTTCCAACGTGCAATGCCGATTTTCAGGTTAGGCGCACCCCGGCTGAAAGGTCCTGTAATGGCGGATTGCACGAACCGCAGAGTCGATCCAGAATTCCGGGAGTTTTTCAGGAACGAAGTGCGCCCTTCCGAGAACCCTGGAATTTCGATACCGTTCCCGTTTACGAGTTACTTCGCCATTGAGGGTTAGGAATCCCGCTGGATTCTAATTCGAGTCGGGACGCCATTATTCTTGCGTGCAAACGGACTCGAAAAGGTCGTTTCTCGAAGGTTCCGCAAGAGGGTTATTCCAGGTGTATAGGTTAGATGCGCTACTCCGTAAATCTTTTAATTTCAAGGCCCCGTGTTTCTGGCAGAACCCTTCACCTAATGTGTCGCTAAAGATACAGGGCGTAGCCATTATATTCACCCTCTATGGGAGAAGATAGCTCGCTATTCATTTGCGGGTTCGTCTGCGCATTATTTCACCCCGTGCGATTTTGAAGGTCGCCATCGTAGGGCGGCTCTGACGTAGGCGCGCGCGGGGGTGTTCCGCGAGCGACACGCGTACATGCAGGCACCTACACAACGACGCGGCGGCGCCTGTAAGTACATAGGAGAGCGCCGGCAGTAAAGGCGCAATATACCCGTGCACATATAGCGGCGTCGCATTGACCGGCGGCTCCATTCATACTTTGCGCGCGCATGCGCGTCGCGAAGTAACCGCATGGCTTTGCCGTTAGCGGGCCGAGTGGGTGGCGCGTGGGCGGGGGGTGGCGGGCGGCTCTCGGGGTGGCGTGTGGGCGACGGCTTGACGCGTTCCTGGAACACGGGGAACTGCGTAGAAACGCTCCGCGTACCCTGAAAGGAAATTGAAAAGACCGTGAAACGTCATCAAGGGTCCCGCGATGCCCGAAGAGAAATCTCTTTTCTTCCCGAAAGGCGTCGTATCTCTCGTATCGCCCGATAGCGATTAGGGCCCGTTGGCGCTCGAACGCATTTTTTCGACTCCAATCGATATAATACCGAATTCCAACTGGTTCCATGACATTATTTTCAATTAAGTCATTCAATATCTGAGCAATTTAGCGTCGCAACTGAGAATTCACTTGTTAATCGAGCTTTAGGTTTAGTACAGACCTAACCTCGAAATGAACGGGAATAATTCCGGTGGAGGATTCTGGGACTGTATGAAATTCCAATTAATGCTGGGAGGGGTACTCGTCATTAATTTGAATTAACCGAATTTTATCGCTCCTTTGATCTGTTAATTTAATTAACACGGTTTGTCTAATTTAATCGAGAAGCTACATCTGTAGGGAGCGGAGATCGCATCATCCCCGGGCCGGTGCGTGGGCCGTGCGCCCCCAGGAGCGACTGGAGGGGGAAGCGAGCTCCGCGAGTGTCGTCACTCGCGTAGGCCGGCGAGGGGTGGGGGGTGCCGGCCGGCGGCCGAATGGAGCACTGAACACGCTCGACGCTCAGTGCGAAGTCAGTGCTCGAAGCGTGAGGTTCGAGCCCGTCCCTTCCCGCTTCCGGCACGGTGTATACTGCGTCGTCCATACAGTGCGCGCGCCAGAGGAAGAGAGTCTCCAAGTTTCACGTGACGCATCGCGACGCCAGGCTGCCGGCACGAGGAGCACCCATCGGCACCGACAAGGTTAGGAGAAATTATCGTTAGAACGATCTTCTCCATATTATTCGCTATATATTCGATGGCGCGGTCAAACCTCGACAGGACAAATATGACTTCCAAGCGAGACGGAGTATCGGAGATTTCGACGGTGTACGCGTTTCTTCTGGCCTTTTTTATTTTTATTTTCTTTACTTTCTTTTAACGCGGGGATTTAGTCGACACCCAAACTATGCGATCATTTTTCTGGAACGAGTAACACGGTTAGAGTCGGAATTGAAATACCGAGGGTGACCGAAAATTAGATCTCGCCTCGGTGGTTATAACCGGCTGCCGCCGATGTTTATCGCCTCGAATTTTCAGGGCTGGCTCTACGTCGACGGTACGTTGTTTATGACCCGTTGTTCGCGACTCGCTCTTGTACGGCGATAATTTTGCCCGGCGATTACGGATTCGTCGAAGGAACGATCATGCCGGTCCGAGCAGCTCCGCGTGATGTAATTACCGCCTCGGTATTCGCGAAACGCTTGACGAAATTTTCCTTCTCTATTTCATGAGCCAATGCGTTGCCAATTAGTAATATGGCGAGTACTATCGACGATTATATTGCCGATTATACTGAACTCGTTTCGGAGTAATCCACCTATTATATGTTTAGCTTACTCTTGGAAAACATATTTGTTGTATCTCTATGGAGCATTTATTTTATGGTTATGTGTACCCTTTTGAAGAACAGGTAGTTGGTCCGATATGGAGCACGGGTATATACATGCGTATATGGATATACGCGTGAACTTGGCGTGGAACTCGCATCTTGTAAATTAAATACTCCGATCAAAATGCAACTCTTGAGTCTTGGTTTAACCCTTCCATCTGGAGTTTTGGTGGAGGGGGCAGATCGAGCAGATCGAAAAGTCGAGATTTAATGGAAGCGTTTACCCTTTCGCGACGTTTGAAATCGTTTCTCGGTGTCACCGGTATATCGCCACTTTCCTCTCAGCTGGAGAGTTTCATATTATCGGTATTTCTCTCACTCTCTCTCGTCATTCCCTCAAATTGATGTCCTTCAAACCGCTTGTCTCGTATCGACACCTCTCGAATAAAATGCGTCTACCCGTCGAGAAAATTCAAAGGCTACATAACATCGACTTAATGACGTGGAAAATATCGACTTCGAGATTTTTTACATGTGTTTCGATTAATTCAAAATGTCGGGCGCCGAGAATCGGGTTAAAATCCTGGGGGAGTTGAAATTTATTCGTTCGTTTATAGTAGCCTCAGGAAATGTTCCCCAACTCTAAATTCCGAATGGAACTGGGAAAATAGGAATTCGGCGGTTTCAGGGCTTGTATGTGTTTTGTTTTTTTCTGTTTCTTTAAATGGTACACGGGAATGACGACTGTCTGTCACGGAGGTACCGATTGAAGATGCGCCACTCGACTCTCGTGCCCCGGGAGTGTCGCACCGGGCCGCGCCACGCCGCGCCGCCGCGAGGGGCGCTGCGGTCGCGGGGAGGATCGATTCGCCGGCAATCGCGGATCGGATCTGCGAAAACGCGAGTGGCCGCCCACGAGGCTCGCCGCCTCCGCGATTAATCCCCCTGGAACGTCTACCGGTAACTCCCGGGATTCGTCGGGACGCCGAGATACGCGTCCAGGATCCCGGCGAGTCGAGGAAGATGCCGCCTTTAAGGACGGATTATCACCGCGAGTCGACGTTTCGATCGCGTCCTCCGTACCGTATCCTTTCCTTTCGCGACGTCGGGAAGACGTTGATCGACGTACCGACCGAAATAGCTCGCGAAATGAGCCATTGTGCGTCTGTTAGGTAACCGCAGGCCGCCCTCGAAATCCCGCAAACACGATTTACGGTAGGCTCTTCCGGCGCGGTTCTGAAAATCTCGACTCGCCGGCTCTAAACCTCCGTGTACAGTTTTTACGGAGTCGAGGATCTCCGGTATGACCTCTGCCTCTTTCTTTCTCTCTCTCCCCTCTCTATTCGGTGTTTCTCTCGTGGGTCGTGTCGGGGAAGTCAGGCCGGCCCGAACGGAGGCTTAACGCGATCGATACCATTTTCGAGGATTTAATTTGCTGGAGATAACGCGCTTTCTCCCTCGCGCTTTTCGGACGGGCCTCGGGACGACGGAGGGATGCTTACGCGCGGATGTCTTTCGGTCGTTTTTTCTTTTTTTTCCTTGGGCCCTAGTCTACGGGAGGGAACTATTGAACCCTCGAAAAATGGCCCCTCCTCTCTCAAAACCGACCGATAAGATCTCGGATACATTCCGGAACGTTACTCTGGTATTTCGGGTATATCTGCCCGCCCCTGATAGGGACTCGATAAACGTCGGGGGGAGGACTCCTGCATTCATTTTCACAAATTAAACCAAACTACTTCTTTTGGTATTTTTAGGTATTTTTATCTTTTTTTTTTTATACCTCGGAGTTTCGAGGGGATAATTCTCATCTTCGGGGAGAGGAGGAATAATTCGAACGCCATGGTCAACGAGAGGACTAATCGCCCCCTGGGTAATCCTCGGGGTGGATATTCCGGTAAAACGAGCACGTCAAGTGCGCCACGTGTCCACTTTCTCCGGGGGGAGAGGAAAACCTGTACAGGGGGTTGGGAAGACGCGGATATATAACCTGTTCCTTGTGTCCGGGTAGCGTTGCTTTGCAGCTTCGACGAGGAATGCCGAGAGCCGGCCGTTGGGGTTGTTCGAAGTACCACGGGCAGGACGGTTTATTATTTAATTATATGCACACGTGTATATACATGATATACGGAATTGTTCACCGCTTTCGGCTCAGAAGCGGTCCAAAGTCTGCACGAATGCATTCGACCCGACCTCCGCGCAAATGGCGATTAATTCGTGGGATCTCCCGCAAGCACGTGGGCCTATTTTTGGAGAAGAATTTAGAACGCGCTTTTTTTTTTGTGCCCAAGAGAGGTTGTCTGGATTTTCGGGGGACATATGCCAAGACCTGCAACCTCGTAAACGTTAATATCTACATTATCAAGATTTTCTTTCTTTTTATTTCTACCACTTAAAAGATATATTTTTACTTGAGAGCCTACGATTTTCTGATCTGCAAAATCTGCAAAAGGCATTAACGATCAGTTTCAACTCCGGAATAACTATTTGCGCCACTGTTCAGTACTTCATTCCTAATCCAGCGGGTCAATGTACCCGGGCATACGAAGTTTGAAATTAATCGGGGGCATGCGCTTTTCGGAACTTTATCCGAGATTGAATGATGGTGGGCTTGCCTCGTCATTGGCGAGGGCCGATCGTCGAGGTCTTTTCTCTCTTTTATGGGAGGGATGAAAATCGACCTCCTCGCCCCCTTTCTCGGAATCTAGGGCGGTAATGAAAGTTTTTCCCCGGGCCCGGGGTGCGGGCTTTCACTTTCGCCTTCCGCGTCCCAACGGCTTCCCTTTCGCTGGGGCGATCGGCTCCCCAAACCTCGGATCCCTCGGGAGGGGCGACAAGGGGAGACACGCGGAGAGAGGAACCCCTCGAACTGCGGACCGAGACCCAACTCGGATCGCATTTATACGACGGAGTCGTCGATATATATTATGCGAATGCGAATAGTCGTCTCAAATTACCTGAAATTATTTACGACGCGCTCGGATACGACCATTTACCTATTTAAGGTTGCTCAGAGTTAAATTTTTTTTTTCCTAATCATTTTTATTCCCAAAAATGAGAAACGGCCCTTTCTTAATATTAGAGAAAATGGTCCCTTCATCCTACCTCTCGCTTAATTTTACTATCGCCATGGACAGTTCGGTATGGAGGAGGCCATGCACCCCACCTCCAAGAGGGGTGCGTCACCTCCCCCCTCGCGCCTCTCCATACGACGAGGCCGCTCGTCTCCGACTGGTTGCCCATTCATCGTTTGCGCTCTTTTTACGGCGCGCTTTCCCAATTACGATAAAGAGACAGAGAAAGAGAGAGAGTTAGAGAGAGAGAGTGGGTGGAGGGAGGAGAAGGTCGCCGGAGGACGGCGCGAGAGCGAAAGTGCGGGGCGAAGGGGAAAGGGTTGCGCGCGCAGCCGGATCTAGTCGCGTGCTGTCGCGGTGGGCGCGGGGTTGCGCGGCATAGATCGACGCCGGCCGCCGGCGGGGTCGGATCGCTCAGAGATTGATGAGGGTCGGCGGCGCGCGCAGCCTCCCCTCCCTCATCCCTCCTCCATCGTCGATTCATTGAGGAGACCGCGGGGGACAGGACCGACCTTTGGTCTTCGACCCGCATGCAGGCGCCATCTTGGAATTCACACAGCACTCGACGTGATCAATCGGGAAATTGTGAGAGAGAGACCCCTCTCTATATTTTCACGGTCGATCTGCTCGACATGGATGTTGTGTACGTCATGTCCTTTCGTTTCCTTTTTTTAATTTTATATCTGCCATTTTCTCAGGCTTTTATGGGCTTTTTTCTCTCTCTCTCTCTTTCCCTTGTGCTCTTAATTTTTATTTTTCTCGCGTAGCCCGTCGCACGGGGAGACCGGGAGCGATTAGGGCGCCGAGGTAAAAGGAGACGGAAAGAGAGCGCTATGGGGAGGGTTTTCTGGATACGGTAAGGCTCGTGATGGATGCGTATTTTTCGGAGCGGGCAAAAGGGCCCCGACGAGGTCGGCTCGGGTCGGCCGAGAGGAGCGCGGGTGGCCCTTGCGGTGCCCTGGTGCTTCCTTCCTGGAAATCTCTGGCCCTCCTCCCTCCTCGGGCCCTGAAACGAGGAATGGCAGCCGGCCTCCAATAATACACGGAGATACCCGACCGACAAATGTTTCGGGAGGGCCGACGAGTGTCCCGGAAAATGGAGGAGTCCCCCCTTCGGCGGGAACTGGTCGAGGGGGCTGCTCTCTGCCCCCTTGGGCCTGGGAAATTTCCTCCAATGTGCCTCGCCCACGGGAAGAACCGGGCGGTTCGATTCTCTACGAGCTCTGTTTCATGTTAGGAATATTTAGAAATAAGCGGACGGAATGTAGCTTCGGACGGAGGTCATTCATATTTTGTTTATTCTTTGATTACAGGGAGATACGTCCTCGTTCCGTGAGGCAGCTAGGAGAGACTTTCGACTCTTCTCGAGGAATCACACGCCTCACGATGAGTCATGGCACAAGCTATAATCGTGGGGTAGGTTGGCGGTCTGCCTTCTATTTGAGTATACGTGTATATATACATAAGGGCTGCGATGAACGTAAAAAAAATCTTTCTAGAGTAATAAAATATTTCCTACGTTAAGACGCGTTTTAGGAGTTATCACGGTTCCTTCTTCGCAGATGGTGAACAATTCGCCCTGGCAGAACATAGGATCCGGCTATTCCAGTGCCAGTCCTCCTGGCACCGCTTCTTCCGGGAGTAGCACGAATTCCCAGTGCTATGGGAAATCCCCCGACGAGCTCAGCGTCGACTCCCTGATCAGCAGCCTCCTGCAGGTCGTCAACAGCGAGAACTTTGGCACCTGCGGTCCCTGCTTCCCATCGAACGGAAACTTTGGCGGGATCCGCAGCCACGAGTGCAATGATCCTTTCTGCGACACGTGCTTATCGAAGAGCCACGTGGTAAGCGAGAATCGCGTTCGCCCGCTTACCGGTGGATGGGTTAGTCAAAATTGGATTTATACCCCTCGACGTCTCTTGATGTTTTTCTATACCCTACCTCTCCGGGTAGCTCCCGGATTACGGTGGAAACGGAAGAGACGAGGGAAATTTCATTTTAATTTTTTTTTTTATTTCTTGTTTTGTCGTAGATATTAGGTTTTTATTAATTTTCTCCGTCCCTTCAGGGTCGACCCACCGGGAACCGCATGTACGAGCACCCGCCGAAGAGCTCGCCGATCGAGATCCCGAGTCCTCCTGCGGCTCCTCTCTCCAGCTCTCCGCCGGCCTCTGTCAGCCTCTTCTGCGACGTTCATCGAGACGCTCAGAGATTTTATTGTCAAACCTGTAGCCGACCTCTGTGCGGAGAATGCGGCATCAATCACCATCAGGGCCACCTTACGGTCCACCTCATGGAGGCCGTCGAGAGTGCCGGGGTCCAGGCGAACCAGGTCATGAACGACGCCAGGGTGGGCATCAACGTCCTCAGGGAGGACCTCGACGCGGTACAGGTGCGGTGAAGTTTTGTATTCGGCGGATCGGGCGAAATTTTCCGGGTGTTTTAATTAATCGTTGATCGTTACCCGTAGATGGCCGCAGATGCTCTCGAACAGAAGGCTCGCCAAGCCAGGGCGGACGTTATGCTGTGCATCAGAAGGGTCGCTTCCGCATTGGACGCTAGGGAGAAGGAACTCCTGGGCAGAATCGAGAAGGCCAGGGTCATCAAGTACACCGCCCTGAAGGCGAGGGACGAGGGCCTCAGGAGTGGGATCGCGCGTCTATCGAGGACCGTTGATAAACTCACCGACGCCATGGAAACGTCCACCCTGGCCGGAAATCCGATGGATCTCTTGGTTACCAAGGATCTGGCATCTGCCGAGGTGAGGAATCTTCTACCGAGGTCTCTTCGAGGCACTTGAGTTTTCTCCTATATTTATAAGGATCTTCACTGAGGCAAGGGTTAATTAACACGCGTTCTCGTTATCAAGACGCGGGAATGCTTCCAGGTCTTTCAAATCCGCCAGTCCCGGCAGGGGTTGCCTCCTCCGGAGGAGAACTGGATCTCGTTCACCGAGCCCGAGGGTAACGTGCTCCACGCGATCGCTAATCTGGGATCGATCGTCGTCAACAACCCTGGACCCATTGGAGATCGACGCACCGTGAGAGGACAGCAAAATGCTGCCTCCCCACAGAGGTATCAGGTGCACCAGGGCCAAGGACAGACGATTCCCCTGGGACCCGTGCCCAGAGGTCGGCCGATCCCGTCCAGCACGTTCCCGGTGACCGTCAGGGCCTGCAGGAGCGCCCATCCTTGCATCGTTAAGCCTCTCAACATCGGGAACAACGGAAACGACCGCGACAACCTCTGCAGACCCTGGGGCGTGGCCTGCGACAAGGAGGGCCACATAGTCGTCGCCGACAGGTCGAACAATCGCATTCAGATTTACCGCCAGGATGGCACGTTCGTCAGGAGGTTCGGCACACATGGCACGGCCCCCTGTCAGTTTGACAGACCCGCCGGGGTCGCCGTTGATGCCAGACGACGCATCGTCGTCGCGGATAAGGACAACCATCGTATTCAGGTACTTGATACTGGAAAATAGACTGAGAGGAATCGGTCGCGTCGGTTATCACGATGTAGGGTAACGTATCCCATTTCTTCTTCAAGATCCTAACCATGGAGGGACTCTTCCTCCTGAGCTTCGGCGAGAAAGGCAGCCGATGCGGCCAATTCAACTACCCTTGGGACGTGGCAGTGAACTCGGAGTGCCAGATCGCCGTCTCGGACACGAGGAACCATCGCGTGCAGCTCTTCAGCCCGGAGGGGATCTTCCTGAGAAAATACGGCTACGAGACCACTCCCAGCATGTGGAAGCACTTCGACTCGCCGCGTGGAGTCGCCTTCAACCCGGAGGGCAACGTCGTAACCACCGATTTCAACAACCATCGCGTGGTAGTCATCGACTCGGACTTCCTCAACGCCAGGATCCTCGGATGCGAGGGCGGAAACGGGACCAAGCAGTTCCTCCGACCCCAGGGCCTGGTCATCGACGACGAGGGCAACATCGTCGTCGCCGACTCGAGGAATCACAGGATTCAGGTATTCGACTCGGCCGGCACCCTGAAGTGGAAATTCGGCAGCTACGGGAAAGGACCCGACGAGATGGACCGACCTTCCGGCATCGCTCTGAGCCCCGATGGCAGAATCGCCGTCGTCGATTTCGGCAACAATCGCGTCCTACTCCTGTGAAGAAGCATCGGTTACGCCCTTCGTGGGACTCTTCACCTGGTGGAGATCCCCTCCTCGACTTCTCAACGCTCATTTTCTCACGACTATCATCGACCACGCACGCACGACTTGCGCGTGCACGCAGTGCACTGCTCCCCTTCAAGGTATGACGTTTGTTTACAAACGTAACTTAACATTTAAGTTGCATACTAACCGGTTGCCCGGCGACATTCGGTATTAACGTAACACGATGTCTGAATAAGCATGAAGGGTGATCCGGGTATTGGGCGAAGGCTGTTCTATTTTTATTTCTTTTACTCTTGATCTTTCTTTTTATCTTCTTTTATGTGATGCCACGAGATTTTTTCGAGTTTCAAAATTCGTTAATTTGTAAATTCGGCGGTAAGCCGCGAGGAGTAGCTCTTTCGATCAACGACATTCGGACTCGACGATGATTGACCGTTTCGAGAGAATAAATCCTCTGAGATTATTATTCGACACGTTTACGCGGCGATACTTTCTTCGGTCGCTTAGCGATATCCTGTGGGAATATGGTCGACACTTCGATGTTGTTTCGGTGAGCACTCTATAGGCACTTTCGATACGCAGGAGCACATGATTCCTGTAGACTAATTCGGCAGAAAAAAAAAAATTAAGTCTTTCGATTTAAGTGTAAATTCGTGGAATTCATTAAATGGTATTTTCGTTGCTCCCCGTACGTGAGGGGAATAAAACACGCGTGATAAGTTGAGGGGGAATAGGACAAAAGGGAAAAAAAAAGATGCATTAATTCAGAAGAGAAACTTCTTCGCACTTTGACACCATGGGTCAATCGGGAGATCTTGTACCGAGGCTGAGACTCTGTAACTGGTTCTTTTTAGAGAAAACTTCGAATCATCGTTCACACTGTCTATTCGGTTTCTTATCGGTACACGGATATACATTGGACGTTTTCAAAGAAGTTAAAATAAGTACAGGCTTGATTTTTATCGAAATGCTATACAGAGGGATATCTGCTCCATTGACTTTTTTTCCTTTCCTTTGATCGAGGTAAAGAGACGAATATCAATTGCATCCGCACAGTAAGACTGAACCAAGACTGAATACGAATGTCAAGTTTCTGTTGTACGTCCGTTCAACATTAAAACTGATCAAAGATGTACCCCTAATTAAGGAACTTTATTATTAGTCGTAGTGGTAGCGATCGGGTTGCGTTAGAATCTAATGCCTATGGTTTCTTTTCTCGGTCCTCCTATATAGATTATGTTAAACGCCCTTTGCGAAAGACGTCTAGAGGTAGTGTTGTATTCGTAAGTCACTTAATCGATTCTTATTGTAAACGTTTTAGATTTCACACGCTATTACGTTCCTCTTAAGTTTTAGTAAGTCCGCCCTATGGCTTCGCCGGTTCAAACGTAGAATCGGTGCGTTCTAAGAACGCGTTAGATGAGCACCTCTGCGCGCGCGTCACGTGGAACACTAAAGTTTTGTGTATAACCTCAAATGTGAAGTTTCACCGGCTTGTGGCCGCCATTTTTAGGCAGGTAGCAGGGAAACGCGTCGCGGTTGAAACGGATAATGGACCTACGATCGTTCGATTTAACTGGGAAATCGAGAATTAATCTTTTTCGGGTCCAACTAAAAATGGCGACTTCGTGGCTGTTCCGAGGTATAGAACGTTGTAGTTCAGAGTGTTCCGAGTCGAATCTCTCAGCCAAAGTGAAGTTGCTCAGCAAGCCTGTCGTTTGGCAGATTAAAAGACGTTGGTCTTTGTCATGATATATACATATATATATATATATTATAGCCTAGTCACGTATCCAAATCTGACGTTATTAATCCGCCGCTTAACGGCGGACGTTAAATAGACTTCGCGCTTCGGTGCCGTGGGGACGCCATTGTCCATGCAATGTCGACGAGCCGAGGCAATGGCGGAGACTCGGTTATATTATTGGTGTTAATGTTTATACGTAGTTGCTCGCTTTCTCGCCCGTTTAAAAGAAATCACCTTTTTGCAACATCTAATCGTATAGCGGCGTTTAGCGATGCCTTGTGTTAATCGAGAAATTATATATATTCGGGAATGTTCGACTGCGAAGCTGTCGAGGTTAGGGTTGAGCACCCGGGGAGTTCGCCTAATTTCAGCCGGTGGACGAGCGTTGTTTGACGAATTGCATTTCGAATGCTGGGGGAATACGCAGAAATCATGACATATTTAAGGTGTCGAACTTTTGGACGAGTCTCATGGACTATAAACGCTATTTTCTGCGTGTTCCTTCGAACGTTGCTGTGCTCAACCGTCGTTTCGTCCTCGGCAACTTCGCACGGGACGTTTCCAACGATCGCGGGTCGACAAAGAATAGTATCGTTGTGATCATAGTTCCATTGATCGATTGAGTGACTAAATCGGCTGTATCGACGAGGAATGCGATAACAAGTTGCAATTTTAGTTCCTTCGATGTGTCCCACTCCGAGTTGAAGTTAAATCTCTTTATGCTTTTTTCCTTTTATAATGACTGTATCAAGAGGGGATAACTTGTATCCGATTGTTTTATACAATGACCGACACCGTGCATAGTTTGTTAGATACCTTTTTTTTATTTACGGTCTCGACAAGTCTATAATGTTTACTTTCAATTTTAGGCTATACCGTGTTCCGCAGTATGGCTTAGAATTGTGATACGATACGATCTGTTACGATCTGTTGCGGTCTGTTACAGCAGAGGCACGCGAAATTTAAACGTTATTTTATATTTATTTACAAGCAAGGGACTGGTATGTTTTTAATTAAAATCGTGTCAACCGCCATGATCTTTCGTAACTTCTGTCAATGACTATGCCGATATTCCGAAAGGCCATACGTGGGTGCATTCGAGTGCATTTCATGATTTTACTCATAAGATTACGATGTCATATATAGGGCTGGCCTCGGCTATCGTCTTCCGCAGCAGATACTTTATAGTTACCAATTACACGTGACATTTAATGTCTCCGTTACACTTCAACAGTGTCATGTCCGATACCGTCAGGCTATGATTAACTTTAATCGTTATCGTTGTACAAAGCTCATTTTTGCTATGACCTCGAGAAACCGATGTGTCGGCGCGAGGGAAGTCACTTTCCATATAATTTTAAACGTGGAGAAACAATCTAGGGTGCCCGATCGGACAAAAAGGCGTTTCGAATGCGATAGTACTCCAGTATTCGGATTGTGATTTCACTGTTTGCTTCCGATGGAATAACAATTATTTTCTTACTCTACACGTGGTGCTCGTCAGCCATTAAATGATGTCGTATTACCTGATATGATTTACGTGAGAATATTTATAACATGAATCGTTAAGGTTCAGACGTTGGTGCTCTTATATCGTGCTTTAGGGATTACATTATTGTATCGGTTCGCTCAGCCATTGTAACTACATCCGACTTGCTGTATATTCATACTACGCTCAGCACCTACATCGAAGTTGACAATTCATTTGCCCGTGTCGCTCAATATTAGTTGTAACGACCACTTGGTGTCCGAGTCCGCTTATAGTGTCAGATGATGCTTCCGATTAATCCTGTAAGCCATACACCGTGTGATGAGCATTTGATGTTACGAAGTGCACGGCTGTCTTGTAAAAAACAATATATATAAAATAACCGCCGAGCTTGCAAGGGAAGAACGATCCGAGTCGCGTTTGTGCAATTTTGAGATAATTATGCAGATCAGCTTGGAATTAAATCGGAGTAATTTCCCCTGAAGAAGTTACAGGTGCTACGTAAACTTTACTCGCTCTCTACTTAAAATCTTGTATACATGTTTTCTTTTTCCTGAAGGTTGGATCGTTTTTCCCGTGTAATCTTCGCATGTCCAGCGAGGGGATGTACCTTTAAAGACGCGCGTATGTGTGTGTGTGTGTACATGTACGCCGAAAAATCAATTTTAACGCGCGGTGAGATAATTCATTCCGAACATTCTGATGGGTACACTGTGGAAAATCTCGTTTTGCGAGAGGTTGCAATGTTAAAGCCCCACGTGGGACGGTGCCAATGTACAAAGCTAACTTCCGGTTAGCATTAATAGCACGTCGGGGGAAGAATCTCCGGTCGAGCGGTCTCGGTGAAAAATCGAGATAATGCGATCGGTTTCGATTTTTTTTTCTCTTTTTTTTTTTTTTATCAACCGAACTACTCGACCGGGGATACTTTTTCAGCGTATGGAAGAGATTTAGATGACGCGTTTTCGATGTGACGGGTATAAATACAGAGGTGCAAGACGCGTTTGCGAGTGCACGCGAATACGTATGAGTGGATCGTCCTCAGTAGAGATAGGAAAAAGAACGTTGAGATTTCAGGTCTTAAGCTAGAGGTTATCGAGAAAATGGCTCGCTCTATGTCGGTGCTAGAATTCCTCCGTAGTCCGGTCTGGTCCACTGGTCTGTATGCAATCGATACGGAAGAAATATATAAAGGCGTATATTGATAAGAGTACTGTGCCAATTAGAAGGGATAGAGTAGTTCCTTAGTACGGAGGGAAGTCGAGGTGAAATTCGAGAAAGGATGTGGACTCTCTTGTACGTAATCGATGTTGGAACGGTTGTCGATGATCTTTTCACCGATTTTTCAACATTTGTGATTTTAGTTCCGACTCGATTGTAAAACGGATCTGCACGAATTGGGCCCAATAACGGATGTGCATTATCTTGGGGGGGGTTGACTCACCTCGTGTCAATGAAAATTTGCATAAAGGGCGATTATTTGAACGCTATCAAACGTTTACGTGCAGTTCTGCCTGTGATACTCTATTGGGGCGCAAATGACAACCGACATTGTACGATGCATTGTATCGTTGCATCATCGGGGATCCTTCGTAAAGAGGAATTGTTGGCCGTGGGTAATGTTAGTGCTTTCAAAGTAATAAGGCGGCTCGAATTAGGATATGTCGCTGCGAGTATACAGATATTAGAGGTACGCCCGACTATTTATGAGGAGGTATCGCGATTACTGTGCAAAGTTAAAATCAGTTGACGAGAGATCCTAATGCCGATTTAAGCGAGCAATTCTCATTAGCGTTAATAGATAAGAGAATGAGAGAGGGGAAATATTCGAGTAGCCTTTAAGCGAGAGTGTCGGAAAATTCTCAGATGAAAAATCAAACGGATTCTCGCGGGTCCCTTAACGCCACTTGAAACCCTTTACATTGCGGTGTTTTATTTCTTACTTAACACTGAATTTCTTTTTCTTTTTTTTTTTTAACTCGGAGTTCCACCTTCGGGATCAAATAAATTTAATATGAAACTCGTCTTATCGAGGAGCGATCGATCTACGGTGACGCTATTGGACAATTCTGCGAGAATCCTCCGGAATGTACAACTCTTTTTCCGCTACCGGAATTTACGTAAACAGGGAGAAAATAAAGAAAGGGGGAGAAAAGGAAACTTTGTAGTACAACGATCGGCACCTCGGCGGATAATGTTAACTGGATATTTTTTAATAACTCTTGTATACCCGAGAACAGAGGATAGGTTACTCAACGCGGCGATGTTAACGATGCTATATTCCGAGTATTGTAGAGTTTTAGTTGGTAAACATATCTGGCTACTTTCTTGTAGAGTGTGTCGAGTGTCGACTGGACGACAGACCAGGGTAGAGGAAAGGACACCGACAACAAAAGCGACGTTGTTAAATGTGTGGCCTTGCGAGAATCGCCGGTTTTGTTTGGGAGGTATTTCGTTTCCTAACGAGGACGGAAGACGCTGAAAGCAAGGAGAAAGAGAGAGAGAGAGAGTATTATTTATGGATTACGGCTGTGGAGGTGCGATTCGACGAGCAATATTATACCCTCTCCGCTGCGTGGGTGTCTAGGAAAGGCGAATTACGGTTTTTGACGAGGAATCGGGAAGGCGTGATCTTCAAAAAAAAAAAAGAAAAATCTTTATACGGTTCCATCCGACGATTCCTGCTCTCGGAAACGCGAGATCCTTGATCGACGCCGACGAATATTCCTCGTTGTACAAATCCTGCATTTTCTAGTTGATTTATTGTTCGCCCTCCGGAGCCTGGGATGGTGTTAAAGATATATCTATCGCGGGCATTATTTCCTAAGCTTTTCCATGATTCTGGGTGATTTTGTCTATCCAAGATGTGTTTTTTACGGGGTCGGGGCGGATTTAGGGGAGACATCGCGACGGTCGACGTCGGGTCGCTGCGAAGATTATTCTCCGCTCCTATTAGCGATATACATATATATATTTTTTTCTCTTTTCTTATGGTCCTTATCGATAGTATTATTGTTATCGCCAGTATCGTAAATTTTAAAGTCGGCCATGCACTGGGATACGTCATCGTAAGCGAGCGGGACGCGGGATTCATTTTCTACGGTTAATTGTCGCGGGAAATTTTCGGCGAACTGTAACTAGATAAAGAAAGGAACGAGGGGAAAAGAGGAAAGAAAAGAAAACGCCTATCTGGAACACGTGGCATTTTATGTATGTCGCGGGCGAAACTCGGTTAACCGGAATTCTTGCAAGCAGAAAAGGGCTGTCTGCAATACGAGCATTTTTAAAGCTCATACGATTAAAAACTGATACGCAGTTCCATTTAAACGCTAAACGGAGTTTCCAGTCATTGTGGATAGTTTTGTATTATTTTATATTTTCCTGTATATCGGCCCGCCGAGCTGCGATTTAATTTGCCGCGTCCGTCCCTTGGCTTATCGTGGCGTATCACACTTGAGGCAAAGAAAGTTCCTAATAATTGTTTCGGTGTCATATGGGATTATTTATTCGCTAAAACGAGAGACACGGGATGCTGCGGGGAGTGTGGGATACGTGGAGACACGGTAAAGTGTGCACGGAAAGCCAAATAAAGCACGACAAAAAGAGGGAAGATTAACGAGAGGAATATATGACGAGGAGAAATATCATTTTTCCGTATTTTCGACCTAGCTATACAGATGCACAAATGTAAGCAGATACGTATAATGGTTGTCATAGAGTTAAAGCAGTAATAAATAATGTGAAAAAGACACTCGCCATTATTTATTCGTAGGATGTCCTCCTGTTGTAGTAGATGGTTGACAACGATTTTACTAAGAAGACGCAACGGGCTGGTAACGGGCGTGAAATTATCTTTATTTACAAAGTTCAGCTCTGTTTAGACATTTTCTGGGGCCACTGCGGTTAATCAAACACTTGCACAAATCATTGAAGTTTGCCGCCTTATGTCGAATCGTTTTTCTTTTTTTTTTTCCCCCCCTTAAAAAATGACTAATTCGTGGCTCACGCTGTGCACGTTAAGGGAGTCGTATTTACAAGTGCATCGGTTATGACGGTGGGTTTAAAGTATGAATACAAGTCAGATCTAATGGTGACTGTAAAAATGAATAAATATATATACACGTAAAAGCATGTACACGATACACTTTCTTCTTCTTCTTCTTTTTTTTTGTTCTTTTTATATAAAATATTCTCTAAGATTAAAGGTCCCAGCTAAATAGATGGTGCTTAACCAGCATGTCTCGTACTCCGTCTTTCAGAGGCTGCGACTGTTCCTTCCTCGGAGGTAATTCCCAGTCGGGGTTCAAGTTAAATGCAAACTGGCTAAGTATCCTTAATTCGCACTTTATCTGCACCCACCCGGGGCTGTTTATAAAGCTCCAAGGATGATACCTAGAGTTGAATGGTTCTCGTAAAGTCAATTAGACCGTTGTGATATACTTATCGGGTTTACAGTGGCGCGTACCATTTTTGGACAACTTCGACGCAGGAACAGAGAACCTCCAGCCAGAGGTGCAGAACTTGTTCGTTGAGTCCTAGGCATATTAAGGATCGTAGTTTCACGTCCATTTGGGCGTGGGCATTATCGTGCGTCAAATTCACCGATTGAACGCAACGGTACAGGAGCTGGAACGCAAATGAAAATTGTTGGTAGGGATTGGCATACCGGGCCGAACTATTTATCCGTATATGCCGCACCTCCTCGGGCATGAGAACCTTCCCGTCCTCGTCTAGCCGATACGTCTTACACAGTACAAGGCGGCTGTAGACGGAGTTGAAGTCCTTCTCCACTTCTCGGTTGGACGCTTCCTCGATAAAGAGCCACGGATGGCACGGGCCTCCTAAAAAGGACGGCCGGCGCATTCCGTGTTCCAGGACGGCTTTTACTGCTGGACAAAGACTGCCTCGGACTAGGTCGGTCACTGCTTCGCTGACGGCGTCGTCCCCTGCACACGTGTACTGCTTACTTCGTTCGTCTAGTAACTCGACGAACTTTGCAGGAAACCAACCTGGGAAGAAAAACAAAATGACCATCGTTTAGTTTGCCTTCCGGAGGACGAAGCATCTCGCTTTACTCCACGTGCACTTTATTTTAATTCATTATCTGGGGATCCTTGTAACGTCCAGGCTTTACCTCGGAGTCCGTTGAGTTCCCCGACCCAACAGTGTTCGTCCTTTTGACTGATTATCGTAATTATATCGTTTTTTCTAAAGCCCAGTTCTACGTCATCGTGCCTCTCGAAATCTAAAATTGAATGTCGTTATAGGAACGGTCGCGAGATTATTTACTTCGCGTAGATGATTTTGCACACCTAACAATGCTTTCGCTCTTCTCTTTCGAGTTCGCGACACGTTCACGTAATTGTCGTGGTCTTTGGCATGACTCTCCATGTTGTAATCGGCGACCAACGTGACGTTCCTTAATTTCGGGTCTACGTTTATAAAGTGCCGGGCTACTTGAAGAACCGCTTCCCTCAGGTCGACGAGGATTTCTGTAATGGGAAAGTAAAAGCAGCCTTCATAGAAATGCTCACGAATATAAGTGATCGAACTTACCTGTTTGACGAATGTTTTTACATTTTGCATTATCTTCTTTACTGTCTTCCCCGAATAAAAAGGTTTGCAGCGCGGATTTATTTCGCTTCATTTGACGTCTGGAAAAATTCGATCGTCTTGTTGTTATTCTGGTGAATAATTATACTTTTTGTTTGCTTACCTGTTTAAATGCTGTTTCGGTAAATTTGGCGCAGCGTCTGGATTGCCGACCAAAACTCCTTGATCGGCCATCAAGAAGGCCAAGTGACGCCTTCTGTGGGTTTCGATAAGGACATCCGATAAGGAACCACCCACTTCTAAGGATATCTGAAATTTAATCAGTTTAGTCCTGTCATTTGTAATAATGATCAGATGAAGCGCTTACTTTGAATAATTGATCTACGTCGTCTATGTCTCCTGGTATACCAGAGAGGGCATTAAATATCTGGGCCGAATTTTCTAGTTGTTTGAGCTCCTCCTCTGTAAAATAATTCCACAGACTAATAATTCCCATATAGAGAAGGTATAAACCACCGATGATTTTCTTATATTTTATAATTGCTCACCTTTCATTTTCAACATTCCGAGGGTTATTTGAAATAAAACTTTTGAACCATCAAAGAGGAAAAGATCCCAGATGCGTAAAAGAATCTTCATATGAACTACCGATGCGAATAAAGTCAAAAACCAATGCAACGATATGAGACTTAATTCGATGTCATGCTGAACTAATACGTGATCTATGTCTGGTAAATAATTGGCTATAAGTGTTCGGAGCACCCGTTGATCTGCTTGTATTCCTAGAAATAACGTCATGTTTCAGTAATTTATTATAAATGTAGCAACATTGTGTGCAATATATTACGATACCTAATAATGTTGAAGAATAATATGAGGCAGGTAACAAATCTTCGACTACAGTAGCCATCATCCAGAACGCGTCTTCTTCTTCTAATAACAGTAAGAAGGATGCGGCCATTGTTCCAGTTCCTTGACAGTACCTGAAAAAGCAAAGAGATTAAAAAATGATTCATCCACTTTTGTTTAAAAATCCATTTAATAGTTCAGTAATGTATTAGATTTTGATAAAAATAGCAAGCATATTTACCCAATGTCAGGGTACAGCCAAGCTAGACCTCGCATAACTCGACGTAAGCGAGGAATTCCAGTGCTATTATAATGACTAAAACATGCGTTAGCTGGCATGGTACGAAGCAAATCCTTCTCTATTTGTTTGCTTGTCATTAACGCATCGTTACTCGATACCTTTACTATATCTTTGTACGTCAATTCAGATGCAGTTTTCTTTTCCAATGCACCTACAAATGTGTTCACGTTCTTTGAAAGAGTTCTCTAAATTGTACAATATAAACTGCACCATGCTACAGAGTTTACATACCAGACATTCGCAACCAGATTTGAGGTCTAAGCGAATGTGGTATCCCTTGTCGAACCATCTCACGTAATTTATCTGTGCGGGGTAAGTGTCGATCCACATTTTGCCAAGTAAGTTCTGCCACTTCTCTGTTATGGCTAAATTCCAAAAGGGCGATCCACTGTAATCTAAAATGGGATGATTGATCTATATTTAATTCCAGACCACTTCAAATATGTAGCATATATTATTGCATTTTTACGAATGCATACCTATGCTGTGGATCTTCGACGAACGGGACTCCCAATAACTTTTTAGAACTTTGCTCTGGTCCATCTTCTTCTTCTACGCGAAAACCAAACTCATCAAACCTAAATAATAATGATAGAAATAAATTATTCTTACACTTGTTTGTTAGAAAATTTATCTATAGATTGTCTATTAAGTACCTATATTCAGGTTGTGAATTTGGATCATCTGGTTGATTTAATTTTGCCAAAATATCTTGGGGCCACATTGACGCGGTTAAGGCAGAGAATGGTCCACCGGGTGCTGGAGACAAGATTTCTTTTGATAAACCTGCATCTTCTGCCTCATATTCTTCATCGGATGTAGGAGCTTCCATCTTTTTCTGTAGTCATAAATATTCCTTTTATTTAAATTCAAATCGAGGTGCTTTCTCGTGAAGTCACTTATAGTCTTAAAACCGAGAAAGGGTCCATATGGTATCTTTGCATATCTAGCGTGAAAAATCGACATTCTTCGAAACAAATCGTATCACCTATTCCATCAACAAATTCTAAACTGTCATCGATGAGTACTATTTCTCATTAAAGTGACATATAATTTCAGTCACGTAGCTTACATCCTCAATGGTCCTAACTCCAAATATGGGCTACTCTATTTTACAGCAATAACATTTATCATACTCACATCATGATCTTCTTTCCCGACATAACCTTCATGATCACGAACATTAAAAAGTGACATCGCAATGTCCATTCTTGAGGAGTGGTTTCTTAAGGACGGAAATTAACCTTAATGCATAAGAGACCTTATAAGAAATATTATTAACAGGTCATGTTAAGTCACCTGCAATGAAATGTCATTACCTTACATTACAACTACGTGCGACCTGATATAGAGCTGGTGCAGCATTATTATTATTATATAGCTAAGAATTTTCTGTGTCGATAAAAAAGAGCGATTTACTAAATTTAGGTAAATTACATTATCAAAGTAGTCATGGAAACTAATATTAAGTTCTCTTCCACTTGGGGTTTTTCGTAGATGGCGCCGTATCGTCTTATGACGCGATCCAGCTCCCGGATTGGGGGAGGCCGGGCCCAATCCGAGAGCCAGATCTGGCCAGTGGTCGCGGCCCGGACCGATGGATCGGCAGTTACCCCGGATAAGCCGCCGTCAGAGACTTCCGCAGTGAGTGTTTCAACATGGCGGACGCAAACGAGAAGATTCTGGCAGAATTGGTGAAATTACCGGGAAATAACACTTGTGCTGACTGCGGAGCGAAGAGTAAGTCTCATTTTCTGATAATACTCGCAAATTTTCTCCTCGAAGTGGCCCGTTGGTTACTCCATAACCTTTCTAACATAAGCAAACGTTCACCAAATGATATGCGCTGTTCGGGCGCGGGTCAACGTAATGTTTGCGATCGCTCCCAAGCGAGTCAGCGCGCTAGCTATTTTCGATCGATCGCTTTCTTTTGTCAAACTAGTACGATCGTTTCTTAAATTCATGGCATTTTCCTTATGGGTATCGTCACTAATTTTGCACTTCTCGTCCTTTAGTCTTATGACGCTCCCGATTCGATACGAATATTTCTGTTTTGTTTACACGTAATGACGCGCCGTCTTTTTACCAACATCCACCCGAGCTTATTGTAACGATGTTTGGATTAAAAATGTTCTTTATTGGAAAAATCCTATGGTAATGAATTTATTAATGTATAAATATACAATTTATACCAATTGATTTTATCTTGATACTGTTTTTTTTACATTAAATATGAAAAATTATATTCTGTGCTATACAGTTAACCTATGAAGGTGTGAACGCCATAAGATTTTATTCATCCCAGAAAGTTTTCCTTAAGATACTTATCAGTGGAAGTGGTGGGAATTGTGGTTTTGCGTCTGATGCTTGTATTAATATTAAGGGCTGCAGTTTTTTTTTAACTTCCTTGCCCAATTACGATATTCGTTATTAATTTAGGAGTTAATAGCATTGTGACGACTGAATACTTGCAGATCCAGAATGGGCATCGTACAACATAGGTATATTTGTGTGCACGCGATGTGCAGGTGTACATCGTTCGATGGGGGCTCATATTTCCAAGGTGAAACACTTGAAGTTAGATAGGTGGGAGGATTCACAGGTAAATCGAGTACGCGAAGTTGGCAACATTGCGGCACGACTCTACTACGAGGAGCGAGTACCTTCCTGTTATCGAAAGCCGAATCAAGACGCTCCTCAGTAAGTTATTGTTGCAAAATGGGACATAGAATGCTGCTATTTTAGCGATATGAACTATACTTGATATCTCATATGATGGACTACGAGCAATAATATTATTTTCGTATTCATTATCAGAGTATTAGTAGAGCAGTGGATAAGAGCAAAGTACCAGAGAGAAGAGTTTTGTTATCCCGAGCGGCAAAACCATTATGTATCAGGATACATGGAAGGATTTCTTATGAAAAGGGGCAAAGAAGATCCCCGCTATCAACCTCGAAAATTTGTCCTATGCGAAGCCGATGACACGCTTAAGTACCACGTTAAGGAAAATAAGGTGATAGTTTAATCAGAATATATTGCACCGATACGTCATATGGTTGTCACGTGTAATTGTTAAATAATAAGATATCTTATCCGTTCGAAGGAACCTAAAGCGATATTGAGGATATCTGAGATAAATGTGGCATTTGCACCGGCGAAAACTGGCAATCAGAACAGTTTACAAATTTCCTTCGTAAAGGATGGCTCGACAAGGCACATCTACGTTTACCACGAAGATCCAGAAGTAATAACAAATTGGTACCTAGCAATAAGATGCGCCAAACTGCACAGACTCCAAGTAGCTTATCCAGGAGCAACCGAGTCGGAGTTGTTGTCACAACTTACGATAGACTTTCCTCGGGAGGGATTCTTATGGAAAACTGGACCAAGGCATTCCGACGCATATAAGAAGAGATGGTTTACTTTGGACGGACGAAAGCTCATGTACCATGATGATCCTATGGTGAGTCGAATCATTGTGACGTGTTTAGAATTCACCGACAGACTATATCCCATAATCTGTTTCGCCCCCGATAAAGGACGCTCATCCAAAGGGAGAAATCTTCTTGGGATACAGCTACGAGGGTTTCGCGGTGAAACTTGGAGTCCCACCCGGGGCGAGGGATCAGGGTTTCTCCTTTACCTTGGAAACCCCTGAGAGAAATTTCCTTCTCTCGGCGCAAAGTGACGACGACAGGGCTCAATGGATGAACGTCATCCAGAAAGTAATAGACAGACCTCTCACGCCGCAGGACATTTCTGGTAAGCCGGAGTGCTCACTCATCACATATCCCCAATTTCAAGTGAATCGCTTATTCCGCATGAATAACTGGTGGTAGGATGGGTCGAATGAAACTAAACGATAACTTTTAATTTTCTCGCCGTTCGTAACGTCAGATAACTAATTAGCTCATTGCATACTGGATGCCCTAGTATTTTCAAGCCTGAATAGACGCCAAAGGACTGTCATTTTATTCAGCTGGAATTGTCTCGAGAAAAATTTAAGTTGGTATCATTTCTGTCTACATCCCGCCTATCGTAGCAACGTCGTAGGCTGAGTGTCGTTAACTGAAGTAGATATTTTTGCAGTAGCTGCGAGACTCGTCAGGAAACGCACAGCAAGCGGAACCATGAACATATTCTCATCGGCGAGGTAGGGCTGGATTCCCCTTAGGCGCCTATCGTGATTTCTGTCGATGTTCGTCGATTAGACGAATGGAATCGAGAACACCGACGTGGGAAGTAACATCGACGGGATCGGAAGTCGGTCCCGTCAACAGTGCTGGACACTGAGAGTCGGCCCACCTTGCCAAAGGCCCAAGTGATGGATCTTCTAGGTAAGTACGGACGTTACCCTCGACCCGTACCTAATAATGTCTCGAAGCCGAGCCACGTCGCGCTGAATCCTGCGTCCCAAGATGGCGCAGCTTGACTTCTCTCTTCGGAAGAGATCGACGCAAATTCAAGCGAGCTCCATCGGTACGACTTCCTCTCCAAAGATATTATCAACTCGATGAGCCGTTTCCTCGAGACGGGGGAACGCGTCCATGCCAACGAAGTCAGTGGTACATACAAGAAACGATTCCCGATTGTTTCGGAGATGCGAGTCGCGAAGACACGAACTCGAGCAAGACTGGCAGCCGTTTGAGACTCAACGGAAATCTGTGCAGAAATCGCTAGATCGAAAGATGGCTTTATGGGACTCTGTCTTTGCGAGGAACATTCAGAAATACTATCTCTACGCTTATCAAATCGCTATCCCGAAGTCTTGCCTCGAAGCGCCGCCCCACAGTGATTTGGGAACGGGGAAACGATACTTTTCTAGCCGAGAGATTGAGAAGAACTATTTTTATATCTACATCTGACTTCGTTGCTTAAACCCGAGCCGATGGAGAATACTTTCGTGTAAGCAATAAGCATAGCTGGCGCGCTAGCGGGACGAGACATATCACGAGATGGCGAGCCGGGAGGATTTAGGCGGTACTTCCTTGATAGACGTTGAAACGAGTGCTCGACGAGGGGCTCAGTTTGCTTCGAGGGCGCGGGTCCTCGAGATACTTTTCACCGGTCTCCACCAAACCTGATGCCATCCATCATAAAGTTTCACCGCGTCTCGAGGCGTGCCAACGAGTGGTCGGCCAGCAATCTCTGCTTCTAATCCTCGAGGTAGCTTTGGCCGGTATCTACCGACACATGTAACACGCGCTCCCGTTATACAGAAGCACAGTGGTGACGTTTGTATTTATGTATATAATTATGCGGATATATATATATTATATATACATATGTATGAATATATATAGAGAGAGAGAGAGATTTTTAAACGAGGCCTACGGACACGCCGGCCGATCCGGCCGACGTGGTCGAATATTATAAATGCTAGTAATGAAACGAGCCCTGGCGTTGGCGATTGCTTACCGCGCAGTTTCAGATTACTCGACTGATCTATTCTAAAGATATGTACAATCGAGTGTACACGTTACTATATATATTACTACTATTAATAATTATTCATTACGGTAAGGATCATTGTTTTGTATAACGCTGTCGGTCAGTTTCGCGCGGACGTCTTGTCCGCGAGAGGAGCGAGGGCGGACGGTGCTCTCGTCGCCGTTTCGCGAGGATCGATTACGCCACTCCCTCCTCGTGGTAGGGATCGATTAAATTATTTCTATGGACCCTTGTACAAAGCGGAGGAATAGTAGTTTCGAGGGCCGCGGGGATCCTGCGGCCGTTTTCAAGTATTTCCCCGGACGACTGAGAAATGCTTAGCGATCGGTTATAAGGACAGTTTAGCGTAGGGGGCGAATCGAGAGACTTACTTTTCTCGGCCGTATTTTAGCAGATTTCAACCTGGGATCGAATAGCGTTTTTAAACTTTAGGGCCGATGCACGCTCCGATGTTGATGGTCAGGTCTATACATCTGGCGATCGATGCGCTCTGCACTGGGAAATGTCCGATCACCTACTTAGATTATTGCGTTCGAATTGTACTCTAAGGGCCCCGACTCAATTGTATCGTTTCTTCTATTTTTTTTTTCTTCTTGCTTCTCTTTTGTTCTCTCGGATTGACGATCGCTTAGGGAAAGAGTTTTCCAAATGACCGCGTTTCTTGCGATTTTTCTTTTTTGTTTTTATTCCCTGAGAAGTCGAGTTTGGCGGCTCCGGTTTCGGTCGCCGGTCGATTTTATCCTCGACAAGGCTTTGGAAGAAGAAGATATGATTGCTTAATGTTTACGACGGTTTGGAACTTTCTTTTTCTTTTTCGAGGAGTCTCAAGCGTTACCGTGCAATCCGATTCCATGATGTAGAACGAACGATGCGATTTCTTGGGATGTTCGAGCTCGATCGTCCGACCCTTTGCCTTGAGATTCCTTTTTATTCGCGATGAACTTTCTAACGTTTAACGGGCAAAGGGTTATTGGTGGATCTCGAATGAGTTAAGACTGCATGCTCTTTCGGTAGACGTGGAGGTTGGTTCGTCGATTCTTTGTAAGCGGACGACTTCGTCGTTTACTGGCGTCCGGGAAGAATCCAGTACATGATCTACAAAGTGTATGTATCGACTTTTATATGAATATAGCGCAGTAGATTTATTACTACCACTTGGACGCTTTTCAGTGTCTTCGGGAATCCTGCTTCGAGCGATCGCCCTTTTCCCCGGCCCCGACGATTCACGTCTTCAATGGCAGTGCTTATTCTTATCTCACGTTCCGTTTTTCGATAACGTTTAGAGCCGTGATCTAAAAGAATGTTTCAAGAGCTCGACATCGTTATCGCATGTATGTCTTTTCACTTTAATCTGGGCTTACATTCTGTATTATTTAATAACGGTGCCAGGACAAGGTTTGTCGAAGTCCAATACGGGCATTTAAATGCGTATCTTGTGGGCCCTCGACGGTCGATTTGTCAGGGTCTTCTCGATGATGTCGCTCATCTCGGGATTTTCTAAAATGTCGGCCCCTCATGTCGATGATCCTTGCATCGGCTCGTCGCGATTGGCAGGTAGACTCTTCAGGTAACACAAAATGTTGACCCAACAAAACGAGGCCACGCTCACGTAGAGAACTCGGAAACTCGGCGGCACCAGGAGGAAGTTCATGAACTGCACGGGGATCCAGTAAAGGCACGAGGTCTAAAAGAAATATATTCGGTCGTGTAGACTGTTTAGATTTTTGTTTAACAAGTGTTACTTTTCCAGTTGAACACTGGGCATGTTGAGGAACGCTCACCCGGAAGGTTTTCACGAATTTTGACTTGCACTCTTCGAGGACGCTCGCTCTACCTTCCATCAAGCTCATGCCTGCAATGCGCGGAAGTAAGTGATTAAAATTAAAACGCGGTAGTTGAAGGGGCATTAGGGGAATGCATTTGTTGACACTAACTGACGAAGAAGAGCATTATCAATGGCGGGGTCAGGATGAACTGGTCCACGAAGAGCTTCTTCAGGACGATCTTCGTCGACGTGCCGGTGTACGTTGCGTCCAGCCATCTGTACCTGGGGAGAAAGAGCGAATGTGGTTTTAAGAAGTTACTCCAAGGTAGATTTAAGGAATGCATGGTATTGGTAGATATGACTTATTCTCTGTTAAAAAAAAATACAAAAGTTGTGATAGGTTTTGTATACCATCCGTAGAGAAGTGGACCCGCTAGAGCGCACCCGTAGATGGTGTATCTTCTTAGTTGGGACCAGTTGTAATCTTCAGGGGAACACTGGGAGTCCTGGTCCAGACCCAAGGTCCTGTTGAATTTTTCCATCCACCTAAACACGCCCTTGGAGTCGACCGGTTCCTTGAAGGAGCTTCTCTGCATATGCCTTGACACTTCTGGATCCCCTCGAACGACCTCGGGGAAACAAACGATGGATGAATATCTTGTCACGTAAGCCTCGCGGATGATGACACTTTTTAGTGGATGCGAAGGGGCGCGATTATTCTCCAGAGCTTGAGTTTACCTTCCGTCTAGGCAAAAAGGTTTAGATCTTCTATTCGATCCTTTTAATGGACATTCGTTAGGTTCGTATGCGAAAGTGTATGCTTACATTTGAGCTTTTTGAGAAGGTTTGTCTCGCAAATTCTGCGCTGGTGTAAAAAGTCCCGTACACCAAAGAGTTGAAGATCAAGGGCTTCCTCTTGACGAAGTTGCCAAACCCTCGAATCGTTTTGGATATCGACATGATCCTATATTTCCGCCTTTGTTTAAATGCTTAGGGAATTTTTCCTGTACAGAACATATGACGATTTTGGATACGTGGAATTTTCGCTGTTTGATGATCGAATTTATTTATCGTTATGATTGTCTTGGAAGTATTTTATTAGTTAACGTAACATGCCGGTTTTTGTAGTGGGTATTGTAACGCTTAGGAGGGGATTTAATGCCAACCAATGTACCGCGTAAGTAGACGATAATTCGTAAGATTTCACAAATGCACTTGTCACTCTCCGACTACCTAGGCCTTAACCGATGTGTTCGAGACAACTGAGGGGACATTGCGCCCGTGACTTCTCGTAATGTTCAGCACCGACCTAGTTAAGCCAATCAAGTTCAATCTCAAACTATCTCGTTGCGGGATACTGATAAGCAACAAGTCATCACACCTAAGTCAAAGCCAGATATCGCGTAATCTTTTGCAAGGTTTGCAGCACTACGAAGGAGTGCTTCTTCGCAGGCATCCTGTCAAAATTAATACTAGATAAAAAAATTATCGCAAGATATATAAGTCTTTATTTATAAATAAAACATTACGCGTTGGAATTACTGATAATCATTCATAGTCGTCACTGATCGACGTGCCTTTTGTTTCTGCCATCAGCCAGTGGATCCAATCTTCTTCCACTTTCTTCTCCATGGTTATTTCTTGGAACACTTTGCATCTTTGAACCTTTAAACACACAAGTGGACATTAAATAATTTGTGTGCTACAGTTCGTCGTTGTTAATCTAATTTTTTTAGTCCGTTAGATGTATCACCTCTGCGAACTGCAATTTGGTGAACAGTTTTATGCTCTTTACGTTGTCCAAGGAAATCTTTGCTCGAAACTTCTTTACATTCAGCATTTCGATACCTATAAAGAGGAGGAAGAGAAATGAGAATATGTTGTTGGTAGTATTTAGTGAGCGTTAGATTATGCTTGAGTTACCGTATCGCAGCATGTGTATAACGGATTCCCAGCCATGTCCTTTCCCTCTGTTTTTTGTCACTGCGATCATGATCTCAACCTCTGCAGTCGAAGGTTCTTCTGGATCATTGAGATATAGATTTGTATCTCCAATCATGGCTTCTGAAATTCAGTATCTCGTGTCAATGAAGGACCTCGGTATAATTTGTTCTCTGACATCACCTATCTCGTTTCTTGTCTCTTCCAACTGGTGCTTGTCCAAAATGATGAAGGTACATTCTGAAAATAAATTACTATTTTTCTTGCACAATATACATTTTCTAAGGATGACTACGATGAATGCAAAAATCACCCTTTTTACGTACTGTCAGCATCTTCGTGCCAGCTTCTCTGCATACTGTATTCTTGTTCTAAGGTTAGCGGTTCCGATGCTGTGAGGCGTTGAAGTTCTGGTGATTTCATCCATTCGTGGTATCTGTAAAAGGGCCCGTAATTGTAGAACTACCTTGAATATTTATAAATGTACCAATTCAGTCTTCATAAATCTATGGCACTTGACTTATGAATTATAGGTAGCAAAAATCTTGGCTGTAATATGATTAACATAAACCAACCTTAAGACATGTTTTTCCTTGTAAGGCACCAATACTACGTTTTTCCCAGTAATTCGTGTCGACTTGTTGATCTTCATCTTCAATTAGTTGTTTTGACAGGAATATGTCAAGCCAATCGATTATCAACAGAGATGAGTTGGGAGAACGCTTTTTAAAATTCGACTAAAACAGGAACGAAGGAATTCACGAATCGTCGGTAAGCTAACGTACGAAACGAGAGGGCAGCACAAGATCGATCGCGGGATCCTGCCCGTGAGCAATTTCCCAACTCATTTCTGGTTTATAACACTACCTCTCTATGTCATTTAGTCTCTATGACTGATTCGGTTTGAAAATGTCACAAGTTTAGAAAATTTTGTTGCTAATTCTTTAGAAATTGGAACAGCATTTTAAAATATATTCGAACGGTATGTTACTAGCATTATATATTTCTGTACTAGTAGCGATTGAATATGTGTACCGTCTTTTACAGCAGGTGTTTAGAAGACAATATTCTAACCTAAAATGTAACAACTTTCTAGATAACGGATTTTATTAAGGGTAAAAGAAGTTCTTATTGTTTATTTTCATAGATGACGAAATTAATGGAATGGTTGTTCGTTGCGACTTTTTTTCTGGCTATTTGGATAGCGGCTCTAACAGGAAAAGTTCATCCGTCGCTTGCGGATGATTATCATCATATCGTTCAAGTGTTTCCAGCATTAGTCATTCTTTCTTTGGGGTTATATGCTGCTATTGTCGTTTTGTACAGAACGTTCACTTTTAACACTTGTGAGAGCGCTGCGAAGGAATTGCAACAGGTGACTTTTAATTGAAAACTAAGTTTTATGTAATTGTAATTAAATTATTTAAAAAAAGAAAGACATCAGGAATCTTGGTTTCCGTTGCAGCAAATAAAAGAGGCAAAGATGGACTTGAAGAGTAAGGGATTCGTGTTTAATGATGATTAAGTAAAAAAAGCTTGTATGTATCAAGTACTTATAAATATATAAGTTTTACCTAAAATAACACTTTATCAAACATTTTATATTTTATTGCATGTCTTTTAACGAGTTTAGAAAACTCTTGGTATGTGCTGAGTGGCTGCAAGGTTTGCACTCTGCCTTTTAATGCTAGCACGGTCTTTTTTTCAGTTCAGTGTTATTTACAGTGCAAAATATATAACTGAAAACCTTCAACTTATGGGAGTCATTTTAACACCCATCTTACATTAAGTAAGCAATTGTAATTAATTTACAGTTTAAAATGTATATCACAGGTGACAAATTTTTCTGCAAAGTCCCGTTGGCCCTCTATTCGAAAATTAAGCGAGTGAACTCCTAAGAAGTGCAACTTGCTCAGTCGGAAAAGAAGTAAACGCTTGTACCATGTCCTACCTTGATTTTGGTATGCAGTGCATGTTTTACAGAAATATAAATATTTGTTTCTGAGTAACTCCAGGATATTTAGAAAGATCCGCTATTATCAACATACTGGAGAGTTCGGTTGTAAGAAAGTTAGTGTTTTTATGTATCTGTTGGAAGAAATGTCATCGATAACGAACTTTACACCAGAGTCAGCAAAAGGTTATTACAGTATGATTATAAATACAAATACAGTACTCTTAAGATTGTTCACATTAAGTGAAAAAATTAAGAATAGTATAGTACATAGTTCCAGTTACACATTGTTTAAAATAAATCTCATAAATCTCATGAATCTCACAGCTGCCTTAACGGATGTTCTGACCGCACTGAATTCTCCTGAGAATATTCAGAAACTTGCCGAAGCTAAAGAAAATTCAGGAAATGAAATGCTAAAGATGATGCAGTTTGTATTTCCCATAGTGGTACAAATTCAAATGGATGTCATAAAGAATTATGGGTTTCCAGAAGGAAGGGATGGTACGTTCTTGTAATTATTAGTTCTTTATCTCTCGCGTGTGTTATTCATGAGAATATATAAATATATAATTAATACTTCATCGATTGAAGGAACTATTCAATTTGCACAACTGATCAGGGCTCTGGAGCGCGATGACCCTGAAATTGCTCAACTTCATGGACAAGTAAGATCTTATTTTCTTCCACCGCTCGAAGCCAATTCATTAGCAGAGGCATCTCTTTAAAATTGTAGGATTGTGTAAATATTTTATGCAAAACGTTAATTTTAAACAGAGCTAGAGTACATCTTAATCTACAATAGATTGTCATCGACCATACCGATAGAATATTTTATAATACATGTTGTATTTAATGCCTAGGTAAAATACAAAGTATACATTTATTAGGAGCATTATTTATTGTTTATAAATTAAGTTTTCTCTTTTTATAATATAGTTTACATCGATGTAGATTTAAATCTCAGACTCGGATTTCATTTCGTCAGAATTTCAGCTCAGCACTTCTCATTTCTTTCTTGGAAGCACATATCTTACCTTGTCGAATCTTAAAGCAGACTCGAAGTCCTATAATTTTTCAACCTGAAAAACATCAAATTAATGATCTAATAATCTAAAATGGAGTAATTTTTTCAAGTTGTAACCTTTCGGTTCAAACATGCTCTTCGATATGATACATTTAATCCTTTCAACGTCAATTCCGACTATACTTTATTATTATTATTATCATAAAAATATGTATAAATACATGATAAATAAACCGGTTTCATTTAGTTTTTACTCTCATATTTCATACTGTACTCGATGAAACCTACTTGAGAGTACTTGCTCAATTGTCTTGAATCGCACATTCATTCGGACACAATTTATTCTTGCATATTTCACGCTTGAACATCGGTGTGGTTAAAAAGTCATGTATATACCTTAACAAAGCGTACAATTAAAATACTCAAAAGTGTTCAAGGATCATTCTGCCGAGGAATCTCCACTAAAATTGAATTCCTCCTTGAGATTACACTTTACTCGATTTTCAAGCTTGCAATGTACAGTGCTCCACAGACTAAAATTAGAAAACAACAGGGAAAGGTGGAACTAACAATTAAATGTCTGATATATAACTGACATTAAGTACTCATGCTCAAACACACCGTTACGTCTCCAGAGAGTATCTTTACATCTCGCCATATGCTGGAACCTTGGCCCCAATCGAAACAGAAACAGATACAACTGTTTGACTATAAGTATAATAATAGTTTTATTTTATTCAATTATTGCATACATTAAATTATTCTAAAATAGTATATATCTGATTCTTTTGGAAAATAAGTAATTGCACATATTCTTACTTAATTATTTAAGCACTGGATCGCGAGTAAATGAGTGATTTAATAAGAATAGAAAGAATCGAATGATTAGCGATTAAATAAAAATTAGCTTACTTCGGGCACAGGTTTAGGAATCCGGAACACAGATTTCTATCTGCATCGGATGGTTAGTTCGAACCTTCGAACATTAAATAGAAGCGAAGGCATCGAAGGTCCAGTTAATTCATGACCGTTTAACGGGCACATTTTGTATGTTATTAAATCTTGATGGGAATACCAAGACTCCTTGTTTTAAATTCATATGAGAAATCCCAAAGTGACGGAGAACATAGTATAGACATCTGTAATTCAGGATTCCTAATTGAACCACGATTCAATTAGTCGTACCACTACAGAGCAGATAGTAACGGTGTATTTGAGGAGTATTTTCTAATGGAAACGCATCTCATATCAATGTACTTAATTTGAAAATTGTTTAAGAACTGGTCATTCCTACTGAGAAGTGGCATGCACATTTAGAAACCTCGACGGACGAGTTGTGATGAAAAAAACGTGCAACTAAGGGTACCTTGTACGCTAATTCGTCGGCAAGAATGCATCCCGTGCGAAGCAACTTAACGCCCAACAATTGTTCGATATTTAGTATCGCTTCGCCCAATTAACGCCGATCGGAGATGTATCTGTAAAAAGCGGCGATTCTTTGCCGACTGACGTACGTGTATTTGAGACGACTTTAGAAACTATCGACGACGACATTCCTTGACATAAATTGAGTACAAAATGACGCTACTTAATGCCACGAATTGTCTAAATATTATTATAAACAAACAGGCCAGATCACCGGCGATTTTTGGCGACGCCCGGTAAAGGGGAACGATCAATGGTAAATACCAAAAATAAGGTGTCTGAAAGCCTAAATTTACCTTCCAACGTTAACAAGAAAGTGCTCACACTGACGGCAAGGGGTGCCATTTAGACATGATTAAAGTGATCGCCCTATCCAAGAAATTGATCTACGATAATACAGAGGGGATACCGAAATTGTCGCCAAAAATCGCAACCACTAGTAGAACGGATCGGTAGAATTGCGGTACTCTGTACGTATAATGAGGAACGTGACGATGATTTTCTAGCAAAACCTTAGCCGCCGCGCGTGAAATACGTGCAAGGTAATTCACGTACGTGTAAAGAGCGTCTAGTAAACATATATCCGTACCTTCCCAAGATGACTTCGAACCTATGTATATATATATATATATATTTTACTGTTTACAAAAAGTCGCATATCAAAATGCATATATTTAATCTGTATTCTTTCCTTTTTTTTTTTCCACGTATTCCAGTCATGGCGGGAAGCTGACATCCTGCTAGAGCGTTCAAGTTCTTAATCGATATTTGTAGCCGATGTTGAAGAAATTTCGCACATCCATGCTAGTTCCTGGTTTGATAAATTAGAATTTTGGATGTTTAACCGAAGAGGATCCCTTGTTGCAACCCAGTGATAAATTCCTCTAAACAAAGACCTTTCGACCGTCGACTATGATTTTCGATTTCACTCCCTTGACAGAGAGGCGGGTAACTGTCGTAAGTTAGATACTTTTGAAATCAAATACAGCGCCACTTCTTGTGAATAACGTGTCGCAGGGTCCTCGTGTTAGTACGTTTTATGAGGGTAAAAGTTATGTTTTACGATGAGCGTACGTCATTCTTTCAGCGATATCCTCAAATAATCTTGAAACCACTATTATCTGCCTGGTAGCAGCGCTAGTGATAAACTGCCAGTATTTACAGAGCAGAAGGAGAATGTTCTTGAAATGCATCACTGATAATTCCCTTTGTGATAGCGATATCGGTACACTGCTGTCATCTGCAGAACAGGTAGCAGTGGCGCGAGAGTATGGACATCGACGTTGTACTGTAACAGTATATTTGGTTTCAAAAGTATTTAACAATAGTTCGTCAGGCCTGTGCAAATATTTCGACGCGCCGTCAAAGCATTTATCGCAAAGCTTAATTCTGACCGATTTATAAATTAATCATTGGACTCGAACGTCAAATTGGACGAAGCGGTCACGCATCGATTCGCACAGGCCTATTAATTACGTCTCCATTTCTCGGTACGCACCGAAAAGAAATCTATAAAAGTCGGCAACACTCAATCTCTATCAAACTCGATTAAAGGAAGACAACAGTGAAATATATTATCAAAATAGATCAAAAATAAATTTTCTTTACAAAAGAATCCCGACTCTCGAAAGGCGTCCTCACCACCGACATACTATTAACATCAGGAACGTTTCTAAAGACTGTATTAAATATCTCCCCCTCCGAATTTTCCAACGCCCCCTTCACGTTCCTAATGTTAAATGACGAATACATCCACAATCGTACTCAGAGTAGATTCCATCGTACATTGAATTTTGTACCCGACCCAACCTAGCGCTTAACAAATTTCACCGACGTCTCCCCATAATTCAACTGAAACTGAATCAAGTGTCACTCGGTTACTTAAAGCAGCGATTCTACGAGCTCCAGTCAATCGAATTCCGTCCGATTTCTCTGAGAACCACGTAGCCAAGCCATCAAACGCGATCAGACGATTTCAAAGGCATGATATCTTCGGTCCAGCGTGCGTACACCCGAGCAATGAAACATTAAATCCGATCGATTACTTTAGATATCGCACATGTATCGGCTCCTGCAAGACTCGTGGAAGGCCTAGGAAGAGCCTAGCTCCAAGTTGCCTCTAGCATCTGCCCCGCCACGAGATTTGAGGTGGCATGATCTTGGACAACAAACGGTCTTAAATATTGAATTCCGTTGCGGAGTAAATTCGTCCAGGTCTCCCGGCGAGTCTTGCAACGAGTCTCGATACGAAACCACGTCGACTCGACAATTGTCGTCCAGCGAATGTCCCAAACATGGCGAAGTTTGTACTCGGTCCATTTCTATCGCCCTCCACAGCCACGTGGACGGGAAGGCATTCTGAGTTGAGGCGCGCCCTCGGGATCCTCGAAGCTCCGTCATAGTTTGCGGGATGGCTGAACTGTGATCTCTCGATATGACCTTCCTTTATCGTAATTGCAATCCTCGGGAATTTGAGGCCAAGGCCAAGACCGGATAGGTCTTCTCAGTGCTGGGCCAGGCTACGAGAGGAATGGATTGGCCGCCGTGCTGGGACTGGCCGTCCATGGGTCTTGTCTGATCTGGTTGATGCTCGGACGCGCTGGGGGCGCCACGCTCGCGAACGGGTTCGCCGAAAATGATGTGCTTGCTGGAAATAGAGTTAATTTACCTCAATAATTGCTATCACTTGGCATTATCAACCACGTGTTACGTGAGAACAATAATACAGCTCTTCGAAATAGGCCTAAGAGTTCGGCATTCAAGAAACCAGATCAACCGTTCGCATATTTTATCAACCGCGCAGGATTCATATCTAGTGACCGAAGACAGACATGCTTTACCGAAAGCGGTTGAAAAACCATGCTCGCATGCGGTATCGTCAGTGGGTGCATGCCGTACTCACGCATTTATTTCCAATGAAATGCTGTTTTATAAAGAAAATAAGCGCATTAAGTCGTTGGGTTGGTGACCTTTGACGTAAGCTGTACGTGTAAAAGGCCCACCGAGGACCGTGTAAAATTCGTGGCGGCGATGAGCAGTTTCTTACGTGGAGTTTGTGTCGACATAATTTTAAGGGGGGGAACCACATTAGGATGTTAAAAACAAACGGATTTTCTTTTTTATTATATAAATTGTTAGTATAACTATTCAAGAATACGTTGCCAAAATTTCAAAGCGATATTCGGTTAATAATAAATAGTAATAATTAAATTAATTATTCACCATAAAAAAAATGCATAAAGAACGGCTGAAAATCAGCCTCCTAATGTGGTTTCCCCCCTTAGCAGGTATTTTTCGTAGGCGGCCGAGATACCAACCTGCAGGTGCAGGAGCAGCGGGCTTGACCGTGGAGGTATTCACAAGATTGTCCAAATTGACGAGCGCCGAGTTTTCCCCGAGGAATGATTGCGGCGTCTTCTTGATGGCTCCGGTGCTAACCAACAGGCTGTCCCCAACTCCTGTCAAGTCGAATGGATCCGCCGTTGTCGTACCTCCTTTAATGATAATTAAAGAGAATCCTATTATCTCCTTATCCTGAATTCTTAAAGGTTAATTCACGGGTACTTCAGAAAAAGGTATCAAGGTCTCACCATTGTTTACAAGCTGCGGACTTGTGCCAACCTTGTTCCTATTGCTGATCACGTCGAACTCGTCTAGATCCCCAAAAGAGGGGCTTGCGACATTGCCTTGGTTCTGAGCAGAGAAATGGTTAAAGCTGGTCATGGATCCATTGAACCCGTTACTGGCAGTACCGAAATTAGCACCGGTCGACGGTGGCAAGTTGAAGCCGATGTTCTGCGGCGATTGCGCCGCGAACCCGATATTCTGAGTTAGGCTGGAATTGCTGTTAAATGATGGCGATGTCGACGTAATGCCGGAGGTCTCGGTCGTTGTAGAGGGCGACGGAGACCACGGATCTACGGTGCGAGGTGACGCCACCGTGGCCGGCGAGGGTGCAGGTGCAGGTGCTGGCGCCGGCGCCCGCCACGGGTCAACCGCGGCTGCTGAAAATAATTTATAATATAATTATAAATTACATCTCTAATTCGAGACACGCACCCTACGATTATGTGAAATCAATCACCGGGGCATTATAGAAAATATAAGTCACCGAGAAAGGCACGACGAGGGCAGCGGAACAAGAAAGGAAGGCGCGTTACCTGAGACAGATCCTGATACCAGAAATCAAGAAGGATGCGAGAACATGAAAAAGATAAATAAAATACACCGAGCTTAAAAACAAACGTAAATCAGCACAAGGGATCATTAGGAATAACCACTCTTTTGGAATTTATTCGACGGACTACTCTATACCACGATATACTCACTTGGTCGTTGAGAAGGTGCCGGGGTCCAGGGGTCTATCTGTGGCGAAGCGGTACTCGTTGGAACGCTCCATGAATCGTTCTGCTGCTTGAAAGAAAACGCACAAAAATACTGATGTATCTTGAAATGAGCTCGGGTCACGTACATTTACGGGTCTCGGGGTATGATCTCACAGAGGGGAAAATAAAATTACAACTCGGATAAATAACTAGCTTAATAGCCTATGAGGGTAAGGACAGGACAGCCATCACTATTCATCTAACGAATAGCGTAGAGTGTCTATGTACAGCAAACAACCATGAATCTCTTTTTACTAACGTAAATTGACATACCTGAGACCTATACAACACGGATAAATCCAGTGACTATCGATCGACATGCAAACATTATTTAACTTTGTATAAAACATGCAATTCCACGCGTGTCTCGGATTGATAATTTATTAACGCGTTAATTATTGTCGATTTCTCTTACCTGTGGTCTAGGAGGAGGCGCAGTAACGGGAACTCCCCATGGATCGGTTTGAACGGATCCGCTGGCTTCTCCCAAATTGACGTCAAGTAAGTCGAGCATGTGACTTTGCTTCTCCGTTATGGGTGCTCTGGAATTATAAGGTACTCGATATAACTTCAATATTTCCCTTGGATGTATGCGTTGTACTTTGCATGGACAATTCCGAGTCTTACTTGAAGTCTTGTTGGCTTTGACTTAGCGCCAGCTGTAATCTAACGTCATCACTGCGCCTTCTCTGTTCCTCTTGCTCAGCTTCCTCCCTGGACATGGCGAGTGCAAGTTGCAGCTGCAATTCTTCCTCCCCGACAGTTTGGGGCCGCGCGGCTTCAAGTTCGGCTGCTTGAAATTCCAAAGTGATATTTTTTTTATTTACAAAACGGTACGTTTCCTCTTAAATTTAATCGAAACAAGAAAAAAAAAAAGGGAGCATTCAGGGGATCGCGACATAAATTATAATACCGGTTGTCTTTAAATACGAACACGGATCCTCGTGAATTTGCATTTCGAGCTGAAGTTAATTTCACGAATTCAGGGTTTGTCTACGGACTGCAAAAAAATTGGGAAAAAAGGAAAGTGAAAATATACTCGTACGTCTCGACGTCGACTCCGCTAAACGGCAAGGTTCCCAATCTGGAAACTGGAAGAAAACAAAGAAGACATTACAATTTTGTCCGACCACGAAGAATCTCTATAAATTTCTGGCAAGGTTCTCAATTCCGAGATACACGGATCCGACTTGTTACGCCACTTCTGAATATATTTCTTTCTCTTTGATATGTTAGTAGGGGAAGGACATTCTTACGATGACAATCTACCGGGCTTACATCGCTACTAATTGGCGATACCGTTTCTATTCCATCGCTGCCAAAGCCACTCGGCGATTGGGCACACTTTTCTTTGGCCTTCAATGATTTTGCTCTCTCATTCCTTAATCTTTCGTCATCTTTTAATAAGGCCACTATTTGCTTTGCTTTCTCCCGTACGTTGATCCCCTGGTCCTTATGCCCCTCCATGTATTGAAAATCTGAAGAGGAATAAACGCGTTTATTTTGTTATTCACTAATGACGCCGCGATCTCCATCATCTAAAATATCCAGCAAAGCCTATCCATACCTTTCAGCGTCTGGATAGCAAAGATATTCTCCTTGCATTGCTGGGCTACCTTTTCTGACCCGGTTTTGATAAGGCAGTCGAGAAGAAGTAAGGCTTTGTAGACGTGCCGCCAATTTTTCCCGTGGTCGTTTAAGCGTTTCCAAAGCATCTGCATGATCTCCGTGAAAGCAACGACGTTGTAGGTCAAGTCGGCGATCTCCGCCATGAGGGTGCTACTAGGACCCCAGGGATCATTGCTGGTAGCTTTTCGCACAGCTTTCTGCAAAAGGGAAAATAAAATAGGTGCACCTTGTCCAGTGGCGATCCAGTCTTCGAACAATTTTTATAGTCCATCGGACTGGCATGACCTGTACCAGTTAATTAAACTCAATCCAGATGATAACCGGCAGGGTCTTAAAAAATTTATTCTAATTAATTCAGGCTAATTACCTGAGCATTACTGTAGTTGTGAGCGAGGTTAACGATATCTCGCCTGATACCCGCTAAATTCACTTGCATGACGTCCTGGCCTTGTCTTCTCATCTGTAACGTAATACAGCAAGGGATGAAATTACGTCGCAACATGAGTAGAGAATCGATAATTAAGGCGCGACTCATTAAACCGTTGCGCAAATTTTCTCTCCTAGACAAAACTTATTACCAGTAAAGGCGGTACACATCGTGCCGCTACGGAACTATCCAGTAAATCCATCAAATATCGGACAAACGCATCGCATGCTCGTCGTCCCAGGGGTTTCAATTATTTGTCACGTTAGCACAGCTATTTTCGCAACCCGTTTAATTGCCTCGGTACAGTTAATTGTCACCTCGATTACGTGCTCTCCAATTGCCCTGTACAACACGTCGTGTCGTTTTTCTCTGCATTAGGTCGACCCCGGACGGTGCACCACCAACGCAAACCACATTTACGCACGACGTTGCGTACCTTATCAGCCCATTAGCATGCTTATCAATTCAAGCGAACTTATAGTTATTGTCGACCCTCCACAGACGGACGCGATCGATCGAGGAGACCAATCGGCATCGATCTAGGCAGTAAAGCGGCATTCTAAAAACGCTATTCCCAACGTCCGACGTCTTACTAAACGACCTTCCTCGTAATTGCGGTGGGACGTGAATCATGAAGATCACGTTGAAGAAGTTGGAAATGCAGAATAACAAGGTACACGAGGCAAGTCTACGAATAAAACGCATCTATTATATAGGAAAAGTGAACCAACGAATCCCTGGAAATGCATCCAAGGTCCAAAGGAGAGAGAAAAAAAAAACTAGAAAAATATCCGCAGAACCCAATTGCACCGTTTACTCCGAAACGGGAGAAAAAAAAGACGCATCTTGGAAATCCATCCCTGATGTTGGGAAAAATTAGAAGAACAAATTGGTCGTAAAAAATTCCTCGGAAACCAATTGCAGCGTTTACTCCGAAACAAGATAAAACGATCTCAATTAACCCCAGGCGGGAAATAAATCTGTCGGGAGTCGGCCTATATACTCGGCGTTTAACGAGACCAGATTTCGCGTCCAGGTTTTTCGTTATCTCTCTTACGTACTCTTTGTACGATTTTCCCAGAGCCGGGGCCGCGAATCTCGTCCTTCGCGTTCATCGCTCTCGACGCGATCATGATGCGATCCATGCAAGCGATGTTCATCACGTCGAAGGCATGAGTGTTTAAAGAATTGGCAAAGACGATCGTTAAGATATTGATTCGACGATTGATTCCCTGTCGATGCACTTGTCTCGAGGGCAAACACTCAACTGTTGAGCGCCGTTGCATCCGCGTAGTGCGAACCGCCAACATGGAGGGGAAAACTGCGTGCAATTTTCAATTACGGGTTGCATCGTACCCTGTAATTGCAGCGTATCGAGAGAGCCCGATTTAAATCTCTCCGACAAAGCGCGTCTTGAAGAAGGCGTCGTCGAGGATTAACGACTCCGTTATCCGCCGATAACGCGCCGAAACCCGCTACCTCAGCATACGCATGGTATAAGTACAATATAAGTACAGTTTACGCAGGTTGCGTGACGCATGACTGTCGGCGTCTCAAAAGTTAGAATTTTCTGGAACAATTTCTTCATGCACCGATTGTCACCATAGATGCATCGGTACTGGGAATAAAAATTGAGTAGAAAAGGAAGAAAAATTTAGAGATATTACGGTGTAAGATGAACCTGACCCAGAGCCTTGTCGTTGATGACTGTTCTCTGTTCGACGAACGGAATCCTGACAAGAATCGGTCAATGGATACAATTGCATAACGGATAAGGAACTCCTTAAATCCAGCTAATGTGCTCCGGAACAATTGCAGGAAAAACACCGTAGAGGTGTTTTCTTCTGGCGAAAGGGAAGGAAATTATGGAAGCATGGAAGTTCAAACTTTCTCCTTGAGTAATTGATCGTTCACCTAAAATGATACGAAGCGTTGAATTAATAGTTGAGTTAAGGAGCTTCCGGGAAATGTTAGCTGTTTAGAGGATTCTCACCGTTAGTAATTGTTCATTGGTATAGACGTTCGAGAAACTCTCAGGGTTAATAGGCTTCGTGAATGCTGGAAATTTAGGTCATTGCTATCGAGATGTCGACGAAACGAGCGGAAAATGAAGGTGTTTCCATGAAGACAAGAAAACCTTTATACTAAAGGAGAGCCCACTCGATTCCAGCGAAATCTCATGAAAGAGGAGGTAATCAAAATAATTAGCAACGCTGCGGAATGGAACTTCGAAGCAACGTCTTTATTAGGAATAGAGAGCCAAAATAAGAAAATGCATTCGGCGAGATACCTCTTTAAACGTGTCCTCCATCGTTTGAAAACACTTGCACACTGTTAGTTTATCTTGAATGTGAAAGATTGATGTTAAACTGTACAAAAATGGGATTATATACCCTCGACTAACGATATATACACGGGCTGGAAACTATTATAGGGCTTCTAGCATCGATGTAATAGACTTAAATATACCATTGACCATGAACGTATTGATCCTTTCACAAATTAACAGTTTTTGACAAGACCAATAAGTTTTCTACTCCTATGTATAAAAAAAAAGGAAATGAGACTGGTTCAATAATAAAAATAAAAATATATAACACAGTAAACACAAAACTCTTGCAAACGTAGAAAATGACCCATGGTCATAACATTTACGATGCTGTCAATAATTTTCAGGGGAAGTAAAACAAATTGGTAGATCGAAAACAAAGGTTACGTTGTTTATTATCTCGTCAACGCCCTTCCTGTATGGAAAAATAAATAATAATAAGAAACTGTTCTCTGCCAATCTCTTCAGCCATGCTCCAACAACCCGGAAGAGTGTGATAAAAGAGTGATTCGACAATTGGTCATCCAGTCACGATCACTGGATTTCGGAGTAACGTGCACACACAAAGTCAATCCGATACCAGGATGTACTTATGTACGGTTAGGTGCATAATGGAAAGTGCGCTTACATGGCCTAGCCTGGGGAAAGAGTGAGACTGATCAAAACGTGATACGTCAATTTTGTTGAGTGACGTCTCTCGTGTTCTCGCACTCGAGATTCACGTCGCGACGCCGTCACTCGACGGTCACGAACGGCACATTAATTTGGAGTACTGTCCTGGAGACGACCAGGGCGAGAACAAACGCGAGAACTCGTAGAAAAAGCACTCCATGGAGCGCTAGTTTTTCCCGTACTCCGGTACACCTATTGTGCACATAGTGACCGACTTAACGCCGCTAACCGTTAAATAACCTCGCTGGAATCGCACAATAAGAGTCGGAGCTCACCTTATCGTAAACTTGAAAATTGACACAAGAGCTGCGACCGAAACGAAGAACGAAGGAACATAGGAAAATTATGACAAGTCCGTTCACAGGCACAGACGAAATAGCTGCGACAATATCCAAGATGGCGGCCGAGAGTATTCCCGTTCCAGTGGTTTATGCTCTAGCGGGAACACGAGAGAACGTTCGGACGGAGTTTCTCATTCTGTCCGATACGCGACGCCACTGCGAAGTGGCATGAGCGTCGATAAGTTAATAATGCCGAAACTAACAGGAAAGGGAAGCAAGAGGCGGTAATTAAAGAAATTCGTTTATAAAATTCACGGCATGCACCATTAATGCCGTCTTGAAGAACTTCAAGTACAGTTACAAAATTTCCAAGGAAAACTGATAAAACCATGGTAGCCGCCATTACTAGAAGTCAGATGGCGCATTCGAGGATGCGAGATTTCCTACTTTCTCCACCGAGCGCTGCACAAATGAAACCACGAAAACGGAGCGAGAGCTCCCTACTCATCTTTATCCGTGACTATTCGTCGAAATCGAGTCGAGATGAAACTTGGTAGAGTTTTGCTGCAAGTACATATGTACACGTTTGCATACGCTTAGAAATAAAGAACCTGTGAACATGGGTCGAACGGGCGATTTTCCGGTACCGGGAGACGGAGACTATAAAAGCCTGAGCGCACGCCCGCACGTCATTTACTCTCGGTCCGCCGAAGGGTGAGGGTCGATCCGGACGCTTCTACCTTCGTTCTCAACTTCCATATCAAATATTTAAACATTCGGTAGTTTTCAAAACTACTATTTAAACTAATATGTTAGCCCGACAGGTGGATCATTTAATCGAATCCCTGAAATTATGAATGTTTGAAGTTCGTTGAATATTCTCTCGGTCTTTTCGACGGCTTTACTTTTATCGGTACATACTCAGCATTAACGTGATAGCTGACGATGCTCTCTCTCCCACCGCTTTTAAAAAGGTCCGCGAATGGCCTGCGGCGAAATGCATTTTCCTTGCGCCGTCTAGTCGCCCCTCTACGTACCTCCGTGTCCCGCGGCGACTCGCGCATACCCGAGGCCGGGCCGAGCGGGCCCGTACCTGACGCACGACGAGGCACTCGCGCACGCGCAGAACAAGTGCGGGCCTCGCGCGCGCAACAGGTCGCGACTGGTTGCGCGTCACTGTCGGAATTCGAGTCGCGATCGGAGAGTCGTCGAGGGCGGAGCGCGCGTCCACGTGTCTGGCCCTGTCACGCGGTCGCGAGTGACCGGGAGGCATCAAAAAGCTGATCCTACGTACATTGCGTCAATAAGAAGTGCCTATATCGAGTACCTTGAATACTTCGAGTGGACATCTAGACGCGACTTCATCCAGGCCAAGAAAGCACCGGCAAATTCCTGGGAATTCTGACAAACTCGAGAGGTGCGCGCTGTCCGGCGGTACCTGCGAGTACCTGCGCTCGTCCGACCGGCGCGAAGGCGTAGCCTTGACGGGCGCCAGTCAGTCCGCCGCGCGCATACCGGTGCGGAGGTGCGCGCGCAAGCTTTCCGCTAGATCGAATTCTCCGCCGATCCGCGCCCGGATCCTCGAAGAGTCCGCGCGCCCACGCGCTCAGCGTCATTCGGCTGCTCACCTGCTCCCGTGAGTCCCTTCACCCTGTGCCGGTGGGCCGATCAGACCCGATCAGGCCCGACCGAACCCGATCGGCCCGGTCGAATTCTCCCGACCGGAATCGCCCAAGCGCCGGAGGACCGGCCTCGCCTCGCCTCCCATTGGCCAATCCAGCGGCCGGCGACGCATGCGCACCCCGGCACCCTCGCCGCTGTCGCACGAGACTTCGGATCGCGAGGATCGAGGGAACCGTGCTCCTGCCAGGACTACTCTGGCATTCCGCTGCGCGAAACCGTAAACACCGTGAGTTCGCCTCCATTCTTTGTTTACGCGGCCGAGTTTAACCCCTTCGAGACTCGCTCGGCGTCGGTTTTTATATAATCCAGTTCGTTGAATTTTAGCGTCGCGTCGTTCGTTCCGCCAAGGAAGACGGTGAGAGTGCAAAGGATCGCCGCAGACGCAGGTGGTTTTTCGTCGAGGTGCATGCCGCGGCGGAACAGACGTCGCGGTTGAACGCCCGATGGGGCACTCCGCTAAGCATCGCGCGGTACCATGTCTACGACGGACGTGGCTCGCATCGCGACGCCTCAGCTCACCGCCACCGATCTGGAACCGGGGTGAGTGTGTAAATCCGAGCCAGCTGATTACAGCCGTCTTAACACTTTGCAGAGCGGTGCCGAGGATGAAAGTTGCGGCCCTATTTCGGAGATTCTTTCATTTTCCAAAAGTTAACTCTGGCCAGGCTGGCGCGCTACTCGGTATGGGGAATTTTATATCAAGATTTTAAACAGGATTAATTTTTTTTTTTTTTAGTCAATCAGGGATACGTGGATTTTTGCCCCTGGTGGTAGGGTTTCTTGAGAATTGTATTTACTTTCTTATTTTTTATTTATAGTGTACCATTAACGGGCTCAAGCTCGGGTCGTTATATTAACGGTTATAACGGGGATCGCGGAAGCTACTTTTCGGCATTCCTGGGGAACATTTATTTCCTCCTGAAGAGTCCGCTAGGAACAGAGGAGAAACCTAGGGAAACCATTTGCAGCCCGCTAGGGGGAATCGACGACGACCGTCTACGCTTCTCCGTGAACGGAATACGTAAACGGGGACCATCTTGGAAAATCCCTCATCGATACTTCCCGGCATGGGTTGTGCCTCATAAAGGACTCGTACGTTTGCGTACTCGGTGACTACTCGCGTACACAATGTTAAGATACTCGGCTCGTCATAGAGATCGCGTCGGCTTAAAGTCTGGTCTACGGCGATCCGTTCATTCTTAAATCGGATCGTAAACAGACGGTTGGTGTACGCGGAATTGTTACGTATTTACCTTCTTTCAATGCCGGCAATCTGGGCACTGATCATTACCACCGTAAATATTTTATGAATTCGATATTTCATTCCATGTATTAAAATTCATACATGTTCTATGTCGAGGTTCAACGGTGATGATTTTTTTTTTTTTCTCTTATGACGTGTTCGTCTTGCTTTACTTTAGAAAAGTCGATATCGCCTATCGGACGGGATTAATCAAACTTTCTCCTTTGGCTATTTCCCGCTATATCATTAAATGCCCGTCGTACGAGGAGCTTTTTCTCCCTCGCGCCATTACGATCTCGAATACTTTTGATAACGAGCCAAAAGTGCTCCACCTATGACTTAGATTTAATTTTCTAGCCGCGACCCAGGACGGGTTTTCCCTCGGGTTTATTTGTGATCCGAAAGCAAGCGAGCTGGATCGAACGGATCTATTCGATCCTTCAGGATGGACTTTCTTGAAATGAATTCTTTTATATTATTCTCTGTTCAGGTTATCTTGTCACGAGGAGCGCATTTTGAACGTGGAGAAGTCAGGAATCGGCGACCGGAGGTCGATCGAGGGTGGAAATATTCCCAAATTCCGGGGATCCCTCTTCTCTCCGGGTCTTGGTCTTAATCCCCGGTTAATCGGGATTTTCATCATCCGCGTACGGAATGACTGCGGTTAATCCAGATGCAGGGCTCCCTCGAGCAACGCGGAAGAAGTGAAAACGCAGGACGCGTGCAGCCAATCGTTGCAGTTAACCGCTGCCGGATCTGGCCTGTGATTAGCTGATAACCACCTGCAGCGTTTTCACTTGTTCCTGGCCTCGTACTCCCCGATTAAGAAAATCCACCGGGGAAGGACATTACGTCGAGCGTAATTCAGAACGCAGTCGGCTCGCGGTTTCTCCTTATCGGATTTGCACCTCGCGCGATAGGTACTCCATTAATGGAGGTTCTCCTATTTTTTCCTAATTATTTCACGCGTGATAATTAATCGTAGGAAGGATATCCTGGAGAACGCGAGTAGAATTATGGATCACGCTGTACGGCCGGCTCGTTTCTTTTCATCCCGTCGAGGAAACCGGACGAAAAGCGTGTCGAAATCCCTAGCCAAACCGAGCCCAATGACCGGGGCTGACTCTTGACTCTCGGTGGTCTTTCTCAATGTCAATGCGCGAACACGCGTCGACTGACTTCCTCGGAAAGGACGTTGAACGAAGGCGCGCTACGCGGATGTACATACGGCGGCGATAATGCTCGTGATGCCGTACGCGTATGTATATTTCTTTCTAATTCCGGTTTTGTACTCTTATAGGAGAGTCGAGGGGAAATGGAGTCTTCCAGGTGACCCGACAGGATTGGGAAATCATTTTTTATCCTCGACTTTGTCGGATTCCTTCTTCGGTCCCAGGCGAGGCTGCGACGTGTTCCCTTGATCTTCTATTTATGTGAGACCCTGCAGGACCGTTTTACTATGCGCTCGACACGTCTCGTCGTATGGGAACGGAAACCGGTCTCTCGACTCGGATTCGAGAACCTCGCGCCGACGATCGACCCCAATTTTCGGCCTCTATCACCACGTGGTCCACGCCGAGCCGCTTATCAGTCGGCTGGCCGATTCTTTGGCCTCTAGAGAAATTTCCACCTCGCTCGGAACGCCCAGGAATCGAGGAGGATCGATATTTTTTAATGCTTTCTGCCGTGGAGGTCTTCCACGGTGTCCGATTCCTGAAATATTACACCCGCGCCTCCTCGTCCTCTTGCGCGAAGTTAACAGAAAAGAATTATGCATTCTTGTATTTGTGACACATGTATACGCGGTTAGTGTACGTGCATTGCGAAACGTGGATTTCGTCGGTATCGACCCTCGCTCGTGTTTCTTTTTACCTCGTTACCTCCGGGAAGTGATTAATTAGAATTTAAATATAATTTTGTCATGTCCGGCCGGGGGGGCGTGGATTAATAAGAAAGGCGATCGGGGTCTGAAGTCAATTTCCGGGTGGTCGATTTTAATCGGATCGATATAACCTTGTAAAGCGGAGTTATCTCGATTTTCTTTCACTCCGAGGATTATTCTTGTAGAAAGCGAGGCGGGAAGCGGTCGTTAATGTCATTGCCTGTACACACGTGGGGAGCGCGCACACGAGTGCAGGTTCAGGCTCCTCGAGAGTCGAACCTTAAACCCTAAGGTTGAAATAACGGTTCCCTCCGCGTGTACGTACACCCGTGTATAGAACCCCGTACGTGTAGGTGCATACCTACCTACGGGGAATCGCCGTTGCGATTCCTGCCAGCTGCAGCGGCTGGATGCAACGTCGCTCCTCTCGCGGTGCATCCTGCAGGACTCCCTCCGACCAGTCGCATTAATCCTTTCCGCTCGTAGAAAGGCGAACCAACTCGATTGGGATTTATTATACTCGATTGTGAATTTTTATTATTCCTTTTAAACGAATTTTTGGTTAAGCTACTCGTGGAACTAACGTGGAACTCGCTCGATTGCAGGACCGAGAAAAATGCCGGAGGACAAGAAGCGGAAAAGTCACGCCCAGGTTGCGACGCACGATTAGCGCGATTGCCCGTCGAGAAGGTGATCGAAGGAACGGGCAAATCGCCGGATGTTGGAGTTCCGCCTACGCGGTCGGGCCGCGGAATCCGCGACGGCCGGGACCACGCGGATTCCGTCGGCGAGCGTCCGAGACGCGTTCGGCACGACCGGGATGCGTAAAGAAGCGGGGCATATGCGATTCCGTTAGTCTCGAAGTGCAGGACGCACTTAGGCCGTGAGCCCCGGGTTAGGTCGAGCGGAAATCCCGCGCGTTTTCGCCCCGCGTAGACGGAGGCATTCGTGCGTCACCGTCGCCGGGGCCTCTCGGCCTTGGCTCCTCCGAGGTCCCCGCGGGTGTCTCTCTTTGTCGCGTAGGTGCCTGCGGGGAGGCGCGGAAAAGTTGGTCACGAGATGGGAAAATGTGGGAGAGGCCGCGGAAAGAGAAGGAGGACGGAAATTAGAGCGGGAGGCAGGGAGGTACGTCCTGTGCGAGCGTCGAAGTCTCCGAGAGCCTCCTCCCGTTTTTCGACATTTCTCGGGGAGGACGGCTTATATTTACGATTTCCCTAAATTTCACCACGGACGAAATAGAGAGGAAAAGGGGGAAAACATGAGGGGGGTTTCCTTCTAGCGCTTGCAATTTTATTTTTTCTTTTAAACGAACCGGCCCATCTCGTCTTCCTAACTCCTCTCCGCGGAGACCTCGAGATCTCTTTCTCTCTCTTTGACGTCCTCCGGCCCTGCGGACGGCCACCCACTCGGCCACTTTCTAGAATCCAATTTATATATCGCCGAGAGAACTGCCCTCGATACTCTCGTATATAAGAGAGCATCCGGCAAAAACGAGGGCCGCTCGTTACAACGGGACGCGCAATGCGCGACCCTCTTTGTCTCGTGACTGGCGAAAGACCGCGGCCGGATCTTCTCCCCGGTCGCGTGCATCCGCCATGGCGGAGCCCTACTACGGGGCGAACGGGTCACGCGAATACTTTTATGCGTTACGCGGAACCCCGAGAAAGGTGCGACGAGGTGCGAGAGAGGAGTCTCCGTTGCGGGAACCGTTCCGACTCGCGGGGTGAAAAAATGAGGCGGTCGCCGTCCAGCCGAGTGACGTCGCGGTTGCCCGCGTGGGACGCCGTCTCTCCCTCTCTCTTTCTCTCGCGGATCTTCTCGGATGGCGCGTAGGCCGAGAGGAGGAGAGACCAAAGAGGTCTCCCGAGGGGACCTTACGAAACTCACGAGATATCCCGCTTTACGGCGTTGCGTGGCGTTAGAGCCGGTATCGGACGGCGTCGCACCTCTTATACTCGACGTTCCTTCATGTTGCACGATTTTTTACGATATCCCATTACGTCGACCCGGCATGACAATGGCATTTCGAGGGTCCGTCATCTACGAAGCTTTACTTTCGAGCCAGGTGCACCGAATCATCTTAAGAATCCACGTGGGGGTCGTGGAATTTCATTTTTATTAGAGACACTGGTGAAATGGAAATTATTGACGCGCCGCGCCCGTGTGCGACACTCGGCGAGCTTTGTGTGACGCCCGACGCGCTCTGTGCGACTCGTTTTACCTGGCGCCCCTCGGAGAGGTAGGGGGAGCACCTAGGTCGACTCGGTGCACCTCGGTTCGGCTCGGAACGCCCCCGCTATCCGAGCCGGACCGAGTGGTCTCGGGTTCGAGAGATCGAGCGGGGAACCGAACTCGCTCGGCTCGGCTCGCGATCGGCCAGACCGAGCCGCGCCGCGCGCCGCAGACGAGCCGAGACGAGCTCTTCTCCCCGAGTAAGAGTTGCGCCATTAAACGCCGATCGGAGTGATCGACCGATCGATCGACTTATCGAGCCCTTCGAGTAGTGACGTCGACAGTGCCGAATCTCAAGCCTGAGAGAATTGTGCCGAATCGTAGCGAGATATCGCAGTGACTTTTCCCTCGATTTTTATCGATCTCCACCGATAAGAGATTACTCGATGAATCTCGAGAGCGAGCCCGCGGACGTCCACCCAGAAATGTAGAAACGTCACAAGCCGAATTCGATTCGATGATCGATAGTCGCCTCAGCTATTGATCTTTCGAATCCCCCCCTCCCGGTATTATGCAAATTCGTTGCATATAGATATTTTTAGCCCGGTTTATTTATTTCCTCGCAGAAGTCCTTCGTCGAAGTGTCGGCATGAAAATGAGAGATGGCTCGTAAAGGTGACCGTTTTCGACCCTGAGGTGACGTTTATCATTCATGGAGAGGATTATTTATTTATTTATTTTTTTTTTTATCGATAGTGTTCTCATCGAGACCTTTTAAACGGGTATCTTCGATTTCATCGAGATCTCTATCGAGGAACTCTGCAGGGGCGCATCGCTCGAGGAGATCTCTCGTTGGGGAACGTCTTCGGCGAGAAAGAGGAAGCGTGTCAGAGTGTGGCGTGTCGGGCATGACCACACGGGCGTAGTTTTTTGCGGGGTGAATCACACCGAGATATTGCGGTTGAACGGGATCTTCTGATAGGCCGCGATGCATCGCCGGTGATGCAGCGGAGATGTCCGACCGAAGTGGCCCGCAAAATAGCGCCGCTCCCTTCCTGTGCTCGGCGGATAAATAGATAGATAGATCCTCGTTTGTAAGTTTAATCCCGTCGCCTGCACCTTCGGCACCTGCGAAGTGAGCGCAGGTTCCGGTCGGTCGGCTGCACCGCAGGGACTCGATTTAGACATTTAATTTGAAAAATACCAACGTCAGTTTCCAGCCGAGCATTAGATCGATCTCTGCGGAAAATTCAATCGATCCCCAATGCAAATACTCCCCCAAAAATGACACGTGGTCGAGTTTTTCCCCATTTCACTCGCCGACCGGTGAACAATTATCTATGTTTCTTTTTCTCTCCCAAGGGATGTAACTTATTTCTTTCTGCGATACAAAATTGCGGTATGAAAGTGTCGTCTCTGTCTCAATTTTTCTAAGACTCTTTTTTTTCTGTTGTTTCTTATTTATTTATTTTTTTTCTTATCATTTTCAGGAGGCTGAAGTCGGATCCCACGTGGTCGCGGCGCCGAGGCACGGCGAAGCCGGAGGACCCGAGCCTGGCCAGGACGGGCAGGTGCTCGAGATGCGGCCAGACGACGGCCTACCTGGCCGGTAGGCAGAGGACGTCCTGTCCCAGGTGCCGGTCCAAGGTGTGCAGACAGTGCCAGAGCTGCAGGCCGCCCGATGAGGGCGAGGGCGTCGGGCCCGAGGGGCTGTGCACCGTGTGTCGGAAACTCGCGTGAGTGCATCTCCGTATCCTCGGAACGGCGAAATTCGGATCAGTATGCCTGATCGTAATTCTCGCCTCCTCTTTCTGCAGGGAACTGCGCGCCGTGACCGGCGACGAGTGGACCTTCGAGGGCTCGAACCTCGGGAGAGCATCCGGGCGGAGGAGCTCGCCGTTGGACGTCTTCCGACGCAGCATCCGGCGATCCTGGACCATTAACGGTACCCGTGAGGCACCTTTCCCTTCTCTTAAACCCTCGGACGGAAATCCGATCGATTTGACCCGAATATCTAAAGCCGTCCTGAATATGCGCGATAAGAAAAAATTAACATCATTCTTGAAAAAAAAAAAAGAGAGAGATTCAGTTTATAATTTAAAAAATTTATTTAGAGAGTACGGTCAAAAGACATTGCTTATGCAGGGTGGATGTTTTGGGCGCGATGATCTTGGGGTGGAATAGCCCGATTTCTGATCGTGGAGTTGATGTTGGATCTAATAGCTAAGGATACGTTATGGATATTAGTCGTTCTCCGAGAGAGGCAAGAGTCGAATTTATCTCCCTGTCCGCGGGCGTCGAGAAGTAGATCGCATATTAATAGTTTCTCCGTATTACCGGGTTCTTAACTCGTGACCCGATCCGGGGTTTTCGAGAGCCCAGGTAGCGATTCTATCGACACGGTGATTTACTTCGAGGTCTGGTGTAGCGGCCATTGCGTAAGAACGCAAAGGCCACTGGAGCAGAGTCGCGGTTACGCGGCTCCGGTGTCCCAGAAACTGGGATCTAAGAGTTCGGCGTGGACCGATCGATCTGATTTCGCGCTCGAAGTATTACCGGATAATGGATTTACCTTCGTTAAGGATTTTTGACTAAAGGTTTCCGTTTGCAGGCCCACCTACGCGCTGGTCGTCCAAGAGGAGATCGCCAGAGCTCAGGGCGTACCGAAGCTTGCCGACTCGACATCGAGATTACCGGCGACTCTTCGACGTGTTGTCCTTCCCTAGGATCTCGAGCACCCTCTCCGACGAGGAGAAGGACGAGACAGCCGTTGACAGCCTCAACGTCGACGCGGGCGTCCCACTAGTCGCCGAGAAGACGAAGTCGCGAAAAGAGAACGGCAAGCCCTCGGTCCCGAAGAAGAACGAGAAGATCGTCGTCAAGGAGCAGAAGGAGCCACTCGAGACGGGGAAAATTAAGAGGAGCGACGCCGCATCCACGAGCACCGGGAAAAAGGAGAAGGAGAGCCCGGAGAACCAGACGGAGGCGACCCCTCCCAGGGTCTCGCTGATCAAGCCACCGAGGGTCCTTCCGAAATTCACGTCCCCGGAACCGAAGCCCACCCTCAAGCATGGCGAGAGAAAGTCCAGCATCCCGATTTTCCGACGTAGTTCCAGGGAGTTCGAGGATATCAGGAGTCCCCAGGAGTCGCCTAAGCGCTCGCTCATCCCTCAAAGGTATCCCTTCTTCACGGTGACTTGTTGAACATCTTCACCCGTTACTGGATCCTGAAAATATATATATATTTTTTTTTTCAGGTACAGAGGAAGTACCGACGATCTGAGGCGAAGTCGCGAGGACATCAGCGTGCCGAGTCTGATACCGAAGCTGTTCTCCCCGAGGAGCAAGGAGGACCGACTCAAGCGGCAGGACAGCAAGGACGAGATCCCGAGGGGTAAGGACGAGAGACTGAAGCGGCAGGACAGCAAGGACGACATTCGTTACCCGAGGTCGGGTCGGGCGGCGGCGAAGGATTCGAAGGAGTCGAAGGAGTCGAAGGAGTCGAAGGATACCAGGGACGAGGCGAAAATTGCGACGGGTCCGCCTGGCCGGGACGATGGCAAGTCCGGGATAAGGATCTCGCGGCGGGACAGCAGGGAGGACGTGGGTAGAGAAAGTACGAACGCGAGTGTAAGCGCGTGTTGTACCGGCAGAGCGAAACATCCCGCTAGAGAGGAGAGACAAGAATGGACGGACGGATGCGTGGGAGAGGGCTCGAGATCGAGGCCCGGAACGGCCGAGCAAGGTAAGACCGGCTCGAAGGCGTCGAGAAGAGAGAGCAGGGAGGACGTAGAGGCGAGACCGGCCGAGGGCAAGTCGGCAAAGAACGAGGAGCGCGCCTCTCGGGAGGAAGCTGCCGGCAGAACGGAGGAAAGAAAGCCCACACAGCCGCTCGCGATGGTGAACGATCACGCGAAGGTTAGAGGAGAGGTCCCTGGAAATGAAGGTACCCAGCGAGTCCTGACCGAGGTGGACCGAGAGGACGACGTCCGCCCCATCGGTGCCCATACCGGGAACAAGATCAGACACAAGGACGAGGAGGAACGGGACCAGAAATCCAAGGAAAACGTCCAGGACGTTCTGGCCGATTACCAGTACGAGGTGGACAACACGTATTCCAGCGTCAAGGAGAGGAGAGCGACTTTGGACGCAAACCACAGAAGGGCGGAGGACTTGCAAGTGGTACGAGGATTTTGGTAGCCATTTCGAGTAAGGGGGGATTCTAGTTGATTTTTTATTTCGTTTCTTTCGAACAGGTGCGGAGGAAGTTCTCCAAGGAGGAGCTGTCGAACCCTGACGACACCGACGACACGCCCAACCGGCGATGTTCCAGCGTAAGTTCTGGATTCATGTCGAGTTATCGTCTAGGTTGTTAATTGGAGGTGATTAAAGGCCCTTGTTACGCGTTCTCAGCATCTGTCGCCGGAAGCGAGCCCGCTGAGCACCAGGTCTTCGAGGTACAGTCCCCGGGAGAGCGAGAGCGAACCCACCCCTGCACTCCCACGGAAGACTGGAGGCGGGGAGTCGTGCGGAGCCTCTCAGCGGATACGAGACGCTATCACGAGAACCCGAAGAGAGTCCAACAGCAGCGCGAGATACGAGAGCAGCGGCAGCGAGAGTGTCAGGTACTTTGTCCGCGTTCCCACGTATTCACCCGGACTATGTCTTCTAATCGAGGCCCTCTGGTTCCTTCTCAAGGTTGAGCGAGCCTGGGTTGCATGGATACGCGGCGGACCTGACGAGGAGGGTGAAGTTCCTCGGCGGTGGCGGAAGCGGAAGTCCCGGCGGATGTGGAATAGGCCCCTCGATGGGATGCGACGAGGTCGTGCAACGAGACAGCGCAACCAGCGCCGGCGAGGACGACCACCACGAAGACGGCCATGGTCGAGATCCCGGCAGAGGAGGGCCAGGGTCGTCCCAGAGTAGAACTATGCTGCGACGTCGACGGCAGTTCGATGCGCAAGGTCAGTTCACAAGGCTCAAACTCATGCACACGCGGTAATGGCATATAGACGAGTCTCTTCCTAATTATCTATCGTATCAATTATCATCATAATTAATGGGATATATTCTAAACGACAGGTAAATTAGCTTTATACCTCCCGTTCCCGACAGTCAGGTGTACGTCTTCGGGGAGGTAGGGGGACCTTCCTGACGATCGCAGAAAAAAATATTTTGACGCCGCTCGCACGGTTGCCTGATATCGGCTGTCATTATCAGTGCGCGTGACTGAACTCGGAGGATCTGGAAAAATATATCATCTCCTAATTTCTCTTCTTTTTTAATGTAGTTGGGGGGGGGGGGCATATTAATTGGTACTACATGATCAAGATCTAGGGACGTTTTGAGCGATCTAGGCTCTCGAGGGTGCCAATCGCAGCCCTTTAACCGTGTCCGTAATCGGGTCGGTTATAAAAGTTCTCGAAGCAAAGCCTTTCGCAATGTGCCCACGTATACCCGGCTCTTTCTCCCTCTCTCACACTCTGGCATTGTCCACCGCCACATGGCACTTGCCGATAATAGTCCGTGGCTCATCGATTATCGAAACCTCCCGATACGGCGCGCCGCGGTCGGTAGAATCCCCGAGAGGTCTGGCCAGTCTCTGGAGTGAGTCCGGTTTCGTTATCACGCGGAGTACCCGTCCATCCTATTCCTCGTGCTTCCCACGTCTCTTTCGGGATTTTCCCCCGCTCTGAATCACAAGGAAAAAGAAAAAAAATTAAACCGTAAGAAAATCCCGCAAAGTGTCTCCGAGAACTCGCCTCAGCGTAAGGGCCCGATACCGATCGTCTCTTCCAAAGATTTCGTCTAAAAAAAAAATAGATATATATAAAAAAAATTGGTTAAACTATCGTAGATAATAGAAAAACCTCGCGAAGCGTTCCCGAGGTCTGGGGTTGATGAGAGGGAAGGTGTAGCGTTTATTTTTATTTTTTTTTTATTTTTTTTTTTTTCAATGAACCGAAAATCATGTCCCTCGTCAGGGTGCTCGGCCTGGTCGCGACCGTCCTCTTGTCGATGTACTTCCTGGTGTTCTACGCCGCGGCCGCCTTCGTTCTCTTCCTCTTCTGGACCACCCAGTGAAACCGCGTCCCGATGTCCTCGCGGCTAGTCGGAAGGGACTCCCTTTTCCCCTCTTTTCCTCGGACGGGCGTAAAAAACGGAGCGAGAACCGGAAAGGGCCCACGGCGCGCATTATACACCTCGGCCGGGAGTTAAATATTCGCCACGCGGCGGAATATCGCGGGCCGCAGTTATCGTCGGTCACTTCGTATCGCGTGTGTATATATGTATATATACGTGCGCCCAGGGGGGTAAACCGAGAGGAACGGAGGTGAGGGGCAGGCCGAGGAGCGGCGAGGCGCGGCGGGGCCGCTCTAGGTATATATAATGGCACACCGACGTCCTGTCTTCCACTGTACAGTGCGCTCACCTGCTCGTCTAACGGGTGGCCAGGAAAAGAAAAAGCAATTAACCGGCGATCGTGTCGCAGAATTAAGAAAAAAAAGATCCTTCCCCTCGACAGGCCGCAACATTACGTTCGCAACTCGTATTACGAATATCCATGTTCACAATGAAAATGATTTTACACCATGTCGAACGATTTTAAGTGTACAGGTGCACGCCCTGGTTCCTGTGGATTTCAGAAGATATTTTATTATGTATGCATTTTCGATCTTTTGCCCTGGGTTATATTCAAGTATATATGTTTATATGCTCTGGCGTCACGTAACATTTTTTTTAATACCGTCACTTGGAACGATGAATTAGTACAGAGGATTTTGTTTTGAGATAGGTTATGGTCGCCCGAGCGGAGGCGACGGTTTTGGGGTGGGTTTGCTTTGCGTGGTTTTTTTTTTCTTTTTTTCATATCTTTTTTATGGGATCAACCGTTTCTGGGGGACACCCGGTGTGCGGGAAATGCACTGTAGCATCGCACGACTATAGTCGCCGTGTTCCGCCGTCCGTAGTAACGTGCTTCCCTGCCTCGACGGAGTCAGGTGCGCCCCGTGGCGTAGTCGGTCAGTTCGGCGGTGCAACCCACGCGGAATCGGTCGTTCTCCGGTCCGCGTCCCGAGGCGAGACTGCGAGATTCGCGAGGGTCGTGCCCGGATAAAAAGGATCTCAAGGAAATACCGAACCCGGCCATTGACGTCCAGACCTCGAGACGGTCCCCCGGTAAACACCGTTTAGTCGACCTGGCAGCGACTTCGAAGCCCCTCGTATATTCGACTGCAAGGGCGAATTAAGTGATCACCGCCGGACTCATTAATTAATATCGATAGTTTCAGCCGTGGATCTTTAACGGGGTGCTGGCGTCTCGACGGCAGACAACGGTGATCTATACTCCCGGGAGGAAGATGCGCTCTCGACCCAGGAGGCGGAACCACGACCTCGTCCTCGCGGGTCTCTTCGCCTCGAAATCGACATTGTCATCCGTCGGACTGTATTTTAACAAAGGCCGCGAGGCCTCCTCGAGCGATACCGGGATTTTTTATGCCGATCGGACGGCTTGATAGGGAGATAACGAGCCGCGCTATCAGGGACGTCCGACACGCGGGCGGAAAATCGGGAAGGGCGACGGCGGAATCTTTTTTCCCGGGTCTGCGGTGATGGCTGAATTGTCTTTTTTATTTTTTTTTTTATTATTTATTGTGGGCTGCTGGGCGATTTGTTATCATTTTTTATTTCTCGTGGAAACGCGTGATCGCCCTCGAGGTCGCAGGATGCACTTCACCGTGGGGATCTGCTACTACGGGGGGGACGCGTCGTTCAGCGGGTTATCCGTTGGCCAGGACCCTCGGCACACCCGGTAGGGCGAGGATGCGCTTGTATTTTTGAGAGCGCTCCTCGCATTTCCCTCTTTTCTACCTTGACGGGCCCCGGGACTAACGCGGGAAAAAGCTCGCACGGCGGTTTACGCCGGGAACGGGTTGCCTTTAACCGCCGGCGCGCTAAATTCCGCGGCGGAGTAGCGCCGATAAAGCGGCCGCCCTTTTCGTAAACAATCGCATTTCGAGAACGAGTCCAGATAAGGAAACGTCCACAGGCTCCTGGAGAAACATTGACTTTCACCTACCCTGGAGTAACGACGATACGTTGGATTGAGAATACTAGCCCTTTTTAATATCCCCTACAATTTTCTGCCATTTAAAAATAGGAAAACTTAAGGAACGTTGGAAAATATTTCTCACGTCGGTATTATTGTTTATGAAATTTTTATCGATTTTTTTTTAGACACGCTCGGCATTTTCGGACGGGATTCTATTTACTGTAGTTTTGTTGGGGAGGGAAATTAAGGTTAATCAATTTTCTTTTTAATTTCAGGTTCCCGCAGGAGAGGCAGGTCGCACGCCAGGACCTGCTGCGGGGATGATCTGCAGAGTCTGCAAGCCCTGCACGTCCTTGGCCGAGGAGGGGGGCGACAGGAAAGTCCTCCGGGAGTTCAGATTCAGGGTCAGGAGCGATCGATCGTCGACTACAGGAGGCTCGTCTTCATCAGCTCGGACTCCTCCTCGGGGCGCGAGGAGGACGACGCCGACAGCAGCTGCTCGGGGTCCTCGTATCTGAACGGCATCCCCCGGGGTGGACACGCCCAAGGCCTCGAGGACTGCGACTGGGACTACTTCGAGAGCGGGACTACCAGCTCCGTTCCTCTGCCGAGTCTTCCGGTCTCCGTCAATACCAGCAACGTGGGGACCGACACCGACGTCGGCCAGGACTGGAGTTGTTGTCCAGGCAGAGGAGCCTCCAGTTGCCAGGTACGTCTTTCGATAAGTTTAATGAAAAAAAATATTTATTTGTTAATACTTATTTATTATGAATGGAGTATATTTTGAGATTTATCGATCGGTTTAAATTCACCTTGTCGACAGGCTTGCGGAGGTTCCCGGGGGGCGAACGTGCTCCCGGTTCCGGTACCGATCCCGGTGCCCGTGCCGTATCCGGTTCCGGTCCCGGCAGCCCTCTGGACCGGCGACCTCGCGGCCGCGGCGGCAGCCGCGACGAACTCCTCGTCCTCGTCGATGATCAGCTGTAGCGCCGCCCCGGACGGGACCCTGAGGCTGAGGGGCGACCCCGCGACGTCCTGGTTCGCCTGGCATCCGCGATTCCATCAGAGCCTGCACGGAAGCAGAATCGATCCCCGGCTGACGACTGCGGGCTTCGACCCGACCGCCTTCACCTTCCGGCCCGAAACCACGCCGCGGCTCTACGGCGCGGTGGGGATTCCGCAGGAAGCGCCGACCTCGACGGAGTCGACGCGGACGAGCGCGTCGATCCTGCACTTCGAGAATGCCCCGAAGCTGGACCAGACCTCGACAGAGGGGGACCCCTCGACGGTGAGCGGCGACCAGAGGTCGTCCCTGACCTCGAAAGAAGCAGAGGAGCCAGGCGAGGACGAGGCCGAGGGGGGTGCGAGGACGTCGGTGGACCAGGAGGCGGAAACGGCAGAGGAGGACCTGGGAAGGGAGCCCTTGTCGTCCTTCCGTCGAGAGGTCAGGGGCTCGAAGATGTATAGGCCCTCCAGAGGGGATTCAGGGAGTTCCTCGGGGAGGTCTTCGGCGGACAGCAGCGACCTCGAGGACTCGGCCTCCCACAGATTCTCCAGGGTTTTTGTGGTGAACGACGACTCTCTTACCAGCGACAACGACGTGGAGGACAACGAGGACTCCGACTCCGCCCGGGAGGGCGGCATCACCCTGAAGAGGGTCAGCGCCTTGCCCGAGGACGAGCCCGTGATCCTCAGGCACGTGCGACTGCTCGACGAGGACGACAACGTGGAGAAGCCGGAGGTCCCCAGCGACTCGGGGGAGTCGGAACCCGAGGAGCCGAAGAAGCGAGCCAGGACGTCATCCGGAGACTCCGCTGCTGCCATCGACAGAGGCGATCCCTTCGAGGTCGCCCAGGGCGGCAGATGCCGCGGTAGGGCCGAAGACTCGGAACGGTCGAGGAAGATCCTGGCCAAGATGGAGAAAAGCGAGATCTACCTCGCCGACTCCAAGGACTGCTCCGACAGCCACATTGAGCTGATGTCCGTCAAGAGCCTGGACCCCGACGACCTCGAGTCGTCCAGCGTCTCTGCCGGCAGTCCAGTCGCGGCGAAACTTCCGTCCTTGAGGAACGAGGGCGAAACGGACTCGAGGAGGTACCCGAAGAGCGACTTGTCGGAGTCGAGCGCCGACTCGGTGTTCTCGGAACACGAGACCAAGGACTCCGGGGTACCTCTGTCGTCCTCCAGCGACCTGGACACCACCGTAACCCCCGATTCCCTGGAAGCCGCCTCGATGCGGTCGATCCTGCCGATTCCTTGCGACCCCGACGAAGACGGAACGTCTCTCGATCCTCGATTTCGCCGTCAAGAGATCGAATTCGATCTGCCACCGGTCTCTGATAAGACGGTAACTCGAGAAGACAATGCCGGCACGATATCGACGCCGGTGCCCGGTGAACTCCCCGACGCCGACGTCACGGGTTGCAACGATCGCCAGCACAAGTTGACCGAATACAGTTCGCACGTTAATCCTGGAGAGGTTTCCAACGCGAGCCTCACCACCGACAGCACCACCAGCGAGACCAACACCGGAAGCGAGGTGAGCAGCGACGAGCTGCACGAGTACGAGGTCGTCACTCCCGTGGGAAGGTTCCACCAGGGCGCGGAGGAAGAGCCCCTGTGCGAGGTCGACAAAGACCACCTCCACCCTTCCCCGGAAAATACCAAAACTGTCGAGTACGACCTGGAGACGATCTCTAAACCTCTTTCAACCCACCTCCTGAAACCGGAAGATCCGGACCAGATCCTCCCCCTCACCGATATAAACCCCAGTACCCTGAAGACGAGTACCCCGGTAAAGAACTCGACCCTCGCCCTCGACACCTCTCTCCAAGATCCCCAAGAGTCCAAAAGTCCATCCTCTATCTCTGGATCGGATGACGATCACTCCGAAGAGGGCAACGATTCCCCTGGCGAGGTTGCTTCTACCCCAGGGAGCGCCTCGATTAATACCCAGAGTATCAGGGAGTCCTCGCAATCGGAGGCTCTGGAGAAGGCGAACCACCTGGAGGCCCGTCAGCTGTCCGATCCCGAAGAGGAGGAAACGCCGCCGGAGACGGCGCACAGCGTGGGGGAGATAATTTCGGGCAAGATCCAGGAGATGTTCAAGAGGAGGGAGGAGAAGGAGGGGGAGTCGGTGAGAGGTGAGAGGCCGCCGAGTCGGCAGGTGGGTGGCGGCCGGGTGGAGGGGGGGTCGGCGACGCGGCTTCGCTCAGTCGAGCGCCGCCCGCCCGCGCGCAAGGAGAATGGCGTCGTCCCGGGACGCGGAGCGCCGCCCAGGGACTCGAGCCGCGAGCCTGGCTTTCCCTCGAACAAGTACCGCAGCCTCGTGATGATCACCGAGGGCGCCTACCAGCCGGTCAGCGTGGTCACCTCGGACACGACGACGTTGCTGCAGCCGGACGAGGCGCAGCCGCCCCAGGGCCTGGCTGGATACTTCCAGCTGGCGCTCGAGGCGGCCTCCAACTCGCCGAGGAATGGCCAGGGCCCGAGGCGGCCGCTGATGGTGAAGCGCCTCCTCGCGGCAGGACAGGCGCAGGCGCAGGCGCATGCGCTCGCCGAACTGGAGCCGGACAGTGGACTCAGCGTCGGCAGCGCCAGCGAGAGCGACGACGTCCAGTCCGTCAAGGGCGCCGCGGTAGGTACCCAGGTTGGAGCCAGTAACGGAGCTAATAATGCCGTCATCAAGGAGCAGCAAGGACCTGAAGCGAGGAACGAGGCCCAGGCGATCCGGGACGAGCGCCGCGAAGATGCCCCCCCGGCCGTGGTCATCCTCGAGGAGGGCCTGGCCGACGACGACTCCTGGGTCGAGGAAGTGTCCCACGATGAGGACGAGCAGGCCGGCACTACTGCCACGGAGGAGAGTTCAGAAGATGAGTCCAACCACCCTGGAGACCGGGAGGAGGAACTCAGGGGGTATCATCGGCAGGCCATCGATTTCACCCTGCACACCATCGTCGAGGAGTCGTGCGAGGAGAGCGAGGCCGAGCCTAGTCTCGCTGCTGGGGGCGTCAGGAAACAGCAGAGGCCTCCTTCGGCTTCCGAACTGGAGAAGTACTTCTTCTTTGGGCTCGGCGGCGAGAACAATGCCGGGATCGGCGCCAGGGAGGTGGACAGCCTCTCGGAGACATCGTCGATATATTCCGAGGGCCTGGAGAGCCTGGGACAGGAGGAGAGCCCTTCCACTGGGGAGAAGACGCAAGGGGAGTTTGCGAATTCCTCGAGGCTGGAGAAGTACTTTCTCTCCGAGTTCCTGGGATTCGATCAGGACAGGAGGGACTCGGATGGATCCGTTGGCAGCGACTCCGAGGGTAGACCCAGTCCCGAGGCGCAGCGCAGGAAGAGGCTCGTCCGCGCCAGGGGGACGGGTCGGTCTCATAGTTCCTCGCTGGATAACTTGCTGGCCCTTACGCAAAGCTCGCAGAACCTGAGCTCTCAGAATTCCCTGCAGGATTTGAGCCTCAACCAGGACTCGCAGGAGACCCAGTCGGAGGGGTCCTCCACGGAGACCGACGGCGCCGAGGAGCAGACCCCGGCCTTCGGGACGGACGGTCAGTTCGACACGGTCAAGAGGAAGAAGAAGAAGCCCAGGAATCTGGGAACTCAGAGTCCCAGGGTGCCCGAGGACAGGAACAAGACCCCGGAGCCGAGGGAGATCGTTGACGCGACCGAGATGGAGGGCGAACCGGGGAACTCCGATGACGAGAGGGCGGAGACTCCTCAGCCCGAGGGGGTCCTCTTCTCCCCTGCTGGGAGCTCTTCTCAGGTGGATCCTAACAGGAGCACGCAAGGTAACGGTACGGAGAACGGCTCCTCCAGGGGCAAGCAGCAGTCCAGAGACTCCGGCTTCGTGGGCAGCTGCGACGACCTTCTTCTTCAACATCAGAAGGCACCTGGCGAGGCGCAGGCTTCCGAGGCTAGTCAGAACCCTCCCAAGGAGACCGGGAACAGGAAGGAGAAGGCCACGGGTCTGGAGAGCCATAGGAATAATCCCAGGGTCGATCTGCTTCAGACCCCGGCTCCGCCACCCAATACCTCCCTCTCCAGGAAGGATAGTTTCAACAACTGGTCCAGCGACGAGGAGACCAACCTCATGATGACGAAGATGCGCCAGTTCTTCAAGACCATGGTGGCGAATTCGAATGGCCAAGGCCAGAGTCCAGCCGCTAACTCCACGGGGCCCTCTCCGGCGCCGAGTCCGCGACTCTCTTCGGGGTCCAAAGCCGGGAGACTGTGCTCGCAGAACCGCACCAAGCCGCCCCAGCTGGTCTACTTCGAGAACGAGCTGACCAGGCTGATGAAGACCGTGCCCGGGATTCGAGACGACCAGGTCAGGGAGATCGTCGAGTACCTGAGCTCGGAGGACACCTGGTCCGACTCCTACGACAGCTCGGACTACACGAGCTCCGACCTGGAGGGCGCCGGAGGGAGGCGTTCGGCTCTTCAGGAACAGATCTCCCAGAGCTGCCAGCAGATAATCAGCAAGTTCGACGCCACGGCCGCCGACGAGGTGTACGACAAGGCCCGGGAGGACCGCGTCGACGACGTGGTCCCGGCGCAGCCCTATCTCGGCAGGGACACCGCCTTCGTCTACCAGAAGCTGGTGCAGAGCTTCACGAAGATGGCCGGGGATGGGGTCAGCTCCGATGCCAGCTCCACTCCTCGGAGCAGCCCGCCGTTGATCGCCAAGGTCATGCACCATATCGGCAGCCGTTTGGTCGCCCTTATGCACGAGGTCTCGGAAAGTGGCACCACCGCCCAGCCCCACTCCTGGAGGAGGTATCCCCAGCATCACCGCACCCCCTCTTCGGCGTCAACCACCGAGGACGACGACTCCACCTCGGACTCCACCAACGCGCCTGCACACCTGCATCTACCCAGGTCCAAGTCGCACGACCCGTTGCTCCTGATTAATGGTCATCCTCAGACCAGCGCCGGCCAGGAGGGCGAGGAACGCGAGGCCAGCGACTACGAGCGCTTCTCCTGGAGAGGCAGCTTCGAGTCCGCCTTGATGGCTGCGGATTCCAGGACGAAGCTCAGTCTTCTTGCTTGTTCGGGCGACGTCAGTGCCAGCGCCAGTGCCAGCGCCCTTGCCATGGCGGCCAAACGGCGCAGTGCCGGGGATCTCCTCTTCAACCCCAGGAGCTTCTCCAGGGAACAGCTCGACCGAGTCCGCAGCTGCGGATCCATCGGCGGTGGTGGAACCGGGGTGGGCGTCTCTGGCTCCATCGAGGAGAAGATCTGGAGCAACCGCAGGAGGTCCTCGGTTCCTGACGCCAACACCAGGCCGGAGTCGGGTAAGGACGTTAAATTATATATTACATATTTATAGCGAGATACTGGGAGAACTTAGCGAAATCGTCGCCTTTTTAGGTGCCTCCGCAGGAGACGACGACACCGAGGACGAGCTCGAGTATACCGGGGACTCCAGGGCGACGACGCTGCCCAGGGGGATGCAGGCTGCAGTCGGGTCATCCGCGAGTGCGGCGACTAATTCCTTGCCTAGGCTTCCGGCTTCGGGCACCACTGCCGTCTCAGGAGGAACCTCCACCACGATGCACAAGGCTCATAGCGTGTATCACTTCCTGCCTCAACATGCTGGCGTCAAGTCGGCCAGGTACCGGCCTCCAGGGTTCGCCAGGAACAGCCTGGGGAATGCGGCCAACACAGGAGGACCTAAGAGAGCAGTCAGTGCCCCGGGTCTTCAGGTCTCCGGCTCGCAGACCTCCGCCGGGAAGCGGGACCCCTCCAGGTCTAGAAGGCAGCAGACCATCTCTCTCACTCCTGGTGAGTCGGGACGTCGGGACGTGTCCTCGCGTAGCTGGAACTCCACGCTCTTCTAGGCTGGGAAATTCGCGTTTTAATTGGGAATTATTTTTTTTTTTTTTCTTCTCAATGCATCATATTAGAAACAAGTTTCATCCGAGGGAAGCTACGAGTAGGAAGTACGTTCCTTTCCCCGCGTCGACGCGGGAGGGAGCATTGTTCGAGGCGGTTTTCTCGGAGCGTAATTCCTGAGCGTAATTCCGAAGCGTTTCCTCCGCCGTGCCCGGAGCGAGCACGGAGTTCCACTTACGTAATTCCCGGACCGTTTCTTCGGGAATAAATTAGTCGCCTCTGGTTGGGTTTCCGCCGAGACGTGCCCGGGCATCGGTAACGAGGCTTCCGTCGACTGGCCCGGTTTATTTCGGCCGGAGGAATATTTAGCGGCGCCGCCATTTTAATAATTGACTCGAGAGTCGCCTTAATCTAGACGAGAAAATTCCGTCGAATTAGCCGCCGAATCGCCGGTAACAAGGTCGGCGTCCTTGGATACGAGGATCCACGCGTCGCTTGAGCTCCGGAAATCATTTTTATGACGATTTTCAGGAAAGCAAAGTGACCGAGCAATTAATTTCTTAGTACCGTTAGGCCGAGTTATTCGGAGATTAATTGGATACGAGTCAGGGTTACCGGCGTGCGTTTGCTTTCGTCACCAAACCGAGCGCTAAATTCCGCTCGGCTGTGGTAACGCGCAATTTTTCGCCCACTTTTCCTTTTGATCCTGATCGGTATCTCGCGTTTCGCGGCTGAGTTGCGCGACTTGGTCGCTAATTACTCCTAGTTCGGAGTTCCTTCGGGTGTGCGACTTTATAGTGTGTCAGGAGAGCGGAGAAAATCCGCCTCGAGGGAAGACAGAGTCTTTCCTGTGCAGGTGACCCTCGGGTGGATCCGCAAATTGCGCGTAATTGCGCGTAAGTGAACGGGCTATCTGTTTTCTTTTATTTTCCCTCGCGCTTTTGTCGACTTTTCAGAAGAGATAAGGCAGTCGGATGTCGAGCTTTACCTGGTTAATCGATTTAAACGATAAGCTGTTCCTTGGGCGCCGCCATCTTGTTTTCCCGGTCGGCCGACACGCGTCGCTCGTCGGAAGAAACCGGAAGTCGCGACTTCGGGGGGAGTTCAGCGATCCGGAGTAACGGGATCCCGAAAAAACGAGGGACAACAGGAATGCGATCGGAATTCGACCTCGAAGAGGCGATTTCTATCGCCGGGAAGTGCCCGTAGCTTCCTCGCGGCCGTTTATTTCGGGGAGCTTCGAGCTTCCCAAGATGGCGTCCAAAATGGCGGCGCTCGAGTGCGAGGACGTGACCGGCGGTTTTTCGGAAAACGATTCACTCCAGGCTGCCCGTCGAGCACGAAACGACGGGAAATTGTCTCGCAATTACCTCGGCCAACTGAGTCATCGTGATTTTCCCTCGGAAAGTGCATTGGGCAACGATTTCGCAATACTCTAAATTGTACCGTGACCATCTCGGCCGGAGCGACGCGAATTTCGTTAAGATCGATCAATATCTGTCGAGGGCGTCGATAGGGATGAGAGAGGCGATATATCTCGGGGTAAAATATTCTATCTTGAATTTACCTCTCGGAGACTTCCAATTTGAATTGCCCGCACGTGAGGCGACATTGAAATTGTCTCTGTTCGCGGTCGCGCATTCTCCAAGGCGACTTCGAGCGGTTCCGGTACTTCGGAATAACGGTCCTCTGGAGGACAAAAGATCGATTATCTCCGTCCGATTCCGCCGACTTCTCGAGCCCATTCCGTTCCAAAAGTGTTAGGAACTCCAAGAAAATGATTCCTTATTTTTGTGGAATTTCTAGGAACCCTGGGGAAAAGATACCGCGACAGCGTTACCGCCACCGCGCACAACTGCGGCCAAAATTGCACCCCGTGCCTATTTTTCCCCTACATTTTCCTACTCTCGTTTCGCAATTTTTTTTGTTTTCCCTCGCAAAGAAAGAAGGAAAAAAAAGAAAATCGGAATCAGACCGAACGACGACGCCTCGTTGTGGTCGCAACACGGAGCCTCGGGAACACGATGTTACGCCTTGGCACGAAGTGCATGGCGTGACGAAGCGATGTACTTTTAAGCTGCATCCAGTCAAGATACGAGCAAAAGTACCCGTTTTAAGCCTAGAAGAGCCTATTTTAGAATTTTTTGTCCCCTGGTTTGGACGTCGAAAAATGTTAAAAGCGTCTTGGAAGAGATCTCGAAAAAAGTATGGATGTTGAGAAATGGCCATCGATAGGTTTGTCCTCCGGAGATATGTCTGAGATCATAGTCGCGCTTTCAGAGGGGCTCTCATGGCTGCGGAACAGAAACGCCGGGCAAAATCCCGACGTCGGGTAATTACGACGTGTCGGTAAAGAGCAACAATGAGAACCCTTCGAGACTTTCACGCCTCGTTGCGACAGTCTCTCCGGGATACGGATACCATACTTCGCGAGCCTCGTGGACGCGGGTAACTCCAGAAATTAAATCTGCACAGAAGTCGCACGAGCCATCTCGTGTTTGCGACCTGGATAGATTGTGCGTACAATGTACGCCCAACTGCGCAACGAGATCCCCGATCTTTAGAGCCTGGACAAACTGGACAGAAGCTAGAATTTAGCAAAAAGAAAAAAATCTCATTCATCCGATGGAGCGTGATGCACTATCTGAGGCTGCACGGAAAAGGGGGCACTTTTTGCCGGCTAATCACCGGTAATAAATTTAATTACGGCAATTATCCCCTCCGTGAAGTCGAGCCGAGAGTCTAAAGGTTGCGATACGATCGGAAGGAACTTATTTTATATTTCTTATTATTATTATTTTTTTTTTCTATGGTAATTTTTATAAGACTTCTGTATTAATCGCAAGTGAAAAGGAGACCGTGGCGAGCCGTGGAAATGTAAGGCTAACTCGTATGCGGCGAGTGCGTGCCCCTCGTGTATCGACCGTGTAGTGTATGCACGCACTGCATGACAGGTATAGAAAGAGAGTCAACAAGCCGTCGCGGAAGCTGAAAGATTCAGCCATAGTCTCTATCGCTCACCTTGACACACATCGAGAAGTAGAAATCGGCTGCACCGAGCCACTCGATGGATGCACCGGAGGTGCCGCAACAGCACGTGCGATTCACGTCAAAGTGGGCCCCCGAGAAGTTAATTAGAAAAATCGAAACTTCGATGGCTTAACCATTTAACTCGATAGGAATTTTATAGCGTATATAAATGAAGAGTCTAGGGAGATTTTTCTGGATTTTTCGCGGTGCGATTTCATCCTTCGTTGGCCCTTTAACCGTGAATGACGTATCCGCTCGTTTGGTTCATTATCGCCCGGCCGGGTTCAGGAATTTCGCCCTTATGTGGAGGGGACTTTAAACGTAGAAAGGCTTTACTGGGAGAGAATTGGATACTCGTGGAGAGTCTTTTAGGCTTGAAAGTGGACTCGCACTCGTGCTTCACGCATTATTCTCGGACAGGAAGCGCAGAAATTATCGCCTTTCGAGATTACGGGGGAACGACATTCGAGTTCCCGGGTCGGTCCACGACGGACGGTCTAGTTTTTCTCGCCGCTTCTCGGTCGGGCTCATCTTTTCGAGTTGTTCCTTCCTCGGTTGGTTCCCGGCTGCGATCGGTGAAATCCTCGGCAGCGAGACGCGCTTTCGAGGCGCATTCTTGCCCCACGAACCACTTTTTCCAATTTCTCCGTCCTACGGTTTGACCGTTCCGAAGGAAAGTTCCCGATTACAAGATCGGCCCCCCGCTGCGAGGATCCGGCAGCAGTTTTTTGGAAGGCCCGATTTACTCAGAGGGGAGATCAAACCTGGAAGGAACTATTACAATACATTTATAATCGATTTAAATCATAATTAATACGGAGGGAGTGCCGCGGATTCGAGGATGTCGGAGGTCGCGAGGTACTCCACCTTCGACCTGCCGGATCGGCCTTCCTCGGAGAAGCTGAAGAGATGGTTGACCTCGGGTCACTTTTGGAAGTGCTGCTGCAGCTGCTCCAACTGCTGGCGAGAGAAAACCTCCTCCAGGATGAAGTCTAAGGACGAGCCTAACCCGACATTGGATAAAGCCGACGAGGATAAAAAATTAGAACCGAAGGACGATCGAATTTCAAGGTCTCCGATAATGGAGGGAGCTTCTTCGTCGATCGAGGGAAGTTTGAAAAATCGCAACGAAGACCTACCCGAAGAGGATCCTACCCTGGAGGAGCTTTATTCCGATGGCTTTGTCGGAAAGCCGTTTCCGACGAGCTCCAAGATAGAGCGGCCTTTCTCGACGTCCTCTTTCGAGTTCTGCCTCCGGAAACGACGTCCTGGGAGGCCGAAAAATATCGACGAGGAGTCCGACTCCTCGAGGTCGACCCGAACTCGCGTCCCTTTTTTAGAGATCCCTATCATCAGGGAGGGAAAAATCGGCGACTCTTCTCGAGCTTCCGACGAGCTGGACTGCCTTCTCTCCGACGAGCGTGCGTCGTTTCGTGATTTGGAACCTAAATTAAATTTAAGATCTTAATTAAGGCTCTAACATTAACGCGATGCGTTTCCATCTACCGTGCGTTAAGTCGAGAATGTAGGAATATATTTACACGTAGGCGCGGTTAGGGTGAGAATTCCGCCGGTTGATAATTAGAAATTGGCTTATCAATTAAAACCGCTTGCAGAGGATGGAAGCAGCTTATCGGAAGCGTGCAGTACGCCTATCATCGGAGCAGGAACCAGAGCCGGATCCAGTCACACCGTCATGGACATGGATGACATGGATCGAGGGCTGCATTCCGGACACCTCGCCACAAGAGCTTCTCTATCCAGCCTCGGCGTAAGTTGGTCTCCTCTTCATCTACCGGGAAAGAAAGTAGAGATAAAAATGATCGAGAGAACATCCCCTCGCGCGAGATTTCCCGCGTCGACCTCGGTAGGTAAGCCACGGGCTTATAAGTAACGAGTTCAACGTGGGAATCGCGAGGCTGGTCTGGCATCTCCGGCGTTATTTATTTATTTATTTTCTTAATGATACCATCCGTGGCTTTGTTTTTAGGCTCGCTCCGACTCCATGGCGTCGGTGTACAGCGGGGCAGGCGAAGGGCGATGGTGCGGATCGGTGGCCGTGAGAGGAGAGGTGGAATTCGCTCTTCAGTACGACTACAAGCAGCAGACATTCCAGGTACACGTGACGCAGTGTAGGGATCTAGCCCCCGTCGACATCAAGAGGAACAGATCCGACCCGTGAGTTTGAAAGTATAGAGAATTGAATGGGGAAGTTTATAGGTATGTAATTGTGCCGGTAATTCATACCTCCAGGTACGTCAAGGTGTACCTACTGCCGGACAAGTCGAAGAGCGGCAAGCGGAAGACGAAGGTGAAGAAGCACACGCTTAACCCGGTATTCGACGAGACGCTCAAGGTAAGATCGTCGACTAATCTCGTTTACAGTTAATTATATCGAGATCCTTTCCAGTTCCACATGAGCTTGAACGGCCTGGAGTCGAGGACGCTGTGGCTGACCGTCTGGCACTCCGACATGTTCGGTCGGAACGACTTCCTAGGAGAGGTTCGCATGCCCCTGGAGAACAAGATCTTTGACGACCCCACGCCGCGGTGGTATCCTCTTCAGGAGAGGGTGAGAGTTCCTTAACCCTTCGTACGGATGCAAAGGTATAAACGGATGACGCCGGAATCTTACATCGTGGTACTTCTAGACGGAGCCCTTCGACGACCCGATCGCCTCCAAGGGCGAGGTCATCGTCGGCTTGAAGTTCGTTCCACCCGATCCTGCGCAGCAGCAGGAGCGAGAGAAGGAGATGGGTATCGACCAGAGGGGCAGCTCCAAGACGAGGAAGAACTGGAGTCGAGGTGCCCTCCACGTCCTCGTCAAGGAGGCCCGAAACCTTCAGACTCGCGCCAAGCACTCCGGGACTTGCGATCCCTTCTGCAAAAGGTGGGGTTACCTTCCTGCGTCTCTAAAATATCAGATGAAAAGGATCAGGGTGACTTAGGGCTTCGAGAATGCCTAATTCATTTAAATTCCATTCTTCAGCTATCTCCTGCCGGACAAGGGGCGCTCTGGGAAGCAGAAGACCGGAATCGTCCGACGTTGCTCCGGAGGATCCCCGATCTGGGGCCACACCTTCGTGTACAAAGACGTCAGTCTTCAGGAACTGGCGGAACGGGGCTTGGAGCTTACCGTGTGGGACCATGATCGCATAGCCAGCAACGAGTTCCTCGGCGGCGTTCGTTTTAATCTTGGAACCGGTATGTACACCGCGTAACGGGAGAGACCTTCCTGGCAGGATGGGCTACCGGATTTTTCCCTGTTCCGGAATCGTTACCGGCGCTTAATATCACATAATATCGCATAACGTCGCCTAATGTCCGTTCCTTCCTCTTCAGGGAAGCACTACGGAAAACCGGTGGACTGGATGGACGCGACCGGTCGGGAACTCTCGCTCTGGCAGAGCATGATCGAGAGGCCGAACTTCTGGGTGGAGGGTGCGGTCACCCTGAGGCCGAATCTGCACAACCACGGGAAAGGAAACCCCTCCTAACGTCCTCTTTCCGCTTCCTCGAGCAGAGCGAAGGAATTCCTCGGGGACGCGGCCGAACCCCGCGTTCCTCATCGTAGCAGAGGTCGCTCCTCGTACTCTTTGTAAAAGAAGAAAAGAAAACTGCCTGCGGAATAATCTCCAGCTCTCGCGTATGACTCCCATCGAGGTCATACCAGAGAGCGGGGATGGGCGCGGTTACTCGAATATGTATATTCAACGTCCAGGGCGAGACTTAGGCGACTTTTCTACCGGTCGTTGGTCTCGCGCGCGTGTAAAAATTCGAGCCATCGCCGATTCTTATCTGTACAAGTATTGAAGGAGTAGTTAGCGAATCGCAGGACCGGCCAGCCCGGGTCGATCGGACTTAAGATATCGTCGGCGTACTCAGTAACGATTCCTCGTGGCCAAAAGTACTTTAAACGCGTTGCCGGCTGTTTATTTCTATCCTCCCTTCTTTTGGACAGTTTTCTCTCTTAGCGAGAAAAACGTGCTTCCATTCCGCGATCGCAACCTCGTGGAACGGTGTATTTAATCCCTTAAATACGCCATGCTTCCAGAATCTATTATATACTATATATTTGTACTTATACATGTATACATACGGGCGTAGAGACCGGAGGTCTCGCGACATACGAGTTAAGTTTTCGTTTAATGCACTCCCAGCGAGGAGCAACGCAGACCCAAGGCTGAGTCGGTAGTTCGTACTTAACGATTTTATATATCATATTATCGGTACACTTTGTTACGCAATTATACGGATAAGCGACGCGAGTTTCGTACATCGACGTAGCGGTACTCCGAATAACAGGGTGGTCATTGAGACAACTGCCTGACGCGGATCTTCTTTTTGTAACTCGTTAGCTCGTAAATTATATATATATATATATTATATATATAGAGAGAGAAAGTACCATACGTGTATCGTGGATTTAGATTACTAACTCATGCACACGGTATCGGCCGTGGGATGAGCGATCTATTTTGCCAATTCGATTTGTACGGTGAAACTGGAGCCTAGTTGTTTGCCGAGCGCCCTGCCGTAACTTTTAGCACGGTTTTCCGATTGCCGACTAGTGCGAACGATGGACCAATAATCTCAGGTGGGCAGGCAGGGTCCCCAGGTGCGTAGTTTCACCTTGAAGCGAGGCCGGATCCGGTCCTCGAGGTAACAATAAATCTTCAACCAAACCAGATACGTGTCGATATGTTCATACGTTCTTAACAGCGGTCCAGCGGTGGATGATGTGGAAGAGCAGAGTTCTATTTATATTCCGTTCGGTCGGTGTACATGAGAGAATAAATCTTTTTTACCTTTACTCTAACGCGCGGTGAGCTCGCCGATTACTTATTATGCGAAGGGAATAGTCTTGTATCCTCATTAAGAAACAAATCCGAGCACCTTCTCCGTTATCACAGGTCGTTGTTAGAGATGAACCGATTGCCTTCCGAGTTCTTGCCGGAGTACCGGTACTTGCACTTCCCGTACGCCCCTGGAAATTTATTTAGTTTAAATGCCTCCTTGTGCATTGATATAAGTACCTGGGAGATCTTTCTATATGTGGTTTTTCTATTTCTAGAGTACCTCTATGGTCTTGAGGTTTGCGCACCGACCTCGGTAATGGCGTGTAATTGACGTTCATGGAAGCTTCTATCTCTTCGACGGGCGATATCGTCAGGAGAGATGGAGAGGACTGAAAGGCCAGTTTGACCGTCCTGAGAAATCTACCTCTACTTCGGGCATCCAATCTCTCTTGTTTCGTTACAGGTCGGGAATCCAAGAAACGAAGAGAGGGAGGCAACACGTGGATGGCGTACAGGCGATATCTCTCGTAATCGGCGTCGTCGTTAACGGTAGGGTCTGTCAACTGATCTGGACATCCAGGGTTCCCCAAGAGGCTAACATAACTCACGTCAGGACAGCACTCTCGTATCCTCTCCAAGGTGGCGTCGATGTCCGTGATCTAGAATAGAAGAATACCAATCTTAATTGAAACCGCCATTACAATTATTTCCTCTTCGCTCCTCCAAGTGGAACAAACTATCTTCTTAGTTTGTAGCTTAGCTTATCTTGGAATCCAATTTATTATAACTCCCATCTTATCTAAGTAGGAGATGCTAAGAGCACGTGTCTGCAAACTCCTGTACGAAATGAATGACTCGATTAATTCTTCGCGGAGAAATTGATCGGACACTGTTTTTTTTTTTTTTAATTCGCTTCGACGGCGTAATCCTAATCTCCTCACCTTGTTGTTGTTCAGACTCAGGGTCCTGATTGTCGGCATAGGGGGCAGGCTACGCAGGTCTCGGAGGTCGTTGTTATCTAAAATGAGCTCCTCTAGGCAGGTGAAGTCGCGGACCGCAGAGATCGACGTAAGTTCGTTGAAAGAGAGGTCCAAGCTCAGACAGTCCGAGCCTACTACTCTTATCAGGCCGCTTGGAATTCTCTCCACTCGCTGGCCGGTGTACCAAGCCTGGTAGGAATCGGAAATGGGAGGCGAATCACCCGTTAATTATGTCCTTTTCACTTTATGCCCTCGAGGAATTACCTACGACTCGCTCGTCGCATAATTACCCGGTTATATCGCACGTTCAGTGCGCTCCGGTTGAAGTCTTGATCGTCGAACTCCGCCATCTTGAAGCGCTCACTTTTTATCTCGTTCTCTCGTTCTTTCTGCCACTCTTACTCGCACGCTAGAGATAAGTACTCAGGAGGGTATCAGAGTGTACGCAAGTTACGGTATCTTCGACCGACGTTACTTGGATTACACGTGTAACGAGTCAGGAGTAAACATGGCTCGTTGGTCTAGGGGTATGATTCTCGCTTAGGGTGCGAGAGGTCCCGGGTTCAAATCCCGGACGAGCCCGCTTTTTTTTTTTTCTTTTCTCTCATTCGGAAAAAAACTACCATTAACACCTTAACGGCCGCACATCTCTCGCAACATTACGTTGCGGTGCGTGGTTACGCTTACATGAAAAAATGTCAGTGATCGACAATGTGTTCATTTTTAATCCTTGACATTTCTTCTTACAGATCACTTGGTCGCTATGGGTTTTTTCCCCCCATTCCTTAAGAATATGCACCGGATGAGAGCGATTGGAACGATTAAGTCCGTACTTTTGTATATTTTGCGCGGTGGTTGCTAATCGAATTTTCGAGTTTTTAGGATCGGACGCTTTTTGACGGAATTTTTTTATTATTCTATCACTTTTAGGTAGAGTCGATTCTCTTCGCGCTGTCGCTTTTGAGAGTTATCGTCCTTTGACAGTACCCCACCTTTTCCGTGCACATGACAATGACTGTGTACTCTGCTAAAGTCTCGCGCATTATCGTCTCCATGATCTCGTTGTTTGGTCCGAGGTCGTCGCTCGGCTCTTCCACGATTATTATCTGGAAAGAATACAGTAGTCAGATGCTATTTTCTTTCTCGTAAGCGTTGTCGCTCCGGCGACTCACTTTGGTTGTCTTTTTCAAAATCGCCCGTGCAAAGAATATCAGCCTCCTTTCGTACTTCGTGAAGACGTTGCGGGAGTTGCTCTCTAATTTCTCCGCCAATTTCGACACTTTCTCCCAAAGGTAGACCTTCTGCAACGCCGCCATTATTTCCTTATCCAGCGCGTCACCCATCGGGTCTAAATTGCATCTGTGTTAATTAATTTTACAAGATTATCGGATTGTTACGGCACGGTTGTAGCATCTTTAATTGTTTATACTTGCTTTACGTACTTTATAGTGGCGTTGAAAAGTACCGGGTTCGCGGGTACGAAGCTTACGCATTGTTTCAATTGTTCCGAGGGTATGTCTACAATGTTCGTGTGCCCTATGAAAATATTCCCTGACGAAAGTTGCAGAAGCTTGTACATCGCTGATACCATCGTTCTTTTGCTCTCACTGCCCCCGACAATACCTGTTACATAGATTATTAACGATATCAATATTTTGCCTGATGTATGAAAAGTATTACCGCATTAAGGAACAACAATACAGATCACCCTAGGGCAAGAATTTAATTTCTCTACGTCTTAAACATTGCCTACCCACTTTCTCTCCGGGTGCAATCGTAAAATTCAAAGGTCCCTCCGTCGAGTTGATATCATTTGCCAGAAAAACTTTCTCGAATTTTAAACCACTGTCGCCGATCCATTTTGCAGATTTCGCAAGCTCGGAGTCGTCCTTTGGAATACTCTGAAATTTACTTGACAATTGAATAATTGCATCCTGGGTTATTTGGCGTCAATCCTATTTACCTTTAAGTATTTGTCAAATCCGGTAAGAGTCATACAGCTCATGAATATGTTAACAATGGCTCCGGTTAAATGGACGATACTGGTTGTTAATTGAAGGGTGCAAATGAAAGATAGACCCGTTAATTCAAAACGGTTTCTAATCACGGGAAGAGAAGCGCACATTAACGTGACCGTCCCAAGTGTTAAGGCTAGAATGTAACAAATGAATAAAATATATACGTACGCAATAATTTATATATTTATTTAAGTTACCTGAGAGTAGCTTTATCCTATATTCGATCCACAACTTGGTGGCGTAAAGCATGAAGTCGTGGGTTGAATTGCTATCACAGAACTTGTGGAACCTACTGGCGGAGATAAAGAAAAAAGAAAAAAAAACATCGTCTAGAAAATACTATTATCTCTATAATAATATTTATTGCTTAAATTTATTTTTCACTCACTTCCTAGTGACATCTCGTCCCTTTTGAGAGGACTGAATGATCCCACGTCCCTCGACGACATTTGCCAAGTAATCGCACATCTGGAAAGTAAATTGCATCGTCCCCTCGTACAGACTCAAAGTCGTACCTCTAAAATGCGGTTTAACATTAATCAGCGTTGCAGAATGACATGAAATTAATCTTAGCAGACTGGAACATCAAGTTTTACCTTACGTAAAAGGTACAGAAAATAGATGCGAAGATGAATATCACAATGGGTATTAACAGCCATGAAGAAAGGAGAGCCAGGGTTATTACACTCAAAATGCTAATCCCAGTATGCATGAGAACTGTTACTGCCGACCGTGGTATTTTAAAATCCACTAAAAAAATAACCAGAGATTGGTATGTTAAATTGGATTAATATAAATGACACCTTTCATACCTTCCTGCAAGTTCACAATGAACATGTTGAGTAAAATCGATGGGGACACGCATATTAAGTACGAGATGTTCCCTCTGAACAAAGTAGCAAGCCAGCGTTCATGTAAGCGCGTCGCTACTTTGAAAATGACCTACAATTGTTAAAGAAATATCAGAATGACAAAATACGTGCAAAGTGCAATGTACTTACAATATTGTAGAAAGCCATGAAAATTATTCCGCAGAGAAAAGAGATGCCCATCAAATTTAGGAACGTTAAAATGATATCCGTGTCACTGCTGATACTTTTCTGAAAAAAAGTAAAAAATAAATATTGAGCAAATATTAATTATGCCTTTGGAGGCATTACATATAAGCATAATAAAAATTAATTACCTTCACAATGTATATAAAGAATAATGGCGAAATCGCTATCGAGAACGAATAGCAAAGAGCAATCAGACATATGAAAACCGTTACGAACCAACTCCCAACATGTTTCACATAAATGCAATAATCTATCGGTGATTGAGAACTATACTCAATCGGCAGTAGATCGAAATTCAGTCTCTGCTTAGAGGATAGTGAATTATCCTAGTGGAATACAGAAACGGGGGTCACATCAATTGTTAATAATAAGAGTAATATTAAGATCAACCGAAGTGTACATACACCGTCATCAGGAAAACTATTGAAGGAGGTGGTTGTACTTGTACTTCTCAATACTGCTCTCGGTGCACCTCCAAACACTAACTGGGTAGAGCTACTAATTTGTTCCTTGCTTCTGGAAATACTTAAGTTAAATCATTCATTTACTTGAGGAAGGAAGAATTGTCATCGCACCCTCACCTGTACTTCTGCTGATACCTCTTCGCGTATAAATTAATTATCTGAGTGTACTCGCTATTCCATTGCAACAATTCCTCGTGATTTCCCTGCTCGACGATTTTCCCTTCTCGCATTACGTAAATAATGTCGCATCTGTTTAGGAACTAAAAAAAAAAGAAAAACAAGGGTCTATATATTAATTACGTTTTTAATGTGAAATTAGGAGAATCGTGTATTTCAACTCACCTGAATTTTATCGGATACCATGATCACCGTTTTGCAGCCCAATGCGTGCATTATGCATTTTTCAAATATCTCTTTGCAATCGTTCGCACTTACATCCGCGAGTGGGTTGTCCAGAATGTTGATATCCTTGAACATGTACAATACTCGAGCTAATGCTATTTTCTGTTTTACAGCAGGTGTCAGGCTCAAATTATTGAGTTCGGTGTCGTCGGATGCTGGAAGTGCAGCTATGTCGTCGGTCAGCGAGCACAGCTTCACAGCTTTATAATATCTGACGGAAGATATGAAATATAAATAATGAGCGACGTGAGCCGTTCATATTTTATGATCGCCCCAGATTACCTCGTAGAATCAAAATTCTCCCCGAATATAATGTTTTCCTTGACAGTACCCTTGAACAACCAAGGCACTTCAGGAGCAAATGCACATTTACCGTCGATTGCAACGTGACCGCTAACTCGATGCAGATGACCCATTATAGACAACAAAAGAGATGTTTTACCAGAATTTGGTTGGCCGCAAATCCCGATCAATTTCCCCTAGAAAGATGTCATAACAGCATCAGTTCAGAATTTTCAATAAACCCTTAACTAGAAATTCATATAAAACGTCGGACACGACGATCAGAATTGTCTACCTTCGACGCAAAGAAATTAATGTCCATCAAAGTATCCGGTGGCAGTAAATTTCCCATAGAAATTGGAACTCCTTCGGTGTTGTCTAAATAAAACCTAGGAAAAGACGATATTTATAAAAGGTATAATTTTCCATAATAGCATATTTAATTGAACATTAATATGCAAGGATTAACTCACTGGGACGAACATCTGATCGACTTCTCGATGGTGCACTTGTCTTCTTTCCACGTAAAGTTTCCCCAGTTAATTGCGATCGCCAGATTCTTGTCTATCGGTTTGTCCGGGAATCGTTCGGCCTCCCTCATTGTTAATATAGTCTACGCACAAATTTAAAAACAATTATTCTCTCCCCATTAAATATTACCTCTGGTAATGACTACATGCATAATATGAGTTACCTTTAATTTATTAAGAGATGTAATGCCTCGAGAGAAACCACTCATTGCCAACCAGCTGCTCCTTGTGCAATGTTTAACATTTATTAACAAAAGAGCCAACACGGGGATATACTGTAAAAATGAGCAAACATAAATATCGATTCACCATAGTGTGTAAATTTAATTTAACGCACTTACGCGGGCAAAGGCGATTTGTTTCTGCATAAGGAGACTCGCCAAAGTAGTAACGCAAACTGTTATAATTGGAATCAAGTGCACCATTGACAAACTCCAGCCTTCCGCTAATCCTCCCAATTTCATGTCCGAAAGCTCCTTCGATCGCGTGTCTGAAATAATTATAAACAATTCAGGTAAGTTATTAAAAAAAGGGAGGGGGGTAATTAAATAAACTTCGTAGTTTACCCTTGATATTTCTCTCGAAATAACTATCCCACAGGGAAACCTTCGCCAGATAAATATTGTTAAGAAACTCTTCAATAAATCCCACGTGCTTTACCGAGTGCTCAACCGCTTTCGTGGCGAAGATTTTCGCCAAATAGGCAATAAAAATCTGAAGGAAAAAAATTGTTCGGTATACTAGAGGTAAAAAGAACCGATCTCTTCGGAAGAATAATGTAAAATACGTACCAAGACCGAGTACTCTATTATCAGTACACTGATTCCGATAAGGGCCCAGTGCCCCATAGAGTACCAAATGAACGTAGCTGTGATGATTAATAAAAACGGCCCAGTGAACAACAATGGTCCATTTATTATCAACTCGTACAGTGTCTCGCTGTCGGGTACATAATACCTCATTATCTAAAAATAAAAGGATAAGCGTAGAACGGATTTAATTATCCCTCAAGAGAAGAATTACCTGATGCGCCGAGACGTTGTATCTTAAAGAAGAGCGCACTAATTTTTTGTACACCATCGCTAAACAGGCAGACCTTAAACGGCAAGCTGTTCTGAAATACAAGTTATTTGCGGTTTACCTTCAGATTAATCCGTACCTCACATAGACCGTAACATTTAACATTAATTAACATTTACCTCAGATTCAAGCTAACGCTCCATGCGATTAAAAAGCAGGAAATCACTTCCACCAAGACAAGAATCCCGACGTAGGTGAACGTAACAACATCATCGACCATAATTACATGTGCCACCGAATCTGGTAGCTTATCAATAAACTTCTGACTTAACTTTAAGCTATTATTTGAAGTTACGGAAGAGTTAGCGACCGACGCGTCCTTAAAAGCTGTGGAGACTCGTGTAGACGATGAAGTAGAAGCGTTCCCAGGTAAACTCGTTCTGTTCTCCATTGCTTTATCGTAGACATTGTTTCTGTCCTCGATAGTGAGGATAATTTTCTGTAGGAAAATAATCTGAAACAACGGAAGGTGAATTAGCGTTACAGCAGTCAATAGAAATTGACGTTACAAATTTATACAGCGAGCTGGAGTACTTACAGGATTCAGTAGAGACATTATCATGCCTAGGAAATATATAAAAGATGCGACCAAAACTCGCGTTCTAACGAATCTCCATGCCACGAGGGGGACGGATGCTCCTGTTTGACCTCGTTCAACTACATGTGCATGCCACAAGCCATCCAATCTACATAACAATACAATTTCAATATTTTTGGCAGAGTCCACGCCGCATAACGAGTCAATACTCGCTAAGGATCAAAGAGAAAAGGATAAACCATTACCTAGGGCCGTTTATTTCGCAAGAGTCCTGTTGCGCAATGGTAGGCAGAGGTTTGTCAATCATTCCATTCTTGCAACCGGCAGATAAATATTCATTAAGCCAATTCAACGAGGCGCTCGACAATAGACCAATCTTATCGAGCGGCAATTCAGAGCCTGGAGTTCTGTAAATTGTAAATCCATTGAAGTAGACTTTTGAATAAAATGGTATAATTAAAAATATATGTACTAAAAGTACCTCTTGAATCTTATCGGCGCCAGATTCGTGAGCGCGGTGGTGTACCTTGAAAATCGGTTATGGGGAACATAAGCAGAGCTGTGCTTCATCTCGTCGAATGTCCGCGGGAAAAGCCGGCCTAAACTACCCTCTTCTTGACTGTGCGGAATAAAAAATATTAATTAGGATAAAATAAGGGAGATTTAATTGAGTACTCACACGCCGACCGCTCGAAACTCACATGTTCGCGTCTAAACCGTCATGATTGTTCCTGACCGGTTCAGAGGAGGAAGACATCATCCAGGAAGTGGTGAATAAAATAAACTCGACTTTTATCTCGGTATTTTGACTTCACGCCGCGCACGTTGAAGCATGTCCCACCTAGAAGTACATACGATTACGTTACAATTAATAAGCACGTTGATAGGCGTTACATACTCACTGTCTTCGGGAGATAATCTTAAGCCTCACATTTATATCTAGGATCCTATTTTTGTATAAATCCATGAGAAGCGAGATCACGAGTACATGCCGACTCGTTTGCAACGCCTTCCCGAGTGGCTGATTAACTTTTAAAGATGACAATTGCCCCGAAGAAGGTCTTTACATTCCGGTTGATAAAAGGCGCACTGAAGACACATAGAAAGCTCGCATAGTAACGTATATCTTGGGGCGATGATTCATTAAGTATTAGTGGATTACGATATGAAGCCGAGTACGAGGCGAATGGTACTTACGGATCGTTACGAATATTTCCGACGGTACGTTTTACCGAAAAAAAATCCCACGGTACGGAGTCATCCGGTACGCTTATTTACTCGCACTTAATCGTTATTAATTTTGTCACTAATTCCCTAAAGTAACGTTTCATTTTTAAGTGCCGCCTACAATGTGCCAGCGCGATGGGCTAGTGCTCTGTGCAATTGATACTTTATCAGCCACTCCTGATAGATACCGCAGTGTTCGTGACATCGAGTCCCAGGTAAGAGATAGTGCCAGCCAATCTTCCGCAAAGGCTTTGCCGATAAAATATAATAAAATCCGAGCACAGTGCCGTCTGATGTATGAAACATTACGGGTTAAAAAATCCCGCCTACACTAATGGCAGAAGAGAATCTTAACAATAGGAAACTAATTCGCAAGTTCCTATAGTTCGGCCTAGATAAACTTAGTTACGCTTATCTTCGTCGGTGGGAGAAAATGAGAATTATTTCGCAACGGTTCCAAGATTAAATTCATTTCTGTTATCGCATCGATACATCATTAATACGTATAAATTAAGTGTTTAGCGAAATTCCAAGATTCAGCGGTTGTACTTATTCGTTAATAACATGGTACGGTAAAAACGCAGGCTACGTAATGTAGTACAGAGAAACATTCTGGATTTTAAACTTAGTCCGTTAAAAGTACATCTACACGTCCTCGGAATTAATTGATTCGCTTTCTGAAGCTCTTATGATAAGGCACGATAACTTGCTCCTCGAAAACGAAGCACCAACTTTTGCTTACTACTATTAAATGTTAGTAAACGTCGGGGATATATTTTATAAGAGCGTAACGGCCGTAGGAGTAAGTACATAAAAACTATGTAAATTATTAAATGCTATAAAATATTTATCTAAAATATGTACGTTACTAAATCGCACGAAATCGTTCTTGCGTTTATTAGTGCCATTAAACCGAAACACTCGTGAAGAGTGGCACAACGTTAAAGGATACACATAAATGTAATTACTTTGGTTATCTTAACAAGATCGATTTTTCTTTAGTGATAAATCTTTGTTAAATATATATTTTGTAACGGTGGCATAATAATATATGCGTGAAGGCGAAAGTTGATCAACTCTGCAATCCTGCCGGAGCGTTCACGCTTTATTTAAGCTGGAATTCGTTTTGGATTAAGATCGTACATCCGACGCATACGTTTCTTCAGTTCCTGAGGGAATTTTTCGTAACATTTCTTGCACGCAGGTTTGAGGTCGAACTCGAAAAACTTTGTCTTTTGGTTCATCTTCTGATCGCAAAATGCACAGGCGAAGTGATGAACGCACCAGGCTTTATATAAGGCGGTAAATACTGTAACAAAAAAAAAATGGTATAAAAGTAAATTTCCTTGCTCGCTGTGTAAAATCTCTTTAATATGGGGACGTACCATCTCCAGCGATGACTTGATTGCATACGAAGCACAAATTCCCAAACAACTGATGGTAATGAGTTTCGCAATAAGCTAAACCCTTCTTTTCGTAATGGCGATGGCCTAAGAATGGTTTTTCACACTTGGCACATACAAAATGCTCGACGTGCCAATGTTTTCCCAAAGCAGTTACAACGCGCTCTTCAATCGGACGTCGACACGCTCCACAGATTGGAATACCCATTTTGTCGTGACACCTCAAGCAGTACAACTCATTCTGAAAATGAAAATAATTTTAAAACTGTCGTTAACATGATTTAAAAATTATCTTAGATACCGATGGGTGTACTTTCAGTATACCATTTCATTCGCAGCATATCCAGGTCTGGATCGAACTTCTCGAGCATCAGAGTTCAGTTCAATTCCGCAAGCTGTACAGTTGAAGTGGTACGGATGATAAACTTCACCACGAAAGCGAAGCGGTTTATCGTCAATGACTCCACTGTGGAAATCGATCCATTTGATTGTAAAGTACATAATGTCAATAAGGGAAAAGTGATCGTTTACTTACTGGCACTGGTGACAAATATATTTTCCAAGAGCTCCAGCTTTCACACGTGCATTGCACGTATGGCAAAGGGCTCTACCTTGACACTTAATAAATCCAGCATCGGCTAATTCTCCGTTACATTCTTCACAGCGGAAACATCCAGGATGCCAATTAGCATTCATTGCCTTGATTACCCGACCAATTACAAATTCACCTAAAATAAATTTCATATGTATTAATGAGACTTGGATATAAAATGTAAAACATTAATTAAAAAAGTATAGTAACAACGTTACATACCACATCTACCGCAGCAAGGAGCAAATAATACATGAAAGTCATGTTCGCAATACTTTCGCCCTTCGAATTCATAGAATATACCTTCAGGAAATGGTCGGAAACACTGAGCACACCTATTGACAGAAAAAAATAATAACAAATGTTTTAAGTATTTATTATGTCTTTAGAATTTCCAACTTACACAAAACATTGAGGATGCCATAATTCCCCGTGAGAATTCACAATTTTTTCATGAGGTTCAAAGCCCTCTCGACATCGAGAGCAAAACATGTGGTCCATCGACATCCCTGTAATTCTAGAAACAAAGATTCTTTTTGCACATGACAATTTAAATTATAGTACATAAACTGAATGCAGAACCTACTATGTTAGTAACTAATACTGAAAATGCACTTTTAAAATGGTTAAGTACCGTATCTTCATAGTAATATCAATATTTTTGTCATCGTAAACATTTTCAATGCTTTTAGATGATGCCGAATCTAAGCTTTGATCGTTACTCCACTCTGCCAATTCTTCGTAATCAAGTAAAAATGCCTCTTGAGCATCGGAGTATCCTTTTTCATCATTTTGAAAATAAACACTTTGAGAAAGGTTTGCTTTCCGTCTACAATACAGTGTACTACGTTCCAATGACAAGAGAGAAACTGATTTTGGAAACGGTGGAATAGAATTATCCCTCTCCATTTTTAAATTTTACATCAGTAAAATATTAGAGCGAAGTAACAGAAATTAATCCATTTCATCTAGTTATGTGCTCCTTCACCAAGTCACACCGTCACTCTTTATATCCCACAATGCATATCTGATAAGGTATCTGATAGTAGAGATAATAACCAAGATGGAAGCAAGTGCTAACACAGATGGAATTGTGTAATAATTAAAAGATTACAAATTATTGCGATATCGTCCTGTCAAGAATGTAAATGAACGAGAAATTATTATCCATGCTATTTTCTGTGTTATGGAATGGCTTATGGCAATTAGTTACATTGACAACGATACCTATCGTAAGAAATTAACAGGCCACTTATATGGTACGTAAATATAAACATTGACTACTCCATTTTAAAGCACATATACACATCGTATTTAAACAATCATATTTACTATCACCTCCGATTAAAAATCAAGTATGCGTCATGTAACATTCTAGCATAATTTAATGATTTATTTTAGGTTAATTAGTGAAAGAAGTAGGCACGAATGATTACCAATTTCAGTATTACGGTGTATTAATATTACAACACAATTATGAAATCTTAATCGAGCCATCGGGCAGTGAAGTCAATGCCAAAAATAGAGAGCACCGCTTACCCTGGCATATTTGTCCAGAGAAGAATTATTGGTAAATTGGGGTGGGACAGGTCAATTGGTCACTGGCGTGTTTGATGTCTTACCAGTCTACCGACTCCGTTACAGTTTCTGCAATTAGAATAACCGACAATGTCTATAGCAAGAATAAGTTCAGCTACGTCCCACCCCTGTACGCCTACTGACTAACCTTTTTTATAGCATCTGAACGTTCACATTAACATCGTTTTCTTTTTAGCGAGGTTATGATGCTTTACCTTTCTCTTCCTCAGTTTCGGAACTTCTTAGCCGATCAGGTTGTCATCTGTGATGACCTGTAAATAAGAAATCACGTCAAACGCCCATGACATTTATCAACTCCGATTTTCACACCGTTCCGAAGTAAGATTTCGATGTCACGAAGGAAGGCGACAGAAAACGAGGAGAGCCAACGTTTCGCACGCCATTTTGTTCCCTATTTCAACGAAGTTCCAGATTCGTTTCATTTACCAGAGATGATTTACAAGCTTTCAAAATATCGCAAGTAAACTCGTTAGTAATGGAACGTCTTAATTTTAATTTGTTTGTGTATTTTTTAAATTTTAAATACGATGTATTCCTTAATAAATTATTCGTTTCTTCTAATCGTTGAGGTTAAAAGAAAAGGGAATTATAATGGAACTCTCGTTTTCGAGGACCCACGTGAGATCGCTGACGTTTTAACCTCTTTGGTGAAATTACAAGGTGATGCATCAAAGCACATAGAACCCCATTGGTTATTACTAACCTGATATTAACCAATGGGGTTTCTGGAAAGCGTTTATGACCTTTTGAAGCACTTCACAGAAGTAGTCCTTCGTAAGTGGATGTCTTCTGTAGTTCAAATCGAAAGCAGAGGTCTGATTACAGTCCGAGAATAAATAAATATAATCTGTTACAACTCCAACAAATCGAATTTACTGTACACTGTATCAACCTTGCTGTACACGTTTCACACATAACAAAGAAAAAGTGACTATAACTTTTACACAGCAACTTAAACTATAATCAATTTTGGAATGTCGGTCTTCCAATAATTCGGTACATACTCTAGCTGTGGAAGAACATTTATACACGATATTAATACTTACATATTGAAATTATACAGTTACTTATTTGTAACGATACAATGCAGAAATGGAACATGTAATCAATGATATCTTACATGCGTATGTGCTATGTAATTTAAATATTAAGTTACGAAGAACATTTTCAGTACTGCCGTTGAATGTTTTCTAGCTCGTCCTCTCGATACTGCAGTAGATTTATGATTAATTGTCCTTCTTCATTCGATTGGACGTCATTCTATAAATTATGGAGTCTCGTCCAGGATCCATGGAAGCAATAGCGACTAGACGCAAAAAAATTACGTTACTTGTAAATTAATTTTTTGTCTTGTAAACATAAAGAAAACACTCACTGCAAATTGCCAGTAACGAGAAGAAGAAGGCAACTCCGAACCATAGTAAAATGTTAAAGATGATGGGGTAGTCTGGTGAATACTGTTTTGCTAAATTTAAATCTTCGACCTGAAACAAACAGATCACGTGTCCTTATATTTGACATTAATATAGTATGACCTGTATTTGCAACTTCTAGTATTGCTCAATTATTACGGACATACTTTTTAAAATGTACGTATAGTAAAACAAAAACATTATGTACATAAGAATATTTTACAAGTAACCTTACACCTTTCACGGGCACTAGCATCTTATAAAAGACAACACCTGCAGAATGTACTCGGAGGTATTAGTTATAATCTACATGAAATAAAATTACGTACTGCACACATCATGCATTTCCATACCAATTTTCATTGATCTAAAAAGCATACTGCAGAAATTTAATTAACTGGGGAGGTCCAAGCATAGTGCTATATAAAAAAATATTTAATGCTACGAACACATATTATTTAAAAATACATACGAAAGTATTAATCAAGGGTTCTGCTGAAAAATATAAAAAACAGTCATCGCCTACTGACAAGCACTAGCATCAAAGAAATACTTTGCAAGTTTGAATAATGACCTACAGAATTGTTAACAACTGAAGAAGTGTTGTGTGTAATAGGAAGTTGCAAATGAAATTCATTATTTAGAGATGCGGAGAGCACACGTTACATTGTGATCTGTATACCTTTTCTATCACCTGTGTTTTTTCACTATCAGATTCAGAATTGACCTTAGTGCTTATCTCGTCCACTTCGCCATTGTCGGTACCGTTGGTGGAACCATTGTTATTAATATACATTATTATACTATCATCTGTAGTAACAGACTGTGATTCCTCTTCTGCCTCCTTAGTTCCATTATTCTCTTCATTACCTTCTAGCTACAATATATGTTTTCAGAACAACTTCTTTAAATAACTGATAGCTTACAAGTATGTAAAGTAAGTCCTTTCATTGTCTGTTTCATTAGTGATTAGTACGTTAAAATTGAGGGAAACGCGAAACTAATTATACTATTTCAGCTTTTAATAATCGATGACGTTTACTTTTATATTTTTAAAAAATTCATTGCTCGTTGTTATGAGCGATGGGAAGGTAATGGATCATTGGTTGTGTAGTTTCTCAACTTGTACATTGTATGTCAAATTTTAGTTACTTTGTATTCAAAAATACTAGGCCAAGCTAAGTGAAACATTCTCAAATGTGCATCTTTGCCGAACATAGTGCAATGTACTGCATAACTAACATTACTTCGTGTAATAAGAAAATTACAACTGCTTTGTCATAAAAAAAAGGCTTCTTATATTAACCGGTAGAATAGTGCCCAATGTTAATGCGATGGACCTAAGCTAAACCATCGGACAACTTTCAACAAATTAAACCATGCAACGATTTAACGATACCTTTATGAGCTTTCTAGTTTTATTATGTTCTGTTTCTTTTGGCACCTCAGGTTCTGAGGTTGTTCCAATGTTCTTATCGTTATCATCCTAAAAGAATACGCATATCCACTTTAATGGCGATAACTAATTTTTTTTAACACATTATCAGTTTACATACAGGCTGAAAATAAATGAACATAAAGTAAATGAACATAAAGATAGAAATCGACTTCACAAAGACTACTTTCCAGTGGGTTAATTGTGTTAGTATACAACTACTAAAAATAATGAGCACCTATATTAGTCGGTTTTAATCAATTTAATTAATAAATAAATAAAAAAGAGATAGGTTCCACAAGGAAAAGTGAAGTTCTTCTTAAACATAAACAAAGCTTCCTTTTTATTACATTCTTACTTTATATGCAATACTATTTGAATGAGTAATATTTAATATTGGAACAGCTGTTCTGTATTTTAATTCTACTTCGTGTAATTATTTTTTCCTAGTTCAGTTAAATACTTTACTGAAAAAGGTTTAATTTGTTAGTTATATTGATACGTTATAAAACATACTGACCGAAACAGGCTCACTGGAGGAATTAGTCGTGTCTCTGATTTGTCTTTCAAGAATCACAGAACGGGTATGGCGAACTTGACTAGCATCATTAGTGAAAGCTGCAATAAGGACCTATAACACAGATTCACGTGAAATTAAGAGGGAAATGGTAAAGTAATGGTTTCACCATTGAATGTATCAAGTTGCTTTACCTTGTAGTCGTATACTTCCATAAAAGCTTTGCAGACATCATTGAGCCCATTATTAAGGAGAGACAAAGCCTCCTTTACAGCTGGCGAATCTTTGCCATGAAGATCAAGCACGGGTCGTAATCCAGACACCACGAGCCAATAGACATCAGGTTTAGAGTCCACATGAATCGCCGAAGGTACTTTCTTCGCGATAGCATGTAATAGTTGGACTTCTTCAAGAAATTTTCGATCTTCCTCGTTATTCAAATTAAGATATTTCAAAGACTTATCCATGGCAGTTGGTTTCAGTTCACCAAGAGCTGATTGCCCGAGCTAAATTAACGTTAGAATATTTTCAATGCAATGAAAGTAAGTTTTAATTTCTACTATTTAAATGATTTGTTTCTACTTACAGCATCCACTCCATCGCCCAGATAAATTCGTACAAGGGTATTGTTCTTATCTCTTTCTTCGAGGCGACCACTTAATGCCTGCCATGTTGTTTCTTCTACTTCGTCCACATTTAATGGAAACTTCATACCTGTCGGTGATTCTAAAGAGTCGACGCCTTCTATGGCCATCCCTACAACAGCTACTGGTAGATCGAAGGGATTGATTATCGAGAAACCGCTCCATGTTCCCCTCTGCCGAAATAAATTTGACCTTTTGTTTATAAATACATATATGCCTAATTTCCTTATAAAATTTACATGTTATATTATCAACTGTCATTTAAAAGTGAAATATGTTGTACCTGCTTAACCGTATACCCAAGAGCCGCTGTAAAAAGCTCTTTGAGAAGGCTTTGATCTATCTCTTCGTTCCCTGTAAACTGGACACTATCAGGACTATGCAGAACTATGAAATCTCCACTAGCTCGTACTGAAAAATGAAAGGAAATTTTTAAAGGGATATTTAAAAAGCACGCCACACCCCCTCGTTTAAAAATGGGCATTGCAAACATTTTTAGCAATTTATCGCGTCGCTCGTCACACGTCACGGTAAATGAAAATTACCTGTGCTCAATAAAAATGCAACGAACAGGGCTTTATCGAACATTTTCTACTTTTATTGGAGGCGAAGAGTGAACTTTAGATATTCCCTCCCTGATCGAGAAACAACTGATTCCTCGATCATATGACACGAGCAACGGCGAGTAATGGCGCGGCACTACACACAGAACATTTTCAGTGCTACCACCATTTAAAAAATTTATCTACGATACAGAACGTAAAATGGCGGACAGAGATGAGTAGAAGACCAACTCATCTCTGGTTGAAGATTGCTGAGATTTATTTTATCCGCAAATGGGGAATAAAAAAGGTGAAAGCTAACGTACGAAACCAGAGGGCAGCACGGAACATGTTCACGCGACTACCCTTGAGCGATCCCCCAACTCATCTCTGTTATTGTAAATAAAACTTAGGTTAGTTCGTGGACAGTTCTCTAGGTTATGTTGTGAAAGAGTGGAGCATCTCATGTCTGTCGATTTGACAGATGGTTAATAATGACGATTCATAACTTGTATATATTTTCAAAAAGTGGTGTATTACTGTACTATGCAGAGTGGAACAGATTGAATAAATCTGGAATTACGAAGGAGGAGGTAAACATGTAAATCATAGTTACGTAGGATGTTTTAAAATAAGCTTTTGGTAATTGTTTGTACTCAACGTAAGCATATTTTTGAATAATCATTTGTACTCTAAATCTAGGAAGCAAAGCTAATGTATGGCATGCTATTCTCCATCAAATCGTTTGTAAGTAAAATATCCCCGTTGGATTCCAAAGAAGGCTTTCTGTACTATAAGACGAGCAAGTATACACTTCATTATTTGGAAACACCATCTGGATTAAAATTTGTTCTCAATACGGACAATGTAGCGCAAAATGTAAGGAATCTGCTGCAACAATTGTACAGTCAGGTAACTAAATAAGCTTTCGTTTCTACCATTTCTTTTTCAACTATAATGGTAGATAAATCAGGATTCTTCTTGCAGGTATATTTAGAGTATGTTGTTAAAAATCCACTCTGTCAATTAAATGAGCCAATACAGAGTGAATTATTTAAACTGAAAGTCGACGAATTAATGAAGAATTCTCCAATTTTTCTCAACCGATCGTTATAATTCTGTGTAAATAATTATTTGTTTTTCTATTAATGTTACAGTATAAGGTAAAATGTATAATACGTGATGATTAAGTAAAATGACTTACTAAAATAAAAAAAAAACAGATATGACAAACATTTGTAAAGGCTGTTTGCTACTTATTTATTGTATTACTTTCTATATTGACAGTGACAGTATCTTTGCTATTACACTGAAACTAACTGAGAAAAAAAGGATTGTATCTCCTCAAAGATTAAATACATAATTGCTACGATTATCTTGCACTGTAAATAATAAGCGTAATTTATAATGTACAAGTACGCAATGAATGTACATTTGAAGAGAAGGTATTTCTATATAGTGGGATGTCAAATATAATGTAAAATGATAGAGCGCACAATATTATTTAAATATTTCAACGCCCTTAGTAATCCGATGTACCGAACAGCAAGAGGTACATCCTTTAAGAATAATTAATACACGGTAACAAATATCTTGGCAATTTTTGGAAAGATAGAATTTTGTGAATTAATTTGTGTTTGAATTCAAACGTTAGCTGTGTTTCCTTTCACGTAAAAAGTTGAAAATAGTTAGCCATTTGAAAATAAACAAACTGGATAAAGGAAATGATCTCGAAGGTTGACTCTTGGAAGTAGCAGATTTATGTAGAAGTGGCAACTTTTATTTGATTGGAGGCAATGGAACAAGTATAGTAATGGAAGGAAATCTAACTATCCATCTTAAACAAAAATCAACTAAGGTAAATAACGGTATAGTTATAAATCATACGACGAACCTTACTCGCAATGATTCGAGTTGGGAAACAAAAGAAACACAGCTTGTGACGCGGGTCAGTCAATTGCATTGCAATAATCATGTTGCAATTATAGGACTTACAGCCTTATAAACGGACTTTATGCTTGCAACAAACTATTATAAATATAAATACTCTAAAACTTTCCCCAACATTTTATGAGTATGTTCTAAATAATTGTAATAATCTAGGTGTACATTGAAAATTATTGAATATACTAGTATTCACACATTCGCGGGCTAATTGCCTAAAGAAAATGTCAAGAATACTTAGGTATATAGATATACTATGTACACGACAGTTTCCAATATTTTTTTTTCTTTTTTCTACAAATAACAGGAACACGGCAGTTTGTGTTTTTCTTTCCAAAGATTAATATGGTTCAGCAGGCACCCCTAATCGTGGATGCAGTATGAGAATAATACAAAAATTCATTTGATAGTCATTTAGAGAGCGATGCTTTCGTAACTGAAATATATGTGCACCGCTACAGGTTGGTTACTAAGAAACACTGCCAAATTAAAGCACATAGGCAAGAACAGCATGTAAAGAATTTTTAATAATCGAAGTCCGACGTGGGCAACGTATTATTGACTCGCACGAATGTGCAAATGAATTACAGGGGTGAATTAAAATCATCGAAGGAGTTAAATGCAGATACGAAATCTATGCTCTTGCTTCGAGACGCTTCTACTAGACCTACGTCTATTTCGGAATAATAGCTAAACGATAAATGGGCTAGCAAATGAATAATCACCTTTCGACTTATACGTAATTATACCAGAATACGAGCATCGTGCCAAGCATGGTATACGATGTTACAGATTCTATAACAGTCTAATGTACAATATATAGATCTGCACAATTTCCAGCGCACGGAATATTGTGAAGGCAAAGGTCCTTGCCTTGTAACTGGGTAGAATTTCTATATAAGTACGCATAGGTGAGAGTACAGCTTGAATTCGATGGCGCAACATGACCAGATATACACGCAATTACTCTACATACTTGGAGTACGCAGCCGAGTTCATGCTCCATGACAATAATGCAACATCGTTGAGATAAATAGGAAGCTTTTGCCCAAAGGTCAAGTATCTCCCAGAGCCGTCTTTTTATCGCAAGAAAAGGAAATACTTTTTAACCGCGTTCTTCAAATCGTCGCCGTTGAGTCCGTTAAATTCGCAGTGCTATCACTACAGCGAAACGTCTAATAATTAATTAGGAAAAAATACTGCGCAAATCGAATGCCTCTAATAAATGTACGTTTAAAATCGTTTATCAACGTAGATGAATCTGTAGACCGAAGATTTCGCGAGGAGAAAAAGTTCATTTTAGGCTATTCTCTCGAGGTTATCGAAGCATAAATTCGACTGGTACGTACATTCCTTTACGAACAAATGCACGGTACCCGTAAAAGTTGCGTGCACGTATTAGTTTTCTCCCCCTTGTAATTATTTACAACATACATTTCGCGGTACTGCAAGACAAACACGCATCTGCGCGAAATCAATTCTTGAATGCATCTCCATGCCGCACATCCGATATCTTTTCATGATCGAAGTAATATAATATTCCGGTGATCGATGTTACGAAATTAAGCAGTTGAGTAATTTGGTAAAAGAATTTAAAACAAAAAAAAAATAGAACATTGGGTTTGATCATTTTCTCGATACGCGATAAACATGTCATGAAGGTCTTTAGCGACATCTTCCGTACGAGTCGTGAACTAAGAGACACGTTGAGCCAATTGTACAATTCTTGTAACGACGGACTAGCCTCTGTTACAGCTTTATCGCTTAGCCAATGCAAAAATTGCTATTGCAGTCGCAAACCGATCACATAACAAGGTCGACTCCACTTCGACACGTGTCTAGGAATAAATCGTAGTATCAAAAACGTCACTTCGGCTAACCCACTCCAGAAGCTGTCCAGTAATCTAGTCCTGGTTGTGTCCCATAACCCGGTGTATGTTCACTCTACAAAAGCTTATAAAAGCATTTCAAATCGTTTTAGTCCCCCCGAATCACCGATCAACAAACCCTGGCATACTTTCATCGTTACGATAATACTTTGAACGTAGATATTACAATCAGTAAATCGCGACCGCTCATCGAAAACCAGGTCTCAAGAATCTCCCTCTACCGTTCCAAGCATCAGCGGATTTCCCAAACCAAAACGTAAGCGAAACATCGGCGGTCCAGGCCGTAATTAAATTCGGCTCGACCCTCTTCCGACCACCCTTTCGCGGCTTAAAATGATCCTAAGCAAGCCCACTTATTTAATCATCATCTAAACGTTTTCCAGATAGCGCTGAGCAGGTGTACATGCATATGTAAATTACACAGGGCGCCGTTTATGCACGCATATGCCTATGTACACGCGTACTCGAAGTGCTCCCGAAATATGGCCGCAAGGTTTGCGTTGCAAGGTACGGCTCAGCATTCAGCATTGCGAGTTATCCGTCTTAATTTTCCCATTAGCTTCGTTGGGAGGCGAGAAACCTGCAGTAGCCTTGCCGGAGGATTCGCTCGTGGTCGCGGAAGTCGAGGGCAAGGACGAAGAGGGGAAGGGCTCCTCGATGACCGGCAACCGCCTCTCGCGATCCGAAGAGGTGGACGAGTTGTGGAAGAAGACGCTCCTCAGGGCGGCGACGCTGACGCGCTCGCGTGGGGCCTCCTCCGCTGCGGCGTCCACGTTCAGTTCGCCATTCGAGCTTCTGGGCGAAAATACGTTAAATTAACATCCCCACGATTATACTGGAACGTCAGATAAATGCTAAATAAAAGCTACAACACCTAAGCTCCTGAGATCCCTATACGAAGTAGTTGAGATCAACCCCGTAGAGGTATACCTCAAAGACTTCGAGCCCTCGACATCGACGTCGGACTCCTTGCTGCGTTTGCGTCTTCCAGCGGCTCTGTTCGCCGCGCACACGCTCTGACCAGCCTCTTGATCGGCCTCTATGAAGCTCACGTGGTCGTCAAAACGTACCCGCTCGGACCCACCGTCCTCTCCACCCACGATCCAGCTATTCGAGTCGCTAGGTTGCCTATCCAAGGTCGGCTTACGTCGGGTACGCTTTGCGAGACCTGGGGCGATCTCCTCCAGAGAGCTGAGCGATGCCGCCTGGCCGGCCGTGTCCATGTGTCCGCTGTTTCCGGAGCTCGTCGGCTGCTCCTCCGTGCTGCGACCTCCACTGATGGAGCTACCGTCGAGCTGTGTGATTAAACCACTGTTTATTCCATGGGAAAAATCTAATGAAACGTTTCCTCGCCCAAATTTCAAACCCCATCTCTCCCGGGTCATTCCACAAAATCAAGGGTTCGCTTCTATCAACGATTATGATATGATATTAATTATCAGGAAGAAAGGTCTCCCGTTGATGGCTCCTCGTCATTTTCCTTGCATTCTATCCAGGCAGATAAATTATGGACGAAAAATCCCTGCGAGATGAATTTATCATGGGATTAATGGAACCACCCAGGGAGTTTTTCTCGAGGGAGAGGTCGGACGGCCGGACCTATGGACTCCAAGGAGTACCTTGAAGTTGAGGACGGATCCTGCGAGCGCCCTCGTCGACGCCGCGCCGTCGTCCAGGGCGATAGAGGCATTGACGGATTTTTCCGAAAGGCTGGTGGCAGCGGACGCGGTCTCGCTGCACAGGCTGAACCTCTGGGTCGAGGTCACGTCGGCCTGGACCTCCAATCTGCGTTCAGGGAATTAATACATATTAATACAGGCTCCTGCCAACCCTTGGGAAAATTCTGGCGACCCGTTTAACCGGGGATCAATTTTATCTACCTCTGCCCACCCGGAAGAACGCTCGAGGCGATGCTCCCCGCCAGGCTGGTGCCGGCCAGGGCGACGTTGCTGGCACTTTCGCGATCATTTTCTCGGCCTAATTTTTCCAGCTGACTGCCGCTCCCCAGGGAGAGCGAGGCTTCGCCTATCGAAGGGTTGCCCCCTCGGTGGCTCGCAACGTCTATCGAGGCTGCATCTGCGAAAAGGAGAAAAAGAAAAAAAACCTCCATTAAAAAGAAAAACGGTGAAACCTTTATCCTTCATTTCCTATCCGTGCACTTTTTCTCCAACGTTCTCGCGTTGATGTTTTACTCTCCGTCAAGCCATAAACGTGCGTCCACGATGGTTCCCTCTTTTATTTTCAATATCTCCGAGGACTCCAGAGAGTCCTCGTTGGGAACTACCAGGAAAGGAAATGGAGGAGCAAACGGAAGCGCTCACCTCCGGCGTTGCGCACCCCCAGAGCGCCCATCAACTCGTTCTCGTCGTCAAACTCGAACCGGACGCCGGAACCATTCGTGGACACGCCACATCCTCCGCTGCGACACAAAGAGATCGGCACCACGCCGTAAACGTAGAACAGTAAAATGGGTACTCCAATACCGACCGCCAGGCCCGCCAATACAGGTGACACCAACACCTGGAAAAGGTACGAGTATGAGAGATGAATAAATCAAATGCTCGAAAAATACTGGAAAAAAAAAAATATATATATGCATATATAAATGACGCATTCTCTTTACATGATTTTTAAACTTCGGGTCTAGGAGCTCATTTCCTACTTTTCTTTCTACCTGCTGCATTAATTACCTAATTATGCGAACTCGCGGTGAACTGTTATCATCGTATTTAAAATAATTCATTGGTGTAAGAAACGCAAAGCAAAACGCCTCGACATTCCCTCCCTTGATTCCTCCTCGACCAATCGACCGACCATCGACCCCGGGTCAGGAAAACCAATTTCCTGGGCTCCTCGGGAGGGGACATCGCGACGTCGCTCGATACTCCGAGTAAGAAGTAAAGAGATAATCGTCCTCAAACTAAGGACCCCTCCGATCGCTGTTATCTCCCAGGTGGCAATAAATACGTAATAAAAATATGGATTTACTCGTTTTTCATTCTTAAACCGCAAACAGTTTCTTCGAGGACCCCAGAAATGCCCGATACCCGGGTTCCATCTCCTGGAGGTGTTCATAAAAAATAATGAAAATCCCCCTCGCCAGGTAAGGCTTAGCTCGTAAAGGTAGCCTCAAAGAAAGGGTGAAAAGGGTTGGGGAAGAGAAAAAAAAAAAATTGAAAAATAAATATCAGAGTCCTCGGGTGCCCATTTAATTTTGTTCAAAGGACCCTCGTCATCGGAGCGATCTCGCCCCGTGGAGGTCGGAAGGTTCGAGAGCTCCGAACCCGTCAGGGCGGGAAAAGCTGTAGGCCGGTATTGATTGCGCTGGTCGGCGTCCCGCCGGCGTGCGCGGCGACGCCGCGTGCGCGCGCGCGCGCCGGCGCCGGGCGTCGCGAGGGCCCGGGCCGGGGCTCGGCCAACCGCAGAGAGGAGAGTCGGATCGGGCGTCGCCGGTCGACGCGCTTCCTGGACGGCCGGCAGGTCGCATCGACGGCGATGGGACGATCAGCAGCGGGACGGGCGGAGCCGCTCGGGACGGGCGGCCGGGACGGCCGGGGCGAGTCGTAGGGGCGTCGTCGGCGTCAGGTGGCGCCGGCTCCGGGGCCATCCGGGACGAGCCGGCCGGTCGGCGGTTCCGAGGGGACTGCCGGAGATAGAAGAGGAAGGAGACGCCGACGAGCGCCAGCTCTTCGGGATACGCCCTGGTGGACGGCGGTGCGGTTCGACCTCTCGGGATAGGAGTCTTCAAAGGAGTCCTTGAGGATAGTGGTGCGGGTCGAGTTCTCGGGACAAGCGTCTTCGAGGATAGCAGGGCAGGTGGAGCACCCAGGACAGACGTCTTCGGAGGATTCCTCGAGATAAGCGTCCACTCCCGGGATCCGGTGCCCCCGGGTCCAGGAAATAATCGGCGGTAAGAGAGAGAGTCTTCCTCGGGGTCTTGGCCGGTGAAAGGGTCCGGGTAAGATGTCCGACAGCGAGGACACTGAGGGCTCCTGCGGGGAGTGGCCGGTGACGAAGGAGTGGCTGGAGACCCTCCTGACGGCGCACCACGGCGAGGGCTCTGCCGCCGTCGTCGAGGACTTCACGGTGCGGCCCGGGTGTACGGCCGGCGAGAGCGTCCTCAGTGACATCCTGGCGGTGACCGTCGAGTACCGCACCAAGCCCGAGGACGCGCGTAACGAGCTTAGCGTCATCGTTAAGTTGCTGCCCCAGGACCCGTTCGGCAGGTTCTTCGTCACGGAGGCGCAGTTCGACCTGCGGGAGATCAAGTTCTACACCCAGGTAACGCGTTCCCTCCAGGTGGAAAAAAAAAATTCACCGCCCAGGGTACCCGGTGTACAAAATAATTTCCAATCTTTCCCGGTCCAAAAAAAAAAAAAAAACGAGTTTAACGACCCGATCGAAGTACTAACGGGCGATAATTTCCAATCTCCCCTCGGAGAGCAGGTGGTTCCCGACCTGGAGGCGTTCCAGAAGAGGCAGCTCTCGCCCACGGCCGCCGCCATCGAGATGCCGATCCCCGCGTGCGTTCACGCGCACTACAGTCCCGGTGGAGGCACCGAGGAGAGCCCGGAGCCTCCGGAGTCGTTCCTGGTCCTGGAGAACCTTCGACCGCGAGGCTTCGAGGGCGCCGAATTCTCCAGAGGGCTCACCCTGAGACAGGCTGAGGCCGCCCTGAGCGCCGTGGCGTGCCTCCACGCTCTGTCGCTCGCCCTCAAGGTGAAGGAGGGCCAGGCCCTCTCCGAGAGGTACCCCTTCCTCTTCCAGACGGCCAGGGCGACCGACTCGTACCAGCAGCTCGTGGAACGCGGGCTGCCCCAGCTGGCTCGCTTCCTGGAGCGAAGGCCCGGTCTGGAGGCCGTTCTCGAGGCCCTCCTCGCCCTCCGACCCCGCACCAAGGAGATCATCGCCGCCCTCCTAGCGCCCGAGGACCCGCTCGCCCTCATCACGCACACCGACTTCTGGTGCAACAACCTCCTCTTCAAGGACGCCGAGGACGGCTCCTGCAAGTGCGCTATCCTCGACTGGCAGATGGTCACCTACAGCCGGCCGACGAACGACGTGGCGCTCCTCCTGGTGAGCTCGGTGCCGACCGAGCTGCGCAGAAGGCACACCCCGGCGCTCCTCGACAAGTACTGGGACGTCCTGACCACCACGTGCCGCAGCCTCGGCCTCGACGTGCCCGTCGACCTCGGATACACCAGGGAGGACCTCGACCGCGACTACAGGAGGTCGCAACTCCTCGCCCTGCTGCTCTGCATCGGCTCGGTGGACGTCGCTCTGGGCGACCCCCTCACCGAGCAGCGGCTCATCGACGTCCTGGAGGATCTCCACAACGATGGCATCCTGTCGGGAGAGGTGCCGGGGCCGGGTGACGAATCCACGGTGACTGCGGCCGATGCTTAGAGGATCTCTTCTTGTCCGACGTTGGTTGAGATCCTGGACTTGTCCATGGAGGGTATCTTCTCGTCCAACGTTGGTCGAGGTCCAGGACCTATCCATGGAGGGTCTCTTCTCGTCCAACGTTGATCGAGGTTCAGGACCTACCCATAGAGGATCTTCTTCTCATCCAACGTCGGTCGAGGTCCTGGATCGGCCCTTAAAAGGTCTCTTCTCCCCCAACGCCGAGTCAAGTCCGGGAAGGAAGAGGAACCGCTAGAAGACGAGTAGTACGGGGACGGATCCGCCGCGTATGTCGGCGGCTAAAACAGGCCGTCTATCGTAACGTGCATGTCGAGCGAGGACCTAGCGGCTTTCAGCGTGCTTGTAACGCGCGACAGAGCTTCTTGCGAGTGATAACGATCCGAACGGTATATTTATAATCGGGCTGGCGAAACGCGCGCGTGATATTATTACCCATCTATGCCGTAGGAAACGCGTGTCGTCGGGCGACGTGCGGCGGTCGGGAACGGGAACGGTGAGATTCCGAGGCAGGCGTCCTATATTTGCATTCGTCCCTTTGATCGATCGTGATATATCGCACGCGCGGCTTAATCTACGCTGTGCGAACGCTCCTCGAGACCCCTTCGATTGAATCCTCATACGCATTGACATGTATCACTTTTCTTTGTACAAATTGGTCGAATAAAGTATTATATCTTTACTACTATGTACCATCGTGAATTAAGATTGGTCGCGGGGTCGTCGCGCGTGATATCGACCGGTAGGAATTGACCTTGTGACGGTGGAAAGAGAGAAAAAAAAAAATAATAAGAAGAAACACCTCCTCGCGGTTATTGTGATAAGACGTTTCGACTCCACGAAGATGTCCCTCGGCTGTACCCCCTTACCGCGCAAATATGCACTTAGTATTTTTCATTACGGCGCAATTGAATCCTGCAGTTGTCTCAACGTTTTATTATGTATAGGCACATCAATAAATGTTTCTCGACGACCTTCTTCTGAGTATCTCGCGGAAATTAAACACGACCTTCCGACACGCCCGAGGGTAACGAGAAACGTAACCGTTACACCCCGATATTCCTGAGCTCCCTTTAAGGCGTTTTTTCTAGGTTAGTTCGGAGTTTGAAATAGACATCCCTAGAACGATTGGAATAACGAGAAAATGGAGACGCGAGTATAATCTACAAAAAAGAATCACTTATAGCAAGGCGGAAACCTTACCGATGCGAGGAGGACGTTTGCGCGATGACGAATGGAAAAAGCCTTGACTGGTCTATGGGGAATAAAAAAAAAATGTCTAGTGACTTACCGATGCAGTTACGCCCCCCGCGATGAATGCGTTTCTTTTGTGTTTGTTCGCCTTCTCGTATTTCGTGTACAGCTTCGTCCCGACCCACACTGGAATACCTGAAACCCCAGAAAAGTGAACTCGGTTCTAACCTCGTTATGGAATGCAATTACGAGAGATAAAATGATACATTGATAATTATGTTTCGCTTGCTTACCAATTATCATAGCAGGCACTGCGATGCCAGCCACAAGGCCAATTCCTACTGGTGCTCCGACGAGAGTACCGAGCTGCCACAGGATCTTCTTCTTCCTGGACCATGGCTTCTTCCCCCAGAATGTACAGCCAGATGGGCTGCGATGAACAATTTTCATTCAAGACGGGACAAAAGGTTGGAACACTACGAGACTCTTCACAGTAAATTACCTGAGATAGTGAAGATCACTGATTTGCTTCATACACAGCCAACAGAACTGAACTCCGCAGACGGCACATGTCATGTGGTTGCAACTCCCATCGTCCATTTTGACGATCAACACTTGACATCTTGGGCATGGTTTGATGTCGTCCCCTAGAATATTAAGAAAAGTTGAGATAAAAAAATATGTTAATTAAAGGATTAAAAGAATGCACTTGCAAATGAAGTTGCGGTCTGAGAAATTATTATACGCACTGTGTTGCGAGTCACTTTGACTGAAGCTGAGAGACGAATTGCGCTCATAATATAACGAACGCTGGGCTCTGGCTGCATCGCATGTCTGATTTGGATGCCATCTAGCTTTACAATGGTAACAAAAGTATGAATCACATCCTGGTCGTTCGCATCGTAGTTTTGGGCAAGAAGCACAACCACTGGCTATCACAGCAAAGCTACAATCTGGTGCGGGACACCATCTTGCATCCGGTTCAACGGCAAGTACTCTTCGAACCATGAAGTCCTCGTATTTCTCTAATTGAGCTTGGTCGTTCAGAATCATTCGTATGTCTGCATAGAAAACATGAAATAAAATTTGTATATAGAACTGGATTATTTCTACGTGAAAGGATCACTGCGGTATGTTAACACTCCTTACCATTCGGATGAAGAGGCTCGGAACATTCTGGACAAGCAATATTAACTCTGGATTCCGATATCGCTACTCTAAGGTATTGTTGAAAACAATCGTAACAACTCCGATGATGGCAGGACTGTACTACTGGAAATAATTCAATCCGAAGCTCTGCCAGACATAATGGACACTCCATCAGACCATTTTCATTACTCTGAAACGAAAGAACATATTTACCTTTAATATGTACAACCAATGCCCACATAAATATGTAAGTAACAACGAATGATACCATTGTATCTCAGTGTATAAAAAGAAACCTTGTAATTACCTTTCCAGCAGTTGGAAGCACAGTGCCTTTACTGGATGCTCGTTGCAGGTCTTGGTTATGAATTTGAAAATGGCTGGATCCATTGCTTACTCTTGCTTCTCCTTTTTCTACATCTGCTGTCCGAGAATTCGTTGAATCTTTATCTACAATTTGACATCCATTACAATTATAATTCAAGCTGCCAAATTACATACTCCTTTTGCAGGAAAATATACAATATACTTAATAATCTGAGAATTTAAAACAGGAAAAAATTCTTACTTTTACTACTTTTTGAGCTCGATGCTCTGGCAATGCGGCGTCCAATAAGGGGGCTCGAGTAAAGTAATTGTCGCAATGAAAATCGTGGCACTTGGCGAAGAGTCCTGGGTGGGACACTACTGCACCCTACGGGTCCGCTCTCGGCTTCCTTTCTCATTTTCTATTAGTTTATCCCACGTTATAATATCATACCTCCTTGTACGAATCAGGAAACTTCAATTGTGGTGAATCTGCAATGAACCACAAATTCCCAAATATTAAATATCGTCAATTACTGACCATATCAAATAAGCAGTATTAAAATTCGCGAGTGCGCTCTAATATGCCAGTTTCTTAACGACATCAACGTGGCCATAATTACACACATCATTTGCGATTTTTCCTAGATTCTAATCGTTCAAGTGGACGTCTATACTTGACACAACAGCTGACTGCTTGCAGATGAATCACAGGGTTAAATAGAGTGCCAACGTTATGCACAATACCTGGCTTCGCAAACGTGACAGTTCGACTTTTGCTTTCCCTCGCCTCCCGGTCGCCCTTTTTGAAATATTCGTGGGATCGACTCGACTGATTTAAACAGGTTTCAGGTTTCGCTACGCGGAATCGTTTTCGGATGCGAAAAGCGTCCCAGCTTCGCGTCGGAATCGGGCTTGAATTTGAAATAAGCTAGAACTCAGCACTTTCCCGGAGCCGAGAGCGAGAAGCGACGTTGGCGTTCTGTTTTCCTGGACACGATCGAAAGAAAAATTTCAGATTCCGATCAGGCCACCGGGGATTAAACCCGAACGTGGCGCCATCTTGCATTAAAAAGGCGCAGTCCGACGCGCGCGCGCGCGCAGCGTTGATCTTAAATGCACACGTGTGCAACGAGTACGTGCCATGAAGGAAAACACACTTTCATCGGGCGACAATAATAATATTCAGGCTCCAAAGAAGCGAAAGTCACTTGCGATTGTTGGCCCAACCGGATTGAAATTTTTCTGATTGCACAGATGGCATTATGCAAGCAACATCCGAAATTCTACCGAAGGCACATCCCGAGAATGCCATCTCACGTGAAACATCCTCATGACTCATGGCCAAGAAACTTGGGAAACTGTGGGACATGCGAGCGTTATCTGTGGTGAATAATAATTTCTGGAAGCCTCCAGGGCTTAACGAGTGTACTTCCTTTTAATGTCATCGGATTATTATTCACGCACTTTAGACCGAGTACTGGATTTACAAGACTTTGACTAGCGGGATAATATTCAAATAAACTCGTTCGAATAGATCATAAGATGTACATTATGTGATTTTGTCTCAATTTATCTTCTAGTTTAATCACGAGAGAAAAAAACGAGCCAGTAAATCCCTCGCTATTTTTCCTGACGTTTCCTGAATGCCTGGTTTTACTCCAAAGTCAGAACGAAGCTTACGATTGCACAATTGTCACATACCCTGTGTATTATTTATTAAACTCGACGCAGCTCTAGGGTACAGGTTATGGAAAGTTGCCAAGTGTGCAGTACATGCTTGGGACGTAATGAGTTATCTGAAAAATGGAGTGCGCTTGAAAAAGTATCGGATGGTCACGGCTCGCGTCACGTATTCGGTTACCGGCAGATACAATTTTCATGAGTCAAGCCAAGTGATAAAGCTACGAAGGACATTTTTATATTTCGAATGTGTGCCCTGTGTACGCACATGTGCACTTGGGATGTATTTCCCGACTGCTTTGGCATTTCTTTTTTTTTTTATCCGAGTTATGCGAATGCGATCAAGGCGATAATTACCTTTATGTAATCCTCGCTGGCTGAGACTGTCATTTACGTGTCGCACTCGCCGAATGGGAATAATTAATTCGGAATTGCGTGGACTCCAGATTTGGATCGGCCACTTTCGCAATTAGGGAGGACCCTTCCACCTCGTCCACGACGTTCCCGGTTAGTGGTAGAAGCTAAGAGTAACTGAAATACGAGGGCCGCCCGGCGAGAACATCTTCGGTTATATCTGCGGCACGTAAAGCGAATCAAAGTTAATTTTGTAGTGACGAACGCAAATTCTCTGGGCCTGTTCACAATGGGCATCCACGCAAAACGAACGTAATGAACTGCAACCTCGGCACTGACTGAACACCGATAAAAATGTACATACGCGGGGAAAGAGGATGCGTCCGTAGCGCTGACGTCTTCGAGCGCCTCTACTTAATTCCAGAACTACCGCCAGTTGGCGCCACATTTAAAATATCGCCCGCTGAAACAATACAACAAAAAAAATTAATAAAGAAAATAAATTCTCATCTAGCGTATTACTTAAATTATGAGACACATATGGTGATTATTTTTCGCTTTCATTTGCGACAAATATTTCTTAATGCAACAAATTCTTTCCAAAACGAGGGAGAAGAAGCTAATCAGCAATCGCAGTGCCATCTGGAGGGAGGTTAACATAACTTCTATCGGGACATACCTAGCTGCGCTTCACTTTAACCTGTTATAGTAATATTCTAGTGAATGTCTGAATTCATAGTTCCAAGCAAAAAAAATATACTATTTATTCTATCCTCTACGTAACAGAATTTCCTTAGAATTATCGATTAAAGATATATATAATACAATTATTCTGGGACTCGAGTACGATAAACATGAATTAAATATTAAGTACATATACGCGCACATGTTAAATTACTAGAGAAATGGGAAACGAACGACTTTCTTATTTTCTACGAACTATGAAACTTAAGAATACCCATTACTTTCGATGGGGTATTTTAAAGGCTACTCGAAGCGTCCGAAAAAAATATCAAAATACTCGGTCTATGTACAGAAATGTTTTATTCTTAAATTATGCACAAATTGCAATCAATACAAATGTATCTGAAACAAGCAAGTTGGGGGATATCTCAGTTTTTGGCTGCCATAATGATATTCAGATGTTATGGCAGCTGTTTTGTTAAGTGTCAACGTGTTGCATCAACCTTCGTGCGTTTTTGCAAAATCCATGAGACACGTCCGATTAGTTGTTGTCAAATCCGGAAGAAAAGAGGCAACCGTTTTAAATTGACGTACAATTTAAAACCGTTGGCCGTATCTATTTTATAGCTTAGTATAGTAAAGCTAGTTTATTTGTTCAGACATCCACATTTTGACTAAGTAGTATTATAGTAATAAAGGTATGCGCTAAGTCTGCACTTCAGCTAGATATCATAAAACATGTATCATTCCTTCTCTGGCACATCATACATTGGTATCACTAAGTATATGTTTACTTCCTTTTTTAAACCATGTGAAACAATGCAGAAACGAATCGTATATCAAATTATACCATTTGATATCGTAGCTTACACTGTAGTAAATGAAAAAAGAAAACGAAAAAAAAAGGCTAAATTATGTGTGTGAGAGAGAGAGAGAGAAAGAGAGAGAGAGATAGAGATAAAGAGAGAAAGAAGTGTACCGGGAAACAAAACCTACCCCTCGTGCACACCTGTTCGCGTTCCTTCGAATAATCAGATAAGCCGTTTCAGCGTTCGTCAAGGTATCGTTAATCAGCACTCGGCATTGAAACGTAGAAATCTAGTGTTGTTAAGTAACTCTACAAATAATCGTAAACCAAAGGAGTCTCAAAGGGGGGGAAAAAAAAAGAAGATAATAAAGAAAAGAAATTACAAAAAAAAATGGAGAAAAGAAAACAACTCAATCTTGCGAATTAAATTGAAGGAACATCATTGGGAATACCGCAGAGAATCAAGATCGTCTACAGCTGCCGCCAGCCATTGTCAAATGAACAACGGAAAAAAAACCACGTGCGCTCGGTCGTTGATCGGTTTAATTTCAATCTAGCAATGGCCCAAAATGAATACGCGTCAGCACGGACTCGCCCAGAGAAGCCCTTTTCCTGTCTCGCGCAAAGATGGAATCACTAACGATAGGCGCTTCCTTGTGAAATAACGTGTCTTAGTTAGTGTTGGTCGATCGACAAGATAAGAGGTCGTAACGCAATCGTCTTTGGTTTGCCCCCGTCGCGGCGGGGGTGAGGGGGACAAACACGAGTCTCGAAGTTCAGCCCCTAACGAGGTACCGCTCGTTAAAAATTCCAAACGATCCGCATAGAGAGCATCCGCCACACGCGAGGCCCTAGGGACCCGTCTCCGCGCGTCGCGTCGCGGCTCGATACTCGCTTCCGCGGCATTACTAGACCGAAATTTTCCCTCTAATCGGCTAATTGACACGTACGAGCCGCGAATCCGACCCGGCCCATGGTCGGGCCTGGTCGCGTAGCGCCAACGAAAGCTCTCGAAAGAGAGGGCGGAGGGCGTCTCTCGTAAACGGGCGCGGTACGTCCGAGGTGGCTCTGCCTCTCGTATATCCGGACAAGTTAGGAGCTCGGTATCAAAAATGAGGCACAGTTTCACAATCAGGGGGGATCCTCCTTGCCGAATTGTGCCGCTACTACCTCCCAATGAATGTCTCCGTGTATATCAAACATGATAGCGCGATAACTATCATTAAACTAAACCATGCATGGATATCTAATACGTGTGTGTGTGTCCTTAAACGTCCTTAAGGAGAATGACGATTTTTTTTTTGTTTTTTTTCTTCTTCTTCTCTTAAACAACTGTCGTAATTCTTATTGGTAGCAAACAGTCTTAACAACGAGCGTAGAGACTAAATCGTGTCGCGTTCCGTAATCGTGAGGTCCTTGGTGTGGGTATGCGTCGTAACTGCATGCTGTCGAGTTGTTTAGCAGCTCTCTCTCGTCGGTAGTTCATGGTGTGTCGCAACGGTTAGCGCGCCAAGCGGCTCCTCCTCTATTCCCATCCACCTCGGCGGAATGCTTAGCCACTGGTACCGTTAACCAGAGCCTCTTTGGGCTTACTGCTCTGCGAGATGCGAGAGTGGCGATGGCGGAGGTCCCTCTGGCCCTTCGGCCCTTGCTGGGAGCTGTTGGTAGAGGCGGTCACGTCGTTCGCCGGAGTCCCCTCCTTACTCGTTACATTCGACTGCTCTCCCGGGCCTGCATTGCTACCTAAACGAATTAACACGTTACACGCCTCTACATTGGCCACCTCCAAACCCCCTCGAGCTCCACACCCCAATCCCTCGTTCCCAACGTGTTAAATGACCGCCACGAGTGACTACGCCATGCAACGACATAAGTCGTAACGAGTGAGGTGCTCCATAGTTACCTGTCTGACCGTTAGCCGGGGTGGCGCTGCGCTGACGAGATCGCCGGTGCTGTCTTTGCTTTCTAGGGGCTCCCTCTACGCTTGATACCGACTCTACGCACACACAAACCGTTGTGACCATCTCGATGAGAGATTCAAAGGATACAGCATGACTTTTATACTCTTTTAAAAACGGCGCAGCTCTTAGATAGTCTATGTTAGTATCGGCCGGTGAGTCATCAAACGCAACCGGAGAGTCTAGAGTGTTAGATGGTCACAAGTGTTTGCTCACGCGGATCCATGCCATGCGCGAAGCGTAGTTGGACCTTCTTTGGTTCTCTAGGTTCTTTTCTTCTTCTTTCTTTTTTTTCCCCTTTAATTTATAGGCAAGCGAACGTCACGATGGACGCCATTACCTCTGTCGATGCTGGAGACCTCCTGGCTGTCGAGAACGGTGTCTTCCTCGTCCGTGGTTCGACGACGCTCGTCTCTGCGATCTCGACGTTGGGTCGGAGGGCGACCTTGCCTCCCTCCCATGTACCCCGAATTCCCAGGGCCACCCTGACCCTGGTGGCCGCCCCTCGGTGGAAGATCTCGGACGCGATCTTCGTTCCCGTCCAGGGTGTCCCGACGCAGTCCTAAAACCAAATAAACGATTGTACTCCCTGTAGATGGTGCCCATTTCGAAACCAGTCTCGTCTGGCCGAGGTCGGTCGGCTCTCGAGTTACCTCCGTGTCTGATTTCAATAATTACCATCAGCGGTTTTCAGATATTACGTGAACCCCACGCTGGGAGAGGTCGAGGACGGAAAAGAGGTTTAAGGTTTAGGAAAGGATGTCTCTTACTTGGGGGAAACTTCCACGTCGTCCGAGAAGTCCTTAATTCATAGCCGGGCTCGGTGTCAACGTGTACGGATCCGAAGCGTTCGATTGGACGTCGCCGAGTAGTTTTAAGAGTTAAGACTTTTTAAACAACAGACTCAACCGTTGAAATTTTGCAAACAACCCATGAATTATTTTAACGCCACTGGTTAGAATAATTCGGTCCCTTAGACATGACCGTGCAGTGAAATTCATAAAGGGGAGGTCATAGCATTTAAAGAGCAACGTGATTTCTTTTTTCTTTTTTTTTTTTTTTCTGAAAGACTCGTGGAATCGGACTTTCAATTTTTCGTATCCGAGCATATGAATTTCAGTACATGCGTTTGGTTAATCTATCGCATAAACAGACGTACGTGCTCGAGCTTTGTAGTATAAGAATAACTTTTATTACGTGACATGGTCTAATTCATACAATGTTAGGAAGATCCGTCGTATAATGCTAATAATACGTTAAGAGGCTACGTCTCCAGACACTCGAGAACCCGTTCCTTTGATTTCGCGTCTTCCACGTGGAATAGTTTAATTCCGAGTTGTGGTAAGCACCCTTGATTCTAAAGCTTCAATGGCGTAGCTTATCGGAGTTACGGTGTCTGTGAAGTTGCAATTTTATTCTGCGCGTTCATGGCCCGAATGACTAGCGGAAGTAAGCCGACTGATTACATGGAAGAGGTTCAAGTAATTCTAGCTTTAAATATGATTCTAAGTCCTCGGAAACACTTAGCAATCCTTCAAGAGTAAATTGCCTTCTCAGCTGGTAGCTTAGCGCTCTCTCTCTCTCTCCATTCTCATTTTTTTAATAGACAATAATTTCAAGTCAGATGAATGGTTACAAAATCCCCGAACTCAACCGTGAACCGCATTGAACAATACTCTACTCAAGCGGGAGGCACCACTTCCCAGTCACGAAGTGCAGGACAGAAACAAAGAAACGTTCGAATACTTCAAATGGTATAAAAGGGTTCCCTCAGTCTAAGAAAGTAAGTCAAAACCTACAACGTCGAATGCTCTCAACGCCAAATGGCGATAACACAGGTCACTGGCAGTGCCCCCTCTGCCTACTACAATTAATTTCACCCTCCCCGCCATAAGTAATTAATTTCCCACCTCCATAAAAAAGGCAAAAAAAAAATCTAGCCAACTCAATTACTCTCCAAAAAGGAACTGCCCAAAATCCAGACTGAAGTGTAATGCTCTCCCTAGCGCTCTAATTTTTTTTTTTCTTTTTTAATTATCTTCAGCTGAGCACGACGTGCGAGGATAAACATACGTACGTCAAATGTCAAGACCGTGAACGAAATTGTCAAACTAGTCGCCTTGTCAAGCACTGGCTAGATGAGAGTAAACCGCGTTATTTCGTCGCGACGCGACCCCTGTCCCTAACGTCTTTGGTGTCCCTTATATCTCTGATATCTCTGGTGTCCCTTATATCTCTGATATCTCTGGTGTCCCTTATATCTCTGATATCTCCGGTGTCCCTTATATCTCTGGTATCCCTGGTGTCCCTGCCGCGAGGCCCGCCACCTCTGCCGTTACGTCTCGACGTATGCTCTAGATTGTTGATGTAATCAGTGATAGTATTACCGGCATTGTGTCTGGTAGGTGCCCTACCCCTTCCGCGACCACGGGACTGGCCTCCTCGGCCACCGCGTCCGGAGCCCGACTCCTCGGGGCCGGCAGCCATGCCTCGTCTTGTCGGAGGGAAGCTGGGCATGGGTCCAGTGGTCGATCCGTGCATGTTCCTCAGCTGCTGGTCGATCTCCAGTTTCTCCTGCCGAAGCTGCTCCACCTCCTGGACAGGAACGACCAGGTAAATAGAACGCATCGACGACAGACCGGCGAAATAGAAAACCGATCGAGTTTAATAGACGTCACCTTGAGATGCGCCAAGTGATACTCGAGTAAGACTTTAGCGTTGACGATACTCTCGACCGTCCCAACGAACACAAAAGGTACTTGGCCCTCTTCACGGGGGATGGTTGGCTGGGGTTCATTGTCGCCCTCTATTTTAACTCGCACCTGAAATACAGGAATTCCACGTGTTAGAGGACAGGCTGAATTAAAGGGTGGTTGCAATACACTCGATTACTCGAATTTACTCGACAGAGGGTGGACTTCATTTCGTTCAAAGTAGCTACTTCCACTCTGAGCAGATAAAAGAATTATCGCCTCTTTTTTCTTTTTTACTCGATTTCGAATCATAAATGGATCTCCTTTTAAAATGAAAATAAACAGAGCTTTATGAAATGGTAATAGTATTTAGAACGGTCGAGACAGTTTTGAATATTAACGCGGGACACGGTACGATCGCGAATTCGTTTCGTTAAGTAATCGGGTTTCGGCTAATAAATTATAAGGACAGCGTCAGATTTCGTGGTCAATGGTGATAAATTGAGTTACGTGAATTTACTCGGTGTCTGTAGCCTAGTTTTACGTACGAACAATATTATTCAAGATGCAGAGTAATTAAAAGTATCCGCTAAGATCGAAGTCCGACGCTGTTCGGATGAATAAATAAAATAGCTTGGAGCAGGATAAAGAAGACTTTTGAGATAAGGTCTTCCCTGTAAAAAATTGCGAGCAAGGTTTCGCTCACAGAAAAAACTCTTTAAAATGTAATCTCGGGAAGTAATTAATTGATTAAGCGTGTCAGGAATTTCCACACAAAATGTTTGACTAGAAAAAATTACTTTTCTCACAGCAATTTAATGAGTGCATAACGAGAGACAGAGAATTCGTTTTGAATGAATGAAAAAGAGTTGAAATTATCATTATGAGTGATATATGAATCATCAAAATCACCCAGCAATCGATGGAATCAACTAATTCTTGCATTACTTCCTTTTTTTTTCTCTTTTTTTTTTTTTATCGACCTGCTTGAAAGTAAGACACAACAGTTTCCCCAATGGAATCAAGTATGTTAACTGGCCCGAGTGGTTCATATAACGTTTACATATCTTTCTTGAGTATGCTCGAAGCTAACATCTTGGATGAATAGATGAGATAAAGGCACAAACAGTATAAGGTAATATACTTACTCTATCAGTATGTACATTCCCACTCGAGCCAGATGTTATCTATCGAGAACAAACAATTCAAGAATATCACTCATAACATAACCCCTTCGTAAATTGTAACTTCCATTGTTAAATGTCTGACGGATGATTTGATTCGTCAGACATCCTCCAAAGAATTATCCTACTATCAGCTTATCGACAGAAAGTGAAAATGATATTTTTTCGACCGAAATAAAACACAATCAAAGTATCAACCTTCCCGGCAAGGATTATTTAATAATTCCTTTTTCTTCTTTAAAGGAAATTAAGTAACGATGGCTGTACAAAAATAGTAATGTAAAAATGTAAAAGCGCTACAAATCCAAACCACTTGAAATTAACTGTCAAATCGACCTACCTGGTATAGAATTTTGTGAGCGCAGTGCTCATCAAGCTTGAAAACGAATTTTGTTAATTATACAGTCATCCTTCTGCGAAGGGTGTCGATTGTCAAATGATAAGAAGAAATGCCATAGTCCGAGAGACTATTTGATTTGGATAATCAATTAAATAATGCTTTCGTTACTCTTTAATAAGTGTTAATATATTTCACGTCGAAAAAATTAATCTATATGAATGGATATACATGCAACTAATTTATTACAATCTACGTACATTTTCCATTGAAAAAGAATAAGAAATATGGGTTGATCGTGAACTGCGATTTTTCTTTTCTTTCGTCTAAAAATGTTAACCAATCAACAGCGTAAATAAATGAATTTCCCCCGTGACAAAGCTGAGCGATAAAAATAATCATCAACTTCCCCGAGACGATCAATCTAAGCAGCCAATTTACAACCTATTTTATACTCTTTTCCACGTACTAATTCATTCATTTATTTTTTTTTCAGCAATTCACTAATCATCGCATGTCAATTGGTAATAAACTGTTGCTTAAAATCGCTACCGAAAGAACTAATTAAATGTTAGCTACACTGGTGTTAGTTACCATATTTAAAAATAAAGCGAATCAGATCAAACTCATACAAAGAATGGCAAAAAATGTAATAAAATCGGTACTTACTACGCCAGATTTGTCGACAATTTCCTGTATAATTCGACCATTTTTACCAATTACTTTGCCTACAAGGACTCGTGGCACCTGTATAGACTCTTCACTGTACTCCAGCATAGATCGTGCCTTTTTTACAGCTTCGCGTGTCTGTTACAGAAAAAAAAAAAAAAATGATTTCTTTTAAAAAACCGAATGCATCATTTACATTAACAAGGGATATAGAATTACGATTTTACTAATTTATCTCGGTTCTAATTTTCCTTTGAAAAAATTCAAACGAACTGTCCGGAATAATTATTTAATGGACACGTACCTTCCACGACTTAGAAAAATAAGTTTTATAGTCAACGCGTATAATATTCTAAATTCTACAAAATCTGTCTAAAAAAAGGCATGAATCTCATCTTTTAGAGTCTCACCTCTCCGTATATTTTAAAGGTGCACGTATTTTCTTCTAATTCTATATTGGTAATCCCGTCTACTTTCCTCGCCTGTTGAATATTCGCACCATGGGCACCGATCGCAAGTCCCATGAGATCCTCTCGTACATTAAATTCATCGGTGTACCTGAAACGACAAGAAATAGTATGCGTTATAAATGGCATTTAATACAAACAGAAATATATGCAAATTTCCCACAGTAGGAATAAAATCGAAATCGCAAAGGGGAGCTGACACAGTAGTCCTTAATGACGATACACAAATAAATGTGGTGGACGAGATGAAAGATATTTCCAGAACGTAGCCAATTAGTTTATATTCTGCGGAAACGAAAAGGTGATAAATCCGCGAAAGTAAGGAAGAGCTGGACAGGTATTTCGAGATGACACGTATCAAGATTACGAACATATCGTGCGGAGCCAACAGTCGCAGCTTTTGAAACAAACGTGAACGGTACAGTAACAAAGACACACATAAGCGTAACATAAACAAAATTATGTGATACAATTAGGATAAAAAATGACAACAAGCGTAATAAATGTTCCTCGATCAGGCACACACTACCGATAAGAGATAATCAGTTTGCAATTACTGAGTGAAAGTTGCCAAGCACGCAAAAGCTGCATGCTACGTACACACATTCGCCCATTATTATTCTAGCTTTCTGCACGGCCTAGTTCCAGTCATGTTTTATAAATGAAACGAAATAAATATCAATCGAGTACCAAGTCTCCAGGTACAGAAAAATACATGCGTCCGCAGTCAATTAATAATTAATGGTCTACAAGCGAGTACGTAGGGCGTGTGCGAAGAAAAGCTTGGATGCATACATGCACTTTTGCCACGATGCCTAACCAAACGATCGTGTAAATACGAGCATAATACGTTAACTCTGATAATTTAAGATTTCACGTAATTAGGATTTTAATTGACGGTTGAAGAGATTAAACCATTGTATTAACCATCGCAGTGTCTAAAATAACCGAGCACATAGATCTACGGATAATTTATACTTCCTTCACTGCTTACGACTATTTGAATTACATCTTATTAATCGCCTGAAAAAAAGTGCAACGAACAAAAGATGTCGATTAGATCTTGATCTTAGATGCTTACGAGTATTTTACCCTAAGAGTCATCGAATTACAATTAAATTAAGGGCGTTATATATCGTACTCGTATGTTCAACAAGTGTAATGAAACAAAATCGAGGATAGAGCCACCTTTAGATCCTGCTAACATTAAGTTATTACGTACATCAGTGTTTCTCAAACATTGGCAGGCCAAGTTTACACATCGTCCTAAGTATGCATATAGAATATATGTTATATATAACGTACAAAAAATAAATAAATGCACTACATAGATATATACAGACAGTGGTCAAAGAAACTGAGTATCGGTCGCTTCTGTCAGCTCGAATCAGCTGATTGGCACAGGTATTTACTACGGAGCAAATAGTAGACGACGAACAGTTACATCCTTTGTACATGTGTCCAAAGCATTTCGTTTCAGTGACCGAACTACATGATACGCCGATGCATGCACATAGACAGTGTGATAATGGTCTTCCACTTTAAGAAAAAATGCAGCGGTGTAACTTGGTCATACAGTAAGCTAACTTAAATCTAAACCACGCTGCAGTAGCCTCTCACCTTGAATTCGTTCTCACTCCTGCCTCAAAGTCTGAGGCACGCTGATATATAAAGTTTGAAGATCTAAATTTGCTGAAATGAGAAAGAAACCCTGATGTAACTCAATGGAAACAAATTATAACGATGGCCCTATCCTACGCCCTTGCTATTCTGTCCATTTGTTGCTCTTCGTTAGCAGGCACGGCTCTCTTCGTACGCGGATTCTTACAGGTAACGCGTCTTCTTATTTTATTACGTATTAAATGTTATTATTATGTACAAAATTAAATACGTACGCGGGTTAAGTGACTTTTCGCGAATGCGCGAGAATTATTTATACTATAACAGAACGTCGATAAGACCTATGAACCAAAACATGTGTGGGTGTGGTTCCATTTAATCACTACGAGAACAGCTTAACTAACAATACGATGAAGTCGATTACTTTGTGCAGTGCTCTTTTAGTTATTTAACAATTAATGTGGTGGGTAATCAATTAAAAGAGTGTTTTAATTTAGTACGTGGGGCAATTAAGCATTCTTCACATGATGCCGTTGTTGCTCATTCTAACTATTGTTGTCACGTTACTTGTTCTCGACAGTCGAGATACAAGACACGTCTCTGTTACCTCGAAACTACAAAACGCATGACCGGTAGGAGACACGTTGATGTACACGAAGGTGCATTATTCTTTGGGATATTTACTCGATAGTAAAAATAAAACATTTCCCTATTGAAACAATGACATGCAGAAGATGTACTTCGTGCTAATGTGTGAAAAACTGAAAGGAAGAAAAAAACAATTGACAATACACAATGCATGTTCTTTTATGGAAAGAGAGGTTTATGCTTTTTTTTTTTATATTATACCACTCACTGAGAATTCCTCGATTTGTTAGTGTATTATTGTACTGGCAATAAAAGTATCCCGTACTTTTAAGTTAATTTTCACTTTATCTCGATGTTAGAAGCAGTTGTGTTTTACAGTTGCGAGAGGAAAAATCGCGCAGTCACATTTGCACTTAACTGCATCAACGACAATAATGCACATACATATAAAATTGACATGACTCTGAATTAGCGAATGCTGCGCTTATGTTTCTTTACATAAAATAGTGCACAATTGCATACTAGCAGACTTTTTTTATGATATACATTTAAATTCGGTAAGCATTTAGAAAAATGAAATAAAGTACGAATTCATATAAGAGCTTTTTTTGTGGCGCATTCGTTATAGCAAAACAAGTACTATACACGTTTCAAATCCATTTTGGAAACTATGGATTCAGCTCTTCCACATGATTTATAAACAATTTTAATTACATTAACTATGTGCATACGTTCATTAGTAACAAGGAACACTTCACTTACTAAGTGATACAGAAGCACAAGCAAGTTAGCCTATTAATTATTATATATTCCTGCATAATACTGCAATTATGCAATGAGTGAATCTAGGGTGATATCTACATATAAAACGGTGTTGTTATAATGTATGTGTCACTTATGCGTATATGCATCAACTTTTATTGTGATTTTGAAATAAAGAAGTTAGCAAATCAACACTGATCACGGACAGCAATTATACGGTGCACTAGATGAAATTCTGTTATTATAGTGAGTCACAAAGTGGTACAGAGGGAAAACGTATAAGTGGGAAAAAAAAAAAAGGTTCAGGATATTTTTAGAAACAGTAAACATATTTTACGTTATGTTAAATGGGAAGAAAATTAGAATATGAAATTCATATAAAACTATTTTAGAATCAATTACGAACTTGCAAATCGGTATTTGGATGAAACTGTTGAGCGATAGAATTATGCATATAACTGTGAGAAATTTCCATGAAATATCTTTCACCTCTGCCAGTAAATGCAAATCACAGACAGAATGGTAGCCAGGACGGTGTATGGACAAGGGCGGGTATAGTAAGCGATTTAAACAAGTTACCGCAATAGAATTTTATGTCCTACCACTTACCCTCCGCTTGTTTGAAGCTTAGTGGATTCGAGTTGACGAGCTGCTTCTTCCGTTCTCTTCAATAACAGAACCTGTGAAATAATGAAACTCATAAATACTTCAGATCCAAATTGAACCTAGTTTGATAAAGTATAAGAAAAGTAAATTTATTATTATACTGGCCAAATTAAAAACACAAGCATTTGACTAAATGTGAACATCGACAACCAAAAAGATACAAATATCCTAATTAATTTAATTAGTGTCACTTACTACAACATTTGCGTACCTTTTGCGACAAGTTTCGGAAGTGCATTTCTTTAAGCATAGTACTGTGCCGATGAATATTTTCATTACGGGAGATGGCCAGCAGTACTCCTCGTTCAGGCACGTATCGACAAAGCGCTGCACCAATTGCCTTCTGAAATTCCTTGTGTGCATTCTCCATTTTTGCACTGAAGGTTCAAGAAATTATTAGATACATTTTATATGAAGTATGGGGGTAAGAACCTACTACTTCTAACCAAGAGAAAAATATTTCTTATATTTAGCCAAAAAGTTAGTTCCGATGAATAAATAAACTTACAACTCTCTCAGATCTTCAGGTACTTCAATTTCAATCTTATGAAACGTGTTCTTGTCGATGGGAGGATTCGGATTTTTTGGTCTCAACCGTTCACTGGACACAATTTCTGTGTACGAATATTCCCAGCCCATATACTCTACCACTTGGAAGCCTCCTTTAATCATCTGAAATTAATATAAAAAATAAATAATAAAAAAAAGTAATCCAATTCATTTAAGGTATTCATAATATTTTAATTACAAATACTAACCTTAATGATTGCCTTCCACCATCCGCAAGCTTCATGGTCATTAGCTCGCGAAAGTACTTCAATTTCCTGATTTTCCGTATATTCAGGTTTTGGGCCATCTTTTGCAGGTAAACGAACTTGAGCAAATGGGAACTTCGATTCAGGTTGCCAACTGAAAAGCAACACAAGAACGCATTAATAATTAAAGGCATAAGAAGTAACAGAAGTTAATTCATTATAGAAAAAATTAAATTTTAATTCATTAGCAACGGTAATTACTTAGGTACAAAATAAGTACCATGCAACGTGTCATAATTTAACAATAAATTCATATCACAAAACAAAAATAACTAGACAATTTATTTATTTATTTACTATTATAATTTACCGAGGCAAAACAATTGGTAACCATAACAAAACTACGAGTGTACTCAAGATAATAATCAATATTTAAAGCCCCTGTTTGAATTTCCTACATTTTTGGAAAAACTGCAACTATATAAATAGAATAATACTTGTTCCTCGGAACGGTCCCGATCGTTGCTAGTCTTTAATTCCAACGTACATCCCGTTTCCAATAACTTCGATACTTCCAAACTACAGGCACCAAAAATAAGCAATTATATATACGCTAGTGCGTTTTATGACTAAACTCATCGAGGAGAAACGATCCGAGCAGAGATCGAGAGCCACCAACACTTTGGAGAACAGAGGCACAGATATCCCGACGGTTACCAAACTTGACTTCGAGTTACAGGTACCGCTATTCACTTCGTGTAGGAAAAATAACTTACTCATTTTCGAAAGCGACCAGGACTTCATCTTCAAAGACGTCGGTGACAAAGGCCTGAAAGGAACGAGACATAAAGTATATACGCTCACTCGTCCAGAATGTGGAGGTTTTGGGAAAAGCACGGCACACTCCGGCATTGAGGCGCGCTGACCAGGGCCACGGTCAGGATGAGCTCGTATCACATATTGCATCGTTAACTGCGAAGTTCGCGGAATACGAGGTCGCCCCGTAAAATCAAGGCAACGAGTCGCGAGGAAAAATCACGCCCTGTCAAACGAGACATGGCGTCGGAGGAAGCCGCGTTACCTCGAGTCTGTTTGAGGAGCGCGCTTTCGCAAAGTACGGCCGTCTATTATAATAAATTATTGCCGCGTAGCGCCGCGTGGATCGGTCAATCTACAGAGGTTCCGTTCTTCCCGGATTTCCGTATACTTTTCACAGAACGAACCTTATAATATGCTCCGTTTTCGCCGCATACTTCGACTGCGAGATCCTCCATCTTGCTTTTGTGTGACGGCTCGGCTCCTTTGCGGCAGGCATGTTGGCGAGCGGCGCGAGTTCGAGAGTTCGGCGCTACCTAGACCATCTCAGCCAATCGCGTTGCTCCTGCCTATGATGCCGACGGCTGATTGGCCGAAGCGGCTAGAGTGCCGCCCCCTTCGGCGCCTCGTAGGACTAGAGGCCACGGACATTGAACTTTGTAGGACTGCTGACCCGGTCGCCAATGCCGCGATCGGTCAAAAATGGTCGAATAAATATCAAGAGTGGTTCCACCCTTACAGAAAACACATTCACAGATATAAGCCAAGCCATTGCAAATTCTCATAACCGTTCTGAGCGATTACGAATACTCATAATTGCGTGCCGCCACTTATATATATCCAAATGCACATGATTATGGTTTACTCTCGGTGGCGCTAAGAGTAGCGTCCTGAAACACATATTTCTAAAACGCCGAATTTCACTTGAAAGAAAGTGCATTAACTTATAGAAATGTCGTTATTTTTATGATAAGCACTACAGAATTTATTGAGATTCCCTGGAAATAAAAGACTAGAGTATTTTCCAATTTTTTTTCCTTAACTTCGTACAGTAGATAATGCAGAGCTACGGTCGCGAAATCGTTCATGGCGTAAGAACTCTGATCTCTACATAAGCAATACCGCCGCTATTGCCCACCCCCGCCGTAGGTATTAAAGTTTGATACATTTTTCAGTTCCCTTAAATTTGTTGGCCACCGACAAATTCTTATTTTATAATTTGTACAATTTTCCGCGATCGCTCGGTTCGACCGATTATTCGATGCTAATGAACTGGGTCGTGTAATTTGACTAGCGTATTACAGGAAGCCAACTTGGGACTACGCTCAACCACCTTTCATCCGGTACACGCGGTTGTCGTAAGAGCGAAGCACGTCGAGTGACGTTTTAACGGAGTGCTTCGCCTCTTTAGGGAGATACCCCGTCTTCCAGCGAATGTTCAGCGCGAAACGTTGACTTTGCTTTACCTGGAAAGATGGCTAGATACGGCCAGAGACCTGACAATGCTCTGAAGAGGGCCAACGGTAAGTCCAACTCCCAACGGGTGGACGTTCTAATATGGCTGATGGCCTCCCCAAGTATTTCGCCGTTCTGTCACCCCTTGACATGTTCCAGGCCACTGTTCTTCCGCCCAATAATTTCATCTTCAATATATTCATGCTGATCTTTTTTTCTCTAGTTTTTAATATTTTTTTATATACCAATATGTGTATACATTATGTAGTAAATATTACCTTGAACCATCTTAGTTAACGTGTTAGTTATTAAATACCTGATAAAGGTATTTGTGTAAGCTATGCTTTTCTGGACTTCTCAAGTCGAGAGATCTATTAATAAGCATCTACTGGCAAAAAGTAATATTTGCATTGTGGTGTCCCCGATTTTTGGAATATTTATGTCCTACAAATGTCCTGGTCGTGTTTTGGTCCATATGGTATGAGGTAGATGTTAGCGACCGAACTAGATGAGTATGTAGCACGTTAAATATATAGATCTTTTGAATGATTGCCAAGTAGAGACGTCAAGACACAGATAATGGCATAAGGCTGTGTCTGGATGATAGACTCGAGGTATTCTCGATTTTTAATAAGGATCTTGAGACAATGTTAAATGCAGACAATTTTGGGGCTATAAAATGATAATGTGCTTTTCTTTCTTTACAGAATTCATAGAAGTCGGTAAACCTGCCAGGGCATTGGATACTTTGCAGGAAGTCTTCCGCAATAAAAAATGGACTTACAGCTGGTCGGAATCGGTGCTCGAGCCGATCATGTTCAAGTATTTGGACCTCTGCGTCGAGCTGAAGAAAACTCACATAGCGAAGGAAGGTCTCTTCCAATATCGGAACATGTTTCAGTCCGTCAACGTAGGGAGTTTAGAAAATGTAATCCGTGGTTATTTACGTATGGCAGAAGAGAAAACCGATGCCGCTCGAAAACAAAGTCAGCAAGCTGTCATAGACATCGACGATCTAGACAATCTCGCCACCCCGGAGAGCATCCTGTTGTCAGCCGTAAGCGGAGAGGACGCACAAGACAGAAGTGACCGAACGATTCTAACACCCTGGGTAAAATTCCTTTGGGAGTCATACTGTCAATGTCTGGAACTACTGAGAACAAACGCGCACGTGGAAACCCTGTACCACGACATCGCCAGAATGGCTTTTCAATTCTGTCTAGAATACAGTCGGAAAACCGAATTTCGCAAGCTCTGTGAGAAACTGCGCAAGCATTTAGAAGAGATCTGCAAACTCCCGCAGCTTGTCTCGAACGTATCGATCAATAAAGCCGAGACTCAACAGTTGAACTTGGAGACTCGCCTGAGTCAACTGGACTTTGCAATACAGATGGAACTTTGGCAGGAGGCTTACAAAGCCATCGAAGACATCCATGGACTGATGAACCTTTCAAAGAAGCAACCACTGCCAAAGACCATGGCGAACTATTATCAGAAACTGGCCATGGTCTTCTGGAAAGCTGGGAATTATCTCTTCCACGCTGCTGCGCTATTTAAGTTGCTACAGTTACATCGAGAGATGAAGAAGAACATGTCAGTGGAGGAGCAGCAGCGCATGGCAAATCGGGTCCTGCTGGCCACCCTGTCGATTCCTCTGCCTTCGGCCCACCCAGAGTTTGACAGATTTATAGAAACCGACAAGAGTCCGTTGGAGAAGGCGCAGAGACTAGCCATTCTCCTGGGTCTGCCCCAGCCTCCGTCCCGGACATCTCTCCTCCGAGACATCGTCCGCCTCAACGTTGTCTCCCTAGCATCCCCACAGCTCCAAGACCTATATTCCTGGTTGGAGGTGGAATTCGACCCGTTGAAGCTCTGCGGCCGAGTAGACGCGGTTATACAAGCCCTGCAGGCCGACGAGACGAGTCCCTTGCTGCAGTACATCCGGGCACTTCAGGACGTCACCTTGGTACGCCTGGTGCACCAGGTATCACAGGTATACCAGACCATCGAGTTCTCGCGGCTGCTGGAGCTGGCCAAGTTCACCTCCAAGTTCCACCTGGAGCGTCTCCTGGTGGACTGCGTCCGCTACAACGACATGCAAATCAGCATAGATCATGGTAAAAGGTGTGTCCACTTCGGAGTGGACCTCTCCGAGGCCCAGAGAGAGGACCACCCCGATGGGCCAGTTTTGCAGGCGATGCCCTCGGAGCAGATCCGTTGCCAGCTGGTGAACATGGCGACCGTCCTGCACAGAGCCATCGTGGTGATCAATCCGAACAAGAAGAGGCAGGAACGCGAGAAGCTGCGCACCTCCATGGTGACCTTCTACCACGAGACCAAGCAGAAGGAGCACCAGAGAATCCTGGGCAGGCACAAAATCATCGAGGAGCGGAAGGAGTACATCGAGCGCATCAACACGGTCAGGGAGGAGGAGGAGATGCGGCGCCAAGAGGAGCTGCAGAAGCAGCAGCTCCTGGCCGAGCAAAAGAGGTTGGAAATGGAGCGCGAGGAGCGAGAGCGCAGGCGCCAGCAGAGCGAGATCCAGCAGATAAAGGACCGCCACCTCAAGGAGAAGATGCAGCAGATCTCGCAGACAACTCACGGCCAGAAGGTCCTGAAGAAGCTGGACGAGGACGAGATCAAGAAGCTGGACGCGGAGCAGATTGCCGCCCGGGAGGCCGAGGAGCTACAGAAGGAGCGCCGGGAGATGCAGCAACGACTCAAGTCCCAGGAGAAGAAGGTCGACTACTTGGAGAGGGCGAAGCGGATCGAGGAGATCTCCCTCCTGGAGAAGGCGGTCGAGGAGAAGAACGAACTGGCCAAGCAGCGGTGGGAGCAGCAGGACGCGGAGAGGATCCTCGCGGCTATCGAGGAACGCCAGGAAGCCGTGGCCACGAAGGAGCGGATGGCGCGCATGAAGGAAGACCATGATGAATTCATGGAGAAAATCCTGGCGGAGCGCAACAGCGTGTACCTAGAGAAGCTGCACGAGTTCGAGAAGATCATCAACGAGGAGCGCGCCAAGAGGTTGCTGAAGAGAAAACAGCAGAGGAAGGCAGAGCGACGCGCCACGTGGGAGACGGAACGCGCGGAGGCCGCGGAGAGGAAGCGCCAGGAAGAGCTGCGCATCAAGCAGGAGGAGGAACGCAAACGTTTGGAGGAAGAGAGAGAGAAGCGAGAGGAAGAGGAACGCATCCGGAGGGCGGAGGAAGAGGCCAAGGAGGCCGATCGCCTGGCGAAGCTGGAGAAACAGGCCGAGATCATGCGTGCCAAGAACGCCGCCATCGATCGCATGCTCGACGAGGAGCGACAGAAGGACACCACCGAGATATCCTGGAAGGACCGTGGTTCGCGCGACTCTACGACTTACAAGACGCGTAATCATTTATTTTTATGAATTTTAAGGGTAGAGAATTTTAAGGAATTTCAGCGCGACTTAACGTGGACTTTTTTTTTTACAGCCGTGACGTCCTGGCGACGAGGCGGTGACTTGAAGGACAGCAGCAACCCAAGGGAGGAACGACTTCGGGATGACAGAGGAAGCACCGGGTTCGATCGATTCAGGCGCAAGGATGACGATAATGATCGGTTCAGGCGTAAGGATGATGATAACGACCGATTCAGACGCAAGGATGATGATAACGATCGGTTCAGACGCAAGGATGATGATAGCGATAAGTATGTATTGGCACTATATGATTGTCTGTTTTATGGGATCGTTGGAATTTTTTGGAGTACACGGTTTTAGTTGTGTACAGAGGAAATGCAAATTAAATGGAATTGTGTTGTAGAACGAGAAGAAAGCCAGAGGGCGTGGATGGGAAATTGAGTGACGGACGAGATGGATTGAACAGAGACAGGGGAATGGGAGGAGGTGGAGCATTCGATAAGAAACCAGCTCTTGGAAGCTCCTTCTACAGGAAGGACGAGCGACCATTGGATCGGGTAAGGATTTGTATTTATATATAAGAAGGATAGAGGTATTTAATGTGAAAATTATAATTGCGGTTGGGGGGGGGGGGGTTTAGCCTTACTTTTTTCTTAATGTTGCTTCCGTTAACTGCTGCAGGGCTCAGGTGGATCCTTCTCTCGAAGCTGGCGAAGCAGTACCAACGATGGGCCTCCAGCTAGATCCTCCGAAATGACACCACGTGTACGCGAGGCACCTATTGACAGGTCCATTCGTCAAGAGAGACCGGAACGTCAAGAATCATCAAAGCCCATGAGCTGGCGCACCATTGGAGATAACAGGGAAGCCCCGAAAGATAATCCTGCAAAACGAGAGGAGAGGTAAATTCTGATTATTATGCATGACACAAGAGAATGGAATTGAAATGCTGAGGAACACGTGGTGTAAGTAGTAATAAAGATTTGAACTGCTCAGACGAAGAGCGAAGCCTCCCTGTTTTTGCATTCCCCCCTAACTTGTTATAACCAAACCTCCACCCGTAAGAAATTCGTAACAGAAGCGAGGAATGTTGGAGAAAAGGGAAAAGCAACATGTTCTCAGATAATATTTCGCTTCCATGTGATCGAAGGCTTTGACACGTTAAGTTATTGTGAGATCTTAAAATTGTTTCAGAGCTGACGAGATAAGAAGGGATAAATTGCCATCGGAGAACAACCAAGGGCGCGAGAGCCAACCGGAACAGGATGGCTGGGCAACGATCGGTCGTCGCTAAAAATAAAATGCAACAAAACCACAACGTCGGAGGCCACATTGTTAAGCATTAGGTTTAAACACTTACTAGCACAGAATTTTCTAATCAGCACGAGACTATCGTGGACTTTTTATTATTCATGAGGCCATTTCATTTCACTTGCCTCTGCTCGGTGCGCTGTAAAGAGATCGGAGACAATGTATACAGTTAATACGATATTCCTTTGTAAAAGCATCCATGAGACATCTTGGATTTTAAGTCACGTAATAAAACCTATACATCGATGTCTACTTGAAGGATTGCTGAAAATCAATGTGATCTTATTTGGTCGGTCTACTGCAACAGTAAGTATGTTAAATTTGCCATTCAAAATAAATTCCTAATTTCTGTACATACAACCGAGGTTGCAGAAATGAAGCACATAGTCCCGTAACCAGTCATTTTATGATGCCTTAGAACTATAATTGCATATTTTTGTTTATAATAAATCTCGACTACATTTAATCATATGATTTATCAATTATCCACCAGTGGACGCTGTTGTCGGTTTCTGTGGTGCAACTTCTTTGTTGAATCGAGTTTTAACTGTTTTTATCCTGTGGTGTAAACAAAGTGAACGAAATTGTACCCTGTGTACAAGTTTAACTAAATTCATATAAATTCCATGAACGCGAGAACGGTTATACTCCGGTCCGACCATGGCCCGGTTTTAACTAGATCGAATGACATTTATAAGGTCAAGTTAGTTAGGTTATATTGTTTATGAGGCTTCTAGCGATAGGCTCTCGGAAACATAACCGAGCTTCGAAATAAAGCGTGACATTCATCTACAGTACTCCAGTCGAGCAAGTATGTTTTTTTTTTTTTCGTACATATCTGTTGATTCTCGTTTATCTCTTGAGCAATTAGCCGCGTGTGCAATATCAGTCACGTGGTGGACAATCGATTGCTACACGGATTGACTTTGCAGGGCACTAAAAAGTCAGGAAAACTCACTCTGTAAGTAAGATTCAGAATCTTCAAGATGTCCACGAGGTTCTCTGGGATCAAATTGGGACCACCGATAGAAGTGTTCGCTCTGTCAAAAGCATTCGCAGATGATCCCCAGGAAACTAAAGTCAATCTAACGGTAGGAGGTAAGCGATTAAAATTCCATTCACTGCGATGTAATCTCCAGCTCTATCTTTCGATCTATTGGTTGCTAATAATGCATCTGAAAGTTATAATGTATGAGTTTAATTCTATGTATTGCTTGATTAGCTGTGTCCCTGAAAGCTGACTACAAGAAACATCAATTTTCATCTAAATAGATTCTTTAAACATGACCTTGATTGACATTGAGAACCAGACAATGTGTACGAGGTCATTCTTGTACAATGCATATCAATGGAACACTTATCTTACAATTAATAATTGAATTCTCAGTTTATCAATGCAACTTGTTACCTTATCTGTTAGAATTGTATAGTCAGGAGATAAAAATATATGTTCATCATGTCAAAAACTGTAGATTAATATCTTATGGGTTATTTATTTTTTCAGCTTATCGTACAAACGAAGGCAAGCCATGGGTTTTGCCAGTTGTACGGAAAGTCGAGAAAGCCCTGGCTAATGATACGTTGCAGAACCACGAGTACTTACCAGTTTTAGGCCTAGATGCGTTCAGTCGAGCTGCAACGGAATTATTACTTGGTCAAAATTCAGCCACTCTTTTACAGGGACGTGCTTTCGGTATACAGTGCCTTTCTGGTACCGGTGCATTACGTGTAGGTGCTGAATTCTTAGCTCGTACCCTAGGCTTTGATACGTTCTATTATAGCAGCCCAACTTGGGGTAAGGATATTATAAATCGTAACTATCCAAGAATAAATTAAGGTACGGAGTGATTAAGTTTTGACAATTTTGATTTTACAGAGAATCATAAGCTGGTGTTTATAAATGCTGGGTTTAAAAAAGGATGCGAATACAGATACTGGAATCCTGCAACCCGTAGTATTGATATTGACGGCCTGCTGGCAGATCTGTCAGATGCTCCTGAGAATGCTGTGGTGATATTACATGCCTGTGCGCATAATCCTACAGGGTGTGATCCAACACCAGAACAATGGGCTAAAATTGCCAGTGTAATTGAAAGTAAACGGTTATTTACATTCTTTGATTGTGCCTACCAAGTGAGTTGATTTTGAAAAATTCTCATGAGGACGCAAATGCCTTAGAATAATCGAAATTCTTGTAATCTAGGGGTTTGCGAGTGGTAATTTGGATCAGGATGCATATGCCGTGCGCTACTTTGAAAAACTTGGCTTTGAATTTCTTTGTGCCCAAAGTTTCGCCAAAAATTTTGGTCTTTACAATGAAAGAGTTGGCAACTTAGTCGTAGTAATGTCCGATCCGAAGGAACTAATACAGACTAAGTCACAACTGACTCTAATTGTTCGTGGAATGTACAGTAATCCACCAAATCATGGAGCTCGGATAGTTGCTTCTGTATTAACAAATCCTGATCTCTTCCAAGAATGGTACAATGCTTATCTCTGACAATATTTTTATGGTTGTGAACAAGACCGTTAATTTGGGTATACCTGGACTGATTTAACAAAACGATTTTACAACAGGAAAGAACACATCGTTACAATGGCGGAAAGAATAAAAGGTATGCGTGCAGGACTGTACGAAAGACTTTTGAAGTTGGGAACTCCAGGAACTTGGGAACATATCATAAATCAGATTGGAATGTTTTCATATACTGGGCTCAATGGTAAGACCTTTTTTTAGAATTGCCATTCTTTGTGCTAAAGCAGAAAAATATATTTGTACATTGTATCTTTTAGAGAGACAAGTTGAACACCTAAAGGATCATTATCACATCTATGTGATGCGCAGTGGCCGTATAAATATGTGTAGCCTCAATGAGAAAAATTTAGATTACGTATCTCAAGCTATTCATGACACTATAAAGAAATTCCCTTCGGTAGACGAAAATTGTGCTTGATAGAGGGATGGAAATTAAGCCGATAATATCTGTCTTGATCATCGAATATGTTGAAAATATTCTAAAATCTGAGAAATTGACGTACAAAATACTGGATATCATAAAACAAAATTGTACAGTGTCACTTAGAGTTTCGAGATTTTTGTAATGACTTTCGTTTTTGAGAGAGTCAAGACGTAACTAAGAGGAAAGAGTAGAACTCATTACTGTCTAATATATATCAAGTGTAGTAGTGTTTTTATCCTAAACAATGATATAAAATACTATTATATGTTTATATCAGTAAATTTGGATACAATTAATGAATAATAAAATCAGAGCTTAGGGACGATCGAGCCCCATTGGCTTCTCCCGGTTGCGTCACTGCTTACATACCAAAAAGAGTACAAAGTATTATCTAGTATTATACTGCAAAACTAAAAAAGTGACGATTAATAGTTTTATAATATTCAAAACTAATTTCCAACAGCCAAAACTAATGCCCTATAGACATTTGAGTCAAACACAAAAGCCAAATTAAATAATCCGATACTTCCAACAGACATCACTGAATTGTATCCAAGAAAGCTTATACTTTTTGTATATAATGTTAAATGATAAATCATGAGTCTGTTTGATACAAGAATAATGTATATTTTATAAAGTAGTATATACAAAACTTCGTACCAATGATGCCATCAAAAAGTGATGTTTTTTTGATATCCTGATAATATTTCCAAAGTGTAAATGAGATCGTGGGGAAGAAATGTATGTATGCGAAAACTTATAGATGTAACGGACTTGTTACGTACTGCATACTAAATTTTCTATTTTCTCATGTATTTATCTAAAATTCTGCATTTCCACATGAGAAAAAAGTTTGTTGATATTTAAAGTATAATATAAAAATAGTATTTGGTGAACTGAGGATATGACTGGATAATAATAGTCAATAATTTTTTGTTGAACAATGTTTTGTTGAATTTATATATATGTATGTATGTATTTATTCGAACAATTTGTTATGAATAAAGTTGGCAATTAACACATGACGTTTTAATTACATTATATTACTCTTATGTTAATACCTGTACAATATATTGTAGAAATAGTTTATCTCAATCATTTTATAGCTAGATAAGTTTAGTTTGTAATTATATACAATATAAATATTTACAACATTTACTAGGTGGTTAATGAATCGAAACTCAACTGCTCCACTTGGATGTCTTCTTTTTAAAGGTTTCATGCCCATCGGAGTCAATAGCGGAGTAATATCCCATACCCTCGTATTTACTGCGCATGTACAAAATATATCCTGCGCAACCTGTTATTGCTATAATTCCCAAGCCCATTATGATAGCATTCTAAAAATAAGTAATACTTCAATGAATTAACACAATTTAACGATAATCCTACCGTTCCCCATACTCCAAAAAAAAAAACCCTCCTCTTTTACAAACCATTGAAACAAATAAATTCTCTCTATATTAGAACTTCTAATGTCATAACAAATTTATAACTTTAAAAACGTCTTATTCTTACCGGTTTGGCATATAATTCATAATTAATAGCACGAAACATCATAGTACTCCGAAGTGACCGTATACCATCGCCCGGTGCTGGGTCCTTATTTTTCTGCTCCATCCTTCAAATATTATTACAGTAGTTATATAAACAATATTTAACTTTATTTATACACAGCTTCCCATTCGAACTAATTTCGTACTTGGATTTGACTTCGCCACTGGTATTGCAAAACATGAGATACTGCCAGTGGTGTTGCAAAACATGAGTATGCGAGCCGCTAACAGCGACTGGTAGATGGCACCGCCATCCCGAGTGCGCGAACCCCTACCAGAAATTCGTTGCACTGCCCTTGGGGACAAAACACGGTGAAAGCTAACGTACGAAACCAGAGGGAAGCACAGGATGCGATCTCGCGACTCTGCCCGTAAGCAATCTCCCAACTCATCTCTGTTTCTGACTGTTTCTGACAGGGTTCGCGAGATAAGTAATATGGCTGCCACGTGTAATCAGATTAGTTCCATTCTCTTCGACCGAGCCGCTGCGACGAGCGACAAAAAATTACTAGCTGCCTTAATCGTCCAAACCATTTTTTTATGATTTCTCAGGAGCGGTCTCCTCCGATTTTCGAGTTTTGAACGGTTTCTCGGCTTCCTGCGCGCTCAAATACGTGGTCGCGCATAGATGCGAAAACTTTTAATGGCATTAGCATAGGAGGTAAGTACGCGATTCTAGATGCTTCAAAACCCATTGCCCGATTACTGCATACGCAATATTTAACTGGACAGGGTCCGCTATGAATTTCAAATTAGACTGCCTGTTTATCTATAGTTGTCAGCTGGGTTCTTTATTTTTATCGCAGGAAATACTCAAGGAGCTGTGTAGTTATCAGGGTACATACATACATACTTATTTGACTCAGTGCCTAACAGCATCGACGGTTCAATGTGTTACCTTGATCAGCATAAGCATATTATATAAGAGCCAGTTTCACTGAATTTCCACTGATCATTACAAAATAACTTTCTGAGACGATAACTCGTACTTCGTTTCAGTCTTCTTTCTTTGTCTCCAAGGTACCTGGTTTAATATGGTATATTGTACATAATTTAATAGTACATTGATTATTTCTGCAAGCTGTGAGTTGAATTAGACGATATATATGAATTCTGAAGTGAATGTTTCATTGTCGAATTGTACTTTGTACCCTAAGTAAGATTTTATGTCTCACATTTTGTTTCGATTATCTTAAGAAACTTCCATGGGTCAGCTTGGTTCAATTCTGAGCTCCGTCAACAGGTTGTCAGTATTTTAATGCCACGTTTCTTAATCTTTACCATAGGAACTTGATAAATAGACACATCTTATATAGTATAGAATGAATATCTTTCAGGCTTCGTCGGACTAGAAAAGTACTGCAGATACTAGGGTTTCAATTTTGAAAATGCTGCACTACGAGGATGTTATCATCGAAGATAAAGGAGCCTCTTCAACCGAAGCAGGGGTTCGCCATCGTATACCTTGGAGCGATCGGATGTCATTGAATAGCGATATACCAGGATTACACGAAGTAAAGGAACTGTTGGAAGATGACGATGTTAGCTGCCTTGCCGAGGAGGAGGATGGTGTTGGATGTCCTTTACCATCGACTCCTGAAGATGATCACTTATTGGATTGCGAGGTCTGCATCTATTAAATCAATAGCAAAGATGATATTGTTTTCTTGTTTTTATAAAACATTAATAAGAGTATTAAATGAATTACTATTTACAATTGTTTCAGATGACAGAGGTTTTGAAAGCTGGAGTCCTTAGTAACGAAATTGACTTAGGTGCCTTAGCTCATAACGCCGCAGAACAGGCTGAGGAATTTGTTCGTAAGGTGTGTAGCACTTGGAACTTATATTTTCGATACGATATATAATTTTAAGTAGGAGATTACTACGATATTTAAAGGATTTTATGACTATATGTTTTCATAAGATCTCACTATTTTTCAAGGTATGGGAAGCATCCTGGAAGCAGTGTCATTTCCGAAATCTGCCACGGTGGCTGCAGGACAACGACTTTCTGCATGCCGGCCACAGACCACCTCTCCCTTCCTTTTACGCCTGCTTCAAAAGTATCTTTCGTATTCACACTGAAACAGGCAATATTTGGACGCATTTGCTGGGTAAGTTAATACTATTTCTTATTTTTTTATATGTGATGCAAAAATAGAAGTCAGTGTTTAATGAGTATTTTGTCCATAGGTTGTGTGGCTTTTATAGGGATCGCCGTGTTCTTTTTATCACAACCTCCCGTTGAGATTCAACTGGAAGAGAAATTGGTATTTGGGATATTTTTTGCTGGAGCGATCATTTGCTTGGGACTATCCTTTGCTTTTCACACGGTACACTGCCACAGCGAGTGCGTTGGGAAATTATTTTCTAAGCTTGACTACTGTGGTATCGCGATGCTCATTATGGGCAGCTTCGTACCATGGCTATATTACGGTTTTTACTGTGATTATCAGCCCAAGTTGATCTACTTGTCGGTGGTTGTAATACTTGGAATAACGAGCATCGTCGTTTCACTTTGGGAAAGATTTGGTGAACCTAATTACAGGCCATTAAGAGCTGGTGTGTTTATGGGTTTTGGCTTTAGCGGGGTGAGTAACATCGATTTAATAAAGTTAACAGAGAAATTTAATTATTTTCAACAGGCCGAGACATAAGTTAAGGTATATTTGCTGAAGAGAATTTTTTATTTTAGATCATTCCAGCGGTTCATTACGCAGTAGCCGAAGGTTGGTTTAAAGCTATCAGTCAGGCTTCGTTGGGATGGTTAATTCTGATGGGATGTTTGTACATACTTGGAGCAATGTTCTATGCATTAAGGGTACCGGAACGATTTTTCCCTGGGAAATTTGACATATGGGTAAGTCGATACATCGATGCTTATGAAAATGAGTTAAAAAAAATATTTCTTGTTGATCATATGTTAAAATGTACTACGTGCAATTGATAATTATTAAATTTATAATATTTTCGTTTAGTTTCAGAGTCACCAAATATTCCACGTACTAGTAATTGCAGCGGCTTTCGTGCATTATCACGGAATAACAGAAATGGCCATGTATCGGATGACAGTGGGCGACTGTTCAAATTCACCGCAGATGATAGCGTTTTAGTCGTTCATTCTTAGTTAGTTAAAATTCCTCTCATGTCACAGCATTTAATTTGCACGAATTCGACAAAGCACGGAGTCTTATTGCATAAGAGGGTGCGTCGGAAGAATTCTAATTTGAAGTACCTAGGAGAACTCGAGCACTGGTCTAGTACTCTTGTGGGTTTTCTTAAGGATCTTATTTAATTCATTAAGTTCATCATACGCGTTAGATTCTGTATCTACATGTATAGACCATGTTGTTTTTTTTTCTTTGTTAGAAGTTTTCATGGGAGTTTGTTCATATTTTCTGTAGATTCTATATTTTATATTATTTTTATCTCAATCGCGCTGGATCGGCTTGAATGTTAAAGATTGAGACTAAGGCGCCAAATGTGAAATCCTTAAAGCATAGCGATGTAAAGTATTTACATTTAGATATTACCTTTGCATAATTTTTGCCTACACTCGGGTCCAAAATGTACATAGTATTTCATTTGAGGTTGTCAGGGCCGCGAATACGGTGCATTTTATGACATATTTGGAGGACTTGTACTTTTTACGTTTATTTTTCAATCCTAACTGCAATGTATACACGTCACTTTTGAAGACTAAATGATATATAACTTGTACAGTATGCACGTGTATGGATAAAGATTTAAAACAACCTGTTTCTTCTACAAAACGTTCTAACGATAATTGATTTTTCCTCCGTGTAATCGAGTTGTAACGCTACAAACTATTGAAATTCCATGCGTAGTGACATTTCATCAGAACCCAAGTCTGACTGAAATTTGTTTTTGTATGTTAAAAAGCAAAGGACAAATTCTTTTCCCATTTCGTACAAAGGAGCTTGTATATACAAATGATCAACAATGTTTGACTACCTCATTACGTTAAGCAATTAAGTAATTTCTTCGGACACACTAATGAAATGCTTTGTACATCCGTGTGTAGCATAAAATGAGCTCGGAGAATTGCTCTAGTTGTATCGAATGTTCACATCTGACTTGGCTATTGTTGATGTTACGGTCAATTTCATATACAGTGTTTCAATGTATCTATTATTTGAAAGATGTAGTTTGGATAAAAAGGAGAACAGTTTTGGGGGGGGTCTTTGGAAACAAAATTTAACCTACGAATGAAAACAAAACATTTGTCAAAATTATAAGAATAAGTGGCATGTTTTTGGTATGCGACCAAAATTTACGATCCACTCTCACAGGTGCATTCGACATTCTAATTTTGTTTTTGCCATGGCTAGTAACAACGAAATGGTCAGGTATTATCTCACGTGTAATCTATTTGCGAGAAAAGGAAGATAACTTTATTTTTTTAGAGCAGGTCATTTCTATCACCTGGATTGTTTACATGTATTAAAGTATTAGCAAGAGCGATCCTTGAACAACTAGATGTCACGTTGATGGTCCCAGGTTCAAACGAGTAGCAAAGCGGACGATAAACAGGTGATGTAATTGTAATAAAACTTTTGTATGTTTTCTATAAGTTTATATCTTTCCAATGTCTACTCGTTGTTACGTGGCACCGTCGAACTTCAATGCGAAAGCCAAGACATAAAGAAGTATTGTGTCTAAACATATTCTGAAAGCATTATTTTCTTCTACTAGTGAAATGTTTAGTATGTAGAACAACTGTTGTTGAACTTTTTACACAAATAAAAAGGAATGTTACTAACAAATTGGACACAATATGCAGCTTAAATGTTTTATTTGCTTTTCCTAAAAATCCTTTTTAGGAATAAGATGTTTAAAAATATCGATGTATTGATTGAAATTAAGGAGATATAGTTTTACCCGGTTTTTTAGAAATTCGTAACAGGAGCGACCGTATTAAACTCGTAACGATCGTAGCACCATCTGGCAATATTAGAAGAAGCTTATTCATATCTGTCCCTAGCTGCCCTTCGATTCGATTTCACTGTTGAAAGAAATGCCATTAGTTGGATCCAACGGAATTGTCCAATGAGAATAAAGTTTTGAGTCGATGATTTAGAAAATTAAATCATTGGTTTTTATGAAGGCTACGTGAAAGACAATATAATGAAATAGAAATATGTTTTATTAAAACTGCGATAATTGCAACACTATTTCATGAAAACGCGGGCGTAACTGACCTGAACAATTTATAACCTCAAAGCTGACTGGCTGTGCGGTGCGCTGGTCCGTTCAATTCACCTCGGTATGACGAAGCAAATTCTTCAGGAAACTCTTGCCGTCAAAACGAAACGGCTTAAACTTGGGGTTCTTCGCGTTCGCGTTCCCTCGAGAAAAAAGCAAATTCTGTTTCATGGCAACAGACGGAAAGAGATCTATCAAAATGGTAAGAGCACACGTTTTGCATACAAGCTGAGTTATGAACGCGCATACAGTGACTTTGCCTTTCAGAACGATGTGCCAACGACACAATGACGTCGTTAGCATTATTTACTATAAAGATATGAATTTATTAAAACATTAAAGAGTATTCTTTTAAAAATGATTTTGACGAAGCTTGGAATGTCAATCAAAGTATTCCTGTAGAATTTTACGTGCATTTGGTTATTTCTAAATTGGTCTGAAATTGCCATAGTAATTTCAGCGAAGCTTTGTAAGAAAATGTTCTAATGGCACAATTTTATCTTAGGATCCTCTGTCTCCTGGACCGTGTTTGGACATCAGCGACGACGAGCTCGTTACAATATCGGTACGTGACTTGAATCGACAACTTAAGCTACGAGGTTTATCACGTGATGAAATCACACGCATGAAACAGCGCAGACGAACTTTAAAGAACCGTGGATATGCTGCAAGTTGCAGAATAAAGCGAATCGAGCAGAAAGATGAACTTGAATCAGAAAAAACTCAAGAATACCGTGACATGGAAACCATGCAAGAAGACAATAATAGGATGAGAGAAGAAATTGAATCGTGGCATTCAAAGTATTCAGCGTTGAAGAGATTTGCTGCTGAAAAGAAAATACCCCTTCCTTCGGAGTTGGAGACAATGTAGACATTCCATTTATTCGGACAAAGCAATATAGGTGAATTTTTACTCATAGAGACATCTATTTAAGGATTAAATTGGTTCGTGTCCGATTAAGATAAGAAGAGAAAGAATTAACATACACGTATCTCGTTAACTACACACTGTTAAAAAATCATTTTCAGTATCGAAAATGTTCATAACCTGATCAGTGATTTTAATATCAATTATATTATTTCATGGTCTGTAACATCTGCATTCGTAAACTGCTCCATATTGGATGTTTCGACAAGTAAATGCAAGTACGAAAACTTGTTAGAATAAAACACAAATATACAAAGCTTCAACTGTTATCGCTCGATATGCTGTAGATGCAAATTGGCTTCTTAGAAATTGGATGTATAGCATAAGTAGTAACCATAGCAACACGGTGCTGTAAATATTCTAGGAATTTATTAGCAAAGAGCCGATTATTTTCATGAACTTCTGGATGGATCGCATACTCTTCTATCTGAAAAACAAAAGTGATTACAAAAGAACAGCCGGGAATACGAACAAGGTGAAGAGTGGGAGATTTCTTCAGACCTTCATCCAAGTACACCGAGAGATCTCTCGTTCACATTTCTGAATGTCACGAGTAAGAGGTGTAAGAAGAACGATCATATAAATATCGGAACAGCCAAACGCGTACCGATGACCGTGACGAAACGTGAGCAGACCTTTGAACGTCGTCTGTATACCTGTCTCTTCTAAAACTTCCCTAACTACGGCTGCCTCAATATCCTCTCCTGAGAACAAACGTTACGAGATTATTATCAAGAAATATTCCTTTTCTTAGTAAAGAAAGTTAAAATAGTAGACTGAATTAAAGTGAAAGAGGCGACCTGGTTCCACATAGCCACCAGGAAGTTTCCACATAGACGAGGCAGGAGAGTGTTTCTCCTGAATGACAAGAATCTCGTTGGTCTGCTCGTCGAAAACGAAACCGCCTACTCCGAGATTCGTGTGAGCGTACGGAGGTACATTGCATTCCTGATCATCGGGCAACCATCGATACATAGTAACGGATTCCTCTTTAGCATGATGGAATTTGAATCGATTCCGTGCCAGCACGGGAATCCAGTCGCTCTCTGCGAGACCTACGCGAAACCATATCGTGCGTCTTCGTTCCTCCAGCCATTTATTCAGAGATGCTGAAAAAAGAAATTCTAAAGTACTTTTTTACTTTGCAGCGTCGAGTTGAATAGGTTATTCAGTAGGGAGCCTCCTGATTGGTCGATCGCTCGACCAATCGGCGTGCTCGCGATAGCGACTGCCACCTGTACTTCTACCGGTACAACGGAAAGTGGACGCGCGCAGCACATCTGCATAGCCGTGTCTCATGCTCGACGCGCAAAATCCAAGTTTCCACGGTACCTTGCAAACGTTCCTGCAAGTCGGAAAACTTGCACCGTTCGATAGCAGAGTCGACGACGACGCCATTATAACGATCCGTGGTGCCCTCAAAGTATCTTTTCTCTGCGCTACTCATGCCGTACGTCCACGGAGTTAATTGCAGAAGTGACTTTGACTTTTCTTTTAAAGATGCTCGATTACGTTCAAGAATCACTCGGATAAATGCCGGAGCCGCGACACGGTACATTCGATCACTTGATCCTCCGTTGCGGATAAATTCACTTTTGTATAAAAACGAGGTTAATTCGAATTAATAATGGCCGTCCTCGTCCTCTGATCGAAGTCCATCCAGCAGGACCACACACGGTACTTATGTAACTACACCGTCATGCTTCTACGAATTATTATCACCAATGTACTATGAGTATATCGTGCAAGAGCTTATGCAGTTTTGAAATGGTACGTTGGTACATGCACGGAGCCTATATTTATGAAGAGGTCAGCGATCAATAGGCAACTCAAGGTGGGTTAGGAACGACACGAGATTTCTACCGTGGCAATCCATTATTTTTTGGCACCGCTTCTAAGTGAATTAATTGTGGGCGATTAGGTGATTAGCGTTAATGGAAACGGATCTAAGCGTACCGGAATAGCCATTCGAGCTCTCGGTGCAGGTACCATTAACAAATTTAATTACACATATTAATCGGTAGATCTTCAAAACGAAGCGTTAGAACTATTCGATCTTGTCATAAAACGTAGGTTTACCTCATCTTATCGGCAGCTTCTGTACCTCGTGATGAATTATTGGTCCTTGATTTTTTAGAAACAGGAGTGATATTTATTCATCACATTTTAAGTTAAGACACAACTGCTCGAGGATACCGCCTTGCTGCACATTGTATAATGCTTACATAGTTAGGTACAAATAAAAATCATAGCGACATTACACGGAATAATGTACAAATTTCCTAAAGATCAAACGAGCGCGACATGCTCGAGAAACAGAATCGGTACCGAAGGAATGTCAGGGATACCTACGTAGGTACGACTCCCGTTTCTTTGCCGACTCGAGGTAAGAAAGGACATACGTTCGATCGGTCCGATTTCTCCCACCGAGGACGAAACGAATCTATGTTACACGGTCATTGCTCCAGACACGCGACCCATCGGCCATCCCGCACCTTGCGGAGGTTCGGCAAGTCCTCCGACTTCCTCGGACTTCGATACGCGGTACAAATATTACATAAGCTTTCGAAAAGAGAGTCGACCGGCAGACCGCGCGTCTCGGTCTCGAGTCAAATTCCCCTCGAGGGAACGATTCGCCTCCGCGCTCGAGGGTGTTACACCGAGAACGGTTAACCAGCTGTGTCTTCGATGTACGACCTCCCTCGTTACATTATCGCGATATATATGTATATATATATATAGGACTTACATACTCCGTACGTAATACAGACATAGATAAATGTATATGCGTATTTATACACGTATAGAATTAACGGCGAAAACGTCGGCCGCGTTGCGTTCGGAAAGGAGACGAGTCGGCGCCCTTGAAATATATCTTACAGTCCGCGGCGCTCGTCCTCTCTCGATATAATTTCCAGTCGACAGTCCAGCGATACTCCAAGGAGTATCCTGCAAGATTCGGAGATTCGCCTCGACACGGAAAAGAAACCAAGGAGAGATTCGAGTTTTCCTCTCGGCGGCAGACCCGAGGTCATTCCCGAATACGGGCCTGGCAACGCCGTACAATCCGTACGCGTCGATTGCAAATAAATCAATGGCATGCGGCGTTCGATCGCGCGATTACTCAGACGGACAAATTATCTACACGCTCGCAAATAAATAAACGGCTATCACAATAAACACGCGCCCCTCGCGCGTTGCCTCGCGAGCAGCCAAAGCCCTATTCTTTGATTCGGAGCAAACTCCCACTAGGGAATCCCGTATCCGCTAGCAACGCGAAAGCGAAATCCGAGACGCCGAGTTTTAGAAAAGCGCTACTTCGAGTTACCTAGCGTCTGTACAAAAAGGAGTCACCCGAGACCGTCTAAAATGACGATCTCGCAGGATCCGTCCCCGAAAGCCTCCTCGAAGATGCCGAAGAGGGCCGAGCCCCGTCGATTCGCGGAGTACCCTCGTACGTGCTCTTGGTCGTGTCCTTGGTCGTCCGCTTCCTCGGCCCCTCGTCCTCGCTCCACGGCGGCGTCCGTCCTTAGCTCTTGGAGTGGACGTTCGTCTTCTGGGCCTTCTTCTTGCGGGCGGCCAGCATGTCGTAGAACGGGTTGTGGGATATGCTCTGCCTGAAAATTGCGAGCGACCCATCGATTAAACCGACCGTCTCGGAAAACAAAGGCTCGGGCTACGAGGAAACGCCAAGGGCGCGGTCGAGAACCCACCGGACGCATTTGATCCACTCGTCCTTCTCCTCGTCCGTGGCCGCGGACATCCGGTAGACGGTGTGCTTTCCTGAGACAGAGGGAACGAGCATGGGTGGGGAGTTTGCGGGGGGTTCGGCGGGGACGGCGGTCTCGGCGTACCTTCGACGACCTTGCCCTCGCTGTCGGTCTTGCAGGCCTTGATGAACTCGGAGCCCGCGGCGTAGAGCTCGAAGCAGTGGGGCTTGTGCCGGTCCTGGACCTCCCTCACCTGGATGTTCTCCAGGGGGATGATGCCCCTGGGCTCCTTGTCGGTCGTGTACTCGAAGTAGTAGAGGCAGTTGTCGTTGAGGATGAACCACCGCCTCTTCCAGCTCTTGTACCGTCCGCCTGCAACAAACGCGTGGACCCTCGGTATCGAAGCGCCGCGACTGGGGCTAGGTGGTTATTTACCTGCTGTCTCCGTCAGGGCAGCAGAGGGACAGAGCGGTAGAGTGTCAGTGTGGAGGTAACATCGATCGACCCTCGACTATCGTTTCGCTAACGCTTCGGTAACGCTTCGGTAACGCTTCGGTAACGCTTCGGTAACGCTTCGGGAACGCTTCGCTATCGCGCTATCGCCCTACCGGCGGCCCGGACCTCGCTCCCTCGGGGTCGCGAGTCGAATCGAGTCGAGACGAATCGAGTCGAGTCGGGACGAGACGCGCTCCGGGGGGTTACCTTGTTTCCAGAGCCAGCCCTCCTTGTCGGGGTTGAAGAAGGTGTGCATCAGGTCGTTGCCGTCGTCCTCCGGGATCTTAAAGGGCTCCGTCTTGATGCTCTCGTAGAGGCTCTGAAAGCGGCAGAGGTGAGCGGGGGCGGAGAGAGGGGTAGACGGGGGCGACTCACCACGAGGAGCTCCCTGGGCAGGTCGCCGCCGTTGTTGATGCCGCGGTTCATCGAGATGAACTGCTCGACCGAGGGCTTGTCCTTGACGCTGGGGTTGTGCAGGGAGGTGTTGAGCATGATGATGGCGAAGCTGAGGACGTAGCAGGTGTCGGTGTTGGTGAAGATGTTGGGGTTGAGCTGGCAGTACCGCTGGGCAAAGCACTCCATCATGCGGTCGATCTTCTGGGCCTCGCCGGGCAGCCGGAACGACCAGAGGAACTGGCGCAGGGCCTGGACGAGGATCAGGTCGGTGAAGTCGTGGAGCTCGACGAACGCCCGGAGGACCCTCTCGTTGAAGTCGTGTCGCTCGCCGAGGTAGTCGCCGATCGCCGTCTTGTTGAGGCCCTCGCCCTTGTAGAGGAACTGGGCCACGTCCTCGGGGGTCGCCGTGAGCAGCCCGTGCTCGATCAGGTACTCGATGCCCTTCTTCGGGTCCATGTTGAACTTCTTCCGGCCGATCGAGGTCTGCTTCGCCTTGTTGGAGGGCTTGGACTCGTCGGGCGCCAGGCCCCCGCCCTCCAACGTCTCCATCTCGGCCACCACCTCGCCCAGCTCATCCTTGAGTTGCTGCAACGGATCGTCGTCCACCTGAGCGCGCCCGGCCGACCGTCGACCCGACGCCGGTCCGACGCCGGCCCGACGCCGGCCCGGCGCGCTCCCTCGCCTTCCCTCGCCCTCCCTCGCCCCTCCCGACCCTCGAGGACGGCTTCGGCGATAACCGCAGATAACCGGAGATGGCCCGAAGGCGCGGACGCGGCCTTGGCCGAGGCCGGATCGCGCTGCCGACGACAATGGATTCGCGGTACGGCCGAGTCACCGCGATCGGAAAGCAAGTGAGGTCATCGCCGAAGAGTCGCGTCGGCCGAGGAGATTCGGGCGCACTAACCGTGGAGACGGAGAGGGCGCCGAGGTCCCAGGCGCTCTTGGCCTGCTTCCGCTGGGCCTTCTTGAGCTTCCGGCCGGGTCGCCTCAGGCTGGAGAACCACCCGGCGGAAGGAGGCTCCCGCCTCTCCTCGCGGCCCTCGTCCAGCGCGTCGACCGACCGCCCCGTGAAGATCATCGCGCGGTCGTCGCGGGAACCATCCCGGACCAAGGGGTCGCGTCGACGATCCGCACGCGCGCGCCGTCGGACCGGGACTGACGGGGACCGACGCGCGGACCGATGCGGGCCGACTCGGGCGTTATCGCGGCGCGCGAGCGCGCGTGCGCGTGACGTCGCGTCGCGCCACGCGGCGCGGCGCGTTCGACTCTAACCTCCGGACGATCGGCTCGCGAGGGAAACGATTCGGGAGAAAAGGTCGACTCGCTCCCTCGCGTCCTCGGCGGAAGCGAAGATCTACGAGATTTACGAGGACGAGTCGCCCCTCCTCTCTTTCGAGCGGGCAGGAATCGCCGATTCAGCTGCGAAACGATAAGCGAGCGAGACCTGCCTTATCGGCGGGGATAAACGTTCTCGTAGTACCGCTCGGCATCCGCTCGCGCGTCGCTCTCGCCTCGCCTCGCCTCGCCCGAAGAAAGGGAAAGAGGAGAGAGAGAGAGAGAGATAGAAAAGGAAACGCGTCCTCGTCCGGTGACCTTCCCCGAAAACACGGCAAATCCTCTCCTCTCGGCGATCCATCGACCGATCCGATCCGCGCCGCTTTCCGACGAGTTCCCGAGGAGGGCGATCGCGGCCAGAGGACGGCGAGAGGGAGAGGAAGAGTTACCTCGGCTTGGCACGCTTTCCACAAACAGAAAAGCACGGAGCACATCGGGTTCCTTCCGGTCGAGAGGGCCGGGCACCCGCCGGGAGGTGCGCCTCGGCCACGGACTAACGAGACCTAGATGGTCGGCGAGGTGTCGCTCCTCGCTCGACCCGTGTTTACCCAGCGCCCGTCTCCTCTCTCCCTCCCCTCTCGCGTGCGCCAAACGACCCATTTTGCAAGGGCTTCCGCCAAATCCTCTCAAGGTCGCCGCCTCTCGACGCCCTCCTCCCTTTCTTCGGTTTCCTCGATTTCCCGAGGCCCCGACGACCGGAATCCGATTCCGAGAAAGGCCCGGGAAGGAGTCAAAGGCAGAGGAGGCGTTCTTTGCCAACTCGCGCGGAAGGCCTTTTTCCCCGCGATCGGCGAGCCGTTCGTCGCTCGAGAAGCCCCGAGAGCCCGTCGGGTCGATGAGTAAGCCGGGACCGCGATAAGGCCGCGGGCGCGGAAGTGCCACCGGGACTTATCGCGAGCGACCCGTGGATATTTCGCAGATATTTCCCCCTATCTCCCTTTTCTCCCGGACTCGGTAACGTCGGTGGTGGGCGAGCGTGGCGAGAGTTATCGCGGTCAAAAAGGATCGCGTCGGGCGCAAATTGACCTTATTCGACCAATATCCGATACGTTCTCGGTGGACACCTGTCGATCGTCGGTACGGCGGAGCGCTCGCGGCGGGACTCGGCACTCGCGCCATCTCTGGAGGGAATCCGCAAGCTCGTGCCCCCGAATACCTTCTTTCCGTCGAGGCGGCAAATTTGAAACGGCGCGCCGCCACCCCTGTTTCGCCGGGACACGAAATTAGCGGAAGTCGTTCTCCGCCGACCCGTTTCGAATCGCGCCCCGATCGACTTGCTTTCATGCCGAGGGTTTACCTACTATTTCTCCTTCTATCGTTTTCTCTCCCCTTTGCCTTCCTGCCCCAAAGGTGGAGGCCCTGCCACTAAGAAACCGTCCTCTTCGAACTCCGGACCCACCTGTATCTCCAGCAGGAGCTCGGTCTTCTTGCGCCTGATGTCTATGAGGATCTTCTGCTGTTCTGGCGTCAGTTCTGCAAGAGGAGGGCACCGGATCAGACGGAGATTCCAACAAATCGAGAGCAGGAACAGGGGTGGCACGCGCCTGGCGCCGAAACCGTCCCGTTAGGGCCAATTTGGCTTAACCTCTTCTCTAAAAATAGTCCCTCCAAGTCGAATCGGGGAGCAGGGCCCGGAAAAGCTCGCTCGTCGAACGTTCCCGGGCCTCTGGGTTCCTCGAGCGGCCTTGCCGGATCGACGGAGGGAAAACGACTCGATAACGAACGAAACGTCGATCCCATCGAAACTGGGAGGGACTCCGATGTTTACGTCGATTGAAATTCACGAGTCGGGGCTCTACGAGGTCCGAAACGACCGAGACGCAGCGAATCGGTCCTTCGACAAAGTCGAAAGAAAACGGGGCTTCGGAAAGGCGCAGCCCCGTTTTGTTTACGACGTCTTTCGGGGCGGCCGAGACGCAACGACTTGGCCGGTCAATGGGGCACGACGCACGCGCAGTCCCCGGGAAAGCTCCCCGAGAGGCCCCGCCGTCGGTCGTTTTCCTCGACCCGTTCCTCACTCACCGGCGGCCGTGCCGAACTGGTCCACCTGGTGGCCTCCGGAATTCACCCCGGAACCACCCAGCCCGTCTAATTCCTGCCACATCTCCGGGCGTCCTCGCTTCCAGGGAAACGCACTCGCACGCACGACCGCGGCCGCCTCACCCGAGCAGCGCCATTTTGGAACTGCTGCCCCGTGGCGCCATCGCTCCCTTCTTCTCTCGCCGCCCGCCCGATAACCCGGATTCCCTTCCGACCGATCTCAAATTATCGACTTTGCTCCGAAAGCGACGGTTCCTCTTCTCTCGGTGGTTTACCGATGAGCTGTCGCGTTTCTCTTCGCTCGACGAACTTTGGTGTCTCTGCCCGAGTGACCGGTTACCACCTAATTTGAACGCGCTTCGCTTTCTCTGTACAAGATGGCGCCACCTCAGAGGAGAACTGCGCATTGAGCGGAGGATCGGCCTGGTGGCGTGCAGGGTGAACGGAAGGGGAGGGGCTGAGAGACTGGTCGTATACCTGATATAGCGGCGTCCTTTTCGCTCTCATTGGAATAGGGCGCCCGAGGTCTCCTAAGAGAGAACGGAGCCAAGCGACGAGGCAGAGTCCTTGAGGGCGCGACGAGCCGGCGCGCCGATCACCTTGGCGGTGAGCCGAGGCGCGCAGCCGAGTCGCGGAAGCGCTGATCGATTCCGATCGGCTGGGCGCAATCGAGAAGGAGAATTGTCTCGACTCGTCCGGGATAGGTCCGGGAGTTCGGGTCGGGCGGTGACACGAGGTTAGGATTCCGGGGGCCCCGGAGGTCTCGGCGTTGCGTGGGGAGGTGCGCGCCTCGCCGTGCGCCGCGGCTTCGCGTCGGCGTTTCTCGTTTCTGTCACTCGTCGTCGGGCGCTCGTCGGCAGCGAGGGGAGGCCACAGGGCCAGGTCTCGCAAAGATGGCTACGAATCTCCCAGCCGAGCACCATTACTTCTACGAAGATGTCGTCTATCGCGTCGACAAGCGGGGCAACGTCGTCTTCGGCATCGTCATGGAGAACAACGATCTCGACTCCTCGGACGAGGTCTCGGTGTCCGAGGAGAGTCCCAAGCGCAAGAAGGGCGAGATCCGCGTGGTCTGGCACCCCTCCGGGGTCGAGGAGCTCGTCAACTCGAAGAAGGTACGAAGCGCCGCCTTCCGCCTCCTCGAGGTCCCCCCTCGGTCCCCGACTCGAGTCCTCTCGACGCTCGGGTCTCTCCGGAAGCGCTGGGAGGCTCGACGGGACGGTCGTCACCCTCGAGGCGGCTCGAATGGAACCGGCCAGTTCCACCTTGGTATCCCGAGGTGACGTTGACTGCCCAAAAGCCAAATTCGAAATCGCGGAGGAACGATTTCGAATTTCGCCGATCGGAGCCACGAGGGAACTCGTCGGGAAAGTCCCCGGGATGCCCTTTGGCCTCGATCCGTGGGGCATTCGTGGGTCCTGGGAGCGATCCGTAGGTACCGGTAATGGCTGTTACCGGTATGTTTTTCTCGTTGACACCGTCAAGGTCGGGTCGGCCCCGAAGTTTGTTGAGCGAAGCTCCACGCATAGGACGTCCTTTGGCGAACGTAGCCTCGTTTCGGTTATAGGGATACCTTTGAGTTTCGTCGTACTAGATTTCCCTGTAACCGGCAGGTGCGATTAGCGGATAGAACGTTGATGCCAGGAGACGTAGTACGCCGAATGATCAAAGGGAAAGATACGCAGAGAGGTTACTGCCGAGACATCGAATTGACCGCTTGCGTTCAGGTCATTGGAACAAAGCAGGTCTTGACGGATATCAAGAGCGAGGACTTGGTTCCTCTTGAGGTAAGTCATTTTCTGTAACCGTGCACGCCATAAAACTACGGTGTAACTACGTCATCGGATGAAATGGGGAATATTAAGAGTGTGCTCGTCTGTCATAGGAGTTTGCAACCGACATAGCGGTATGTTTGAATTCCTGGGTCGGTGGGATCAACATGGTTCACTTTAAATTATGGCTGGCTACTCCGGATGGGTCACGATGCGTGGTCAACGAAAAGGATGCCCGTATATTGGAACAATTTGAGGAGAAGCACGATAACGTACGAAGGATTTTTCTTTAGGTACGTCCGAAAGCTGGATGACGCCTTAGACGTTTTTTTTTCTTCTTTTAGGATAAAGACTTTCCGCATTCGTCGGAGTTCTATCCTGGACAGAGTCTGTGGGGGCCGGTGCATTGTCTGGAAGATGCCGTGTGGATTCAGTGTACAAAGGAGATGAAGGCGAAACGCAAGACGAAGCCGCAGAAGATAGTAAAAGTGGTGGTCGAGAAGGTGGAGACCGACTGGGTTACTGTCAATTGGCAGTGCAGGGCATATTCGAAAGACGGCGCCTGGTCGGATCAGGTGCATCCCAATTTCGTGGTGCGTGGCGAGGACTTGGAGAAATTGAAGTTGCTCAACGTATTCGAGCCGTCCACTTTGCAAGTGGGCGACAGGAACTTTTACGTGATCAAGGGTAACGAGAACGTGATCACGCGCGAGCAGTGGTGCAAACAGCAGCGAGAAATTTTCCAAGTTCCCAAGCAGAGTCCAAGGAAGACGCGCGTGAGAATCAACGTGACGAAACCCTCCGAAGAGAAGAATAAGGATAAGGCCAAGCAGAAGGGAACCGAGACCGAGAAGCCCGTTACCGATCGCAAGGACGTCAATACTCAGAGTAACGTGAACGGCTCGCAAATCGTCGGGTCGAACAATACCCTGATGCCTCCTCAGCAGAATCAGAACGCCGACAGCTCCGACGACTGGGATACCGAAGATACCGGCTCTCAAAGCGACGAACCCAGCTCGGTACGATTTCGACTCGCTAGCGGAAACTGGCTCTTTGCTGAGAAAGGACGGCTGACGTTGATTTGTACCTTTGGCAGGTGTCCAGCGGTTGTTCCAGCGTGACGTCCATGGGCAAGAAGAAGAAGGGACCCGCCCTAATGACGAAAGTTCTCAAGAAGAAGAAGCTCTGCAAGGCTAAGGCAAAGGCTGCCCCGGTCGAGCTGGTCCCGGGATCGAAGATAGTCGTGGAGACTTTGTCGACGAGCACCAAGGCAAACGTGGTCTGGCAGGACGGCTCCGTAGAACTAGGTACGGACTCATCGTTCGCACTCGTGTCGTGGGACCGTCTAACGTTTCATCGGATGCTTCAGGTATTCCCTCGACGCAATTGTATCCCATCCACCACCTGGACGATAAGGAGTTTTTCCCGGGTGACTTCGTGGTCGATCAGAAGGAAGAGTCGAGGATGTACGGAGTGGTGCAGAGCGTAGACCATCGGGGTCGGACGGCAAAGATCAAGTGGTTCAGAACTTACACCTCGAGCCAGAGTCCGCAGTGAGTATTTGGACTCGGGGATTTTCTTAGCTTTTCCGGGGGACGCGAAAGTAACTAGCGAGTAACCGAGAGAAATCGCCAACAGGCCGACTCTGCTGGAGGAGCGCGAGGTGAGCGTTTACGACCTGAAGGATCACCCGGACTTCCAGTACCGGCCGGGGACCCTGGTAATAAGGATAGCCAACTTTGAGGGCGAAGACGCCGACTGCACCGCGGGTCAGGTCTTGGACAACTACCCCGAGGGCCGGGTGAAGGTCTGGTGGGTGGACGGGCACGTGAGCATGTGCTGGCCTCAAGACCTCTACAAGGTCGGAAACTACGACAGCGACGAGGGCGAGCTGTGGGACGACGTGTCCTCGGACACCTCCTGGGAGACCGAGAGGGAGGACTGCATAATCGCCGACACCGAGGACCTCGAGCAGACGGAGAGCATCAAGCCGAAATTGGCGGCTCACATCGAGAAGGCGAGGATCGGCATGTCGCGGCTCGAGGAGATCTTCACGCAGAACCCCTCCCTGCAGACGACCGAGGTAATGAGGAGGCTTCTCGAGGTCTACAAGGACTGCCGCCGCATGGACAAACTGATGGGAACCTCGTTCTTCCACGAGAGCCACTTCCAAGGCCTCCTCGAGAGGGTCAGGGAGCGCGGAAGGGCCAACGTCGCTCAGAGAATGGCCGCCCAGGTAGACCCGAGAAACGTCGACGCGACTCGTTCCCTCCCTTCAACCGGGACCCGTAAGATCGCGGACCGATCCCACGATTCGTTGCAGGTTTCCCGGCTGTTTACTCAGGAGTCGGAGCAGCCCCAGCCCCAGGAGGCCGATGCCGAGCTGGAAAACGCGGAGAATGCCAACGCCATCCAGAACGCCAACAACGCTCTGGAGACGATAGCCACGAAGATCAGCGATACCGTCGAGGCGGCCGACAACGCCAATCGGAAGATGGACCCCGGCAGAAGGTCCACCAAGGAAGAGGCGGAGGTGATCGATCGACTCTTCATAAACATGAACCGGAACCCCGAGGACTCGGGCCTCTTTTCCGCGGAGAACTCGAAGAAGGAATCGGGCTCGAGCGAGTCCAGCGGCGAGTTCCCTCTGAGCGAGGACGCGATCAACCTGGCCGACAGGTCGCCCGCCCCGGAGCCTGCGGACGTCGAGAAACCCGAGGAGGACGAGGAGGAGGCGGAAGAGGACGACGATGAGGAGGAGGAAGGGCAGGGGCGGAACTCGAGTGACTCGAGACTTCGGGAGCGGACGCACGTCGCGGGATCGACTCACGTTTGCGCCAAGCTCTGCACCCTGATCAAGGCTCAGCTGGTCCTGGCCCACGCCGAGGCCTCCAAGAGGTTCGGCCTGTCCAAGATGTCCCTGTCGGACGCCGCGAAGAGCGCCTCGCCGGCCAAGAGGCAGAAGAAAGAGGAACCCCCGGTCGAGCCGCCCTCCGAGCCCTCGGAACCCCCCGTCGAGGTCCCCCCGCCGGTCTACGCCGAGGGGGAGGGCTTCTCGATAGAGGAGACCGCCCCCGACAGCCACAAATTCAAGTTGACCATGTTCCAGCCGACCGACCCGGCCAACTTCTTCAGGACCGTATCGAAGGAGCTCAAGCTTCTCCGCAACTCCCTGCCCCCGGGCGTCTGGGTGAAGGGATTCGAGGACCGGATAGACCTCTACTCGGTGATGCTGCGAGGGCCCGAGAAGACGCCCTACGAGGACGGGCTCTTCCTCTTCGACTTCCAGCTATCGGCCGACTACCCGGCCGCGCCTCCGCTCTGCCACTACATCTGCTACTGCAGCGACCGGCTCAACCCGAATCTCTACGAGGACGGCAAGGTCTGCGTCAGCCTGCTGGGCACCTGGTCCGGCAGGGGCACCGAGGTCTGGACCAGCTCCTCCACGCTGCTGCAGGTCATCGTGTCCATCCAGGGCCTGATCCTCGTCTCGGAGCCTTACTTCAACGAAGCCGGCTTCGAGAAGCAGAAGGGCTCCCAACAGGGCCGGGAGAACTCTCGGATGTACAACGAGATGGTCGTGCTCAAGCTGGTCCAGGCCCAGACCAAGCTGATCCTGCACCCTCCCCCTATCTTCAAAGACACCATCGTCACCCACTTCGAGAGGCACGCCGAGAAGCTCCTCGAGAGGCTGGACCTCTGGATGGAGATCTCCGAGCGGCACAACGACCAGCACCCGCTGTCCCCGGTCACACCGACCACTTTCAAGGAGATCGCCCACTGCGGCCAGTCGACGGGCTCCCCCCAGGTAGAGTTCCCGCTTGACAGAACCCTGGTTGCAGACGAAAAGATCCTGCCCGAGTTCCCCCTGATCCCGGCGTCCAGAGGCTTCTGCATCACTCTTCGCAAGACCCTGGCCACGTTCAAGCAGGTGCTGGTGAAGGAGGGCATTATCGAGGGCACGATCGAGGGCGCGATCGAGGGCACGACCGAGGGCGCGACCGAAGGCACGACCTCGGAGGTCGCGGAGCAGGCCAGCGGCCAGAGTAAGGACCTTGAGGCTCGGCAGGAGTCGAGCGAAACGAGAAAAGACACCTCGGACCGGAACACCAGCTAGCCTCAAGGTAAACCCAAGCGACTGGCTCGTCAAACTCACGCGGCCATTCGGTAATACGTTGAATTACTAATTTATTCTATGGAGAGTCCGGACGCGTGTCCGCGGTATCTATTTATCGATTACCAGCGGGGACGAGCCCCGGCCGGTCCCCTCGGCGCCGAGGGCCCGCGTCGTTGGACTCGCGTTGTCGGGAACGGAGCGGTTCCCGGTCGAGTATCGAGCCTTTCCGGGGGCGGAACGGAGAAGGGGCGCAGTCCCGAAGTCGGACTCTGCCACGGCCCGAGGACGAGGACGGCCGAACGCCTCCTCGACCCCTTCGTCACGGGCGCACCGATGACAAGGATAGTCGACAACTGCGAGGGCATTTCGAGGGAGGGTCGCTCCTCCCCTCTTCTCTCTTTCTCTCTCCCCCTCTCTCTCGAGCGACTTTTAGGGTACGCGTCCGCAGAGATCTAGCCGTAGTTTAGCAAGAATTCGTAATAACGTTGTACGACCTATCGGCGAAGCAATTATCCGTAGGTAGCGCGTAGCGTCTAACGCAGGGTTAAGGACTAGAAAAAGGCTCGTTACGCTTGTCGCTCCGAATTTTCAGCCCTACCTGAGTAACCTCTCGGTTTCCTCCGGATTCTCATTGGGAGGGACGCTTCGCTTTGGCCCTTCGGCGAGGAAGGGTTTGCTCGTGCGAACCGAATCGAGGGGATGCCTCGGACCGCCGTGGACGGTTCACGCCGGATTTCGCCGACCTCGAGTCGAGGAGGCTCGACGACTAAAGTATTTTTAAAGGGAGAATATTTTCTTTCCTCAGCGATTGCGCGCGAGTTTTGGATAAAAGCGTTCCCTCGGACGCCTCCGTTGATCGTTGACGTTGTTTCGAGGACTCCGCCGACGCGGCGCCGGAGACCTCATCTCGGGATCTCTCGTCCGGGTCGCTCGAGGTCACCTCGAGGGATTCGCGGCGGTAGGACGTCCCGGATAGAGGTCTCCGGCACCTCGAAGAGTCAATGTTCCTCCGGCGACTCCTCCTTCGTCCACGGTGTCCGTTCCTATCCAAACGAGGGTCGACGAGATCCGAGGCGGCCGTCCTCCGTCGAACGAGCGGCCCGCCTCGGAAGGAAATGCAAGGATAGGCCCGCTCGATCGGGAGCGATCGCGAGCGACGGTGCCGATCGCTCCTTGGCGAGGAACTCGGGAGACTCGTCTCCTCCGTGGGCCGCGGAAGAGGCCGGGAAGACGAGGTCGACGCCGTCGAGCTCTCGACGTTCGGGATATGCCTTGTACACGTGCCGGCTATTTATATCGACACGGTTCGTGGAGAGTTACAATTCGTAAGTCGCGTAAGCTTTAGTTCCCCTTGGCGATACGTTATCCGGGGCGTGCGCGTCACCGAAGACCGGTCGATCGTCGATCGTCGACGTCGCCGTCGCGCTAGAGCGTAAGAGCGGAGCGGGCCACGCGACGCACCCACGCAACGTGTAATCTCGTTTTCTTGGTTTTCTCAATCAATAAAAAGAAGTCATCGCACTCGCGTCGCCTCTTCCGCTCGCCCCCCGACCCGATCCCCGTGTAAATTCAGACGTCGCATCCTGCCTCTCCCTTCCTCGTAACCTGTAACTCCGTGCGCCCGAGTCGTTTCGAAAACGACCCGGGGCAATAAAGTCCCGTCAACGAACGGCTCGGAATGATTTTATTTCTCGTTAAGCATCGCTGGAAGAAAATGCCCCGCGCAGGGAGAGTTTGTTTGCGTTGACGTGTCTCCCTTCGGATAAGACCAGTTCTGGATATGCCGGCTGATATCGGTGCCTCGTTATCGCGGGCTCGTTGATTCACGCTCGTTTCTCGTTGATACGGTGTCGCGACACCTCGGGAGAGCCTCCTCGCGTTTTTTTCCTCCGTGCGCCGAAAAGAAGAGGCCCTCGTAATGGGAGTCAGGAACGCGCTCCTCTACCTGGCCGTGGGATTCCGTGAGTATTACAATTAGCGCTTTAATCGACTACGAAAGATCTGTTGATACGTTCGTAACGATCGTTTGACGCTCGCAGTCATCCTGGGGATTTTCACGGAGGAGGCAGAGGCTCGGCGAAAGATTCTACGCGGTAGGAAAACCATTACCAGACGTTACTACGGTAAGTCGAGGCCGAGGTCGTTTGGTCGCGCGGCCGACTCCTACGATAAGGTATCAACTAAGGTGGTCCGGGATTTCAGGAGGCACCGCGATCCCGGCCTGGTCCGTCGTACTTTTGTCGGGCATCGGGATGCTGGCCCTCGGCGGAGGACTCTACCTTCTCCTGAAGAAGTTGGTCCTCGACGGCGCGGATCTGGGCGAGCAGCACTCGTACCAGCCAGCGGGGATGCACGACGAGGTTTGACGTGTGCGAGAGGCGCGAGATCCACCCCTCGGGGAACTCCGAGTGGAAATAAAATTCGTCCTTGTGTCGTGCGGAAGATTCCCCTTTCTTTTATTGGCAGCGCCTCGGTCGGACTAATCGACTAATTGCTAATAAGTAGATTTCCGGACAGCGAGAGATCGCCGACGGCCGTTGCTCGACGCGACTTAATTAGTTTCCTTTCTCTTTATAAAACGCGCGCATTGCCCCGACGGCGACTCCACCTCGGTGGAGTGTAAGGGCTTGTGAACGGGAACCGCGAGGTCCGCGTTCGTCGTCGAAGGGAGGCCGAGCCGCGTTTCGCCGTCCTACCCTCTAAAGTAGGAATCTGTCCTGGACGGTGCACGGTTTTCGACAACAAAAACCGTCCGCCGAAGTCAAAGAGTAATCGATTCTTGTAGAAAACACAAGGACGGTCTTAGATATTTATTCGCAAATTGATCGCCGGCCGATAATCCATCCCCGATAGCAGGTAACGTGAAATTCGATGCCGTTGTCGGCCACGGCGAACGATCGTTCGTCGAGTCTTCGTCGTGCCTTTCGGGCCAAACGCTGCTCGCGGAAATCAAGCTATTTTCAATCGATATTCGTAACACTTTGAAAACGTAAAGTGATATTCCAATGCTCCTCTCTCTCTCTGCGCGAGAAACTGCCATGATTATTATCCATTTCCTGATCGACGCGGCGCCGTTTAACTTATCGGAGGAAGGGATCGTCCCGACCCGCTCGAAGACCCGATTCGACGTCATTTACCCCCGCCGGACGACGTTCCCCTCGTCGCCTAAAGAAAACGAGACCTCCGTGCGCCGACCTCGGAATTATTCGGTGGTGCGCGAGATTACAGGCGAGCCCGCCACCGACCGCTTTCTCGATCAGAAACCAAAAAGTGGCGGGGCGGAGGGTCTAAAATTCTCTACGTTGATACTTGTCGGGATCAAAGTAGGAGGTGACCACCACGCGATTGTTGAACTTCCTTCCGGTGAGGGTCTGCTGCGCCTTCTGGCAGTCGATGACGCTGTTGAACTCGACGAAGACCTGCGAACGAAGGGAAGTTACTCGGGACCGAGGGAGGGTCGAGAGGGTCAAGAGATCGAAAGTACCTTTCCGCATCCGGGGACGTCGACGCCCTCGATGGGCCTGGGTATCTCCACGGAGCGCACCACGCCGTACTTGTTGCACTCCTCCTTGATGTCCTCGAGGATGTCCTCGTACTCCTCCTCCTCCATGAGCTCCTCGGGCGTCACCATGTTGAGGAGGCAGAGCACCTCGGTGGCGGGGCCGCTGGTGCCGACCATGGAGAGGCCGGGCACCTGGATCTGCACCGGGGCCTGGGCCCCGATCATCGGGTTCTTGGCGCCCACGCTGGCCCGCTGCACTATCAGCTTCTTGTCACCCAGCTGCATCCCGTTGAGTCCTGCGATCGCCTGGTCCGTCATGGACACGTCAACGTACTCGCAGAAGGCGTAGCCCTTGGAGAGCCCGGTGGCCGAGTCCTTGACCAGGTTGAAGGCCCGCAGCTGGCCAAAGCTCATGAGCAGCTCCTTCACCTGAATACCGTCGAAGAGGGATTAGCGATCGCGGCGTCGCGGCGCCCCGTCGGCGGGTGGACGGCGGTCGGCCCGCGGCGGGAGGCGAGCCGACGACGTCTCCTGCGACGTCCCGATACTTACTCCGCGCAGCTCCTCCTGGGGCCTGGAAACTCTTTAAAAGGGAGACGACCGGAGGAGCCGGGCGCGCGCAACCGGCGACTCGAGGGAGAGGAGGAAGGAGGCAACGCGCTCTTACCCTCCGGCGTGATCGATCCGGATCCGACGATAATCGGGAATCGGGCGAATCGGGCGAATCGGGCGATTCGGCCGGACCGGCCGGACCGGCCGAACCGGCCGAGAGAGATTGTCAGCAGAATGGGATACTTGCCTCGAGGGATCGGTCTAGCCTCTCTCCGGGCAGAGTGGTATTTTGTCATGTTCGGTAGTAGTAGTGGTAGTGGTAGTAGTAGAAGTAGTGGTAAGCGAATGCTTTTGATCGGCGCGACCCTAAGCTAAGAAAATGGGGAGAAAGGGCACTGGTATCAGTCGACATGTCTTGACAAGAGACGCCCGGGTCGTTTCGAGCCGGGACCGTCGTCGAGGTCGTCGATTCCTCGCCTCGTCGCGGACTCGACCGAGATCCCCCTGGCCGCGGTCGATTCCGCTCCCGACCGTCTTGGCGTCGAAACGCCCGGCCCGGTCGCGCAAAACGCTCTCTCGCTCTCTCTCTCTCTCTCTCTCATTCGCGCTCTCACTCGCTCTCTGCTGTAAGAAGACTGGCATTAAGATTTCACCCGCCTCGTTGGCCATTCCTCTCGCTCGGCGGGAGTACTCGGAGAGACCGGAATAGGGATCGGCGACTCGATTCGAGCGGGGTCTAGCCGAGGACGCGGAGAGCCTGCAAAGAACCCTGTAAAGAAAAGAGAGGAGAGGAGAGGCTCGGCCGCCGCCGCCGCGCCGGGCGACCTCTGCGGCCGGGACGGCCGCGACCGATCGACCGGAGCGGAAGCGCCGCCGAGTGCCCCGCGATGACCCTGCAAAACCCACCCGGAAAGCTCCCGTCTCCCTTTCTCATCGGAGGTACCTAAGCCCTAGAAGAGGAGACTCGAAGAATCGTTGGACCTGAAACAGCCCCCCTTCCCCTCGCTCCTGGCCGGTAGTGTATCCTTGCTAAAAGGTGTTTTCCTAAAGTGCGGAAATATCTCTCTCTCTCTCTGTCACTTGGTTAAGGGACTCGTGCGCCCCGGTCCACGGTGTGCCTAGAAAGGCTGTAAAGAGAAAAAGGACTGCTGCGAACGGCCCAAGGACCCCTCGATTCGACCCCTGTAACGTCACTCTCTAGCTAAGCCCGAGCGCCGAACCGTCGAACCGTCGAACCATCGAACCATCGGTCGAGCGACCGATCCGACCTTTCTACCCTGAGTCCCTAGGCGACGCCGGAATCCAGTGGACGACACGCATACGTACCTCTGTGGAACTCGGGCCGTATTGCGTGAGCAGGCTCCGGGGATCTGCAGCTAAATGGCTAGATATCTAGGTTCATGATTTTAGTCCCTCCGAGGAGCACGATGTACGAGGGGACGGATGCGCGGCGAACCGCTCCGCCGCCTTTCGACATCGTGCCTTCCTCGAGACAAGATTCGCCGAGTGTCTTGGTCCCGTTGACTGGTTCGAGTAACGTCCGTAATGTCTTTCTAGAACCGACGCCGTGCTAATCGATACTTGGCAATTGATCGAGCCGACGTTTCTTTCGGATTCGAGCAGTTAACGTCAACGGGCAAGAACTCGCGTCCGTGGACACGAAATGGAAGGTGATCGTGAAAAACACTGGCTGGCATACCTGATCCTCGTTTAAGTAGTTCGGTAAACCGCCGATGAAGATCTTGTGTGGCGAATCTGAAAAGAGTTCCATATTGGAGCGATTTCGACGAAATTTAAAGTGGCGGTCTTCCATTTGGAAGTACTTAGCAAACGGAGAGCAGTACCTGGAACGTTCATGCTAGGATTGTCCGTCATTCCGGGCATGGGTTGGTAGTCGTGAGGTCTTCTGATCTTCAAACTCTGTCCCTTGAAATTTATTCCATCGAATGCCATTGCCTGTGTCGTCTCGTCGATGGATCGAAACTGAAAAAAAAATGTTCAACTTTGCATCTCACCGAAAAAGACCCTCCTTTTCAAAATATTCCGCTAAAATCAATTCCTCTTATTTGGAAAGCTTCCTAATATTAATCAATGCCTCGGTTAAGTCGCGTCAACGAAAAACGCGAAGCTTTACCAAATATAGTATTTCATGAGAAGACCGTGAAAAATATAGAAATTTAAAAAATTTAAGTAATCGTACCTCGAGGAAGGCAAAATTCTTATCGAGATTGATTTGACAAGCAAGAACTGGATTTCCAGCTGCTTGGGCTAAACCGGACAGATGCATTTGTTGATTGAAAAACTCCATCATTTCCTCTTCGGTGACGCCAAAAGGAATGTTTCCGACGTACAATCTCCGTGCCTGTCGAGTTATCGTACTGCCGACGACGGGCACTGCTGCCTGTGGAGTGTCGGCTACGATATTTGCTGGGATCTGACCCGCGGCCTGCATAGCTTTATACTGTCAAAAACAGAGATTAGTAAACTCGTATCTACAGAGAAATAATAGAGCCAAAGTTCATGATAAAACTTAATGATCGTCTCACCTGCAATGGAGTAATGTGCTCAAATCCCGGAGGGGGTACATCCCAATACAACGACGGCTTCCTCCTTCTCGAGCTGCGACTCTTTTTCGGAGAACTGCTCCTTTTCCGATCCCTGCGATCCTTGGATCGAGTACGAGATCTCTTCCTACGATCTCTGCTACGCGATCTGTGTCTTCTATCCCTGTCCCTGTCTCTATCTCTATCCTTGTCACGGTCTTGCCGATCGCGGTCTAAACAGAAAATTCTCTCTTAAATCGGAGCATATGCATTTACTCCAAGTAAAACGACGCATTCGTATCATGTTCACGGAATTACATGATTTCAGTAAAAATACAGCAGCATTTGGAAATACCTTACCTTAATCCATATTTAAAAAACGGTTTGAAATAAGGGAAGGCGAGGATTTAAGGTTTACGTCGAATTAGCTGTGGAGTCGCGGTACTGAGTCTCAGCCTTTGGAATATCTAGCGAGGTTTTCAGGAGGTGCGGTACGATCTTCCGGCCATTAGACTCGCGACGGGCATTCGCCCCTAGCGCGGGAATTGTAACAACGAGTCAGCGTCAAAGAGAGTCGTCTTTCTGGTGCTTACCTCCATTAAAATCCTCCCCCATCGCGGCACTTTTTGGGCGATTCGAAGACGAGTTCTGCTTGCAGGAAGCACAAAAATACGATTGCAAATGTTAATGTCAATGCTACAGAACTCAACGTCGCATGCGTCACAATCTTTCCGAGGTTTTCTTTACGAAATGGCGTAAGAGACGCGACCAGGAACGAGTCGGAGGATTGCCGATGAAACGAACGCCACAGATGAGTTGGGTGAATGCTCACGAGTTAGGTCGCATGATGTTTTGTGCTGTCCTCAGTGGATAATGCGGGTGGCTCGTGCATTAGCCGTCTACATCTTCCACCTGAGGGCAGCACAGGACTCGATCGTGCAACCCTGCCCGTGAGCAATCTATCACCTCATCTCTGCTTAAGAGTCACATGCATACATACGTTTAATAAGAAGTGATAAAAACAACAATTTAAGATTGATGTATGCACAGTTGTAATAGAGACGTATGTAAAATGAGTCGACTCAAAACAATATTTAACTTGTCAATTAGAGAGTATCGAACAAGAAAGAAAATACCGAAAAATCCAGGTATTCAGAAAAGATTTGAATTATTTAAGAATGAGGAAGCTGGTAAAGTTGCCGGTGAAGAATTAGATGAACTTATGGATCCCAGTTATTTTGAATCGGACTTTGCTCGACTCGGAGATATGCATAAGATGCATGAAAGGTAAGTTTTCCTGTGGATATAGAATATCTTTTTTTTTAAAGGATAAATCTCTAACAGCGAATCACCGAATACTTTGCTAATCTTTTCCCTGTACTTCTCCAGAGAAGAGAAGATGGCCAAGGATAAGGTTAAGTTACGAATTGTTGCCAGAAAATATTTTAAAGATGTGCCACCTAGTTTTTTGACCTTTGCTGAGAAACAACAAATACGAAATTTATACGAAAGCGATCCATCAGCATGGACACCTGAAATATTGAGCGATCATTACCCTGCAACTCCTTCTATAATTAGAAATGTGTTAAAAGCGAAGTGGGATGTTCGATCTGTGGACAAGGTTATAACGTATGATAAAGAAGTCATGAAAAACTGGGAGAAATTTAGAGCAGGATCATTGGCTTTGGATCCAAAGCTTGTAGAACACCTCAACAAATTCAAGAACAGGAAAATCATATTAACCGATAGGGAGGAGATTGCAAAAATGCTTGTAAAACCTCCATTTCAATTTCCTGTTCCTAAAAGTAAGCTATTCTCAAGCTTAACAGAACATTGTCAAACAAAAGAAGAGGATTCAAAGAACATCTCTAGCTCTGAAAATAAAAATCCAATGTTAATATCATCCAGCAAAGAGGAAGTTTCAAAAGAAAAGGATCTCCAACATTTTCGAGAAAACATGCCGTCTAGTAATCTAATTGATAATTATGAAGCAGCTGAAATAAATAATTTAAAATCATTGAAACGGTTGCAGGACGATAATTCCTCTAAGCTGAATGACGGAAAATCTTTATCAGTTACTCCCAAAATTTACTTTAACGATGAACAGTCTATCACTAAAACCTCTAAGAAGACAAAATCCAAACAACCGCGTTGGAATAACGACCTTTGTACTATTGATGAATTCTTCAAAAATAGCGTTGAAAAGATGGAGAAAAATCCAAGTGTTGAAGATCAAGTTTTAATAGAAACCTATAAAAAGGATGTGGAATCATATAATATTGCTGCAAACAATAACAAAGGAAGCTCTGATGTAGAAGTTGAGAATAAAGTGGGAACTGCTGTAGATGTAAAAAGGCCAGATCAAGCAGATGTGCAGACTTCAAATATCGATGAGATTGACAAAGGTTTAGATACTTACATAAAAGATAGGCGCTTATTAGTTGACAAAAAAGATGACAATTATCCTACTGTCATTAAAATTCCTAGAAGTAAATATAAAGAAGGGATGACTTACAGAGTCAAAGATTGTTACTACGATGATGATGGAGAATTTCTGTACAGAGTACCAGGCTTAAAAGTTTGAAATACATAATATAAAAGTGTTCTAGAATAAACCTGTGTGCTTAATTATAATTTGTAATTTTAATAAAGCACTCATACGTAAATGACGTGTTTGTTTCAGAAAAAATGATTTGTGATAGTATCTTTAATTATCCGGTGCTCCAGATCGATTGGTATCGATTTTTTTAATAACTAATGAGTTGGTTAAAAATTCGAAATTGATTTTCCCGCTAGAAGCTGTTCAACCGCCATGCGCAGTGGATCGATCTCGTTGTTCGGAATATTCAAGATGGCCGACCGATACGGTTGTTTATTTGAGCTCAGTGTTCCGATATCTTTTATAAACTTTTAACAGGTAAAGAATACACGAATGTTGTCAGAATCTTAACGGATTTAAATAACTGACGGGAAACTAACTTTAAACATTTTCTATTTTACCATTTGCTAGGAATGTCCTGTGGATAGCGGTGAACTTGAGAGCATTTAGTGTAAGTATTCAGAACGTAATTTGTGATAATTTAACACTGTTTCGCGCAAAAATTTCTACGAGTGTATTTGATTCATTCATAAATTTCCCTATTATTAGTCTCTCTTTCTGCAACATTAATTTTTTGTCGGTTAAAGTAGAGGGAGCATCTTGGACCTCTACAGATTAGTAGGATAACAAACGATGCATCGGAGAGGCGGCAAACGTATTCGGATGGACGATCCCGTCCCTCCAGAATTTGAGGCACCGATGACACCAATGACTCCGATGAATGATAATTCAGGCGGAGACTTACAAGATACATACCCTGGTTATACTTCATATAACCAAGCTCCACCGACACCTGTGCAGAATCCAACGTAAGAGTTTCAGTAAATTCCATGTTAATACGGAAGAAGAATTTATATTTCATGATTTTTCCTTATTTGTTTACAGGCCAGAGCATTATTCCTCAGAAAGTTATAGTTCTCCAGGAACTTCGCAACAACAGTATCAAGAGCAGTCTAATACTTTTGAAAGTCCAATTCTTTTTGAACAGCCAATGACCCCTGCTACTCCTGTTAATATGAGAATAACGAGGAATACAAGAGCAAGGTTACGAGGTAAGAGTTTTAGTATACATGTAACGGAGGTATAACAACTGAAAATTTAAAAGAAGGAAAGAACTGAGAAATGAGTATTAATAAATTTTTTTTTATCATTAGGAGGTACCGTACAACAACCAAAGTACAAGGAAGTAGATACAGACTTTGTCCCTTTGACCACTGCAAGAGGACGTGGAACTGGTGGGCGAGGTCGTGGTAAACGTGCTCTACATCCTCACAGCTTGGAAGATGAGGCGAGCCTTTATTATATCATCAGAAACAATCGCTCCACTCTTACAGTATGTATTTTAATAATCTCATTAGCTATACATTAGATCTTTCTGATTATTGCCCTTTTATATTTCAGACAATAGTGGATGATTGGATAGAAAAGTACAAAAGCAACAGAGATAATGCTCTGTTGATGTTAATGCAGTTTTTTATTAATGCAAGTGGTTGTAAAGGACGTATCACAGCAGAAATGCAAACAACCATGGAGCATGTTACCATCATTCGTAAAATGACAGAAGAATTTGATGAGGTACTTTTGTTAGCTATAAACCTTTCCTGTCCGATAGCTTGTACTACGTTATTTCAGCAAGTTATTAATTCAGACAACAGATTAGAAATTGTATCAACGTTATTTGTTGCATATTATAGGAAAGTGGCGAATATCCGTTGATAATGACGGGGCAACAATGGAAAAAGTTTCGCGCTAATTTTTGTGAATTTGTTCAAATTTTGGTACGCCAGTGTCAGTATTCAATTATATATGATCAGTTTTTAATGGACAATGTGATTTCCTTACTAACTGGACTGTCAGATTCTCAAGTCAGAGCATTTCGACACACTGCAACATTAGCCGGTGAGCCTTGAATTCTTATAGCAACTGTTGCATTGATATTACATATAGGTTTTCTTTAACAAAAAATACTGTTACATAATCAATGTATGCAGCGATGAAGCTAATGACAGCTTTGGTAGACGTTGCACTTACGGTGTCCATAAATTTGGATAATACTCAACGCCAGTATGAAGCGGAAAGACAAAAAGCAAGAGAGAAAAGGGCAGCTGATAGGCTGGAGTCCTTAATGTCAAAGCGAAAGGAACTCGAGGAAAATATGGATGAGATTAAAAATATGCTAACATACATGTTTAAATCTGTCTTTGTTCATCGGTACCGAGACACTTTGCCAGAAATACGTGCAATCTGTATGGCAGAAATCGGTGTGTGGATGAAAAAATTCCACCAGAATTTTCTGGATGATTCTTATTTAAAATATATAGGTAACAGACGGACAATTATTTTATTTTTTGAAAAAACTTCTCTTCAACTTTATGACCCATTCCTTTTTTATTGTAGGCTGGACTCTTCACGATAAAGTCGGTGAAGTACGATTAAAGTGTCTTCAAGCACTGCAGCCTTTATATGCCTCTGAAGAATTAAAGACCAAGCTAGAACTCTTTACCAGTAAATTTAAGGACAGAATTGTTATTATGACCCTTGATAAGGAATATGATGTAGCGGTGCAGGCTGTTAAACTTGTTATATCTATTTTGAAACATCATCGAGAGATTCTTACTGACAAGGATTGCGAGCACGTCTACGAGCTTGTGTATTCATCACATCGAGCTGTAGCACAAGCGGCTGGAGAATTTCTTAACGAACGTCTCTTCAGGCCCGATGAAGAGGCTGTGGCTGGTGTAAAAACAAAACGAGGAAAGAAAAGATTACCAAATACGCCTTTGATACGAGATTTGGTACTTTTCTTCATTGAGAGCGAACTCCATGAACACGGTGCCTACCTAGTCGATTCATTGATCGAGACCAATCAAATGATGAAGGATTGGGAATGTATGACCGATCTTTTACTCGAAGAAGCAGGACCGGAAGAAGAAGCCTTGGATAATCAGAAAGAAACATCGCTTATTGAATTAATGGTCTGCTGTATAAAACAGGCAGCTACAGGTTAGACTTTTAATTCAAAATAATTTTTTTTCAATGTTTTATTAGTCAGATAATATTTATGTGATCGCGTGTATAAAAGTAGTGGATTTTCTTGTTATGTAGCTAATATTACTTTTTTCCAAATAGGAGAAGCTCCTGTAGGAAGAGGACCAACTCGTAAAATATTATCAGTGAAAGAGCAAAAGCAAGTTCTGGATGACAAACAAAAACTTACAGAGCATTTTATTCAAACACTCCCTTTACTTTTGGATAAGTATAGGGCCGATCCAGAAAAGTTATCCAACTTACTCGCAATACCACAGTACTTTGATCTGGACATTTATACGAAGTCTAGACAGGAACAAAATTTGGATTCGTTGCTAAGCAAAATTCAAACAATAGTAGAAAAAATGCAGGATACAGAAGTTCTTGATACAGCCGCAAAAACGTTAGAGCACATGTGTGTTGAAGGAAATGCCATCTTCACCAGGTACATTTTTTTAATTAGAATTTAAATACGTGGGGTATCCGGCCAAATTTTTATTCGATAAATTATGGTTTAATCAATTCCTTTTAATTGAAATTGAAACGTAGATGTGACGTGGCACGTTCTACCCTCATCGACAGTATTGTTAACAAATATAAAGAAGCTATCAATGAGTACAGGACCCTTATCGAAGGTGAAGAAGAGCCCGATGAAGATGAAACGTTTAACGTCAGACAATCATTAAAGAAAGTTGCTATATTCTATAGCTGTCACAACATGAATCCATGGAATATCTGGGACTCCCTGTACAAAGACATCGAGGATGCCAAAGATCCATCTCGGTAGGATTAATAACAGTCTGAATTTCTATTAAAATTATTTTGTCACAGAGACCGAAAGTTAATTCCGCTTTCTAGACGATTTCCACACGAAGCTGTTAAGCATTGCATAAGTGCCTGCTTTTTTGCAATTCTCTGGGGCCAAAATCATTTGATGGAATCGGTAGATACTGGAAGCAGGGGCGAAGACGAGTGTCGACAACTAAAGGAACGTCTGCATACTTTTATGGGCTCCATGAGAAATTTCGTTGGCGATGACGGCATGTCGGATCATCACACGGCACCGATGTTGCGAGAAGAAGCATATAATACTATCTGCGACTTACTGGTAGTATTTTGTAATCAGCTGACTTCGCAGCCCAACCCTTTATTGCATCAATTAGTCTACGAACCGGATCAGGCTATGCAGAATATGCTGAACCGATTCATACAAGATTACGTCTTCGTTGAAGATAAAGATGGTGAGTACACGGGATCCGACATACCCAGAATTTAGAGACCCGAGGTAATTTCAATACTTTAATACCGTTCCAGATGATCGAGACGAGCACTCAAAAATCGAGGATCTGCACAAAAAGAGGAACTTCTTAGCCGGTTATTGTAAATTGATCGTTTACAATATGATCCCGACTAAGGCTGCCGCTGACGTGTTTAAACATTACGTAAAGTATTACAACGACTATGGGGATATTATCAAGACTACCTTAGGCAAAGCCAGGGATATCAATAAAACGAATTGTGCGCTGACGATGCAGCACAGCTTGAACATACTTTACAACGAGATCGTAGCGGAGAAGGGTCGAGTCAATAGAAACAGCGAAGAATTCACGGCAATTAAGGTGAATAAAATTATTCTTCGGTACCGATAAATATTTCTTGGTAATACATAACGATCGTGCTATTATTTCTTTAGGAGCTGGCAAAGCGATTTGCATTGTCTTTCGGATTGGACGCTGTTAAAAATCGCGAAGCGATTGCTGCGCTGCACAGAGCGGGAGTATTGTTCGCCATAACGCCGCCGGACGGTGTCGAACTCGATCCTGCAGGACCACCTCCGAATCTTCCCTTTCTAGAGATTCTATCCGAATTCACGAACAAACTCTTGAAACAAGACAAACGCGTGGTGTGAGTATGAGAATAATTTCCTACCCGGTCAAGGGACTCTCGGATGAAATTTGGAAATTTTAAACCCAATGCTGACTAAAGCCCTAGCGGCTTAAATAATAAAAACATTTCCAGATTTCAAACGACGTTTCTAACAATCTGGACGGAGATTGGGATACTTTTAACAATGTTCGATTTTTTTTGCAGGTTGAATTTTTTGGACAGGCGGCTACAGGCTGGCATGCCGTCGTCACGAGGTGAGGACTGGCAACCTCTCCTCTTGTATAGAAACAGCTTGTTGCACGGAGAGACCGACCAAGTTCCTGTAACCAGTAAACGCGCCTATACAAGACGAAAGAAGGACCAATTGACCGGTTAGTGTTCCTCCCTTATAAATGGAACGTCCAATAAATGTGATTTCGCAAAATTTGTTGGGCATAATGTAAAAAAAAAAATGGACACTTTAAATGCATCGAAGAACGCTTCTTTTTTTTGTTTCTACCTCTGGAAGGCGTTTGTATTTTTTGTTATCCTTTGCCCAACCACCTGCTCCTTTTGTAATCGAGATGATTAATTTTTCAGAAGAGGAAGAGGCGGACGACGGAGAAGAGGGTTCAGATCATGAATACATGGGGTAAGTTAGGTGTTACCGAAGATTCATATAGACTGAACTGAATACACTTTCCCTCTCGGCTTGTTTCTTTCTCTCCCGGTAAGTCGAGTCTCCGTATTCGCGATGGAGGATCAATCGCTCGATACGGCAGACTTCGGCGGAGTCTCCGGGGGTCTTTGCCGAAACTTCGGCAAGGGCTCGGAACGTCAGTGTGAAAATCCTTGCAGATTAGGCCGAAACCCTCGGAGATGACTCTCTCGAGGCCACGTAGTAGTTTATCGTAATTAACGTTTACTCGAGTGCCCCTGCCGTTGACCGCGTGGACTAACACGTTCTTAACTCGAGGAAGGATCTTTACTATCAAGCAAAGATAGAAGACACGATAACGAATTAATGCCGAGGTCGAAAACCGTGGTCGGCAATTTCTTCATTAACTTTTCCTTCTTTTGTCCTCGTTTCGGTGACGCTTTGCTCGTCGTTTCTGCTTTGCTTCCTCAGGTCGGCCGGCTAAGGGAACAATCGGACCGACTTTTTCATTAGCTGTTTTAACCCAATTCTTCTGCCGTCACAGACCTTTAGTAACACTAATTTGCTGCATGCGTAGAAGAGATCGATGTCGCGGATTGCCATTAGATCGTCTAAGTTATACCCGATTAATCATTGAGAGATGGGCGCTGGGCTTTGTAACTGCGAATGCGTGAAAGCGAGAAGACCGTTCAGAGAAACCGTTCGAAAATGTTAAAAGTATTTTCTAACACGCTTCTCGAAATCCACCGATTTCTTGTGCTCGCTCGGACGATCGTTGGAAAAATCGTTCGCCGGGAGATATTATTTAATACCGCTTCTAAAGAAAGTCTGGCGATGGATCCGTGGATTTCGAGAAGGGGGTCCCCAGACATCCGGTGTGTCTGCCTTGACAAGAGATACACCCTCGGACGCTTCCCTTAATCTACGAATTTCTGTATTAACCTGTATCTTTTTTCTTAAAGTCTCTACCAAGTGTTAAGTTCCACCTAATCTCACCGAAAGACTATTGAGTTATTTATGCTTGTAATTATATTAAGAGTTGTAAATTTGTAGATTCTGCGGAGAACGTCTCTGGGCATCTATTTAGAGTGCCTACTTTGAGATAAGAGATAATAATGATCTAATTGTACGTTAAACGTTAAGGCGAGAGCGAGAGAGCGAGAGAGAGAGAGAGAGAGAGATATGAGTTGTTAACTTAGACATATTTTTTGGGAGAATATAATCAAGGGACATAGTACATAGAGAACGATGTGTGTGCGTTTCGTCAAAACTTAAGTAATATTCAAGGCACATAAGTTTAAACACTTTGTATTCTGTTTATAAATCGACAATACAAGATTGGTGATAGATGAGAAGATAATGTGATATTACTTGAAACACACCCTCTTGTCCCGAAGTCCCTTAATCCCGTTGTCGGTTGGTTTTACAAAATTTTTCTTTCGCTACGAAACGGAACATCTTACTTGTAATTTTATTTCTCGAAGCAGGGGCAAATGTATTTTTAATCCAGAAAATTGTTACCTCCCACTAATGATTTTAATCGGATAAATCCATTCATAGTCCTGCCTCGAGACTCGAGATATTTACCTCCTCCTCGTGACTCCTCCCTTGGCGAGGTAAATCCTCTTCTTTTTCATTAATATTAATTTTGTAAGAATCTAATGCGGTGGTTACGGTTTAAGATTTGACGAGGTCCAAATTTACGTTCCTTGCGTTTCCAGGTGTATTAATTTAGATACATATTTTAAGGAACCATCGTTCAACGCGACACGCCGTTCTCTATAGTTACTATTTCTTTTTTTTTCTTGTAGCACCAATTGAAATTATACAATTAATTGGCCTCTCCCAGAGAGGATTGGTTGCGTTAACTGTCGACAGTTAACTAATTAGATTGAAGGAAAAAGAATGTTATTGCATTGCCACCAAAAGTATATTTTCGTTTCAGGAAGCTCAAGAAGAAACGCGGCCCTAGGAAGAAACCGTGAGTGGTCCATTTAATATACTTAATTAATTAACTTCTCGTCTACTTATTTATTAATTTCTTTAACGTTTGTTCCAGATTAACGATCACCACGTTCTCAATACCGAAGGGTAATAGGGCTGTCAACAATTCCTATGAAAGCAGCGAGTTAATAAACGTATCGAGGGAAGATAACTTCATCGAAGATGCTTCCGCGAGTCCTACTCAAGATATAGAAAGTAAACTGAAGACTTTGCAAATCCAGTCAAGAATGTAAGTCTCGACGAGACTTACCGTTTAATCTGATTGCAGTTAACGCATTGTACGGTGCGTGTGGGCCGTTTATCTATTTATAACAGTCTTGCTTCCAGGAGGAGAACGCACGATAATGCCGAGCCAAGAGAATTGCGACGAACGGCAAGAAATTCAGGACGATACGTGGAAGGGCAATACATGGTGAGCAGATTTTCTTGAGTGAATTTTTCCCTTCGGTCATAAAATACCCGCCCGACTTAATATAATTGGAAACAATTGTTTCGTAGGAATCCGACTCGGAGTAGGAAGAAGACTCAAAATTGACGAATGACATCGCGTTGACTGAACAATTGAAAGGTTCTCCGACTTTAACGAATTCAAAACGAGGAACAAGGTTCGCAATCTTTCGTTTGTACTTCGCTGTAGGACGAGCTCTTGTCCAGACTGACTTTTCTAAGGTATCGTTTTTGTTTATATATCATTAGTTATATATCCCGGGGAGAGAAAATCCCGGTTGTATTTTAAAAGCGTATGCTACAAAGCTTTTGTACGGAAAAGCTTAGAGTTATTGTCTTTTGTTACTACCAAAGTATATCCTATATGCTTTTTCTAAGTAAAATAAAAGAAAAAAAGAAAAGAACATATCGCGTCATCGACAAGTGGTAATCATTTCGGTAGCACGTTTATTAACGTAGAGACACGGGGTATGTCGTAAGTTTTACCATTTAAAACTGCACCGATAACGTTCTTTTACCTAACTTTTCCCGAAGGATGTAGTATCATTTTGAGGAGTTAATTCTGAGATGCCGGAACGAAGACGAGTATTTCCACGAAATGGGCTGTTGCGCATTAAAGTCAGGATGAGTAAAATCTTTATTATTTATTCCATAAACCGCCGATACGGGAGTTCACTCGGTTTTACATTAAAATGTGAAAATTGAAGCCTCTAGAAACGTATATCTCGGTATGTACACGTTGTTCCTCGTAAAAACTCTACGTTCTCCAAAAGTAAACCTAACTTTTATCGGTCGAACTTCTCTGCTTTCGGAAAAGCTTGACGAATCCTCGACTTCTTGGTGTACCTGCAACATTCTGTCGAAATCTTTTCGTTAAGACTATGCATTGGGATGTGAGTTTATCGCGAAAATGTGATCGTTTGCATTGTCAAGATAGTATAAGTATCGAGTCCCAGTGTAATATGTATTTTCTAGCGTAATGTAACGTAAACGTATCCACTAACGTTTCATGGAAATATAATTTTCCTTAAAGAGAAATTATATTCCATAGTAAATTACCGATAAGCGTTCAGACATTACTTTTGTGAAAAATTCGAAGTCTAAGCATTAAATTTTATCTTCAAACTAACGAGTCATGCCTTTTCATGGAAGAACGTCCCTAAAACGTTCATTTTTAATTATTTAGAGATGTTTTTGTTGAAGAATATATCGATTGCCGAAAAGGTGTGTAAATACAGGGTCGTACAAAATTAATACGTATTCGTAATACGAAGGAGTTTCGCGTCAAGACCATAATCGTCATTCTAGTAGACTTTCGAGAGTTCTTTCCCTTCCTTTTTCTCTTCCAGCTCTTCCACAAGAGGAAGACCAATTCTAATTAAGGTTCACTGGTAATCACATAAATTCGGAATCCACTAGGATGTCCAAGGAGGGCAAAAAGGGAGAGAAGCGATAGCAGGAGGGTCCTGTAGTGGAACCGGCGATGCATGCGTTTCCTTGGCCTCACCTCGTCATGTCGCCTTGAAAGCGAAGTGCTGAATAATTCCTTTAATCGCCGTGGAGTCGCCGTAGTTCTTTCCGCATTTCTCTCCCTTAAGATCCTTGAATTGGGACTCCGTAGTTCATTGCCCTGTAATTTACAAAATTTTGTACAATTAGATAAAATTACATAGGAACGGCGGGATGCAAGATGGAGGTTTAAAAAATACGTAAGCATCTTTAGGCATATGTACCTGGAGCGATAATCTTCCACCGTTCTTACTCGGTGTAGGAGGTCCAGGTTTCTTGTAAGACGTCTGAATACACACACCACAAAAAAACACACCAACGGGTTAGGAGACGAAACGAATAAAAGAACTACTCTTTTTTTTTTTTCTTCTAGGCCAATCTCACCTGAGTCCGGTCCTTCTTTTTCGGCTTTTGACCTGGCAAGAGGCTTTGACTGAGACTATCGTTGAACACATCCTCGGACACAGCACTGCCCTGTAATTAATTTGAACATGCTCCGATGTACGGACTACCACCGATACATGAACTAAGGTTCGTTAAAATACCACCGACAGAGTCCACCACCTTTTACCTCTACCGGGGCAATATTATCATAATTGAGTTTCTACCTTAATTTCATCCTCTGTGAGTCCTAAAGGATGAAATTGGGTCTCTGCAGGATAGGAGGATTTCAGATGTGGCTTGCAGAGCGAGTTCCTCTTTTGTAGGACAGACATTCTGTCCACGTCGTTAACGGGCAAACATCTACCTTCCTTCAGATCGGCTGAACGATTATTCAAGGACGATAGTTAATTTCGACTGCATTGGAAAAAAAATCTCTTAAATATTCTGAATATTCTACCTAAATAGATGCTATCGAAAACCTCGCCTTCCTCGTCTTCTGCTTTGAACGCGTTTCCCAGAGTCTGAATACTTCGGACGCTGTGACGCCTGGCATAAGTAGCCTCTTCTTCGATCACTTCGACTCTAGAACAAGTGGCTTGTCTTGATCCACGTTCCAAGCGGTCCAAAGAGAAGTCTCTTCTATCCAAGCTAAGGCAGACATTTTTTAATGTCAATGCCTGATCAAAAAAGGCGAGCTACGTATTCTTCAATTATAGAGATCATTACCTGGAAGTCTTACTCGGTAGCATGGAACGAATCGACTGTCGGTTAGTCTCGCTTCTTTCATTCAATCTGTACAATTCATCTTTCAGCAATCGTAGCTCTTGCAAGGCTTCTTCTTTTTTTTGTTTCTCAAAGAGGAGCTTGTCTCCGACATCCCACAATTCGGTATTAAGACTGTTGAGATGAGTTTTGTACTTCGCAATTTCTTCCGTGTGCTTGCGACACTGCTGCTCCATCGTGGTATGTACACCCTGCAATTTCTGAGCAGCCTTTTCGTGCTCTTTGTTTAGTTTTGCTACTTGATCGTTGTACGCAATTTTCTAAAAATGAACAGTGAATGTCAGTCTAAACAGTGAACAAAACGCTATCGATTACTTACCATTTTTTCTTTAATCCCTTTTAGCTTGATTTCATACTCGTTATGTACTTCCTTAATTCGAGCATCCAAATTCGCCTTGTACTTCGATTCCTTGACTAAAAATTCCTGCTTTTCTTCTTTCAAACTTTCATTCTCCTTCAGGAACCTCTCTATCTGCTGCTTCAGATTTTCTACTTCGTTCGCAGTCGATGAGAAAACATCTTCCTTATGCTTCTTGATTTCACCGCGAAGATCGTCCAGATTTTTTTCTAGTTTAGCATTCCTTATTCGCGTCAAGTCGAGTTTGTCCTTCAGCTCTTTCTTCTCCTTCATCAGTCGATCGATCTGCAGTTGCAGCTTTTCTTCGATCTTTGGTTCGAGCTTAATTTCACCAGCTCGATAACTCGTCTCGTAAGAATCAGCTAATTTCGAGAAAGAATCTACTCCTTTCCAAGCCTCAGAAATTTCCTTTTGTAGAGTTTTACTGTTTTCAATGTCTGCTTTGACAATTGCTTCTTCGTTAGCAAAAGTTACCTGATCGATATCTTTCTGTCTTTTCTTTTCTTCCAATGTATCGGGTTCTTCGTTTAATTTTTGTTTCATCCAGAAAATCGTTTGCCATGATACTTTCATTATCGATGGCAATTCTTGCAGACGCCGGTTGTCTACATTATCAAAGATATTTTCTAATTCCTTTTTCTTGACTTGCAGCTGCTTGAGTTCGTCGCACATGGAATTGTCTTCGATTAAAATATCTTTGCATTTATTCAATGCTCGTGTCCAGTCGAGACGTAGATTAGTTAATTCTGAATGCAGTGTTTCTCTCAAGGTCAGAGCTTCTGATAGTAATTCTGTCAAGGTTTCCAGCTTCTTCAGCAAGTTGAATCGATACTCTTTGGCTTTACCTTGCGCTAGAGCAAGTTCTTTGATCTTGCTCCTTAATTCGGCATTAAGATTCTCCACTGTTGAAACCTTCTCACTTGTGACTTTTTCTTTTCGAAGGGCTTTCTCCAGATTTGCCTTAGACGACGACAACTGTAACGCGGCTTCCCTTGCTGCTCTGATCTGCACGTTAATAAAGCACAATATTTCGGAAAGGTTTTTGTTTATGGCACAATTAAAGGCATCTTTGTCGAAAGTCTCACTATCTTCAGAATTTCCATCTAGATCTAAAGTAGGACACAATTCTGCAATCGTACCATTCAAGTCTTTCGCGGCAGTATATATTAAATTCTCGCACATACAAACAATTTTGGACGCGTCTAATTCGGCGTTCGCACACTTCACGGAAGTTTCATTCAACTTTTCTGTAAGAACCCGTAAAGATTCTGCAGCTTCTGTACCTTTTTTTATTTGGGAATGGTAATCGATTTCCAAAGTTCTGTACTTTGCTTCTATGTCGTAGCGCGCTAGTTTCTCTTTCTCGGCTTGAAGAGACAGTAGGCTTTTAGAATCCTCAAATTGCTTTTCAAGATCTTCTACGTGCAAAGTCTTTTCCTTCAAGGCCATTGCTTGCGTTTCCAAAACGGCATCCTGACTTTTCCTAACTTCCTGCAGGTTTGCAATAATTTCCTTCATTTTTTTTTCAGAGTCGAGCTTCTCTTCAATTGTTAGATCGATTTTGGACTGCAGTTCTTGCAAGGAATTTTCCTTTGATATCAACTCTTCATTTAATCGGTTCAAAGCATCTTGAGAATTATTCAATTGAATCTGCAGGGACTCAATCAAATTTTTTGCTTCGTTCTCTTTTTGTGTCTGCGTAATATGGAGATTTTCATTCTCTGATTTAAGCAGATTTGTCTCCAAAATTAATGCGTCGATATATTTGCATTTTTCTTCATATTCTTTTGATATGGATTTTTCTTTTTCATGTAACAAACTGTATTCCTTTCCTGTACTCTCCAGATTTAAAGTAACATTCGACAGTTGAGATTGCAAATTTGTTATTTTGCTTTTCATTTCAGAAATTTCTGTAACCTGTTCCATTTCCATTACTTTTTTCGCATCTTGTAATTCCTGGAGATTTTTAATGCTTCGATTCAAATCTTCTTTTAACACAGATACCTTATTTTCCAAATCGTTTCTTATTTGTTGATCGGTGGAAATTTTTTCTTCCAAATATTTTGTAGTGGTTACCAGAATTTCTAAATCTTTTTCCTTGCAATTTATTTGACTGATTAATTGAGCTTTATCGGACTCTGCATTTTTTAATTCCCTGTCGAGTTGCTGATATTCTTCGGATAACCTTTTAATAGTCTCCTCATTCTGTTCTTGCTGCAAGTTTAATTCTGCAAAGGCTTGTTTCGATGTTTCCAAGTTATTCACCAAAATCGCTGTACTGGTTTCCAGTTCTTTTACCTGATTCATTAAACATTCTATTCGCGAATCTCTATCTTGTAACTCTGCCTGCATTTTTTGTAAATGCTCTTCTATTAGGTCCTTTTCCTTTGCAACTTCTTGCAAATAAGACACTCTTTCTAAATATTCTTTTAGCCTATTTTCCATGTCTTTGATTTTGAGATTAGCTTCTCTCAGTTCCTCAGAAATTTTTGCCTTTTGTTGTACATTTTCATTCTCTTTAATCTCTAATGCAGCTATATCTGCTCGTTGTTTTGATATCGTAAATGTCATTTCTTCAATTTTAGCGTTTAAAGTCTCTATCTCGGATACACTGGAACCGTAAAGGGATCCGAAATTATCTACTAATTTTTCACAACATCTGGTCAGGTCAAGAATTGACAGGTTTTCCAATTGAATCATATTATCTCCTATCAACTCGCATCCTCGTATTAAGAAGCTTCCAAGAATTTTTTTACAATTTTCCATAACTGTTTCTGAAAAAGATCTTTCTTTTTCAAGGTTTTGAATTTCTTCCATTTTCTTCAACTCAAGTGCTTTAGCATGTGAAAGCTCAGCCTTTAATGCTAACGATGTATTTTCCTGAATACGTAACGATGTTTCTGTATCATTGAATTTTGTTGTTACACTTTCTAAAGTAATATTAAGAACTTCCACCTTTTGTTTAGCTTGCATCAGGGATTCTTCCTTCAAAGTCAGTGCTTCTGTCAGTTTATCAGATTCATCCTGCAAAGATTTATTCTTGTGTTCTAAATCACATACTTTTTCACATACAGAAGATAACTTTTTCTGCGTATCCTTCAGTTCTTGCTGGACGGAGCTCAATGATGATACCTTTTCTTGAAGCATAACATTCATTTGCTTAACAGTTTCACACTCTTCTTCGGTCAGCTTTAATCTAACATTTAATGATTCCAACTGTGTTTTTAAATGGTTCGATTCCTCTCGAGTTTCTTGGAGTTGGATATCAATTACAGAACTTAATGCTTCACTGGTGTCCAAAGATAACAGCGGTAACTCCGACATGGAAGTATTTTCCACTTCGAAGCTCCGTTCTTCAAAAGAAGCTTTGTTCATTTCATTGATGTAAGTTCTTAATTCTTCATTGATTTTTCTGAGATCAAATAATTCTCTGTCCTTAAGTGCAGCTTGAATCGATAATGTTGCCACATGTTTCTCACTTTCTTGAAATTTATCTTTAAACGAGGAGTATTGTCTCTTGGTAGCAACAAATTGTTTCGATAGAGCCTCCTTCTCCTCTTCGTACTTGTCAATTTCTAATTGCAGTTGAGTAGCATATTGCTCCATTGTATGAATCTGCTTCTGATACATATCTTCCTTCTCTACAGATTTATTACATTTCTTACAACAGAGTGGAGTTGACGGTCTTGTCCATTCTTGGCGCAGTGCCTTCATTTCATTAGACTTTTCCTGAAGTCTCTTCTGTAACTTGTTTATTTTGTCTTGTTGGACTTTTAAGTCCTCCTGCAAATCAATTTTTTCAAATCGCTCTAGTTCTAATTCAGCTTTGAGCCGTCTCAGTTCTTGATTCCGTTCGTTCATAAATCTTTGACTCTTAGCAGATTGTGCTGCTGGTGAATTGAAGAAGTCTCTTAAAGGTCGCACCTTTGGTGTCATCGTAGGAGTTTTTGGAGGAGCATCTTCAAGTTCTGCTATCGCGGAGTTTAATGTTTCTCTTGTAATATTTTTACCATAGGGAAGACATACTTCAAGAAATGTTTTAATTTTAATTTGTGTTTCGTGCTGCAATTTGATACACATTGGTCTATGAAAACTAGGTTCTTGGGATACTCGGAGCATTAATAAGGATGCTATATGAATGTCTGGTAAAATACTTTCTCCGCTACCATCCTCGTGCACATAATCTGGATATTCATCTGAAAATCATATACGATATAATTATAAAAATAAGTTTTTATGAGCGGATGCTCATTAAAATATTCCATTAATAATTTATAGATGCATTCTTTTTTACAAACCTTCGATAAACCTTAAGACACGTTCTTGTGCAGTTAGTTTCTCTTCCTCTTGCTTCTTCGATCTAATTTAACGGAATCAAAAATGAATAATTATGCTACCAATTTACAAAGATTAATCGATTTTGCTATATCCAACTTACAATAAATCAAGTATTTTCCCATAAAACGTTCTATATTGTAGTTCTTGAAGATCTTTAATGGGAGCATCCAAAATGCCTATACAATTTATCTGAAAAAATATATGAACATTGATTTTGCATAAATTGTTAGCCCATATAAATGCAAAGACTAACCTGCATTTAGACTTTTATAAGTTAAAGTGTGTCGAAAGATTAAAAAAATATTATTAACAATATACATGTGAGACTTGTATTCAAACCTCTCAGAATTTCATTTCATATGAACAAAGTGCTTACCCACTCTAGGACAACTTGTGTCCATTTTTCCATCTTGGTGAATAAATGACTTACTCGTGTGGAATTAAAAACGTCAAAGAACAAGCATAAGTTGATTGATCGCTCGATCACTTTTACCTCCAATTGGAATCGTCAAGTCCATACATATCAGAATATAAAAATAAAATACGTTATTTCAATTCAAACAGCCATTTACACGGTCGCTTGGGCATGGAGTGTCGAAGCATGGAAGGGGGCCATGCCCCTTCCTACGATTGTGCACCAGTTGGCGATTAATCTCCTGGTATACAGATGGCAGCACCGACCCAAAATTCGCGACGATTGGAAGAAAAATTCACCGTTAAGTTATATTGAATTTCTTATCATTCCAAGGATTTTGATGTAAAGAAACACATCATCAGCTTCTTCCACTCTACGAACCACGAGAGAGAAAACCTATTCCTATTTCTAACGCAACATAAAGGCGACACGTCAAACGTTCCGCCGATTACGTTTATCAACGAAGGAAATGTGAGTCAAATTTACGTGATATAACATCCGGAGATGGATGAGTAACAGATTTGCCGGAAGAAATGCATAACAAGGTCGGGAATATTTTTCCCCGGTACTCGTTCTCTCGATTTCAGGGTGAATCACCAAAGCGAGGAGGAGTATTCGCGTTTGAAAATATTTCTGGTAATCCTCCTGGCATTCGTGCAATCCAGCGAGGGTCAGACGAGATAAACCGCACCGGAGCACTTTCTCTCGGTAATTTATCGCTTAATGAATTCTTCGGGTTACGGTTAATTAGCTATTAAATAAGTGAAGCAATGCTCGGTAATGCTCTAATTAATTCCACGAAGGACCGCAAGAGGGCCGCGGGAAATGACGTCGAAAGACTCCTCTCCACGGATGCCTGGAAGGTGTTAACGAGTAATTTCTGCTTCTTCTCATTTTTCAAGCGGTGAGGTGATCCCTTTTAATCGAATCTTCTTTAATTAAATACAGAGCCTCGAACCGCAGGACAAAGGAGAACGGCACAGGGAGGGAGAGACAGGAAGAAATTGGCTGGCAGAAATAGCAGTCGCGTATTCGGCGAGAGTGGTTACTTCCGAGACGCGACGCTGCATACAATGGAACGGAGGCTGCACTTTGGCCTCCGCGATTCCCTGTCGTTAATCGGATTGCGGAACCATCGGAAAAAGACGGCTTACGAGAAACGGATGTTTACATTTCCCGCGCGATCAATTACTCGCTCGTTATCGCTCCGGTTTGCACGTAGCTTTCGCGTTACTTTAAGAACGGTTAACGTTCCAGCATCCGTTTGCTAGGTTTAACCGAAAAGGTAAAAAGACCGCCGTGGCGACGTCAGATTCGGGTCCTGAAAAAGCGCGAGCGAGACGGTTTAGGACATGTGGGGGACCACGCACGAAACCGGGCGTCGTAGTTTCCACTCATCCGACAATAGGAGTCATTCGTTCCAATCAGCACATCCTCATTGCGGGCCTGCATGATTCTCATGACTCGATCCAATTGTTTCGCGAATTTGCCTTGCCGTTGTAACGTCGCTGCGGATTGGCCCGAGCGTGGGCTGACGACGGTCCTCGACCGCGTCGAGGACGGTCCCTAGGACTGCTCGTTATTTTATGATTCTTCCGCCTAATACGCGGTTTTCGCAAAGGTCCCCGGCATCTCTCGGTCACGCGGGTTCGTCTTCGCCTCGGACAAGAGGGGACGTTAACGCGGAGCGTCGTACACCGGGAGAAAATCGGAAAGGATTACAGGCTGGGCCGAGTTATGTTTTCTCTAGCCTCGAACGGTTCCGCGCGTAATTCACCTCGCAACGAAAGGAGAGAGTTTTCCAGGAAAGCCGAGGAGGCGGTTATGAATGCCGGGCATTTCCTTTGGCCGCGCAAATTGCTGACCGTTGTGACCGGCCAAAACGGATAATTGGCCCGGCAATTACCAGTCGAGAAGATGGAGCCGAGGTCCTCTAGAAATTGTACGCTAACGGAAAGGCAACTTCATTATTAACCGAAGGCGGAATTTGCGGTCGGCCGAGCTTACTTTAAAGCCGATCGACCAAGGGGACCTCGACGAGGATTAGCTTCGGTTTCGGCGTCCGGTGAGACAAGAAATTGACCCTTTCATTTACATTCGCGCGTGTCTCCCTCCCGTCCCATCGGCTTCCGCGAACGACTTCGAACGACTTCGAACGACTTCGAACCCGGTGAAACGGCGCGAGTAGACCGATATTCCGGGAATCTAGGAAACGTCGGTTTGCATCAGCGAATTACGCTCCGTTTTGTTTCAGCAAGAAGAGGAGGAGCGCCCGTCGACGCGTCCGGTCGAGTGGAGCGAAGAAGTCGACGATGATTGACGTGCCAGGGAGGCTGGAACGAAAAACCTCCGGGATGCGATTTCGGATCCTTTCCGGTGCCCCGGAACGCGAGCATCTGCCTCCTCGTCGAGGCCCGATTAACCGGATTTAAATTCGGGCCCAGAGTTTACGAGTCGAAACGTACACACGCCGTGACCGTCTCGAGGATACGTCCTAGCTCTCGCTATCCTGGGAAGGCAAGGGGGAATTTTAAGTGGCTCCTGTGCTTTCCTTCGAGTCTCCGGTTAATTTTCTACGGACACCGTCATTTATCAGGGCGGAATTGTTTATCGGACCGGGAGTTTACGTTCTCTCCCCTGGCAGGATATGGCTTAAATCACGAACCCGGCTTTCGGGGTCTTCTCCAAACCCCCGCTCCGAGCTGGCGTCGTTTTAACGTTAATCAATATTTTTCACGTCCTCGTCGAGTCGCGGGTCTCTCGAGTTCGCGATTCTCGCGCTCTTTCCCTCCGGTAGGCGTAGGGACGTTTTTTAGCCGTCCGCCTGCGAGCGAGTCCGTTAAGCGTCGTCGACGTCGGCCGCTTTCGCCGGCAATAAAACGCGAGGATGGACAGGTTATGGAATCTGTTATGTTTTTCTTTTTTCTCGCAAAATGATACGGTCGCGATACAATATAAATAATGCATTCCAGGGACGGAGGCGGTCGAGGCACCCGGAGGGGCACCTGTTACCAGGCGTCGCTGCGCCGGCGCTCTGGTGTCGCGACGGCCTGGTCGACGAAAGCGACGTTGCCCGCGGGTGCGCGGCGCACTTCGCGAGGCGTCGAAGGAAGGGAGGGCCCACGTGTCCCAAAATCCCTGGAAGGGCTTTCTCTCTCTCTCTCTTTCTCGCCCCGACGAGACCCTTCCGAGCATTTACGGCTCCCTCTCTCTCGGCGAAAATAGCTCCCGCTAATCGGCGGATCTAAATTTAGTCAATTCGTCGATTTCTACTCGGGGTTTCGCGATCGATCGGCGACCCTCGACGACGCCCCGGCGGGCTGGAATGTATATTTCCCGAAGGGCGTGCAACATCCTTGGAAGGCACGAATCCGGCATATCCGCCGAAACGAAGGCGCCTCGCGAGAACGGCCACTCCCTTCCGTTAAAATAGTCGATTCCCCTCTCGAGATCCGCAGGACTGCCGGTCGGGGAGGTTAGGTCGGCCGGCCGGGGCGCCTAACCTTCGCGGTAAATTTTGCGTTTCCGTCTCCGCGTCTCCCGGGGCAAAATCTGGGAAGGAAAAAGAAAAGGGGGCAAAAGAGGGAAAAAAGGAAAAAGTCAAAGGTCGGTTCGGAAAGTATTTAAATCGAATCCAGAAGGTTCCGTCTCGCTCCTTGCCGGGCCGGCTCCCTTCCACATTCCACGGCCGTCACGGAACACGCCCGGTCCGCCCGGTCCGCCCGGTCCGCCACGGGGCGGCTGGAGGGGACGCGTTGCCGGGCAACGGGAGGGTGCGCGCGCACCGGCGACGCCGGCCGGCGGCAGCGGCGCGGCCGCGGGGAGCGCGTCAGAACGACGTCGGTCCTCGTCGAGTCCGGACGCGCGTCCTTTATCCGTGGGATCCGTTTCGCTCGAGCGCGTCGGCCACCGCACGAACGTCGCCTCGTTCCATTCTCGTCGCAGCCGCCGGCCCCTCCAGGGCCCGACGCGAGAAGCGGAGAGAGCGGGGTAGAGGGAAGGAGAGGGACGGAGAGGGCGAACGCGTCGCCGGGTAATTTGGCGGGCGGCGGACAAAGGACGAGAGAGACGAAGCGCGCGCGCGTCCTTTAGCGTCGCCGGAACACGTCGAGGGCCGCGGGAGAGAAAGAGAGCGTCGCGCCGTCGGTAAGGAAGGCGCAGGAAGGCCCGGAGATGGCGGAGGACAAGAACGAGACCAGCCCCGGCACCGAGGGCGAGAAGACGCCCCAGGAGCAGGAGAAGAAGGTGGTGGAGGAGAAGCCCGAGGAGAACGGGCAGGGCGAGAAGCCGAAGGAGAACGGCGAGGAGAAGCCCACGCCCGACCCGAAGGACATGCGGGCCATCGTGCTCAACGGCTTCGGCGGCCTCAAGAGCGTCAAGGCCCTCAGGAAGCCCGAGCCCGCCGTCGCCGAGGGCGAGGTCCTCGTCAGAGTCAAGGCATGGTGAGTCCCGAGCCTTTTGTTTCTCCTCCGAGTCCGGAGGTCGCGTACCTTCCTTTCCCGAGGGAGCCTCGAATTAAAAGCCGGGCCGCGGTCGTCCGTTTCAAACGGAAAAAGGAACAGAGAGAGCGTGGCCATTGGCCGATCGGGGCGCCTCGCGTGACCCCACGGCGGACATGTTGGTCGGCGGGATTTGACGTAACTTCCGTCTCACCCCCTCCCCGTGATCGAGGGGATCCGAGGGTACGCGCCGATCTTTCGGGCCGGCGTATCGACGTTCATCCGAGCGAAACTCGGGGGGAGCTCTCTCCCGAGCGCGATCGCGCATTTTCGGCGACGCCGAGAGGTTCTTAACCCCCCCGGCCCGCCCCGGGCGTCGCCTCCCCTCTCCCGCCGATCCGGGTCGCCTTTTCTCCTCTGCCCGGCGGTCGGTCGCAGGTGAAGATTACGAGCCCCTGTCCTCCTCGGACTGGCGATGAGTCACCGATTTTTGGGATCGGTTTGCGAAAAATTGCGAAAAATTCCGCACGGTCGGCGACGCGCCGTCTAACGGCGGAGGCGGAGAGCCGGGTGCGCGCGCCGCCTAGAAATCCGTCGGGATGGGTCGATATATCGGAGTCCCGGCCGAGCCCCGTTTTCCTTGGCGTCGGAAACGACTTCCGGCCTTTCCCCTAGGACGAGACGCCGACACGGGGCGCGGAGGATGCCCGCGTCGACGCCGTGAATCATCGACGCGCCTGCCGAAGATCTGATAGGCGAAGTTCAAGGTCGCGCCTCCTCTCGCTATACTTGGACGGGGCGCCCGTCGGCGAGAGTCGCGTTCGCTTTCGATCGACGCGTATAAATACACTTTCTCGGCCGTTGTGCAACAGGGCCCCGACTCCCGAGGGAGGCGGCGCCGCTTCTCCTCTTCGTCCCGTATCGAGTCGAAGTCCCGGGCAGGCACACCGCTCGGAGAGAGAGGAGGAAATAAAAAGGGATTAGTTTTATCTGTCCCCGGCCTCGTTTGATCGCGATACCTCTCCTGGGAATTTCGGGGCTTCTCGGACGTGGCCGCTTGTTTTGCTCGGCTACTCTCGCCGCCCTTTCCGAGCTTTGCCGAAGTCGGCCGAAACTCCCGGCCCCGTGACGCGCCTCCGGTTCGCACCGTTTAACGCGCCGTTTAACGAGCTTTCTCTCCTCGAGTTTTCGATGCCGAGGGTGCTCGCTCTCGCGGCGCTCCAATTGGGACGCTTGGGAAATCGCGGGTGATGGGCGAGAGGCGGGAAATTCTCGCCGATGAGCAGATATACGTGGCTAGGTCGGGGCCGGGAGGGGCGACGCGCCTCGGGCCTCTGCTCGAGTCCGACGCAAAAACGGAGGTAAACCTTGCGGGACGTGTCCGGGTCGCGGTTGAAATTCGACAACAAACGCGGGACACGCGAACGTTATCGCGTCGCCGCGGAAGGCCTGCTCCCGAAACACCCGTCTTCGAAATCGAGTCGAGATAGGTTAGGTTCGAGATATACGGACTCCGGCCGCGTTGGCCCAGGTCGGGGAGGCTTCCTCTCGGGGCCCGTGGGAGAGCCACCGAAACCTCGCGGCGGCGGGCCTTTTCACGCGTGAGTCACGACTCTCATGAAAGCCATTGGCATTGATTAGGAAATAGCGCCCATAGAGAGACATAATGGCGGCGGCCGGGCCGAGCGACGATTTGAATCGCAATGGCGGCGACGCGACGTCCCCTCGGGGGTCGGGTCGAGCGACTTTTCGACCTCTTCTCGACTCTCGGGGAGAGGTCGCGAAATCCACGAAAATCGCTAACCCCTTCCTTCGACGCGCTCTCCTTTTTCCTCGATTTTTCTCCTTCTTCCTTTCTCTCTCTCTCTCTCTCTTTTTTTTTTTTTCTTATTTTCGGTTAACCGCTCGCCACGGTGCACGCGAGCCGAAGGAGGGAGGGGAGCGGCCTCGCGGTTTTTGCGACGATCCGCCGTCGAGTCGTTCGGGAGCGAGTCGAAAACCAGCGATGAAAGTCGATCGCGCTCGGCTCTCTCCCCCTCCTTTTTTTTTTCCTTCCCCTCTTTCGACTCCGCTGGAGGAGAGGAGAGGGATTCCTAAAATCCGGCCCTCTCGTTTCCTCCCTTTTGTCTCCGGCCCCCGGGGGCCTAATCTCCCGCAGGAAGCGATCGCCGCGTTTCTCTCCTTCGGTGCCTCGAAAGAGAGGGAAGGGCTTTCCTCTCCCCTCTTGTCGCGAGAACGCATTCAAGATTCGGGGCCCTCGACTCTCTTCGCCTTACCGTTTCTCTTTCTCGAGTCGCCGCGGATTCGCGGAGTCCCGAAACTACCCTTAGGGTGCATGTCGTATTTTTCTTTCTTTTTTTTTTTTTCCTTCGGTCGATATATCCCGACCAGCAGGAGAGTGAACGAAGCGCGTAGACAGAAGAATGGCACGCCTCTCTTATTTCACCATTTTGTTCGCATGCTCGCAGGGATTTTTTTTTTTTTTTTTTTTTAATGTTTCACAGGGCATCGCGATCGACACGGACGAGACGATCGAATGGAGGGAGAGCGAATTCGATCCTTCGTCCATCTGGAGATTTTGAACGCGCACCTTTGGATCTTTTGGCACCTCTTTAACCCGATCGAGGGGATATCGCGAGCGACTCGGTTAAAATTGTCGAGAGATGACCGGAAAAGGGGGGAAAGGCGAGACGAAGTCCGCGAAAGAGGAGAGCGAGTCGCTTCCTCGGAGGGCGCGCGGCCGCCATCTTGGATCGAGTCAATGGCGGCCTTTCAGGCCTTTCCCCACGACGAGGACATATCGGGGCCTCGTTAGGCCGATAGCGACTCGTTAATTTCGAGACAACGATCCCTTTACGTTTCTAGCTCCCTCGTTTCTCATATTCTCATCTCCCTCTCCGCGGATTCGATCTCGCGTGGTCTTATCGATTCGACTGGACGTCGGATCCGAGGGAGGAAGACCCTTAAATGAAAATAAAAGAGTGCCGTGAACTTGTCCGAGACGCGTATTTTAACGAGACTCGGGAGATTATCATCGACGCTTATACCTCGCGTCACTTTAAACCGCGGCACTCTTTTAAATCGCCCTTGAGAGATAGGAGCGCGCGATTATTACGGGTGAGGGTTACGTCGAAAAGGAGGCGCGATATACCGGCTCGTCGCGTTATCAACGTCGACTTCTAATCGAGGTCTAAATTTACATTCCGTCTATGTACGCGCGGACGTTAGCCCCGTTATACCCGCCGAACGTCGAGATATCGGCGCACCGTGTCCGGTGGACGACGCGATTATAATAATTAATATTAACGTGCGCGCACGCGTAGCAGGGATTTCGCACGGCGGCTTATCGGGCGGGTTGCGTCACACCTGACGCGCTTATCAACCGTGAGACGATTCGACTACCGCGGTTCTCTCTCTCTTTTTTTTTTTCTTCTTTTTTCGCGGGGGGTCTCGAAAACGCGTCTTTTCGCGTCCTCTCGCTGAATCCCGGAGGGGGAAGAGCGGAAGAAAAAGGGAAATACAAAGGCGAAGGAAAGGGTCGCGCCCCTCGGTCTTTGTGCCCGACAAAAGGCGAGGAATTCGCCTCGAAGAGGCGCCTTTCTGAATTTTTTCTCCGCGGCCCCCCTTCCGTCCCCCTCGCCACGGCATAAATCGCGGAGGACGTCGCGACGCCCACATCCGTCTCGCGGTCTGCGAGGAAGGAGCGGCCTTCTCGTGGCTATTTCGATTTTCATCCCCGCAAAGCGTGGAACGACGCGCTCTAAAGAGGGGGGGGGAGAGGGAGGGACCCACGGTCTCGTCGACATTTTTCGACTTTTTCCCGACCCCCGACAGGACGAGAAAAATTCGAGATACGCGCAATACCCACCGATAGATCGCTACGGGGCGTAGGTATTGATCGGACCACACCCCCCGGCCGGACTAACGTTGTTACCACGTGCGTGCACGCATGCACGTCGGCCGGGCTGCGCGCGCACCCTGCCCTTGGAGGGACCCGCGTGCCTAGGCCAACCCTCGACCCTCGACCGCCACTTTGCCCGACTCTCCTCGCCTCTCCTCGTCGAGAGAGACGGAAGCCGTCGATCGAAACGAACGATCGATGGCGCCGCGACGCCTCGCGGGGGAGCATTGGCGTGGGTAAAACGGCGCCCCGCATCGCATGCAGGAAGTCGTTGATGCAGGTAACGCTCGAGAATTGTTTCGACGCGGTTATAGAGCGAGAACGCCGGGCACCGATTACCTCGGGATTGATAAAGAACGCGGATGGCAATCGACGCGATCCCCGGATGTGTAACGGTTGTAAAGAAAAATTAACAATTAAATTAACTGATCCCCCAAATTTCTTTACGGTACAGCGCGGGGGTATTGTTAATCCGAGATTAACTGATCGTGGTTAAGGGATTTTTAGGTCGATCGCGGTTGGGGCGACCGGTCCTCGGGGACGAAGAGCGAGAGGGGAGTTTCCTCTTTCGGGTCCGCGCACGTGTTAACCCTCGTAAAAAGAGGGCTGTCAAAACTTCCTTCCCCCCCCCCCCTTCGGCGTGTTTACCCGAAGCTTCCTCCTCTCCCGGATTCCTTACCGGAGAGAATAACACGCCCGAATTAGGTGGATGAGTCGCCTCCTTAAATCATATAACGAATTTTCTCCCTTCTGGTATGGCGTTCCCGAATCCCGGAGGCCGATGAACGCGCTCGTCCGATCGGTGCTCCTTGCGGGCGGGGAAAATCAAGGGGAAAATGCCGTCGGGAGTAAAATATATATCTCTCTCGAGATGACGATTTTTATTTTTATTATTTTTTCTTTTTTATCCCACACGTCTGTGGATCGCGTACGGGGTATTTGATGCGCGAGGACGGCCTTTACCTCGCATCGCGCGCGTCGATGCGCCTGGCCGCGCGCCAGCTGGGAGATCTACGGCGACATCTGCCTCTCTTCCTCCTCTCCCAGGGTCACGGCGAATCGCCCGCGGCATTATCCCTCGAGATATCGACTCGGCCGGAATCGCCGGGCAAGATGGAGGGTGGAATTTCAGAGCCCCCCTCTGGGGGGGGGGGGTGGCGGCGACGTAGAAACGGATACGCAATCGCTAACGTCACGGCGTAATCGCGAAAATCCCGCGAACGACTGGGGGATCCTCGGAAGCGCACCTGCGGATATCTCGAAAGGTGGGTATCGATAGTCGGCAGGGTTGACCCTCCACGAGAGACGCGCGTCTCTTCCAGGGACGAGACCGATTAATTCCCCGGCGCCGCGGACACCTGTTACGCGGAATGGCCGCTAGACGGCGACGTTCCTATTTTCTTTCTTTTTTTTTTTTGTCCTTTTCTTATCTTTTTCTCTTCCCTCGAGATATCCTCGAGGCCCTCGCGGGGGTGTCGGAATATTCCAGGGGAGCGACGCTCTACCTGGGAAGTCGAATTTCTTCGCTTTTCCCCAATTAGCGGCGCGTCGCGCGAGGGGAAAAAAAAAATGGAGGAGGCGACGGTTAATCGAGAGGGACTCGGGTCGCGCCGCGCAAAAACAAGGCTAATCTATCGGAGCTCTCCCGCAGCTGTTGCTCCTCGAGCGCGCGCGCGCGCGCGCGCGCCTCTCCCCTAACCTCTACACATCTGTCGGGGATGACGGAAAGTCTAGGGGGGCGCCGGGAGGGGAGAAAAACCCGACTCGTAACGGAAGTTCGTCTAGATGCGCGTCGCGCGCGCAGGAAGAGAGGCGGATGGCGAGAGAGAGGGGGGGGGGGGCGACGATTTCAGATTTTGTTTTTTCTTTCTTTCTTTCGATCGGTACCGTTGCTCGGCAATTTCCTGCCTCGATGGAAGCGGGGCGCCAGGAGGCAGGGAATTTTCTCGGCGTCTCTTCCGAAAGGAGGTGCCCTCGAAAACAGCGATAACGCGCCGCGACGCTGCTTACGGGTCATCGCGGCGGCGATATATATCGTGACGCGCTTCTAGAGGGCGCCTTTCCCGGGCCGCCATCTTGGATCGCTTTTGAACTCCGGTACGTACGTACCGTCCGGCTGAATAGTGTTATTTATTGTACTCCCGATATCTCCTTTATGGTATTCGAACGCCGATCGGACGCCTCTCTCGGTTGCGCGATTATTCGTATTATTCGACCTCTCGAGGAATCCAAGATGGCGGGTCCCCGCGCCTCTGCCGGATTATTTTTACCAGCGCGCGTGCACTCTCGAGCGCCAGTCCGCGTCCATTTGCGCCTTTCGATACCGCCCCCCCTCCCCCTCCCCCCTTGTCGTTTATTCGGTGGAGCCGCGATATCTTTCGCTGCTTTATGTGCCCCTTCCTCTCCCCCGTATTTTACTATCGGCGATACGGGAGAGACGCGGTTTTAATTGTTTGATGTGTCGGCGCGTAACGCCAACCGACGCGGCGCACGCTCGCCGGGGGATAAGGAATTACGCAGTTTCGCGACGCATCGGCCCTGTGGCTTCTCAATTCTTTTCCCCTCTACTTTGTTACGGGAAATGATCCTCTTATATATCTGAGCCCCGGGAGGGAAGCGCTCGGACGAACGCGCACGCGAAGTGCGTCTTTGTCGCGACGCAAACTGGGGACGCGGTCGCGAGGCGTCGCGATGTCGGTAGAAGGCTCTGCCGACGGTGCGCAGGATTCCTGGCGCGTTCGGTCGACGCCGCTAATTGACCGATCTCTCTCTCTCTCTCCCTCGTGGGAGCGCAAGAGGAAATTTAATATCGAGTCGGGCGACGCGCTTTGTGCCGCGCTTTTAATCCGCGGTGGACGCGCCCCGAGGCGTCGATACACGCCACGACTCGGCGCGATATATATGCCGGCCGAAATCCAGACCGACGTCGAAATAGACGTCCGAGAAATTGCCGCTTTTCTCTCCCTTTCTCGCCTACCTCTTTTATCGCGGGAGAAACGTTCGTGGCGCGACGTGGCGAGCGGAGAACCCCTCTTTCTCGTGTTTCTTTCTTTATCTTTTTTTTTTCTTTTTTTTTCGCTTCCCCCGGAATAACCACTCGAAACGACAAATTATGAATGGGAAAGGGCTCGCCCGCCGGCGCCGTATTTCCTCCGTCGATGGCTAACGATCGGCGGCCCTCTCGGGGCGAGGAGATAAGCGCTAGCGATAAAAAGAAGAAGCAGGAGGGCCTCGTAGTCGAAAATCGATGACGGGTCGGCGAACGATCGGCCCGAGGTTGCGTGTCAAGGATAGGAGGTCGGCTCGTCCGCCCGTGGCGGTCGCGTGCGCCGCCAGTCGGCGGTCGGCCGACGCCGGGCGTCGGGGCCGCGCGCGAGACGGTTACGACCGACGCTGGAAATTTGCGGCCCCTTTCACAGGGCGAGGGAGGGAAACGCGTATTCATGATCCGGGTAATGACGGTCATTTTTGCGGCCCCCCTTTTGGAGGGGAGGAGGGAGCTTTTTAGCGCGTCCCCCGATACGGGGAACCGCGCATTCGGTAATGGACGCGGGGGTCGCCCGGATTGGGGCGGAAAAGGGAGTTTGCGATCTCGATCGCGTGACGAGCGTCGTTACTTTTGCGGCACTTAAATGTTGCTTTGGTCTCCCTTTCTTCTCCTTTTTTTTTTTTTTTATTTTTATTTTTAATAGCTGGTTATCATCGAGCGGTGACGATAATTCGATTTTGTGCTTTCAGCGGACTCAACTTCCAGGACCTGATGGCCAGGCAGGGCGCGATAGACTCGCCTCCGAAGACGCCGTTCATCATGGGCTCGGAGTGCGCCGGAGACGTCGAGCAGGTCGGCGAGGGAGTCGAGAACTTCAAAGTGAGTCGGGGTCGATGCGTATCCGGCCCTCCCCGATAACTCGCGTTAATTGGCCGCCTCGGTGGCGCCGCTTACCAGGGAAGAGCAACTCTGGAGCGCTCTCTCCCGGTGACTCTCCAGGGAGTGGGGTCGAGGTTTGCCCCCGAACTCTGGATTTTCGGCCCCTGCGAGGACCGGGGCAACTTTCCGGGTCGGAGCCACCGGTTGCGGTCGAATCGGTGCCAGGTTCCGGGGCACTTTCCCCCGGGGCTCTCTCGGGGACTTTTGCTTTCGTCGGCCAACTCTGGCCATAAACTATTCAGCCGGGGGCGGACGGCGAACCGCTCCTCGGGGTCGATGCCGTGAGCTCGAGACCGTGAAAACGACCCGCCTCCTCCACGGAGGGTTCTCACCCCGGTTCCTGGCCTTGCGAAATTGGAGACGACGCTTTCCGGGATTTTTTCAGGGGACCCGCGAGCCGGTATATATCCTCCGTTGGACAGGGGAAACCATCCCAAGCGAGAGTGGTCCACCGGAGGGAGGAGTTTCGAGCCTTCTTTAATTACCACCGGAAGAGGAAGTTTATCTCGACTCCCGGGTAAACTTTAGAAGGCGCGCCCGGTGGCGATAAAAAGTTGAGGGCTGCCAGGAAATTGAATGGAAAAAAAGAGGGTTCGAGAGTCGACTTCTCGCCCGCGCCCCTGGACGCTCGCTCGAGGAGGGAGCAAGAGAGGAGCCGGAGTTTGGCCAAGGTCTTGGACCTCTCTCGTTCCCTCGGGCTCCCTCCGTCTTCCGGTTAAATTCCCCCCGAACACGCGATCCGTCGATCCCCTGATTACCGCTCACCTCTCGCCCGGGTCTCTTTACTTCGGGAGTGCCGCGACACTTTTCGACGTGTCAAGGCTTATCGGAGATTCTTTTCGATCTTTCGGATAAAAAATCCTTTCTTTTTTTATTCCTCCAGGTCGGGGACAGGGTGGTCGCGCTGCCGGACCATAAGGCCTGGGCCGAGCTCGTCGCCGTCCCGGCGACGTCGGTCTTCGCCCTGCCGTCGGGGATGAGCTACTTGGACGCCGCCGCCATCACCATGAACTACACAGTGGCTTACATTCTGCTCTTCGAGCTGGCCAGCCTCTCGCCGGGGAAGAGCGTGCTCATCCACAGCGCCGGAGGTGGCGTGGTGAGTTCCGCCATCTTTTTTTTTTTTTTTTTAATCCTCTCTCTCGGGGAACTCGGAACTCCTCGAATTTCGTCGTCGAGCACCGCCGAGTGGAGAACGGATCGTTAAGGAAGTCTTATCTCGGAATTATTAATTAACGAGGTTGGAGCAAATCGTTTCATACTTTGAAACGTGAATATGGAGACCCTAAGGGTAGGTCCTGAAACTCGAGAAATTTCATTTCTTACAAACTATATTTAAAATACCTATAAAGAAATTTGAAAGGAATAGAAAATTTCATGAGTCTCGGGACCTTCCTTATAGTCTCCCTATTCGCGTAGTGAAGTTTCAAATTATTCGGCAAACCGAATTGGGAGAAAAGTTTGATAGAGAAAACCTCTTCGACGCCACTTTCACATCAGGTTAAAAGGCGCTCAAGAGCGAGTGGTCGCGATTCAGTGAAGGGGATAAAAAAAAAATATTTTTCTCGAAAACGTTTAACGTGTTTACCGGGTAAAGAGCGAGAGATACCGCGGCGGCGGTTATCAACGCTAATAATAACGGGTCGGGGGGTAATTTATTTATATTATTTCTTCCCCGAAGGACCGCGTCGGAGGGAGGATCCCTCCGGAGGTCTCGGCGAGGAGAGGAGATCGCGCTCTCGCGTTTCTGCCAGTCGGAGAGGAGATCGAATTGTTTGCCGATACGGCGAACGAGGTTAGAGATTAATTGCCGAGCCCCGGGGCGAATCGAGGCTCCTCTCGCTTTATAGCGCGCGCCTAAGCCTCGCGACGATATCGTCGCTCCCGGGCCAGTCAGCGAGACGATAAAGCCGCCTTCGACGTAACGAGACGCGATACCGTCACACCGAGCCCCTTTCATCTTCCCTCGCGGAGAGGGCGGGGGTAATAGCGGAAAATTTTCCCTCTTCGAGGCCGTTGATCGGCGATAACGTTGAAGTGTCCCCCGCGGAACGGAGCGCCGCCGAAATCCAGGCGAGATGTATCTCGACTCGGAACTCCTGGAGGGTGGAATTTCAACGACCTCGACGAAGGAGGACCCTTTCGGAGCGACCTCCACCGGAAGGAAAAGGGCGAGGTCCACCGACATGTCCGCTAATGGGACCGACGGTGGAGACGAAATCGAGTTAACCGCTCCTAGTGCTCGCTTTGAGCGGGAAATTAGAAATTATTACGCGGACGATGCACTTCGAGCGGTTGCACCTCGCGAAATAGGGTCATTCGGTGCATCGGTGGGTTCGGGTGGGATGTTCCTTTTTTCTTTTCTTTTCTTTTCTTTTTTTTTTCTTCCTTTTTTGCGGAGGTCGACGCGAGTCCTCGCCTCGGAGAGGAGGATCTCCCGATGGCCGGCAACGACGACAATGAGATGTTTCGAGCGAGAGGGTCCCGCGGGAATGTCAATTAATTAGACCGGAATGTCGAGGAAGCTCCGTTTAGCGGCAATAACGGTTCTCGAGGCCGTCTCCGTCGGCGGTGGCCCCCGCGACCGAGGCTCGGGAATGTCTCTCGAGGGGTCCGAATTAAGAGTGTCGGCCTTTTTGCCGCGCATTTCCCACGACGCGAGAGAGAGAGGGACATCTTTCCTCGCGTCGGGATGGAAAAGTCGCACGACGCGGTCTCTGGAAGGCGAGGGCAATTTTCCCCTTTTTCTTTCGTTACGACGACCGCCGGTGCACGATTTCCGGGGAATTTCGGTGACTCGTGTTTCAAGGCCTACAGGGAGAGTTTCTCTCGACGAGGTTTTCTGGAAGTCGTTCGACGAACGAAGGGGGTCAACCGGGAGACCCTCGGGTGTCGATTCCTCCTTTCCGGCGGCATTCCGGGAAGATCGGGCCCCGCGCTTAAATCATCGGAGAGGGAGGGGGGGGGGGGATTTTGAAAGGGAGGGAGTCACCTCGCGGGAACTCATTCCCCTCGTCAATTCTCGTGAGACGCCCGGCGCCGCGTCTAGGAGTTGCCGAGTTTCTCGGCGATGACGTCACCCTTCGGGAGAAGGACTAAATTGGGGTGGGACCGTCTCGGTCGCGGGAGCTTTCCCGGCGTGCCCCTTCAAACTCGGATTCCTCGGAGGTCGAGTCGGGGTTATTAAACTTCCTCGACTCGAAAGTTTGTTTCTCCGTTGCGGGCTCCGTAAAAATACACTACGCGGTGGCCGCACGCTCCGTATCGATCTCCACGCGGATAAGGAGTCCGCGGGGGACGTTGAACCGGGGGCACGCCGGGCGGCGAGAAATTAAGGGAAAAAGGGAAAGGAAGGGAACGCGGCGGCCCTGCTCGCCGACCAATCGAGGGAAGGACTCGGCCGAAGAAGTTCGCCCGGATCGATACGACTCAACAGGTTACCCCCCGCGCCTCCGAGAGAAGATGAAATCCCTGCCGCGCCCCCTGCCGGAGACGCCGGGGAGCGCCGGTTGCCCGGCAACCCGACTTCTCTCGCTCTTCCATCGACCGCGACTCGCCGGCATATCCACCCTGCGCGCGGTCCACCGACCGTGGCGACCGCGCCCGTCTACCGGACGCGCGCCACGTGCGCCCCGAGCTTTCCTCCCCCGCCGGCGCCATCTTGGGCATAGAAGAATCGAGATGGGATCTCCCTTCGTCGTGCTCGCTAACCGACGAGTCGACGAAATCTGCCGAAAGAGGAACGGTAGAGGGGTCGTCCCGAAGGAAGTAGAGGTGTTAAAAATGCCGTTGAAAATGCCGGTCCTTCCCCCCTCTATACGTGACTCCCCTCTCCCTCGTTTATCACCTCCGCCAGAGCCATTGTGGAAATTGCCGATCTTCCGGGGAATCCTTTGTGTGCCCCACGCTTTACTCGACGGAATGGCCTCCCCTCTCCTTTTGGCTTTGCGTTATTATTTCTATTAAAAGACTCGGGGGCTCGTCGGAATTAAAATTCAGTCCAGCTAATTTCGGGCCCGGGGACGGGGAAGATGCCGCCCGGCCTCGCCCCGGTGGTCTCTTTCGATGTACGACCGCGGCCCGCCTTCTTGGAATAAATGAATGCCACTTCTGTTGAATCGGCCCAGACTCGTGCCGATTCTTTCTCGACACGACGGAGAGATCCGCTGGTCCGGACACAGGCCATCTCCTTGTCTTCGCGAATGAAAAGGTTCCTTATGCCTCGCGTCGACGCGCCGACGTCCGATGGATTTCCGCGAGAACGTTCGTGCCGATCCCCCTCCTCGGCATAGAAAGAAAAATATCTAATCGAGAGGAAGGAAATTAAAACGGGAGGCCTCGGGATATTCCCTTCCTGGGCTCCCCTCGTATCGCTCGATTCTCCGTCTCCGGCGTGGAAAAAAAAAATAAATAAATAAATAAATATGACTGGACGCGTATAGCTTCCTCTTACGAGCGGTGTCTTCCCTTCAGGGTCAAGCCGTCGTCCAGTTGGCCAGAACCGTCAAGGATGTGACGATCTTCGGGGTCTGCGGGAAGCTGAAGCACGAGGCGCTGAAGGAAGCCGGCACCATCGATCATCTGTTGGAAAGAGGCACCGATTACAGCAGCGAAATCCGAAAGTACGATTATTCATACATTTGTTCGTCTATTTTAACGCGTCCACTCTCCGAGTGGGACTTTTTCTTGTAATCCAAACGATACCTTAAATGGCCCTCTTCGCAGGATCTCCCCCGAGGGCGTGGACATCGTTTTGGATTGTCTCTGCGGCGAGGAGTGCAACAAGGGGTACGCCCTGTTGAAGCCCATGGGAAGATACATACTCTATGGCTCTAGCAACGTCGTCACCGGGGAAACCAAGAGCCTGTTCTCCGCGGCGCGATCGGTGGGTATTCGCTTTCCCAGGTTCCTCGCCGAATCGCCGTACCCTGTCGAAAGAGAATGAGAGAGAGCGGATCGTTAATCGTGGTTTCGTTTAAAAGGGGGATAAATTAGTCCCGGCGAGCGACCGCGGCTCGTCGGGATCGGTCGGTGAAACGGCGTTTCCACGTCACGTCCCTTAATTCCTCTCTTTTTTTTTCTTTTTCCTCTCATTAACGAAGCCGGGAATTCGTAAATGCACCGAGGGACAATGTCGAGGATACGCGGGGCGCTCGTTATCGCGATTGGCCGGCACATAAGGGTGCCTTTTCATGCGCGTTAACTGACTCCTCCCTTCTTGCGGCGGAGTGCCCACATGACCCAAATTGACCGATGCGTCCCACGCGTGATTAATTCCAGGGGGAGAATTATATTCGTCTCGACTCCTTTACGTGAGAACGGAAGGGCCCTTTTTTCTTTTTTAATTCCTACTTCTGCCATTGGGGATCGTCCCTCGTTGATCGTTGGAAATCTATCCTCGCGGTTGGGGAGGGTCAGGGTCGCGTTGGGCGCAAGATGGAGATAATAAATCGTTTAATCGATTAACATTCCCGTTCGCAGTGGTGGCAGGTGGACAAGATCTCGCCGATCAAGCTCTTCGACGAGAACAAGACCGTGTCCGGGCTGAACCTGCGCCACCTGATGTACCAGCACGGTGGCCACGCGTACGTGCGAAAAGCCGTGAACCACGTCTACAGACTGTGGAGCGAGGGCCAGATAAAGCCGGTGGTGGACTCGACGTGGGCCCTGGAGGACGTCCCCGAGGCGATGCAGAAGATGCACGACCGCAAGAACATCGGCAAGATCGTGCTCGACCCGAGTCTGGAGCCCAAGCCGAAGCCGGCCACCCCGGCGAAGGGGAAGGCGAAGGACAAGAAGTCGGCCAGCCACGAGGAGAAGAAAGCGTCCAGCGTCGAGTCCGAGGACGGCGAGAAGAAGAAGGAGCCCGAGCTCACCAACGGCACTTCGGAGGACAAGTCCGACACCGGTTGGTATACCTCTCGTTAACTCCTCCTATAAGGACTCTCCGGGATAATGACCGCCCCTCCCTCTCTTTTCAGACTCGAAGGAGAAAGAATCCAGCTGAATTCCCGGCTGACCTTAACGCAACCGACAGAGGCCGACCATCACCGTAACCACCGCCGAGGAGTAAGACGAGTCCTGTTAAAGAAGATCACCGAAGGAACCGCGTTAGCCCATCCGTGATAAGAAGAAAGGAAAACGAAAGAAGAGAGTAAGGTATACGGAAGCGAAGTCAGAGAGAGAGAGAGAAAAAAGGAGTTAATCTTAATTTAGCGATAATAAGGAAGAGGGAAGCTGGCTCGGCGAGGGGAAGAGGTGGACGCGCGCGGCCTCTTCCCGGTGGGCGATCCGGGGCATTCGAGGAGGAGACCATCCGGGAAAAGCGACGTCGAGGCAATCGGGAATATGCGGGCTCTCTCTCTCCCTCCCTCCCTCCATTTCTCTCGCATGCCCGGACAGCGAATCGCATTTAAGCGCATTTAAAGGCCCCGTATAAAGGAGAGGCCCCCGAACCGAGGACCTCGTTCTCTCATCGAGTCCTCGATAAGATATTCGACCTTTTTATATATATATATAAATATATTCATTTTTAATTTTATACCAAGAGACCCTCGGCTTTGCGCGAGACGATCGATACTTCGTCACGATTATGTTTCCTTTTCTTTTCTTTTTTTTATTTGTTTGTTCCAAAGTGTCGCTTTTTAATCAGAGGTTTTTCCGTGTTTCTCCCCCTTTTATATGAAACGTGTACTCGTCGGGGCGCCGCGGCGTTTCTCCGGGACACGCCTAGAGTCTGTACCGGGGAAATGCTGGCTTCCGCCTCGAACCTCTGCGTCTCGGGATCGGTACGTAACGTGCCTGGTCTCTTGTTATTTTATATTATTTTATTTTATTTTATTTTTATTTTTTTATTTTTTTTAACGGATATACACGCAGTCTCTCTTGGTCGAGGAGCACGATTCGGTTGGCGCGCGTACGCCCGTAAGCGGATCGATTTATCGCTGCACGAATGCACCGTTGTTTTTAATTGCTACGATTTACTGCCAGATCGAACCTCTTGCTAGCGTCAGCCTCACACTTTATTCAGCAATTGTACCGCTATCGTTATACATATATACATGTACCCGCTACGATTTAACGAATACCGATCGATTACGCATCCGCGACGCTGCGGGGCCGTCTGGAAGTCCTTTGGAGATCGAAGCGTTACATTTGGTACGTACGTGTTACCCCGGTAGGCTTCGATTTGGAGAAGGCGGACATCGCGCGAGACCGGTCGCACCCCCCGTCCCCTTTTTCTACGCGAGTTACTCGAATATCTTTGGATGCTTTTTTATTGGGGCACTCGGTCTCTCGAGTCCGGCCCTCCACATGAACGACTACTGCCGACGCGTTTGTATAATTACCTCGCGGGGGATCAACTTAGTCTCGGACGTAGGGAGAGAAATCGGTCGTCGGGGTTTTCGTCGACGATCGGGACCACCGATTGTCTCGACCTCGTCGGTAGCGAGTTCATTAGCATATCGTTCTCGGGAGATATTTTCGAAGGATTTTTATCTTTAGAGGAGGTTTTCCGGGGCGCGTTTCGGCCGGACGAGGGGGGGTTTTTTTTCTCCTCGACCGGAAGGACGCTCCGAGGGTAGAGGATCCCTCTCGCCAAAAATGCACGTTTCGGTCGGATGCACAACGAGCGACGATCTCGAGGGGACGAGAGACAGTTTCCTTTTAGGCGCCATGCTCGCCCAGGCGAAGAGAGCGAAATCGGGCTGCATCGCGACTCGTCAGACCTTTTGGTACACGCGACAATCTTGCGCGCCCGCTCGAAGGGACCGACGCGTCTTCTTCTCGGGTGTCCTTTTTCGACGGTTTTACGTTCGGTCGTAGGGTAGGTGTCTCCTCGGATTTAGCCGGTCTTCGACCAGAGGACGATCGGGCTTAGAGCGAGATGAGAAACGGCCTGAGGATATGAATTTTCTACCTATTTTTCCAAGAGCTGCCCGCGGGATAACCGCGCGAGAATTCCACCGTTCGGTCGAGCTCTCGGTCCGCGTCTACGGTCTTCGAGGTAGCTCTGCGTAGGGGAGACCTCAGGGTTCCCGGCGGGGACTCGACTGCCTAGGCGAGGACGCGCATCCGAATCGTAGAGCCCTCCACCTTATCTCGCGCGTCTCCCGGCGCGAAGTCCAAATACAAAGTACAACGAGAGGTCCAAATTTTTTTCACCGTCTAGACGGCAGGATTAGGGATATCGCGCTCGCGCCGTAGCTTCTCGTTCCATCCTGGAAGGCGCGGGCGACGAGTCTCCTCGTGCCGAGGGGTAGGACGCGGATGCACGATGCATATCTCCGAAAGGAAACACGTTGGAAGCACTTTTTCTACGTGGGCCATTACGTGTTAGGGTGGTACCGATTAGTCCAGAGGTAGAGACTCGAGTCACCGATCGATCCAGGGTGGGAGAGATCGTTTCGGAGCCGGACCTCGACGACAAGGGTCGGGTAGGAAGCGATAGACCTCCCTCTCTTCCGGGCCATTTTTCACCCGTCGACGACCTACGGGGCGCGCGTCGTTCTCTCTCGGACCTCTCCGCGGCGAGTCGGGGCGCGCGCATATATTCCGCGATCGAGACGCATCCGGACACGTAGACCCTCGACCCGGTCCGCGGGGGCGCGCGGGCGTCCGCAGCGGGTCGAAACTCCCCCCGCCGCTCGCGGCGCCTGCGCGCGAGCGATCTCCCCCGAGAACGAGAGAATTCGACAGGACTCGAACCACGCGACGGACACGCGCGCGCACGCACACAAAAAAAACCACACGACCACGACACACTGTATATTTTACGTAAGGCTTTAAATGTTTCATCAAAATAACTATCTAATTATATTATAATATATCTATATATTTGTAACGACACAAGAACTTCCCCGAGCCCGACCCCCCAAGGCCCCAGATATCGAGTCGTTTAGTTGGCTAGGCGGCCGCCGCCGGGCGCTGGCGTCGCCGCGGCCCCGGCCCGACACCCGACAACCCCGGGACGCGGCGACGCGGGGGCCGCGGCGCGGGAATTAGTACGTAGCTTCCGTTTTTGATATTATTTTCTACTCGGCGTGTAGGCGACCCCGCGCGCTCGGTCGCCCCTTGGGGAACCGATGGGGGGACGCGGCCACGTGGATTTTCCCCTAGGGCGACCGGCCCCGCGGGTTTACCGACGAATCCTTTTATCGGTCGAGCGCTCTCTCGCCCGCCTCCGTTCCGGGCGGGACCGGGGTCCCGCTCTCTCTCGTGCGTTTCTTCTCCGTCTCCTCTGTCTCTTTGTCGATCGATTGCGGGCGAGATAAGCTGTATACACTCTCCTTAGTTTTAAGATGCTCTCGAAGTTATCCCGGGCGACCCAACCGTCTGAATATAAACGATCGATTATGTGTAAAATTGTAAAATTTATCCAGGGGACCGGGCGAGGGCGGGCGGTTCTCCCTCCCTCTCTCTCGTTCGCTTGCGCCGGGCCGGATAGCGTACATAACACATATAGCCGAGAAAAAGTAGCGGGAAGCCGCGAGCGAGGGACGCTCTTTCGAGGAGAGATGATAGCACCCGACCCGCCCACCTTTTACGCCCGGCCCTCGCAGGCTTGATATATAGATTGTATTTTTGGCTTATTATCGTAAGACTGACTATGTTGCTATATTAAAGATTGCTTCGAAAACGCGAGCCGCCGGGTTGCGTGTGTTTCTTTTGCGACCCTACGAGAGGACCCTAGGAGATAAACCGGACAAGACCGTGACGAGCAGGACTGGGTGAGCGACCGATCTCTTTACGAATGGAATGACGTAGAAGGTAGGAAAGTATTTCAATCTGAGATTTAAATAGGAACTTACAGCCTGTATCGAGTTAAAGTTCGATTATGAGCGCTGGTGAGTTCAGCGATGTCGCGAAGCAGTTATGAGCAGAGATGAAAAATTTATTGAATTTAAAGTCAAAAAGAGGTAGGCCACCGCCGTCAACTGCCGCATGGTATTATCGTCACGAGTACGTAAGCCGCCAACGGCGACTGGCAGATGGCACCACCATCGCGAGAGAAATTCGTTGCGCCGCCTTTGCGGACAAGAAACGGTGAAAGCTAACCTACGAAACCAGGGGGCAGCACTGGATGGGATCGCACGACCCTCCCCGTGAGCAATCTCCCAATTCATCTCTGTCTCTGTTAGAGGATTGTATTGCTTCGTTATCAAAACATGCAAAACATAATCTGTAAGTAACGGACGCCTGTTAATATCTTAATATATGATATATAAAGTTTTAAATCATACCCGACAATTCCAGGATGCCATTAACGGACTGCAATCCGCGAGTACGGTGTGAAACACGATTTTAATTTTTTCCGAATAAGATACAAGTTTTGTTGCAAAATGCGTGCACCAGGAGACTTCACTATAGTCGGTGGTGACAGTGCCTTTGCAAACAGGCAGAAGCTATTATTTGACAAACTGTCAATGGCAGAGAAAATGTGCAGCAAGGATACGAATAATACCCCACCGCTATTCCCTGAAATTCCGCACGTTCGGAAGGAGAGATTGAATAAAATAAGAGAAACTAAGAGGTTTCGAGGAAGGGAAAGTATCTTCAAGCGTCCCGAAGGACCTGCGCCTCGTACGAACATCAGGAGCATTCCGGATCACCATCGGAATCCTCATAAGTGGGTTAAGTACAGTTTAGAAGATGTACCAACTGAAGACATGTCGGAGCGCAGCAATGCACAAGCGGCATATTGTTTTCTTAGAGAATTAAAAGCCAGAAAGGTCAGGGAACAGAAAGAAGAAGAGATGAAAATGGAGATCGACGATGCCCAATCGACGATGGAGAAAATTAAAGAGAAAGCAAATAAATCTACGAGTAGAGTAGAATTCAAGAAACCATCTACCGAGAATGAGGAAGTCAAAGGCTCACCGGTTATCATAGAACACGACGGTAAACCATTATTTAGAAGCAGCAAGATCATCATGCCGGAGTATGTCGTTGGCGAGAAACCAAAGAAAGTAAAGAAAAGCCGACCTGTTATTAAGATCGATCGTTCTAAGCAGCTTAAACTGAGCCATTTGGAAGAAGTTGATGCCGATGCTGACGACTAAATTTTTATTGGATAATCCCTCATGATATACTAGCTTGTAATTTTAATGTAAATTTGGTAATTAAATTAATGGAATTATGGACATTTCAAATTACTGTTCCGCAGTTTATACTAACGCTCGTACACAAGTGTGCTTTCATTTTTAACTATGATAAACTACTATGTACCACAGAAAAAAGGAACAAGCTAAGTGGAACCACTTGCGCAGTTGTCTGCGGATTGGTGCTATTCTTAGGGGATGGCTCAGCTTGTAACGTTCTCCGCCGAGTGCAGACGTACGAAACCAGAGGCCAGCACAGGGTAGGATCGCACGATCATGCCTGTAGGCAATCTCCCAACTCATTTCTGCTCCTAGCTCATCTCTGGTTTGTAACTAATTTCCCATCTTGTCTTTTGTGCGATTGAAGTTGAACTAACCTTAAAAGCACGTTGCTACCGTCTCCCGAGTGGGAGGAATAGGTTAAGTTGAGAGTCAATCTGCTCAAACATGTCTCTGTACAATTTCAAGAAAATCGCGGTGGTTCCTACCTCGAAAGATTTCATCGACATCATTTTATCAAAAACTCAACGGAAGACACCAACCGTAATCCACAAAAATTATAATATCAGTCGCATCCGCGCTTTCTACACGCGGAAGGTGAAGTTTACTCAGCAGAGTTTTCATGATCGACTGTCTTTAATAGTTCAAGAGTTTCCGAAGCTAGACGATGTTCACCCGTTTTATGCAGATCTGATGAACATTCTGTATGACAAGGATCATTACAAATTGGCCCTTGGTCAGATAAACATGGCTCGACATCTAATTAACAACGTTGCAAAAGATTACGTACGTCTTATGAAATTCGGTGATTCCTTGTACCGCTGTAAGCAGTTGAAGAAGGCTGCACTTGGTCGCATGGCCACGATCATGAAACGACAAGCAGCAAATTTGTCGTACCTAGAACAAGTGCGACAGCATTTGGCTCGTTTGCCCAGTATCAACCCATATACCCGTACCATTATAATTTGTGGATTCCCAAATGTTGGCAAAAGTAGTTTCATTAACAAGATCACACGAGCAGACGTGGAGGTCCAACCGTATGCATTTACCACAAAATCGCTGTATGTTGGACATACGGATTATAGGTACTTACGTTGGCAAGTCATTGATACTCCAGGAATCCTAGATCATCCTCTTGAAGAACGTAATGTCATAGAGATGCAGGCTATTACAGCTCTTGCCCACTTGCGTGCAGCCGTGCTATATTTCTGTGATGTTTCGGAGCAGTGCGGATATTCTCTTGAACACCAAATTAAGCTCTTTGAGTCGATCAAGCCTTTATTCTCAAATAAACCTCTGATGGTAGTCGCAAATAAAGTTGACGTCGTAAGGCTAAACGATCTACCAGTGGAAAAGCGAGAACTCTTAGACAACTTGACAAATGATGATAAGATTCCCGTCATAGAAATGAGTACTCTCACCGAATTTGGAGTTGCGGACGTTAAGACAAAAGCTTGCGAGTCTCTTTTGGCTTTCAGAATCGATGAGAAATTTAAGACAAAGAAAGTCGACAATTTGTTGAGTCGGCTGCATGTCGCGCAACCAGCTCCAAGGGATGAAAAAGTTCGACCTGCTAGTATCCCTGAGACGATAATTGCAAAGAAGCAAAATTCAGCCGATAAAAATAGCAGGAAGCGAAAACTGGAGAGAGAAATAGAAGAGGAATTAGGTGATGATTATGTTCTCGATTTAAAGAAGAACTACGACATCGAGGGGGAAGAAAAGTTTGACAACATTCCAGAAATCTGGGAAGGACACAATATTGCTGACTACGTCGATCCTGAATTGTTTGAGAAGTTAAAATTATTGGAAGAGGAAGAGCATGCAAGAGAAGTGATGGATGCATACGTCTTCACCGGACCGTCGAAAGAGATGTCCGAGATCTCAAACCTGGCTAAGCAGATTCGTGATCAAAGAGTGATCATGTCGCAGGAAGCTCGAATTAACAAAGCCAGTACGAAGCCGGTGATACCTCGAACCAGCACGGCAAAGGCACGAGGTAGGTCCGTCTCAAGACTGAAGGAAGAGATGGAATCTCTTGGCGTGGATATGGAAGACACCGAAGAGGCACACTTCACAAAACAAGTCAGTCGATCTCGATCCACATCCAGAGCGAAAAAGATGAGGACAGAGTCGAAGGACCTGTCAAAGGCTCGCAGTGGTTCGAGACCACCTCGTGACGAAATGGGCATAAAGGACACCACCATGCAGTCGAAGTTGAGGAAAGTCGCTCACAAGGCGATCAAAAAGAAAGTTGCGAAGAAAGGACTCAAGGGCGAAGCGGATCGTTTCATCGGCACAAAGATGCCGAAACACTTGTTCTCTGGAAAGCGAGGAATTGGCAAAACCACCAGGAGATAAATTCTTTATCCTATTTATAGTTCGTCTAAGAGTGTAAAAATATTCCCTAACAACAAACCATTGCCACCTCACATTACAATTATGTAATAAAGTACCGAATTTTGAAAACCAAACTCCTTGGGATTGTTCCGACTAACACGTATGGTGTAACAATTTTATATTTCACAATGTTAATACAACCAACAAAGACGAGTCCCAGAGAGGGTTCCAGTGTACATATTTACAGGTATCGATTAGACAACCCCAGCGACAAATACGGAAAGACTCACAAATAAAACAAAAAAATAATGATTTCCACGTAGACTCACGATTCAATGTAAAAAATACAATAAGTATGCTCTAGCAGTGACTCGACGTTGCAAAACATTTATCCAAGTGACCGTCATAAAATAATGTACAGTGAACTTCTAATACAACGTTAAAAGCAAGATCTGCACCAAATCGCGATAAAAAAGCGTAAAGGAATGTACGTTTAAAAAATAGCTTATAAGAGCGTTCTAAGAATATAAAGAAATCTGCTGCGTAAATACGTAAAATCAACAGCAACGAGTAAAATTATACAGCGATGGACCCGATCGGACGTCCTTGACATACCATGATTTTTGCCATTTAATTATTCCTACGTCAACTGATCTTGCAAGTAAATGATAATTCAACCGTTAAACCCTTTTAAGCGATACGGCAAATCAAAGCCCTACTAGTTGTGCTCAAAGGGTCGATATCCACAATTTGCCCACTTTTGCTGTACACGTAATATTATACATAATTAATAGCGACGAACTTTCACGGAACGGTGCACCTTGTCTAACACAGGGCCCGTTACACTTACAAGTACATATCACATTACTGATCAATGCATCGGGACGCGACGGTTCTTAATAGGAAACTTATAAAACGGAGCAATTAAATGCTCTCAATAATCAGGACGTAATCGGGGTAATTGATGTTCGCGCGTGGACGTGACTCGAGTTAACCTAGTTTCGCTTAAATAGCGAAAAGAAACGATTCCAAAAATATACTCGTGGAATCGGCAAAAGGGATACAAGTAGCACCGCGAGAGGATTTTACAAAACTACGACGACTACCACTTCCGTCAGAAAAAGAAAAGAAAAAAAAATTTAAGTAATCAAGAGAACTGGCTTGGAACTTACGACCTCGAAGTGCCGCGATAGGGACCCTAGACTTCTCGAAATTCTATCTTCGACTACTTTGAACCTCGGAGTATCCCTGAATTTGAGTGGCCTAGCTTCATCCAGACTAGAACCTTAAACTATAAAATCTCTATGACCCTCCTCCAATGGCGCCTCCGAAAATTCAAAGGTACTATCCCGTAATTAGGGAGGAATTAACTGGCGCGTTAAGCCCCAATCGGTCCGTTAAAATAAAAGAGTACCTTCGAGTGCCCAGGTAAGCAGGGTCCGAAAGGTCGGAGTCCTCGACCGGATTAAAAAAACTACGTATACCCAAGGCAAGCCGGGAAGCTTAAAGACTACGAGACCTTATCTAACTCTTATCTAAAATGGACGAATGGTACCAATAACCAACCATGGCCGACCATGACGAGCATTCGTATCGCGCTCGTGAACTTGACTTCTCCTCCGTTCGTGAAAGGAGTTCGCTAATCTCAGGCTAAATATCACAACGGCGTCTCTACTCTACTGCCTTCGGTTTCAGGCAGCCGACCAATGCTCGGATCGCCACAGCAGGATGTACATGTTATGCCTAAGATCCTCGGCCTCGAGGCTGTCGACGGGGAACTCGGTGTACCTGGAGATCAGGCTCCTGTATCCCTGTCCGACGGTCGCCAGGACGAGTTTCTTTTTATCGGAGGACCTGAAGGAGATGATCTGGCAGACCTTGCCCTCGAAGGGCCTGAAGACGGTGATGGGTCTCAGGGTGTTGCACTCCGCGGCGACGATGCAGCCCCAGGTGGTGCCTATGTACAGCTGATTCATGCAGGTCTCGAAGGCGGTGACCTGGCACCGCTCGGTGGTCAGGTTCTCCTCGATGGAGATGGACTTGAGGCTCTCCGAGCACGGGACCAGCTTCGACATGTCCAGCTTGTTGACTATCTGCCTGGTGTCCAGGTCCCACTGGTGCACCACGCAGCCGGGATAGGTGTAGGACAGGACGGAGTTCTCGGTGCTGAGCAGATACGTGGCGAATAGGTTCTTCGAGGCGGTCTCGCCGGGGACGTGGGCCAGGACGGCGGTCTCGATCAAGCTTCCGTCTTTAAGGACGTAGACCGAGATCCTGCCGAAGCTCTGTCCGGCCCAGAGCTCGAGAACTCGCCGCTTCCGGTAGACCGCCGCCAGGGAGTAGGTCTTCAGGTTCTCCTCGACCTCGGTTACGACCTCGGTCTTCCTTAGCTGCGTGAAGGAGCTGGAGAGGAGGAATATCTTCCCGCTGTGGAGGGCGACCGCGAACTGCTTCATGGGCTCCAGGTGGATCAGGCCGACGACCTTGGACTCCTTGTTGCGATCCGGCTCCATGTGGTAGCTGCCGACGCAGCCGAAGTTGCTGCCCAGGTAGACGTGAATCTGGCCGGCGTTGTCGCCGATCCAGATGTAGCCGTCGAGGCCGCACATCGCGTAGGGTATTACCGGGGTCTGGATGCGCACGTGCTGGAGCCAGCCCTTCTGGGTGCCCAGCAGCATGTCGACCTCGCCGTTGTTGTGCCCCAGCCAAACCTCGTCGCCGCCGCTGTTGTCCTCCAGCGGTCGGCTGGTCACCGTGATGGCGGTCACCTGGGTCCTCTCCGTCAGCACGGTCACGTCGATCAGGTGGACGAACTCCGGGGCCGAGGCTATGGACACTATCTGGCTGGCCGTGGGCCGGTCCTTCGGGTTCTGGGCCCAGCAGATGACCATCAGGTCCAGGGCGTAGCAGGGATGGAAGGTATCTCGGTAGGTGAGCGGTGGTCGACCGCCCTCGAGGATGCACTCCTTGACCGCCTCGTGGCCCTCGAAGGGCTGGCGCAGGGTCACCAATTCGTAGATGAACATGCCAAAGGAGAAGGAGTCCACCTTCTCGGTGTATTCCTCCTCCCCGTTGTACCTGATGATCTCGGGCGCCATGAAGCCCTCGGTCCCGCCGAAGCCCTTTGCCCCCGAGGGCAGAGTCAACCTGGAGATCCCGTAATCCGCGACCTTGACGTGCACCGGATGCTCGGGATGGTCCTGGAAAGGCAGAGGCATTTGCCACACCAGGACGTTCTCCGACTTCAGGTCTCTGTAGATGACGTGCTGTTGGTGCAGGTACTCGACCGCTTTTGCGACCTGAAGGACGATGGCCTGCAGCGTGTAAGGGTCTAGCTTCGCCCCGGACCTGCGGTAGTTCTTGAGGGCGGTGTCCAGCGCCCCTTCCGGAGCCAGGTCTAAGACTAGAGCCAGAGGACTTATCACTATCCCTACCAGAGGAACGATGTTGGAGTGCCTCAAGGTGAGCAGGATGTTGAGCTCCTGCCTGGCGGTGCAATAAGCCTTGCACGCGTACTGAAGAGGATCTCTGTCCCACTTGCTCTGGGCGGCCTTGTAGGCCAGGATCGCCGACTGCTTGGAGTTGGGTCCGGGAGGAACCGGCTGCAGCATCTTCATGGCGACGTCCGCCTTGGCGTACGTTCCGGGCAATCTGCAGGTACCCTTGAAGACGAACCCGAAGGCCCCCCTGCCCAGCATCTTCCCTCTCTTCACGTCCTCCGGCCGGATGAGGTGTCTCGCCCCCAGGTCCATGAAGATGATATCCGGCGCCACGTGGGACAGAGGGATGTCCGAGTGCTTGGGACACGAGATGGACTTGTTGCCGTAGGCCGAGAGGATGCACTCCTCTACCATCCAGGAGTACACGAGCGTGCCCTCCGCCTGCCGTTCGCCCACCTCGGGGTGTCCTTCCAAGGAAGGCATCCTGCTGGACGCGGAGCTGTCGTAGCCCACCCCGCTGTCGCCGTCCGACTTGTAGCTGTCCTGGCTCTGGCGCTCCTTGTTCACATAGTACCCGTGGATGTCCTCGGTCGAGTGCTCCTGGTCGTGGGCCTCGACCTCGGCGTCTCCGCCGTTCAGCAGGCACCTGGGGCAGGGTATCAATCGAGTGACCAGAAGCTTCCCTTCGGAGGTGTGGACGAACCTGGTGCCCAGGGTGGGGTACCAGTCCTCCAGGAGAATATCTATGTGGTCCACGATCAGCGCCAGGAGCTGAGGCATGCTCTCCGGTCGCGGCTCCACCACGATGGCCTGGTACCCCATAGGCTCGTCTCCTCCGGACTCCGACATTATGGGCTGCTTCACGACCAGCGTGTCCACGGGGAACCAGATCTCCAGGATGGCCGAGTTCTTCAGGTCCACCGTGCACCAGATACCGTCCTGCTTCAGCTTGAACTTGAACTGCCGATAGTCGTAGGGCGAGCTTTTGACCCCGCAGTTGACCTCCTTGAGCCTGAGCAGGGTTATTCCGGCGTACCGGAGCTCTATCCCGGTCTGCCAGAGGATCCACTCCGCGTGGGTGTCCAGCAGACTCGCAAAGATCCTGTCCTCGACGAAATCCTTGAAAGGCGCCAGGAAGGACATAACTATCTCGACTATGGCGTCGTCCGCGAGGATCCTGGTGATGAGCCTCGACCAGAATCCGCTGGGGAAGTATGACATGAGCAGCAACCTGGTGACCGAGCAGTCCGCCTGCGGCCTGGAGGACAGGACGCACTCCGTGTTCATCGTGTCTCCGCTGGCGCTGGGGAAGGTGAACATGGGCGAGGCTATCTTCTTGGTTCTCACGTGCCAGCCCCGCGTCTTCACCGGCACCTTGATGAGCTGATTGTTCCTGAAGACGTCCTCCTCCGTGGGAAGCAGCGAGGGTATCAGCAGGGTGCGGTAGTCCCAGGTCAGCGCCACCTCAAATTTATTCAGCAGGCTGACGATGTAACCTTGGGTGTCCATCGTAGATATCGTCGAGGACTTGAAGACGTGCTGGATGTCGTCCAGCTTCATGATCCCGGAGCGAGCGAAGGGGTTGATCTCCCTGATGGTCACCACGTGGGCCAGCATGTCGCAGAGCCATTGGGGATCCAGGAAGTAGAGGTCCTTCAGGGTCGCGTCGTCGTAGTGCAGAATGATGCCGTTGTCGTGAAGGAACAACGTGGCCTGGTGCAGTTCGGCGGGGTCCCTGAAGGACCGGTGCAGCTTCTGCAGCTCGTTGTTCACCGCTGCGTAGTACTGATCAGCCTTGAGGACCGGGTCGGCGCCGGAGAGCTTCCTCTCGTGCGCCAGCTGCACCACCACGTCCTCCAGGGCCAGGTAACTCGCCGGCACCCGCTGCTCCAGCAGCAGCTCCTTGCTCCCCGGGGACTTCAAGCTGAATACGACATCATAAATTAAATTGCACAGCATCTTGATGTTGTGCCTGGTCTTGCAGCTGACCTCGATGGTCTCCATCACCTTCGGGAGGCCGCACTTCTCCGCGTCGACGACGTTGATGAACTTGTCGCGGATGTACTGCTGAAGAGTCTCGCTGCGGTCGTTCGAGACGTCGTAGTGGGTGCCGACGATAACGACGGGCGAGTTGGGCGCCCTGCTCTGGATGTTGACGAGCCATTGAAATATCTCGGAGACGCCCTTGAAGCCGTCGGTGATGCGCCAGACCACGAGGTAGAGGCTGCGCTTCGAGAGGAAGTACTGGTGGGTGGCGTAGTACTCCTTCTGTCCGCCGAAGTCCCAGGTTCTGAAGTAGACCGGCCCGTGGGAGGACTGACCCCTTACCTTCTTCTCATAGAGCCAATCGCCGATGTCGACGCCAACGGTGGAGATGGTTGTCCCTCTCGCGGTCTTGGCGTTCGTGTTCTTGTTCCCCATGCGCTTGGCCCAGTGCTCGGAGGCCTTCTTCTTGTTGGGCACCTCGCCCTCCTGTCGCAGCTGCTCCAGCAGGCTGGTCTTGCCGATGCCCTGGATCCCCACGATCATCAGCTTCATCCTGGCGTAAGGCTTGGCGTCCTCGAGCACCGACTTCAGGTACCCGATCACGTCCATGGTTTTGTACTTCTTGGACTCGATCATGGACTTCAGGGGCTCCTGCAGTCTGCAGCCCTGAGTGTTCAGGTTCCACAGTCTCGACAGCAGCCCCATCTGCGGGGGCAGCTCGACGATATCACAGTTCCCGCTGATGTTGAGAACGGAAAGGTTGTTCAGCTCGTAAATATTATGCGGTATCTCCCTGAGCTGGTTGTTGCTGACGTCCAACATGCTGACGTTGGGGAAGAGGAGGTACAGCTTACACCCCGAGTAGGTGATCTTGGTGTCCCGGTCGATGCTGTCCTCCTCGGGGCCGGGCGCCTCTCCGTCGTCCACGGAGGTGAGTTGGATCCTGGTCAGCAGGTTGTTGGCAAGCACCAGAGTCCTAAGGTTCTCCAGCCGCAGGTGTCGCCGGTGGTTGCAGACGGACATCAGGACGACGTCTCTCAAGGAGGTGACGGTCTGTCGATTGCTCGGCCCCACGGGGGACTGGATGTTCGAGGTCGGGCAGTAGCAGGCCGTGGTCGCCTGTTCCATGGAGTCGGCGCCCTCGACCTGCGGCAGACTCGGCCAGCAGGTGATCCGGTTGTTGGAGAGGTCCAGCTGCTTCAGGGTCGCCGGGTAGGACGTGATGTGGCTCATCGACCTCAGCGAGTTGTACGCCATGTTGAGTCGCACCAGGCTCACGGCCAGACAGGGCAAGGACACCGGGATGGCGGTGAAGAGGTTGTGCGCCAGGTTCAAGGAGGTCAAGACCGACCTGGAGCCTGGCTCCGTGTCGTCCGCGACCTTCTCTGACACCTGGACGGACCCCGTCCAGACGTGCGGCCGGTTCATCTCGACGACCTGGGCGTTGGCCAGCTTGGCGAAAGTGCTCAGCTCCATGGAGTCCTCTCGAGCCATGCCGGCGTGCGAGGCGAGGCTCCGACTGCTGGGACTGCTCGTCAGGATGTCCTCGCGCTGCGACTTCCTGGTGATGTTTTGGGATGCCTGGCTCGGCAGGTCGCGCAGTAGGTTGAACGAGGCGTTTAGCTCCTTCAGCTTCGGCGCCCTCCATAGGTTGTCCGGGAGCCGCTGCAGTTTGTTGTTCGACACATCCATGATCTCCAGCGACGGCAAGGTCATGAGAAACTCTGGGATCTGCTCCAACCGGTTGTCCTGCAGGTAGATCTCCTCCAGGACCGGGCACAGCTTGTCCTTGGGGCTCTTCGCCTCCGCGGTCAGGGTGTCTATCTTGTTCTGAGCCATGTTCAGGTACTTGAGACTCTGCAGGTAGAACACCACGGACGGCACCGACGTAATCGAGTTGTGGGAGATATCCAACCTGGTGATGGCGTACAGGGCCAGGTCGTTGTTCTTCGGGGCCAGCTTCCTGTTGACGTGCAGCACCGCGTCCACCAGCCACTGGGCCCGGATCTGCGAGAGCCGACACTGCTGGTCGTGCCAGTTGATCATCGTCGGGATGTTGGGGAACAGCGAGGAGTAGGTGACGTTCCCGAAACTGGGGAGAGCGGAAAAATGAGAGGAGGTCTGGCCGTTGTCCGTCATCGCTTTTTTGTTGATCTTGTACTCGGGGTCGGGGTGTGCCTTTATCGACAAGAGCTTCGCCGTGAGGGTCTCGTCTCTGTTCTGAGCCGCGATCTTCAGGGCCTTGCACTCGTTGTCCACGGCTCCGTGGCGCAGCAGAAGGTCCGCGATCTTGACGTCGCGGTTCTGGCAGGCTATCGTCAGCACCGTCGAGAAGTCGACCTCCGGGTCGGTGCGGTCGTAGGGCACTCGCACGGGCAGATTCGGGTTAGCACCGGCTAGCAAGAGAGCGGAGACCACCTCGGTGTGTCTGGCCTTCACCGCTGCGTGCAACGCGGTCTCCGTGTTGTTGTTGCAATACAGGTCCAGATGCACAGGGCTGATCGCGTTGTCGTCCTTCTTGTCCAGAGACTTCCCTCGGAAATTCAGGCTGGACATGAGTCTTTGAATCCCGCTAGAGATTCGGTGTTTGGACGTAGGTAGAAGCTGCGAGTTCCCCGTGTCGTCTTCTTTGATTTTCCTTGCCTTGACCCGGTAGCCGAGAAACAGGTCGACCACTTTCGTGTTTCCCAGCATACTGGCTATGTATAAAACGTTCTGACCTGTCACGTCCTGAGAGTTGACGTCGAAGGGCATCTCGTACTCGAATTCCCCGGAGGGGTCTTTGTATCTCTGATAAAGGTGCTGGGGATACTCGAACTTCAGGAGGGAGTCTACGATACCGATGTGACCATTGATGGTTGCAGCATGAATCGGTAGCCATCTCTCCACGGTCAGGGACTGCACTTGCTTGGGAAAGTGTTTGAGCAGTAGTTCCACTATTTCTGACTTTCCATTGTAGCACGCTATGTAGAGAGGGCAGTACTTGGTCACTGGGTGCATCCTGCAGTCCGCACCGTGGTCCAGTAGAAGCCGTACCATGTCCTTGTGGCCCATTTCGCAGGCCACAAAGAGCAAGGTATTAGCACCGTTAGGAGCCATATTAACTATGCACTCCGAGTCGTCGGACAGACTTTGAATAATACCTCTAGCTTGGATCGTGTCACCCTGAATGCAAGCAGCCCGCAAAGAGGCATGCGTAGCTAGTCTTGCTAGTTCATATTTTTCTGCAGCAAGTTTTAGCAGCTCGATGCACCTTGAATGCTCGCTCTTCTCAGAAATATCCAAAGGAGTCAGCCCGCTGTCATCTCGAACCATTAAGTCTACATTGTACCGTAACAACGTCTCCACGTTGGAACTGTGCCCATGTTCCGTGCAGACGTGCAAAGGAGTTCGATAGCGGCCCCTAGGGCCACACGGGATGTTAGGATTTGCTCCAGCACACAAAAGAACTCCGAGGCATCGGGAGTTCTCCGTGATAGCTGCGGCATGCAGCGGCGTTCGGCCCCAGGAGTCCTGCTTATTGATGTACTGAGCGTGCTCGCCTCGCAGGAGGTCTTCCAAAAGCTCCGCATTGTCCCAAAGAGCTGCTTGGTGTAACAGACGACCAGGGAAGTCCTCGTCTACCGGAGTATAATCCTCCATTTCTTACACCTAGAAGCAGACAATTTTATTTATAATTAGGTTTCGAGTGAAATGATAACGGATGTGTCTTCGGTCTAGGTCTACCTTTGCCATCCATGTTAAGCAGAAAATTCACTTACTCGGAATAAACGTTCTCCATCGAATTTTGAATACTCCGAAGTCGACGCGCTTCAAATACTGTTGAAAATGATAAATATACTCATTCTCGATTTTCGTAGTAAAGGAGGAATTAAGGAAAACGAAGTATATTCTTGAGAAAAGGCACAATATCGAGTGCGCTATCGGGTCAAGACCAAATACTGCATTATCTTTAGCGCTACTAATTATTAGTGGCAAGAGAAAAACTGATAAACAAGAGGAACGAAGAAACCTGACATATCGGCCGGAGCTGTCAAAGGCCGACTTACGAGTGATTTTTCTTTCGAGGACGCGCGAATTCGTAAACGAAATTTATTTCCAAATCCACTTTAAGACTTCCTTCAGCCCGAGGTTTGTTGCGAGTTAACAAGAAATAGCCAAATAGGTGGAAATCCTGCTTCGACACTAACGGCTAGCCGGACACCGAGCTCCGGAGCCGCCATTTTGCGACTGCCATAGACGCGCCAAATTCGAAGCTGGTCGATTCGACAGAGATCTTGGCCTTCAACATTGAACGCTCTCTAGGTCACGTAATCGCAAGTTTGCCGCGTTCGATATATAAATACTAAATTTTAAGGGCTCACCATTCAGTGTCGAGTAACTCGATGTTTGGTGCCTATCTGAAAATCCGTACAATCGATGGCCCACTCTGCAACCGCAAAGGGGCGTTAATTTTCCCTTCCTTACTCAGAAATAAATTGCTGGTAACAGCAAAATCTATTACATAACGTCAGGTCGGTTTGTTTACAGTTCCACAATTTAACCTTGCGCTCGGAGCGATGCACGCACTTCTATGCGTACATTCAGCCTCCAATTAAACGACTAACGGAGCTGAACGGGCTCGAGAGCGATGCTACTCTCCTTTAATTATTTTTTTTAAAGTCAAGGTGCGCCCCTTGAGTAGGTCGAGAGACCTTGGCTGATATATCGAATGTACACGCAAACCGCGGGATTTTTACGCGGAGCAATTATCTCCTGTACCGCGAGATGGGTATCATTTAATACACGTATTAACCGCATTAGACCACACGTTAGTGGAAAGTTGCGGTAAAATGTAAGAACCAGGCACCGTAACCGAAACTAAACAGAAACTCGTTCGCAGCTTTCTCCACCCACCGATTTCTACTTCGCTTTCGATTTTCGCTTTTTATACGAACGATATTACTTTGCTTATAAATTTAATTCCGAAATAGATACAAAACCGCGTTCCTTACTTTATTTACAGTCATCAAGGTTTCCCTTGACATCCTTCAAGATTAAGAGCTCTCGCTAAATTTCGCGCAGCGGCTAAACAAAAGATTCCAATTTTATTTTGGAATTTCGAGTCGTCGCCATGCTCTTCAACGGAACGAAGCAGCTCGAAGGTATCTTCGGAAGTTAATATAATGTCTTCAGCTTCCAGTAGCGGTATGGCATCGGTCAACAGAATAGACCAAAAGCTGAAAAAAATAAATAAATAGATCGCGATACTTCCAATATACACATTTTTCAAGTGAAAGGAAACAGTTTCACTTACTAGGAAGGCGTCAAGTTAGACTTCAGAAGAGACATTAATAAACTTGCTGCTTCCTTAAATTCACCGATTCCATACATCTGGTGGAACTCACAGTACTTCCCTAAAATTATTCCATCACGATACAGTCGTCCTAACGAGCACAAGAAATATTTCCTTACCTAAGAAAGTAAGTCGATCACTGACCAGCATACAGCTTCCCAGGTTCTCGAGTAAATCGCGACACTTCAGCTCGGCTTGTTCCGCGTATTGTTTCAGAAATTGATCGGCAATGTATGTCGCGAATGCACTATCCTGTGCTTTTAAAGCCCAGGCCAACGCACTTCCCAGCCTGCCTTGACGAATACATTTCATTCCCTGAATTTTGCATATACTGACAACTGAAAATGGATCCAATTACCTTATGAATTATTTATTTGAAATTATCAACACATACCAACGTTGTTCATGCCGTTTTCTTTGGCAATGTCAATGATCTTTTTAATTCGAGCCTCGGTAGTTAATGGAAGAGTCTGTAGTAATAATTCCAACCTGCCTAGACCTTGCCGAGGACATTGAACTAGATAACTGGCACCACACTGCCAGAGAGAATGATGGGACATCAGAATGCTACCATAATCTAGTATAAGGGACTCATGTAACTGTTGCGTAACACTGAAAAATAATACAGGACCTTTAATTTTGAAATGAATGCTACAGCTCTTTAATTCTTTCATACCGAATAATAAAAACTGGTTGAGATTCATTAAAGTAACTTACTTAATTTGATTTTTATCAATCACATTCAGCTTTCCACAGTGATAGAGCAAGTCGGTCAGATGGGCAGCAAACCAGCCATTGTCATTCATGTATTGGATTTCTTTAATAACTTGATGTAAATCGCTCTCCATAAGAGCTAAAATTACGTGATCCAAATGTCTTCCTGCTTGCCACTTTTCTGCAATGTTGTTCGCATGGCGAGCAAGCTCAGGCTGCTTGCAGCAAGGGCTGGAATAGAATAATTTTGCTGCAAGAAGTTCGTACCACGCATCTGTGTATTTTGAGAAGTCCCATATAGCAGACTCTTCTCCAACCACCATCTACAGCATAGCATAATTAATTATTATTCAGAACAACGTTTCTGGTAATTGGTAATAATTAACTGTACATCATTCATTTTATATCAGTGAACTCACTTTCATCATAGCTTCTAAATCGCTATCACCAGCAAATGCTCTGCTTTCAAGACGTGATGAAAGGTCCAATTGCCAGTGCTTCCACCGCATGATAAATTCATTAACCGAATAGCCACCATATACGTTATACACAGGCATTAATTTTAAAGCATTCTCCGCAGCAATGAAAGCAGACTGATCTGCTTTACTGTGCAATGCAAGAAGAGCGCGTACCATATCCAGTTTACCGTGAAGTGCACAGCCTATCACAGTTTCCCAGTAGTTCATATTTTCCAAATCAGAACCTATTGCTTTCTTTGCTAGAATTTTTATTGCTGCCAATTCACGCGAAGGAAAGTGAAATCTAACCCATTCCAGCAATTGTGGTAGAACAACATCACCTGTAATAACAATTTTTATAAGTTATTAAATTATATCAGATCGTAACCCCATTATAGTTGACGAGAATGTTTAATCGATTATGCTTTATAAGATACCTGGAATTGTGTCAACGTAGAGTATCTCTGTTAAATGCCATACACATTCAACATTATAAAAGATTGTCATGTAGTGTTCCAACATGGATTTTTTATCTGGTAGGGACTTTTCCGATATGTCTTGCAATCCTTCCACGCATGCCCTTAAAATAGATCGATACTGTTTGCTGTGCTTTAAAAGTTCAACTCTCAAGTCCACAGAAGCTGAGGATTTAAGTTTTTGAATGGACAAGAAGACTCCATTACTTTCATTGACGAGCTTGCGCAGAGCAGGTGAAAACAGAATTACCTCTTGTCTTAAAAAATGGACTTTTGCAGTACATGGACTGTAGCTACTTGGAGTATCTAATAAATAAATGAACTCTTATTATCTTACATTAATTTTGTGAATAAAATTCATGAGAGCGAACCAACCTTGGGAATTGACATCAATATGCCTATATGCATGAATACCAAGTTTATTCGGCCTAAGCCAAGTAGCAGAGATTCCAGCCCTTCTGCAGAGATCATCTGGAATTGCCTAAAAATATCATTCATGAATATTTTGCCTAATTTTTAAACATTCAAATATAACCTCTTCATATATCACTTAAAGATTCTCAGGTTATGTGCAACTATGAAATTTTAATACTGCATCAATAAACTTACAATTATTTGAGCGTTGTCCACTTCTCCCATTCTTGATGTGTGAATTAAATGAATACTTTCATAAAACCGGCAACATTCCTCTACGTAAACATCAAAATAATTTAGCAATCCCGCCCAGACAAAGCGTAACTGGACCACGTGCTGACGCGAAGTATAAAGAGTTAAGAAGTGCTTGGATGATAACTCACGTGACGCCTTGAATATTCGAGTTCCTCTGCTGCTCCTGAAAATTGATTTTGTCGTGCAATGTAAACTTAGCCAGTTCTTCCGTATTTAGCACCGGAACAGAAACTCCATTTTGACTCGGTCTCTTTCTACCGAATCTTGTGCGGCGTGTAGTGAATGGAAACCGTATCCTGTATTTAAGAAACATTTTCGCGGTTACAACAAATTGTCATTTTTAAAAGTCATGGCTGGGAGTCTTAGAAACGTTTTCCGTCTTAATTTGGGCCTTTTGAGTAGTACTCTATCAAGATGTACATCTTTAAATGGTAAGAAACGGTAACCTAACCTTAAATCGTGAAATGGTGATGCAGCACCAGCGGCGTAATTTTTTTATCGTCGGTCACTTAATTTCTTTGCTTTATATCAGATTTGCGATGTCTTTCTTACCATCGATTTATTATATAATGAAATAATTCCTTTTTGGAAGAATTACAAATGATCCAGTTTTTATACCGTTATGCTCTTAAAAATGTAATTGATTTCAGTTTCCCCGGTTCAAGGATTTCGATTATTGTATACACAAGGCAGTATTGGCATGAATGGGTACCTCAAATTACGCGGAATATATCATAAACAATTCTTGAATGTAGAAACTACTTTCCGCGATAAGATGAAAGAATTTGTGGAAGATAATTCTTCAAACATGATATTCACCGAAGACTTAAAAGCAATGCTGCACCTTGTCGAAAAGAGCCCAGAGGATATTGAACTTCTGGTAAAAATGTTGAGAAAGTTCAATTCCCAGAACAAGGAACTTCGTTTTGGCAATTTTATCTTTGGACCTGTTGTTATGCGCACCATGTATCACCTCGATGTGCCTGACATAACGTTGGAACTATTCCATGATCCAGAGTTCCATAGCTTTTTCAATCAGTTTATATCCTATCAAATTCTAATGGATATGCTTTATAACCATGGAAGGTTCGATGATGTTAGGAAAGTATATGACTCTATTAAAGAACGACGTACGGATAATATAATGTATCCCAGACATGCGACAAATATTGTTACAGCAGCATGTCTCAGGCAGGCAAGTTCTTATTTAAGTTATTATCCCTGTTATCGTGTTTCCTCTGAAAGTTAAAGTATATTGTTAAATTTTCACACACTGTTGAAGTTATCGGTTAGCGTTATATAACTCTCAAATATGTCCATGTTTTAGAACACGCCAGACAGTTTTGAGTATGTTGTGAATATTGCTAAGGAAATGAAAAAAAATGGTCTTCTGTTACCGAACAGAACTATTGGATATATTGCAACTTTAGCTCTTAAGCAAGGCTTTCCGGAAGTTGCTCTGGAAATGAGTTCTATGCATAGAAATATGAAAAGTATTTCCTGCAGATGTATCAGAGTTGCAAGTTTTGCTCGGTTAAATCGCTTGAACAGTATTATTCCAATAATTAGGAATTCACTGGATAGCGATCACCCTACGTTTAAAGAAATGTATTTCAAAGATGTGGTATGTATTATGAAACCTGTATTATGATCCCTTTGAAAAGTATCGATGCTAGTGATCATTTTATGATATATTAGATCGAAATGCTTGACGAAGCTGTACAGAGATCATCCGAAGATCAACTCAAACAAGAGGTTCAAAGGTTATTGAAGGAGATAATTAATCGTCAGTCAATACGGGAGATGGTAAGCCAATCGAATGAACAAACTAACAAGGAACAACGAAGGCACGATATCTACTACTTTAATTATTTCTTATTTTTAGACTTTGGAACAGTACGTTCTCTCAGAAATTGATCTTACCCTTAGAAACAACCTTGATGGGGAAACCGATCAGAATCAACTTAGGTCCTTCAGACGTCCCATGATGCAACGTAAGACCATGAGGGAACAGCTCATTTAATTCCATTCATCATTAAATAATTCGTAGAATTCCGAAATCGCGAATATAATGTTATAGTCCTAATTCGATCTCGTATCACAATAAAACGAATTCCATTATTCTATCTTCTATGTACCAAGGTTTCCTTTTATTCTTTACCACACATTACTCGTGAAGCAAGTCGATAGTAATAATCGAAGACCGAAGAGAAACTTTCACGATTGATTTCTATCCTCTTAATTAATAATAGATTCACGAGGAGTTAGAAAATCGTGCGTCATTATACAAAATCATACATATTTCATAGAAAATAATTTCCTATCTAAGCGGCAGAAAGTCGTTCAGCCATTATGCAGGTCTTCCTTTCGTTGTTGGACAGCCAGTCATTCATGGGTCTTGTCAATTCCATAGTTTTTCGTACGATGGATATCAAGGTTGCTAGCCACTTGGCATTGGGCCAGGAGTTTGCGTGACCGCATCTAAGAAAAAAAAAAAAAAAAAGATACGAATCAAGAAATCTTCAATTCACTTCAGTCGATTCGTCTCATACCTCGGTAAAAGAGCAGCGATGAAGAGTGCCCAACTGCTAACGGTGCCAGGGAAGGCGAAGAGAGTCTTCTGCACTGATCTGATCTCTTCTTTCGACAAGCCACGGGGTAATTTATCCAGCGACGAGACACAGGCGATGTGGGCAACGCCCAGGGTGGAGGTGTTCCTTCCCAGGAACAGAGCCTTCTCGGCACAGCTTCCGAGCGAGCTGGAGCCCACCTCCCAGAGGATTCGGACCAATCCTATCCACGACTCCGTGTCGTCTGTCAATCGGGGATAATTCGGTGAAATAAAATCGAGATTCGAAAAGGTTTTCATTCGGCCCACCTGGACACACGTAGGCTGCTCTGCAGAGATCCCGGACGGCTCCTTGGACGTCGTTCTGCGCTAGCTTGGAGTACGCCATCAGTCTCACGATGTGATGCCTATGGTCAGGATGATCCCGATGCGACTGCAGCTCCTTCAGGACCAGGGTAATCAGATTGACGTCCCCATGGAGTATACCTAGAGCCGCAGCAGCCAAAAGTCCTGGCACGACGGACGGCTGTATCAGGATGCACTGGAAGAGAAGGGTCTTGACGTCGTCCACCCCCTGGAACATGTAGGCCATGGCTGCCATGGCACAGAGGACGTGGCCCTTGTCCGAACTTGCATCGGCGAGCCAGTGAAGAGCGGCCTCGTAAGCTGCGTAGGATTCCTCGAAGCGCTCCGCTGCAGGAAGGACAATCTCGTTGAGATCGATGCATCGAGATGCAAGGATTAAAATAAATATATGCAAACCTTTAAACAGGGACAAGGCCAATTGGCAGTGGGATTTGAAGCTCGCCTTCTCGACGGCGCGACAGTGTTCTACGGCTTCCTGGTACTTGCCGACCTGGAGCAGCACTCTGGCCAGGTTGACCAGAACGGCGTCTTTCTTGTCACCTTCTTCTACCAGAGCCAGAGCCCTGGAGAACGCCTTGCTCGCTGGGCGATACAATTTTTGTCTCTCCAACAGGAGTCCTTGGGCATTCAGCGCGCAGACGTTGTCGGGCTCGTGCTCTGCAACGTCGAGAACGTTGATTATGCTCTACCTTCTAGGTACTCCGCGAGGTAGAGAAGAAGCCTCACCGATGTACCAGGTGATCGCGTCGGTCGCCACGGTGACGGCATGCATGTTCTCGATGGCGTACTTGTAGAGAGGGTCCTTTTTCGCCGCTGGATCGAGAAGCGTCGTCAACACCCAGTGAGTGTACCCCATGGCAGCCTCGTTCTGGTATCCCAGCTGAGTGGCGTGTCTGTAGAGGTCCATGGCTTCCTTCCTGGCAGCCGTTTCCGCTATCAAGCTCTGGCCTACCCAGCAATTCGTGTACGCAGGGTCGGATCGCTGGGCTCGAGAGAACGCACGGTTCGCCTTGTACAGGTCTCCTGGTCGAAGTCAAAAACCGAAAGGTTAACGATCCGAGGTGCTCGAGTCAATCCGTTTCGAGCAAAAATATGCAAAGTGGAGTCGGAACCTAAAATCAGATAAAGAGAGCCCAGGTTCGTCCAGACAACCGCGTTGTTGGGCTCCTTATCGATAGCCGTGACGAAAGAGTGCTGGGACAGGGCGTAGTTCTTCGTCTCTTCCAACATGCAGACTACCCCGAGGAGGTTCCAGTGCATCCAGGAGGAGGGACAGAGTCTGATCGCTTGCTTAACGGCTGCCAGACACTTCGACGATATCTGGACTCGGTCTACCGCAGGGTCGTAGCGAAGCTGCGCCAAGTAACTGCAAGCTAGGTCGTGCCACAACATCGCGGAGTCTTCGGAGATACGCAGGGCGTGACAATAACACCTGTAAGTCGATTGAGTAGGATTGGTAGGAAGTTCCAGTTAAAGGAACCTTTTAGATCGCAGTACCAGGAAGCCAGCTGGAATATCTTGCTCCTTTGTATCAGGACCCGCTCCCCTTGGCCATCGATTTTTATCAATTCCTCTGGAACGGTCAGATGGCAATATCTATCGGGCAACACGGCCACTCGGTAGCACGCATCTCCGAGCAATTTCCATATGCAGGATAAGTCGTTGCGCTGTAAAATTGCTTCCACCAAATTTTCTACCGCTTGCTGGGCGCTGTCCGTGACTCGTCCCAGGAGCTGCTTCCCCGCGTATTCCTTTGCGAGTCCGAGGCAGGTCTCCGCAAGGCCTTTCAAAGCGGTCACGTTGTGACTTTCCAGCTGCAGAATCCGCTCAAAATCTTCCTTCGCCTCCACGAGTTGACCCAGGACCTACAAAGTTGCATTCTCGAGTCAAGGATCTTTGTGGTGAAATGGGGGAGAAAGTTCCTCGACGTTTGTCCGACTTACCAATTTTATATTTGCCAGCTGTATCATGGGATAGAGAGACCCTGGATTTAATTGCAACACACGTTCGTATGACTTCAACGCAGAGGTATAAGCCCCTCGAGCCCAGTATGCATCGGCCAGTGACTCCCAGCAGTGACTATGTCAATGAGAATAAGTTAATTCTAACATTTTTTAGAAATCCATTGGACATTAGGAATGCGAATGGAAAGAATTTTACTGGAATTATTACTTGTCATTTGGATCAGCTCTTATCACAAAGCGTAAGGCATGGATAGCTTCCGACCACTCTCCTTGATCCAGGTGCTGCAAGCCCAACTGAAGCCAAGCCCATTTTGGACCTCCACTTTGACTTGTCATGCATTGCAATAATCGCATATTGGCTTCCTAAAACATTAAGACATTGTATAGAGAATCTAATATACCATGATTTCAAGCAGTCATGTTTGGTATTTCTTTTGTCAACTTACTACATTCTTCAGCAATCGATAGGCAGTGCTTAGTCCAACTCCTGCATCTTCGGAGTATGGATTGATCTGCAGTGCCTTCTGGTAGCATCGCCTCGATCTCTCGAGATCGTTTCCCCTTTCGCGATAATAATGTCCTAGGTAGACAAGGCATTCCCAATTGAACGTATCCATGTGAATGCCTTTTAAAAATGCCATTAAACTGTGACTGTAATCCGACATAGCCCAGTGAATTTTCCCCAGATTTAACCAGGCTTCCGAAGTCTCCAGAGCAGAGCCCAGTACATCAGCAGCTTCTTCAAATTTTTTCTGCCGTTCTAAATGAATGGCGCGCAAAATAGTAGATTCTAATTTTGTTTCCGAATCAGATTCCAAATTGTGGAGTACATCTTCCACTGTAGGGGCATCTAGCATTACGTAGCATCGTGCGAGAAGTAATTTTAACTTTGGAGAGGGTCGCTTGGATATTACCTGAGGAATAAAAAAATTTTATTTGAAAAACAGCTTGGATGATTCTCTTGAAAATCAGAATGTAAATTAATAATGTTTTTACCAGCTCACACTTTTGCACAGCTAGTTCCCATTTTTTTTTGCTCGTGCCCCTAGCAAGGGCTTCGATCTGGAGGTCCTCAATTTTGTTTTGCATCGCTTCAGGAGTTTTATTCTTAAATAATTTGATCGCTTGTTGAGCAGCATTACCGGCTTCATCCCAGCAATGGAGTTTAGCATTTACCTCTGCCAACAGAATCCAAGCTTGCATCCACCGTGGTTTAGATATAACCACACGGTTCAAAAGATTCCGTGACTCAATAACGCTATCTGCTTTGAGTAAGTGTACAGCTTTCGCATGTAACGCATAAGCAGAATCCACCACTAGTGTCAAGAGTGCATCGTAAAACCTTGCGATCTGTAGACCATCTATTTCACCAATTGCAACGTTCTGTTCACAGTAGATTTGACAAATCCATTCTGTTTAACAGATATAGTACAGCATTTTAAAGACAATAGAAATATTAGGATGAAAAAAATTAATTGCAGAAAATATAACTAAAATTCCAAAAATATCTCGTACCTAAGGGAGTAGGATCATCAGAAAATCGTTCATGCAGGTCTGCAGCTTCTGCTAACAGCAATGCCAGCTTATCCTGCTGTTTAAGTAATTGTAGGTACTTCTTGCAATATTCCTGTCTATGTTTAGCATTAGCATCTCGGCTAGCTGATGCTAAAATATTTATTTGAAGATCCAACTGGTCGTTAAATGCATTTGGGATCTTCATTAATATAGAAATCAAAGATTCATCAATTAGCTTAATCTTTGCGTTGCTCGAGTTATTTCTTAGTTGTCCCAGAGTGTCAACAACTTTAGAAAGTATCGAGGCATCCTTCGATCGCAAAGCCATCTCCGTTGCTTCGGTCAAATAATGTGAAAACTTTGTAGATGTGCTACACAATATAAGATAGAAAAATATGAAATACAAAAAATTCGTCAAATGCAAATAAATTATCTGAATATCTTATTCACAGCAAAAGTTTCTTACCTATCGATGCATAGAAGTTTACAGTACGCAGGTATCAGCTCATTCCAGGTTGCCAAATTGTCAGGTGCTTTCTCATAATATGACGTTAACCCTTGCCATGCCAGTGGATTATCGGGCTGAATTTCTATAGCCCTTTTGAAAGGTAGTGGTACATGGTCTTTAACCTCTTCTACTTCTTGCATCGCAACACCCAGTAGAACCAAAGCTACATAATTGTTCTTGTCTTCTCTCAAAATTTTTTTACATTTTTTTATCGCCTCTTTGTGATCATTTTGATTAAGGAGTTGCCGAATTTCCTTCAAAGAGGTTTTCACCTCTTTTGACATCTTACAATTTTATGATTCTGGAAAAACAATGATTAGCATGTAATTCATGAAACGACAGGATAAGAGAATGGGAAGTAAATTACATTAATGGAAATCAGTCATTTAACCAACAAAGTAATCAAATGTTGTTGACGAAATTAAACCTATTATCACCTGTTATAAACTGTTAGGAGCTTTAAAGCCGGGTTAATAGAAGGAAAACTTAACCAAGAGATTGAGAAATAATTTTTAGTGACGCCACGTAACGGGTTTTTGGAAGTTTTGTACCGTTTGATTTCAATGCCAACAGATGTCGCTGCTAAATACTATCGATACGACTAACTTAAAAATTAAATTGCTCACGGGCAGGATCACGCGATCGCGGTCTGTGCTGCCCTCAGTGGAGAATGCAGGCGGCTGACGGACTTGCCCTCAACGGCGGCCAGTTCAGAAGCATATAAAATATATGTAAGATACAAAATTGTTAAACAGAAATAGCACCTCCAAATAAAATGCGGAAATACCAAATTTCAACGTAATGATTTAGGTGTTATTTTTAGCACAAAATACCTCATAATATTTATGATCTTGTAATAAAAATGTATTGTACGTACAAAATATCACGTAGTAGAAAAATGGATACGTTTGGAATTGTCATTAACAAATTTATAATAATGTAATCAAAGTTGACACAGAGTATGCGTTGAACACAGGCTGTTCCATTCTGGTAGCAGTTTTCAGTTGACGGCATCATCCCTTGTTACACTTATTCCTTCAGGAACCTCTTCTGCTCCGCAATCTGCGATAACGATATCTAAGGAAGGTTTGTCACGATTATCTGTTTTTACCCCTTCGATTTTCCTAACGATATCCTGTCAACATGCAAAATATGATCATTAAATCTTGGTGATGTAGTGTTTAGAAAACGTGCAGCGAAACATTTGCTAACCATTCCTTTCAAAACTTTTCCGAAAACAACGTGTCTACCATCCAGCCATGGAGTCTTCTTAAGGGTGATAAAGAACTGAGATCCATTAGTATTTTCCCCAGCATTTGCCATGGATACCCAGCCAGCACCATAGTGTATCAGCTTGAAATTTTCATCAGCAAATTGAGCCCCGTAGATGCTATAGCCTAAAAGAGAAAAAGTCAGAACATTATTCATGCGGTTTATTTAAAACAACATTGAATAAATCAAAGAAGAACATACCACCAGTTCCATCTCCTTTAGTAAAATCTCCTCCCTGGATCATGAAATCTTTGATAACTCTATGAAACTTGCTGCCTTTGTATCCTTCCCCTGCCGGTTTCTGAGCGAGTTCGACAAAATTTTTCACAGTCTTGGGAACGGTTTTACCGAACAGGCCAATTTCTATTCTTCCTGCATTTTCCCCGCCTATTTTAATGTCGAACCACACCTGAGAAAATCATGTTCAATTAACAAAAGCATCTAACAGTAGCACTTGACAACTGAACGTACGAGCATTGAACGACTCAGCAAATCTATGATGTTACTTTAACATATTTTTCAATTTTCAGTGTATTAATTTATTCAGCCTGAACTCGCGGTTAGATTAATACTTTTTAATTACTTTACCTTGTCGGTGACTCTGGGGCCCTTAGGTTTATTATCGGCACCGTTGCTAGAAGAAACTGCCGCGGTTAAAAAACCCAACAACAAAAGCAACCTCATCTTTAACATCAAAGCTGAAAATAAAAGTGGAAATTTAATGGTATTTAAGGTTAATGGCAGAGGACTACAGAAACGTAACGTTACCCTTCTACTTTTAACGAAGAACGGTAATCGATAACTGGTACACTGGACTCCATCGATGGCTTGCACCTGGTCCGCACTGCCCTCTCCGGCCGCGCAGCGTACTAGCGGCGGGAGCAGCGCGGAATTCGAATCGCTCGAGGGGCAGAATGGATTTCCTAAAGAAAATAAATATTTATATACAAAAACAATTAATGA